ACATCAGTGAGGAGAGCCCAGGTCCTCCGCTGCCCACGCCCTCCCTGCGCAGGAGGCTCCCGCGCAGTGAGAGGAGGAGGAGACTGGGTGTCAAACAACTTTTATGTTGGAAGAGGTTCAAGAAACGCCCACTGACGGATTCTGCCAGCGATTGAGGCAGCCACGATGAGAAGGGGCTGTGCAGTCAGAAAGGTTTTACAAGGCAAATCAGCCTAGAGAGGCACCAGTTTACGCACGAGTAACTCATACCCATTACACCTCTTATATCAGGCCACATGGTCACTGGAGGTGGCCCCATCATGCAAACATGACTATCCACACAGGGACCATCTATTTTTATTTTTTTCTGATACTGGATTTTAAGTTACAGTTACATCTTTTAAAACAGCTGTCAGTATATCACACTGTATTCCACTTGCCTTCCAAAGGAATACGTGGCTCTCCCCACATAGCGGGTTAGGTTGAGACTGCTGATCCAAAGTGATCAGTAATTTTTACGGTAATTACAATCCTGCTTTCCCTTGTACCAGCTTACCTTGACTTCAGTTAGGCCTTTGAAAAGGTCCCCCATGATATTATTGCAAAAAAACTAGTAAAATGATAAGAAAGAAAGGTCACAGCCTGTTTAGGGCTTTAAAGATTAGCACCAAAACATTGAACCTGATTCAATACTCCACCTGGAGCCAATCCAGCTGATGAACAACCAACTGAATGTGGGCTCTCCACAAAGTCCAAGTAAGAACTCACGCATCTGCATTTTAGACCATTTGGAGTTTCTGGAGCAGTCTCAAGGGTAGCCCTGCATATCTCTCTCTCTCTCTCTCTCTCTCTCTCTCTCTCTCTCTCTCGATCACATTTATAGCCTGCACTCCCCGGCTCAGGTGTACAGCAAGTTAAAGTAGTCTAGTCTGCTGGTGACTACTGCATGGATCACCATGGCTAGGTTGGAAAGGGACAGGTACAGTACCGATTGCCTAAGCTGACATAGATTCAAAAATGCCAGTTTGGCTACATTTGTGACCAATGCCTCCATAGAGACAGAAGCATCCAGGATCACAAAGGGACTCCTGATGGCAGCTACAGGTGACTATTGCGCCCCATGAAGAGCTGGGAGCTGGCAAACCGAACTGAAATCATTCTGGCCCAGCCATTGGGCGCCCATCTTTAATGGATAGAGATTCAGCCGACTCCATTTCCTCCATCCCAGCACACCCACCTAAAAATTGGCCAATATATCCAGGGTAGCATCTGGCCAGGGCCATGAAGCAGTAGATCCATGATGTTTGTGGTCATATCTGTGGTTATGTACAAGATATTTGAATAAAGGGTGAATTTGGGGTTCCCCAATGCAAAATGTGTGATGATCCATGAGGATCCGTGCTTCAAAACCATGTTTTGGGGCCATGGAGTGGCCAGGAAGCCGTGGATCTCAGTTTTTTGTGGTGCAGGCTGTGCCCCTAGCCATGATGTGTGATTTGACGGTGAGTTTGGGCTGGCCCAATGCAAAAAGTGTGAGGATCCATGAGGATCCGTGGTTCGGAACCACGTTTTTGGGCCATGGTATGGCCAGGAAGCCATGGAGCCGTGATTTTTGTGGTGGATGCTGTGCCCCTGGACATGATATGTGATTTGACAGTGAGTTTGGGTTGGCCCAATGCAAAAAGCGTGAGGATCCATGAGGATCCGTGCTTCAAAACCACGTTTTTGGGCCATGGAGTGGCCAGGAAGCCGTGGATCCGAGGTTTTGTTGTGCAGGCTGTGCCCCTGGACATTGATGTGTGATTTGACAGTGACTTTGGGCTGATCTAGTGCAAAAAGCGTTAGGATCCGTGAGGATCCGACCTTCAAAACCACGTTTTTGGTCCATGGTGTTGCCAGGAAGCCATGGATCTGAGTTTTTTGTGGTGCAGGCTGTGCCCCTGGACATGAAGTGTGATTTGACAGTGAGTTTGGGTTGGCCCAATGCAAAAGTGTGAGGATCGGTGAGGATCTGTGATTCAAAACCACGTTTTGGGCCATGGAGTGGCCAGGAAGCCGTGGATCTCAGTTTTTTGTGGTGGATGCTGTGCCCCTGGCCATGATGTGTGATTTGACAGTGATTTAGGTGTGGCCTAATGCAAAAAGCGTGAGGATCCATGAGGATCCGTGCTTCAAAACCACGTTTTTGGGCCATGGAGTGGCCAGGAAGCCGTGGATCCGAGATTTTTGTGGTGTAAGCTGTGCCCCTGGGAATGATGTGTGATTTGACGGTGAGTTTGGGTTGGCCCAATGCAAAAAGCGTGAGGATCCATGAGGATCCGTGCTTCAAAACCACGTTTTTGTACCACGGTACAACCAGGAAGCCATGGATCCGAATTTTTTGTTGTGCAGGCTGTGCCCCTGGACATGATGTGTGATTTGACAGTGAGTTTGGGTTGGCCCAATGCAAAAAGCATGAGGATCCATGAGGATCCGTGCTTCAAAACCACGTTTTTGGGCCATGGAGTGGCCAGATAACCGTGGATCCGTGATTTTTGTGGTGCAGGCTGTGCCCCTGACTACGATGTGTGATCTGACGGTGAGTTTGGGTTGGCCCAGTGCAAAAAGTGTTAGGATCCGTGGGGATCCGTGCTTCAAAACCATGTTTATGGGCCATGGAGTGGCCAGATAACCGTGATCCGTGATTTTTGTGGTGCAGGCTGTGCTCCTGGCTATGACGCATGATCTGACGTTGAGTTTGGGTTGGCCCAATGCAAAAAGAGTGAGGATCCATGAGGATCCGTGCTTCGAAACCATGTTTTTGGGCCACGGAATGGCCATGCGGGCGTGGATCTGAGTTTTTTGTGGTGCAGGCTGTGCCCCTGGCTATGATATGTGATTTGACGGTGAGTTTGGGCTGGCCCAATGCAAAAAGCGTGAGGATCCATGAGGATCCGTGCTTCAAAACCACGTTTTTGGGCCATGGAGTGGCCAGGAAACCGTGGATCCGAATTTTTTGCTGTGCAGGCTGTGCCCCTGTACATGATGTTTGATTTGACAGTGAGTTTGGGATGGCCCAATGGAAAAAGCATGAGGATCCGTGAGGATCCGACCCTCAAAACCACGTTTTTGGGCCATGGCGTTGCCAGATAACCGTGGATCTGAGTTTTTTGTTGTGCAGGCTGTGCCCCTGGCCATGATGTGTGATTTGACGGTGAGTTTGGGTTGGCCCAGTGCAAAAAGCGTGAGGATCCTTGAGGATCCGTGCTTCAAAACCACGTTTATGGGCCATGGAGTGGCCAGATAACCGTGGATCCGTGATTTTTGTGGTGCAGGCTGTGCTCCTGGCTATGACGCATGATCTGACGGTGAGTTTGGGTTGGCCCAATGCAAAAAGCGTGAGGATCCATGAGGATCCGTGCTTCAAAACCACGTTTTTGGGCCACGGAATGGCCATGCGGGCGTGGATCTGAGTTTTTGTGGTGCAGGCTGTGCCCCTGGCTATGATATGTGATTTGACGGTGAGTTTGGGCTGGCCCAATGCAAAAAGCGTGAGGATCCATGAGGATCCGTGCTTTCAAAACGTTTTTGGGCCACGGTTTCGCCAGGAAGCCGTGGATCCGTGATTTTTGTGTTGCATGCTGTGCCCATGGCCATGATGTGTCATTTGACGGTGACTTTGGGCTGATCTAGTGCAAAAACCATGAGGATCCATGAGGATCCGTGCTTCGAAACCACGTTTTTGGGCCACGGTATGGCCAGGCAGGCGTGGATCCGTGATTTTTGTGGTGCCTGCTGTGCCCATGGCCATGATGTTTGATCTGATGGTGACTTTGGGCTGATCTAGTGCAAAAATCATGAGGATCCATGAGGATCCATGCTTCAGAACCACGTTTTTGGGCCACGGTATGGCCAGGCAGGCGTGGATCCGAGTTTTTTGTGGTGTAGGCTGTGCCCATGGCGATGATGTTTGATCTGATGGTGACTTTGGGCTGATCTAGTGCAAAAATCATGAGGATCCATGAGGATCCATGCTTCAGAACCACGTTTTGGGCCACGGTATGGCCAGGCAGGCGTGGATCCGAGTTTTTTTTGGTGTAGGCTGTGCCCCTGGCTATGATGTGTGATTTGACAGTGATTTAGGGGTGGCCCAATGCAAAAAGCATGAGGATCCATGAGGATCCGTGCTTCAAAACCACGTTTTGGGCCACGGTTTCCCCACGAAGCCGTGGATCCGTGATTTTTGTGGTGGATTCTGTGCCCATGGCGATGATGTTTGATCTGATGGTGACTTTGGGCTGATCTAGTGCAAAAATCATGAGGATCCATGAGGATCCGTGTTTTTTAACCATGTTTTTGCGCCCCTGCGGCCCCCCGAAACAGTGGATGCGTGATTTTTTGATGCTGCCTACAGAGTAAGACATGGTCTACAGTATCATGGTGGTTTTATTTAATTTGAATGAAAAAATCATATGAATTCATGAGGATCCGTGTAGATCCGCCTTTTACCTTTTTCCAAAAATAATAATGATGTGAGCATAGGTTTAGTCCTGAGACTTAAATTGTAGTAACAGGAGACACGAACAAATCTCATCCTACACAGTGGAGAATTCGCTTCCTAGCCTGCAATTGTGCGTGCGGGTGAACCTGCGTTAACATCATAAGCAATACAGAGCAAAAGAGAGGCTGGGAAGCCTTTGTTCCGCGCTTTGCACCCGAGGCCGGCACCAGGGCGGAAGTCGTGCGCGGAGACGCCTCTCTGCCTCGGTACGCGCCCGAAATACGCGCCTCCTGCTCCCTCGATCCCCGAGCAGGACGTTCCGCTTCCGCCTTGAAGGGGGAAAAGAGAGAGATGCTGGCTGGGCGAGAGGGACGCTGACGGGAAGCGAGAGGCCGCCGCTTCTGCAGCCCGAGCGGGGCGTGTGGGGCTCGAGTGCGGCCGGGCGCGGGGGAAAGAAGGAACGGGAGACCCCGGCCGGCCCCTGAGCTCCGGAGAGGCCGGCTCCACACCTCCGGGGGCTCGTTCGCGGCGGCGGCTGGCGATGGAGAAGGAAGGTGGGCGCTTGGGACGTGCCGCGCGCTTCCCTTTCTCCTTCCCAGGCCCCCCACCCACCCCTCTCGCCCTGGGGCTGCGGGGCTCCGCGGCCGGGCTGGAGGAAGGCGCTGCGGGTTGAGATTAGGAGGGGCGTGGATGTGGGGCGTGTGTGTGTGTCGGGCTCACCGAAATGCAAGAAGGAATGTGGGCACTGGGAAGCCAAAGGGGTCGTGGGGACGGAGTTAGGAAGGCGAGGACGACCAGGTGGGCATTTAGCTCCCCTTCGTCCCTGTACAAGTGAGTGTGTATGTGGATTTTTCCCCCTCCTTCTCTCTTTTGGCTTCTCAGTTTCTGCAAACAACTGTGACACAGGTAAAACCAGGTTTTTCGAAATGCAGGAGACAAAAGTAAGCGGTTGGTTTTTTCAAGGAATGTGCTTTGCCTGTTAAGGAGTTCTCTGGACAGGAAGCACTTGGGGGGGAAAGCAAAATCTGCAGGCGCCCAACAGGGGTGTGTGATGGTTTTGATGCTCTCTGCGTTATATGGGGTTCTTGTGCGTCTTCCTACACGGAAGAGCTTTCTGTGTGAGGAGGTACAGCCCATGTTTGTTTTAATTGGCTTTCATACTCATTTGCTTCCATCTTCCGTGCCTTTTTAAAGTTTTGAAAAGTCTTAACCGCTGGTATAATTTGATGGGACCCTCAGGGTGGCTTCCGATGAAACAAGGTTTAAGCAAGATTGTATTAAATGCACAAATAAACAACATATCTTGTACCAAAGTTGGCAGGTATAGACATTTGAAGGAGTGGAACAAAAATATATTAACAGCCCTCTATCTGGTTCTTGTTTGAAAGAAAGAAAGAAAGACATATGTCAGCTCAGCAAGATCTTGCCTTTCCAACTCCAGCGGTTGTTGCAACAAAAATATTGTTGCACCAACCTTGTGAAACAGAAGCAAGATGGCCTGCCAGACCTGTTGATGAAAGAGAAGTCCTGGTCTTTAGCTTCTGGCAAAGATAGGACTCTGAGCTCTCCCAGCACCCCCTTGGACCAAGGCTGTTTTCAGTTAGGTTTAAAGCGGGGTTAGAAAATCTTTGGCCTGGGACCAAAATGGCCAGGGACCCTTCATGCCTGGCCTTCAGGACTCCCTGCAGGCTGCACACCCACCCTGGCCACACTGTTAACCAGCCCTGCTTTGCACCTTCCTTAAAGAGTTTTTGCCAGGTTGGGATGTGTCCTTGAACTCTTGCTTGCCTGTGTGGAGGATAGAGAGGGGTTGTGAGCATATGTGGAAACTACCCTACCTTACAAAGGTCAAATTTACACCCAGAGGGGAATGTGGGCCTCAGACTGAAATCGGTTCCCCTGGTTTAAAGGTTGAAACTGGTGCTTTGGTGCTTTTCATTGTGTCAGGAAGCCAATTGGAAGCCAGTGCCAGATCTCCTAGCATGGTTGTACTGTGCTCTCAGTGGCTGATAATGAATGAGACACCACATTTTGAATTAACTGAAGTTTCTGAACAGTTTTCAATGACAGATCAATGTAGAGTGCATTGTTAGTACCCTAGCCTGGGAGTTACAAAAGTGCTTGTGTATTTCTTAAGTATCATGTGGTGTCCCTACCACAAAATATGTGCCCCAAATTATCTCAGAATATTTAACCACACTCATATCTATAAGGACAATTCTATAAACTAATGTAAAAACAGAAACTTTCATTTAACACACCACCAGATTTTTATACAATGGTACCCGTTGCTTGGTCCCTGCTCCTGCCAACCCAGCAGTTCGAGAGCACGTCAAAGTGCAAGTAGATAAATAGGTACCGCTCTGGTGGGAAGGTAAACAGTGTTTCAGTGCGCTGCTCTGGTTCGCCAGAAGCGGCTTAGTTATGCTGGCCACATGACCCAGAAGCTGTACACAGACTCCCTCAGCCAGTAAAGCGAGATGTGCTCCACAACCCCAGAGTTGTCCGTGACTGGACCTAATGGTCAGGGGTCCCTTTACCTTTACCATGGTTTACGAACTTAATCCGTTCCGGAAGTCCGTTCTTAAACCAAAGCGTTCTTAAACCGAGGTGTGCTTTCCCTACTGAGGCCTCCTGCTGCAGGTGCCCTTCCACCGTTTGGCTTCTGAGGCAAAGCTCGCTAACTGGAACACCTTCCGGTTTTGCAGAGTTCGTTTTCCAAATAGTTCGTGAACATAGACTGAGATACCACTGTATTTGGCTTACTGTTATCTTTCTTTCCCCTTTCCTTCAATTAGATGAACAGAATTTGGTCTAAGCTACATAACCTAAACATAATATTATTAAGTTGTTTTTTTCATTCTTTGAAGGATACTGTCTTAAAGTTTTAATAATTTTGTGGAACATACTTCTGGGTGACAGGTTCAACATACGTATAGATGATGAGGGTTTTCCATGTGGCTCAAATGCAACAGTGGTCTTTGCAATATGAAAAACTCAGATGCAGTACATGTGCTCAGTCAAGTGTTAACTTTTGACTAATAAGCTAAACCTACCTAAGCAGTTAAAGTCTATGCATGCATTTTGCAAGCATCCTCCAAATGAGCATGCATTAAAGAAAAAAGACTAGTGGTGGCCTGTTACCCTAACACTGTTATCCTTGAAGCACTGGCTTGGTTATATCATGCTTGTTTTAAGGTAGTTGAGCAATTGGCACCAAGAGAAACTTTTATTTATTATTGCCATCGTTGCAAGCTGGTGTATTTTTCATTGACATATTGCTTGTATCTCATTTTGCAATATGTTTAATGTGCCCTGTTCCCCAGTCTGCATCCACCATCATACACACCTGCAGCCATAAACCACCTGCCCTCTTCCACCTCCCATTTCTGTTACTCACCCACTCTGCTCGCTCCCCAACCTGGGAAAAGATTAAGAGAAGTGGGGCCGGACAGTGACCTTAAGCAACTGTTGTTTTTGCACCCTTGGACAATCTCCTTATCTCCTTTACAGATACTTATTTTTGAAAGGAAACTTAACATTTTGCTTTAGATATGACCTTATCACATCATAACATTCTTGGCTTTATTGCACAACATAGTGCTGCTCATATCAGGTTTGTTCGGTATTGTGAATGTGTTTACCTTCAAAGATCAGTATATAGTATTTTAGATATCCTAAACATCTGGACACACCAGCTCAGAATTCAGAATGTCATTTGCATCTCTGAAAATCTCCAAATTCTGGATAAGGGACTACAATGCTGACTGAGATTATCTAGATTGTTCTTAGTGATTGCGGATGAGTGAGATTTTTATCTTCTCTGTGGACAGAGGTTTGTAATGTTTATTGGGCTTCGTGAGCCTGACAAACTTGTTTCATAAGAACGCATGAAGAGTCTGAATTTGCTGAATTTGGCCAAGACCCACAGAGTCTTGTGGCCCCATCCATACATGTAAAGCAGTATCATACCGCTTTAAACAGTCAAGGCTTCCCCCAAAGAATCCTTTTTAAAGGGTGCTGAGAAACTTTAGAAACTATTGTTCCCCTTAGTGAGCTAACTATTCCCAGAGTTCCCTGGGGTTGATTGTTAAACCACTTTGGGAATCTTAGCTCTGTGATGGGAACAGGGATCTCCTAAGAACTCTCAGCACCCTTAACAAATTGCATTTCCCAGGATTCTTTGGGGGAAGCCATGATTGTTTAAATTAGTATGATACTGCTTTAAATGTATAGTGCAGATGGGACCTTGTTTTTTCCAAGGATCTGGTATTCAGAAGTGTTTCACCCCTGGAGATGTGGAGATTCTATTTAGGTATTGTTGTTGTTTAGTCGTATAGTCGTGTCCGACTCTTCGTGACCCCATGGACCAGAGCACGCCAGGCACTCCTGTCTTCCACTGCCTCCCGCAGTTTGGTCAGGCTCATGTTTGTAGCTTCGAGAACACTGTCCAACCATCTCGTCCTCTGTCGTCCCCTTCTCCTTGTGCCCTCCGTCTTTCCCAACATCAGGGTCTTTTCCAGGGAGTCTTCTCTTCTCATGAGGTGGCCAAAGTATTGGAGCCTCAACTTCACTATCTGTCCTTCCAGTGAGCACTCAGGGCTGATTTCCTTAAGAATGGATAGGTTTGATCTTCTTGCAGTCCATGGGACTCTCAAGAGTCTCCTCCAGCACCATAATTCAAAAGCATCAATTCTTCGGCGATCAGCCTTCTTGATGGTCCAGCTCTCACTTCCATACATCACTATTGGGAAAACCATGGCTTTAACTATACGGACCTTTGTTGGCAAGGTGATGTCTCTGCTTTTTAAGATGCTGTCTAGGGTTGCCATCGCCTTTCTCCCAAGGAGCAGGCGTCTTTTAATTTCGTGACTGCTGTCACCATCTGCAGTGATCATGGAGCCCAAAAAAGTAAAATCTCTCACTGCCTCCATTTCTTCCTCTTCTGTTTGCCAGGAGGTGATGGGCCCAGTGGCCATGATCTTCATTTTTTTGATGTTGAGCTTTAGATCATATTTTGCGCTCTCCTCTTTCACCCTCATTAAAAGGTTATTTAATTCCTCCTCACTTTCTGCCATCAAGGTTGTGTCATCTGCATATCTGAGGTTGTTGATATTTCTTCCGGCGATCTTAATTCCGGCTTGGGATTCATCCAGCCCAGCCTTTCGCATGATGAATTCTGCATATAAGTTAAATAACCAGGGAGACAATATACAGCCTTGCCGTACTCCTTTCCCAATTTTGAACCAATCAGTTGTTCCATATCCAGTTCTAACTGTAGCTTCTTGTCCCACATAGAGATTTCTCAGGAGACAGATGAGGTGATCAGGCACTCCCATTTCTTTAAGAACTTTCCATAGTTTGCCGTGGTCGACACAGTCAAAGGCTTTTGCATAGTCAATGAAGCAGAAGTAGATGTCTTTCTGGAACTCTCTAGCTTTCTCCATAATCCAGGGCATGTTTGCAATTTGGTCTCTGATTCCTCTGCCCCTTCGAAATCCAGCTTGCACTTCTGGGAGTTCTCGGTCCACATACTGCTTAAGCCTGCCTTGTAGAATTTTAAGCATAACCTTGCTAGCGTGTGAAATGAGTGCAATTGTGCGGTAGTTGGAGCATTCTTTGGCACTGCCCTTCTTTGGGATTGGGATGTAGACTGATCTTCTCCAATCCTCTGGCCACTGCTGAGTTTTCCAAATTTGCTGGCATATTGAGTGTAGCACCTTGACAGCATCATCATTTAAAAATTTTAATAGTTCAGCTGGAATATCATCACTTCCACTGGCCTTGTTATTAGCAGTGCTTTCTAAGGCCCATTTGACTTCACTCTCCAGGATGTCTGGCTCAAGGTCAGCAACCACACTACCTGGGGTGTACGAGACATCCATTTCTTTCTGGTATAATTCCTCTGTGTGTTCTTGCCACCTCTTCTTGAATTTAGGTATTGTAGCTTGTGGTTAATAGCTTCTAGTCCCCTCCCCTGCCCCCATAATGGGGGTCCTTTGAAATGCTAACCATCCTAATTATGTGTCAGAATGGAAAATCGTAGACCTATTTTTAGCACTTAACCTTGCTCAACTTTCCCTTTCACCTTGGTAAAAGGTATTCAGGAGTGAAAACAATATTTTCCTTGCTTTTAAAGCAGCAGGAAACTAAACAGAAGCAGTTTGCTTGTGTGTTTTGGTCACAGTTCAGCTGTCTGTAAAATCAACATGTACGTCATTTAGCTGACTTCCTCTGTGTTACAGTGTGGGTGTTTTAATGCTTTTTATTTAGACCTTCCTGTTATAAATAAGGTTTTGAAGCTCAACTGTGTGAAAAAACGTTAATTTGCATAGTCTTGTCTGTGTGCGGTAAAATAACCAGTGGTATAGAGCTGTAGTGTTCAAAGCTGTACCTTTTTTAAAAATAGATTACTTACCTGCCCTTTACCACAAGGTCCCAAGGCAGTTTACAATAATAAAAGGCACAATTATAGAACAAAGAAAATAGATACAATGGTGAAACCAGAAAAGTGTAAAAATAATTAAAAAACAGCTTCACATATAAAAATAGTTTAAAAGTGTTCCAGTACAGATGCAGTCTGGAATAATGATCTCTACTTAGCTAAAGGTATCCCTCTGACACATAGATTTGCAGGAGGTCTTTTCATAGGAGATCACAAGTAGAACCTGTAAGAAAATGTTGTTGTGGGGAGCTGTTCAGGGTTCTGGCCATTTCATTCCCCCTGCCTTGATTTTCAGCCCCCCTCCCTAACAACAGTCAGTGCCTGCTGAGCATGTTCAGTCCTCGTTGGGCCCTTTTTGGGAATTCTCCCCAATTTAGGGGTCCCCTCCCAAAAAAACCCCAGTTCTTTTAAAATACTTTTTCTTGTGAATGTGTTGGTGGGAGTTTGTAGGAGTGTCAGTGGGCAGAAGTCTTGTGTCTGAAGACTCTCCTGCCAATTCCCTCCCCCCTTTCCCTCCCCATGTACTTAACTTCTGACCTTGGAATCTGGATGAATTAAAAACAGGTCAAAATCAGCCAAGGTAGCGATAGTAATTGGCAGAGGAGAATTGGCACAGCGGGAGAAGGATTAAAACATCTGCCTGCAAGTGCCCTCACTCTGCACTTGCCTTCTGATACCTATTATTTGTTATTTTGCAATTGTTCCTCATTGCTCTTCAGTGCCATGGAAAGGGGTCCACTTGGGTCTCCCAGGTTAGGGAGTTCCACAACATGGGCACTAAAACTGAAAATGCCAGCCAGCCTTCTGTTGATGTCAGTGAGATGCAAAGCAGGGCCTCTGACTATGACTATGAGGGTGGGTGGTCTGGCTGCTTATGTAGGAAGGCTGCCCTTTGAATACCCTGAGCACAGACAGTTCACTGGGGCTGATGCTTGCCATTGTCCAGCATTATGCTAATATATGGGCACCACACCTAATTAGAAAACTTAATGAGACACAATCTTTTTTGGAAGAAGTCCCACTGAGTTCCATGGGACTTGTTCCCAGATAAGAGAGAGAATGTGTATTTGTAGGATTGCAGCCCAATAATAACTTCTGGCTCTGTTGTCAGGAGCTGCAGATCTGAAGCAGAGAAAGAAGCCGAGCAGTACAGAAGCTGAAGGAAAAGCTCCTGAAGAAAATGAGGAGGAAACGAAAAAGTCAAAAAAATGTAAGTTGTGCCCTTTTTTTTTAACGTGGCGCTCTACTTCTTTCATTGTAAAATCATGTATATGGGTTAAGATTTTCTCTGTGTTGCAAATTCACTTTGCAATTCTTCTGTTGCACCACATGAAAATCTTTACATTGAGGGGGAAAAACTTGTGGCTGCAGCACACTGTAATAGTGCAGCCTTGTACATCAACATGCAAAAGTTTCTCTAGCCTGTTAAAGAATAAAATACTAGCCTACTACAAAACTAGGAGCCTGCATTTCTGTGCTGGCTGTGGAAGAGAGAAGCCTTCTTCTTTGAGACCAGCAGGGAAAACACATATTATCAAACCTCTTAAACTAGTAAATGATATTTGATTTCCAGTAATTGACTGCTAGTTTTGGGCTAGCAGTCAATTACTGCAAGTGTGGACCATTTTGTCTCTTCTCCATGGAACGACTGCCAAGCAAAAGGCTAGGCTGTCTTAGTGGTTGACTCTGCAGTTCATGCTGGTTTCACAGTTACTCTTCTGCAAAGCAGTCACGTTCGTGCATTGCTTCCTTTGCCTACAGGCGTACTGCTGATGGGCCATCTACATGAGAAATGTACAGTAGCTAGAAACGAAATCAGTTTATGCTTTTCCCTAAAGAACTCCGAGAACTGCAGTTTCCCCTTAAATAATGCTCCAGTTCAGTCTGGGTGGCAAGCTCTGTCTTCAGTGAGAGAAGCTTCCCTGGTTAAAGTTCTTCTGCCCATTTCAGCAGCTTACAGAGTGGTGGAAATGATGGTTCTGCTGGAGCATCTAAGCCGGAGTCCGCAGAGTTGGAGGGTGATGACGTGACTTCCTCAGGCCACAGAGGTGTTGACAGAATGGACTCCTTCTGCTCTGGAGGTTCTGGGGAACGGGAAACCAGTGTGTCTCGCCCCCTGTGAACAGTTCCCTGTTCTTCCTTCAGTTCTTCCTCCAAATCCTCATCCCCCAAAGAGGGGAAGGTCATGGCATTGGACGGCTTAGACCAGGACACACTCCTCAGGAAGCTAGATAGGAAAAACAGCAACAGGAAATTCCAGATTGAACTATATAATGACTAAAGTATATAATGGCACTACCCACACAGCGGTTTGTAGCTTCTGTGTGTTGTTGGAAACTCTTGATCAGGTCACTGGAACTGGCTGATATGAGAATACGGGATTAGGCGGACCATTGGTTTGGCCTTGAAAGCTTTGTTCTTTGTGCTCAAGACCTAGAGCTTCCTGGTGGCTTCATGTGACATTCCTAACATTCCTTTACAGATGTCTTCATTCCACGTTTCGCAAAGCTTTTCTTTGGCTGTCTTGCAGCAGTCATAAGTGGAATGATGTATGCCATGTACCTTTCGACATACCATGAGCGCAAATTCTGGTTCTCTGGCAGGCCGGTAAGGAAATAGAATCATAATTACAAACAATACGGAAAACACACTATCTTTACCTTATTCAGAAGAGAGGAGTCTCTAGCCCTTGGGTTGAATGTGGCCCTCTCAGCCTTTCTGTCTGGCCCTCAGAACTTCCTCCAGGCCATGTCCCCTTTCCCCCCTTCTCTGCACCCTTTATTGGGCTGGTCTGAACTTGAAGTGTGATAAAGCATCTTGCGTACTAGGACGGGTGGGTACAGACACCTTTCTCTACTGGAAAAGGGCTTCTACCAGATGGAGTACCAGTATCAAGATAGTTAGGCTGTCATAAAGGAACATAAAGGCAGCTCTTTTTAGCTCATAGATACTCCAGATTAATTCCCATTATTGTGGTGAACAAGTGTGCTGTTGCAATTGCCAGAAGCTGCAACTGGAGTTTTGTGCTGCCCCAGGTCTTTTCCATTGAAATATTTTTCACAGCCTCTGTGCAAGGAGGAGGTGTTTTTTGTTCTTTTGCTGTGTTTTACTGTTGGCTTTTAAATCTTGTTAACATTTTGTAGTGAGCCACTCGTGGAAGTTCATTGACAAATAGCTCAATAAATCTTATAACTATTATTGGGTGATATCCAACATTCATCAATAGAGCAGACCCATTGAAATTGTTGGACTTGTCTGCACTCAGTTTGCTGTGAGTATGACTTAGTTGAATATCACCCATTATTGCTGTTAGGATTATTAATGAATGGAAATGACACTCCAGTCGAACTTCCCCCATGATTTATTACAGATGTATCGTTTCTCATTGGATGGTTGTGTCATCCAGGCAAATGAATATAAAATGAGAATATGATTTTGGTTTTTTTATTTTGGTTTTCTAGGAGCTTGAACGAGAAATCACATTTCAGGGTGATGGTGCCATTTACTACTCATTTTACAAAGACTTATTAAGAGCTCCCTCCTTTAAAAGAGGTAAGACACATACATTTATTAAATAGCAACTGAGACAAAATCAGAAAAGATAGTACTGAGTAGCTTCTTGGGATGGAGGAGAGAAAGCATGTAAGCTTTCAGACTACACAAAGCTGTTGCACAGGCTTATGTAACTCCGTTTGCACATCTTCTTATCAATGCAAAGTTGGTTCATCAAAGCTTCCACTTGTGTATTATATCCCTTGTTCTCCGGGATAATCTATTTCTAATCCTATTAGGCCTTGTGGTCTGGAAACCCTAACCCAGTGGTCAGGCAAAGGAGAACTATGGACCTGATCTGTTCCCCTACAGGAGACAGCTGAGAATCCCCTGTGAGCCACAGAACTTCACTCCACCATCAAAAGCTCTTTTCCCTGGATTGTGCTGCTAGCTGTAGAGTAGAGCAGGGCCTGCGCTGCTAATGAATTGTAAATAAAGAGCTAGATTTCAGGACAGGCGCAATGAAGCTTGCACACTGTGTTGTTCAAGAAGCTGCAGTGTTCACTGCATAGTGGCAAAGCCAGAGGCTGCCTGTCAAATTCTTCAACAGGAGGCAAATGCAGGCTTTGTAGCAGGACTAGTTCTGGAAGGGAGTTACTAGCCTCCCAAGCAAATGGGTGTAGATGCTCTCCAATACATGTGTCTAACCTTGCTTGTTATGTTATGAAATGGCATCTAGCAGCTTTTCACAAAGCACATTATCCTGAAGGCTATTCCTATATTTCACCCCATGGAGATGCCCTATGCCTTTGCAAGTAGCCTCCGCAGTAATCCTGTTCCAGCATTTAGGGAATGGCAACACAAGTAGCGGATTTGGCAGGCACACATCAGTCCTGCCTATGGTGTTCCATCTATTCCATCCACCTCCAATCCTCTCTTGTTCGGCAGGAAGGTCTGCATTCAACTGAACATGCTTAGAAGCCTCCCAATAACTGGGAATACTGTGCCATCTGCGGTCCCAGTTGCAAGGAGACTTCAGAGCCTGCTCAGCCGAATACCCTTTGGACCTTCCTACTCAGTGCGGGAAGGGTGGGGCCGCGCATGCAAGGGCATTGGAGGGCGAGACTAGTTGGCCTGGCCTCAACTCATGTAGATGTTCCATTCTTAGGCATGACTCCTGAACAGGGCTCAAGTTGCAGAAATCAAACATGGCAGAACTCTTCCTTTTGTTGATTTTGAGAAATTGCATAAATAATGCTGGCATCCCTTCCTCCCACCCAAATCTCATTCTCAGGCGTTAATCAATTAACCCACGACAACAGGACTCTTTCGCTGAAGACCATGAATGTCGTGCGGCAAATGACGTTGTATCCAGAATTGATCGCCAGCCTCTTATACCAAGCATCTGGCAGTGAAGTATGCTTTGCCCCTCTCTTGTTTCTTTACAGTCCTGGGGGATAAGTAGTTGGGAAGCGTGCTGCCCTCAAAGCAAGCAGCTTGTTTTCCTCCAGAGCATTATTTGTGTATCCAGACGCTCAACAGATATGTGGTGAGCTGTCGGAGGACTGCTACACTGTGCACTGAGGGTTCTCTGTGTGCCCAGAGAAAGTGCAACCCCCTCTGTGTGTAATCAGCCCCTTAGTTGAGACCTGGGTGTGGGGTCTCAGTTAATGGAAGCACCCCTAAGAGTAGTTTGAGTAGTGTAAGGAAGTCCATATCCTATATTTTGAAAAGCTGAAAGCTGCATGGCTGCAGTTTATTGCTATGAGGGTTCTCAATGACCCATGCAAATAGCCTTTGCCTTTGCTCTATAAAGGGGTTCATGTTTTGCGGCAACAGTAAGGTGCTGCTGCTACTCCCCACCCCCAGTTATTATCTTCCATCAGCTTCATGGGCTTCTCTTTCCATTTGTGAATTTCAAACAGTGCTTTATTGTTGTAACTCAGCTGCTAGTATTGCGTGTTTGAAAATATTTATGCCTTTAATTTTCAGGAGGTTATTGAGCCAGTATATTTTTACATTGGCATAGTATTTGGACTGCAGGGGATCTATGTGACTGCGTTGTTCGTAACCAGCTGGCTAATGAGTGGGACTTGGCTGGCAGGGATGCTGACTGTCATCTGGTTCATTATTAACAGGTAAAGCAAATCTTTACTACCCACCCCACCCCATAATTTGCTGTTCTTTCCCTGCCTTGAACTGAACAAGCAACTGTATTCCTAATTCTTTCTTTTCCTTTTCCCTTCTACGCTATTTCCAAAGGGAACTTTTATGAAAGTTTCTAGTTGCTGATGTATAACACTACCAGGAAAGGTTCATTCTGTAACTGGAAATATTATAAGAGCGGGAAATGGATCATGTGAATAAGAATTGGTTATGGCCTTTCACACATGCGCGCGCACACACCCCATACTTTTTGTCCTGTGGTTTTTGTTGGTTACATTTGCATGTTGGGCTTTAAATGTCTGGAAAGTGTCTTGAAGCCCATCGTACGAAATTCTCTGTGGAGAGGTTATAGGCATATGGATTCCTGATGGAGCTTGTCGCTTTCCACATGCCCTTTCATGACGGGGCAAGGTATTTAATTATTGTATATGTAGTTTATACTCCAATTTGTGGCTATACTTTGTGCTGTTTTGTTGTTTATAAAATCAAATACATATACATCTGAGAGGGAAAGAACCCATTGCATAGACCATTGCTTTTGCAGTATTGCTGTTTAAAATTTAGAAATCGAAATGTTATTGTAAAAGCTCATTGTCCTTGCTTTCATTAGAGTATGCTTCTATTTGTAGAAGGCAGTCTTTCCCAACCAGGTATTTTGGCCTGCAGCTCCATTCAGGCCTATTGGCCGTGCTGCCTGGACCCAATATGTGTTGTAATCTAGAGGGCACCAGGTTGGGTTAGGGTGAAAAATGACATCTAGGATTAAATAGCAAGGCTATTAATGATCAGTCCCCCAAAAGTTCTAATCCCTAAAAACTCCAAGGCTCTTTATTATGGTCAGTGACTAATATTCAGAAAAAAAGTCATACAAATGAATATACAAAAGAATACCAAACAAAACAAAATAGAGAACCATTACAATAAAAAACAAAATAGAGAACCATAAGTGTCGTATTATAAAATGCCCGGCACAGAGAACAAAATTATCAATTTGCTAAAATTAGTCTCTGGAGAGTTTTACACGCAGCAGCACAATATTGAGCCATCCTGGAAGAGATGGATGTGTTCTTATCAGAAAGGAGTAAAATAGCATTAAATGCATCCAGTCGTTCTGGGAATTTCCGTTTGAAATGGGTCAATAAAAACCATGCATATCACAATAGAAGGAGCAAGTTATCGATTCCACCTCTCCAGATTTGCAGGGACATTTACATTGACCACAGAGGATTTTTTAGAACTTCCCTTCCAAAACTGCCGATCGCTTAAGGCTTTATTGCTGTTACGTTGTTTCTGTCAAGAGCAATAGTCAAGCCTATATTTATGTTCTAAAGTAACCTGTATATTTTAATGGGTCGTCCCTGTATGTTTTCCAGGGCAGATACCACAAAAATAGACTATTCTATCCCGTCAAGAGAAAATTGGGCATTGCCATATTTTGCTTGTCAAGTAGCAGCTCTTACTGGCTATTTAAAGAACAACATAAATCCTTCTTCTGAGGTAAGATGAAGATGTTTTCAGTCAAAATATAATAGTATAAATAGGCTGATCAAATTTGAGAATCTTGATCCAGCAAACCATTTCGGGCCAGGGGCTGAATGTGGCCCTGCAGGCTTCTGTGTTTGGCCCTCTGAACTCTCCCCAGGCCACCCCCCCTCCATAAACACACTTTCTACTGGCATTCCTTCACATCTTGAGTACTTTTGCCTGGCTGGCATGTGTCCTTAAACCCAGATAATGCATTATTGTTTCCGTGGATGGAGGATAAGAGAGGAGCGTTCATACCATACGAAGGTTTAAATTTACATGAATTGCTCTGCCCACTCCCCTGGCCCAATCCAGCGCTGCCATGTGGCCCACGGGAAATTGCCCAGAGGCAAATGCAGCCTTTTGGCTGGAAAGGGTGCCCCAACTCTGCTTTAAAAAATGAGATGGTTTTGCCTAAGGAAAAATGTAAAGGACCAAAAAAACATTCATTTTCGAGAACTGTTAAGGCCTCTTCTTCTTGCTACTATCATATTAAGAATAAAAATGCATTCAAGAGTTATGCAGGATTAAGATGGAATGCCAGTTACTGATACTATATATTTTTTCCAATCTTGCTTTGTATGAAAATAAGTACATGGTGATTAAGATGTCTTCCCTTTCAATTCCCCCAGAGGTTTTGCTACCTGTTGGTGAGTGCTTCAACCTACACTTTCATGATGATGTGGGAGTACAGTCACTATCTGCTGTTTGTCCAGGCTGTGTCTCTCTTCTTGTTGGACACTGTGGGTTTCACGCAGACAGAGAAGGTATTTTGGCACTTGAAACTTACCAATTTTAATACCAGTTTAATTGCTAACTTGTTGCTCTTCCCCTCTCCTTTTGCCTGCCTTCTAAGCCTGTGAACTGTTCATTCTGCTAACAGGCACAGATAAAAGGCGGGCAGAAAAAGTTTAAATATAGAGGATGGTTGTTTCTTGCAGCCGTGATCGCCTGTTGCTTTGAGGGTCAATACCTTTTTGCTTTTCCCTTCCGCAGGTACATGAAGTGTATAAGGTCTACCTCTTTTCTCTCTTTCTGGGATACATGTTACAGTTTGAGAATCCAGCTCTGTTAGTGTCTCCACTCCTCAGCCTTGTCGCAGCGGTGCTGCTGGCAAAATACCTCCAGGTAATAATTGGGAAATCATTTGGTGGTTTTACCTCTGCCTGTACTGCTGTTCTTTTTCTCTTTCTCTCTAGCAGAGGTAGTGAATCTTTTTAAAACCTGAGGTCTGTGTTCCACCATGGACAATCTTCCATGGTCTCTTTGTCATGGACGGGCTGGATACAGTGGAATGGTGGGAGGAACCAGCTGGGGAACCCCCAAGGGAAAAAAGCCCAGAGCCCAGGGATTGGTGTTGGGACAACAAAGAGTGGTCAGAGGGAGAAGAGGGAGCAGACTGGGAGAAGGAGGTGTCAGAAGCTGAAGAGGTAACAGGATTTAGTGAGCAGTAAGAGCTTGTGGCAGAGAGAAGTCCAGAATCAGAAGCAAGAGGCCAAGAGGCAGAGATGTGTCAGGCTGGTGAAGAAGCCAGGATGGTTCCACCTCCGGCTGCGACAAGCTCCCCTCCCCTTTGGTTTTCCAGAACCAGGAGAGGTATGAAGTGAAAGGAGCAAAGGCAGGCATGCCGGCATAGTCTCAGATGGCTTGGGAAAGACCCGGGAAAGGAGGAGACTTAGGCAGCTGTGGGAAGGCAGGGACATTCAGAAGAGTTGCTGTGGTCATTAGGCCTGGCGCTACTGAGCAACCCTTGTTTCTTCTAACTCCTGACATCTCTGCATGTGGGGCATGAAAGGCCCAAAGTGGGTGGGGTCTGAGGCAAAAGTGGGCGGAGCAACCTAAGTAGGATGCATCCCAGCCATGAAAAGGGCAGAGTGTTCTGTAACACAACACGTCTCTCCGTGCAGGCAAGCGAGGTCAGGGACACATTCCAGTCAGGCAGAAGTGCTTGAGGAGAGTGTAGAGAAGGGCAGGCGAGGGCCATGGTTTAGGAAGTAGGGGGTGGACGTGGCCTGAGTGGGTTCTGAGAGGCATGGAGGGCTCCATTTGACCCACAGGCCTGATGTTCCCTGTCTCCCTCCTCTATAAGAGCCAGTGTGCTGTGGTGGTTAAGAACGGTAGACTCGTAATCTGGTGAACCGGGTTCACGTCTCCGCTCCTCCACATGCAGCTGCTGGGTGACCTTGGGCCAGTCACACTTCTCTGAAGTCTCTCAGCCCCACTCACCTCACAGAGTGTTTGTTGTGGGGGAGGAATGGAAAAGGAGATTGTTAGCCGCTTTGAGACTCCTTCGGGTAGTGATAAAGCAGGATATCAAATCCAAACTCTTCTTCTTCTTCTGTAAAGTTAATACTTCCTTGTCTGTTTTTTAGATGAATACAAAAAAGGGGACGCTTCTTTCAAGGATGCTGAAAGTCATTTACTTTTATTTGGTATTCACAATAACAGTGACTTTGAATTTTGTAGTGAAGGTAAGATTTTATTTTTATTTTTTAAAATTAATCATACAGGATAATGAAAGCATTTGTTTGTTTTTGGATGTTAGTTGCCTAGGGAAATAATAATAATCTTGAAATTCCTCTTCCTGCTGTGCTTTTTCTTTTTCTAATGGAAAAAGGTAGTGGATAGAACTGGTAAAGAATTAACCCATCTTTTGAAACACTCAACATGGCTAAGTTTTTTTTGTTTTTAAAAAAATCTTCCAGTAGAAAATGTGATGCTGCTAACTGAAAGATTGTTTATCTCTTGCGGTTGCAAATGTTTGTCAGATGTAGCAACGGTCTGTCTCAAAAGTGTGGTGCTAACATACAATTTCCTTTCTGTTTGTTTTGCAGACTTTTATTCCCCATAAAGAAAATGAACATTTAATCAAAGTGCTTGAAGTAAAATTGGGTTTAAACATTACTAAGTAAGTCTGAAGTGATATTTTGTAAAATGCAAGGAGTTGTACATTACGATCACTGGAGGAGAGCATAGCGTCTGTTTGAGAATCTTATCAGCTCTAACCCAGTGGCAGCTGTCCAGGATCACTAGCAGAGCTTTACACACTGAGATGGGGAGTACTTGTCATTACTTGATTTTCAGTATCTTAGGGAAGGTTGATGAAAATGCCAGCCCAATGTGCAGCTGTTGTGAAAGACAAATTCAGTGTTGGGAATCATTTGAAAATAAAGCTGCCGATACCGTAATGCGACCACATTTGGAAAACTGTATACTGTCTGGTTGCTGCACTTCTAAAGGGATATTGTCGAGCTTTAAAAAGTGCAGAAAAAGGCAGTCACAATGGGCTGAAGCAACTGGAAAGATTATAGCATTTGGAGCTCTGTAAAAAGCATGGGAAGGGAATGGGGACATGATAGAGGTGCGTAAAATTCTGCATGGCGCTTGGAGAAAGTGGACAGAGTTTTTTCTTCCTCTCATGATGCTAGGAGCTGGGGTAATCCAATGGAGTTGAACGATAGCTGTTCCAAACAGAAGGAAGTGCTTTTTCACGCAACACACTAAGCTATGGAGTTCACTACCACAGAATTTGGTGAACGCCAGCAATTTGGTGAACAGCTTTAACAGGGGTTTAGAAGAGCATATGGAGGATAAGGCCAACGTAGCTGCTGTCTGCCACCTCTGGAATCAGAGGCGGTATGGCTCTACATACCTGTTGCTGAGGGTCACGGGCAGAAAAGTGCAATTGAGCTCATGTCCTGCTTGTGGGGAGAAGCAAGTCACCCAGTAGGGTGGAGCTGCAGTCTTAGCTTCCCAGCAACAGGGTTGCTGCCACTTAACTGGGAGAAGGGGAGGCAGGCACCGTGGCAGGAGCACCAGATAAGATTGGCGTGGTGCAAAAGCACCAGCGGAGCCATTCTGCCTAGAAAGCAGCACTGCCTTTGCTTCTGGGCTTCCCATAGACATCTGATTGGCCACTGTGGGAGCAAAGTGCTGGAGCAGACAAGTCTTTGGTCTGATCCAGCAACTGGGTGATTAACCATATTAGAAAATGCAATTGATAGGGCTTATACTGACTGGCTAAGCTCATGACTGCCCCCCCACTTTTTTTGCAATTTATAGAAACTTCACAATCAACTGGCTGCTTTGTCAAGAGTCCCTTCAGACACCATCCCAAGACTTCTTTCTGCGACTCACTCAGTCCTCACTATTGCCTTTCTACATTTTAGTGCTAATCATTTGCCTTGTGTCTGTTGGCCAGGCCACCTTCAGGAGAATTAGGTAAGGTAACTTCTCTCTGTTCTCAACCGCATGGTCCGTGGCTTGTTTATGACCTTACGTGTTAGTTGCTGCATGTAATGGATGTACCTTCAACAGCAAACACCAGCTGCAGAACAAGAACTTCCAAGCTGGAAAAGACTGTTTTTGAGGTAGTACATATAACTTCCCCTGCCTTTGCTTATGACATAATATACGATGCATGCATATCTGTTTGCATTTGAATGCCTAACCCTCTTCTGTTTTTCCATCTGAAAAAATTGTCTAGAATAGTAGTATAAATCTGAGCTGTTGCATGTAAAGGTGTGATTGTAGGCAAGTACGTGCTGCACACGACATAGAATATATACCACCCTTAGCTAACCCTGGTGCCCTTGGAGGTTTCTGACTACAACTCCATCAGCCCCAGCCGGCATGTGCTGGAAAACATCAGGTTGGCTAAGGATGGTGACATTACGGTGGTGACATTAGTTCACTGCCCACCATCATGCCTAGAGTGCTTCAGCATTGGAAGCTGTGTGAATCTGCTCAAAGACTGAGCTGAAAGAGATTGAAATTGTCATATTGGATATGTTTAATGTTTTAATTGTAGCTGCTTTTGGGTAAGCAGTGGCTGTGCTGAATAAAGATACTGCTGCAAAAAGGGTTGGTGGCAGGGCTGGGGGGAATATTTCAAGAGGAGGGGGAACTTAAGAGGTCTGTTCTTGGGTTATTGTAAGGCTTTAAGTTGATATCATGGAATGGTTGGAAGAATGGTTGGAGGAACCACCTGGGGAACCCCCAAAGGAAAGAAGGCTCAGAGCCCAGAGAGGAGTGGTGGGGCAACAATGAGCAGTCAGAGAAGAAGGAGGAGACTGGGAAGAGGAGGTGTCAGAAGCTGAAGATGTAACAGGGCTTAGTGAGTAGGGATATTCTGTGGCAGAGAGCAGTCCAGAATCAGGCAGAAGCTGAAGCCTGAGAGTGGGAGGCCAAGAGGCAGAGATGAGTCAGGGATTGGCTGGACGAAGAAGAGTGGTGGCAGCCAGTAGACCAGGAGGTACCCGAGGGGGAAGGGGACTTTGAACTAGGTTTGAGACTTGTGGGACAGGGAGAAATCATCAGCAGAGAATGAGGGTGAATTGAGGTAGCCACAGACATGGATAGAGGAGCAGGGACTGTGTCTTCTCTGCAATACAGTCCTGGTTCAGCTCCTTCCCCTCCTCAACTCTCTGTGCAGGAATTAAGGGTTGAGAAAAGGCTACAACAATTAAGAAAAGTTGAGTCGCAGTGAAAAAATGTAAGGAGGAGGGAGGTATAAATAAGGGGGAGAGAGGACAGAACTTTAGCTTCTGCAACTGACGTGCTTATCTGATGAGTGTGCTGTGTGCTAACTCATTTGTTACTGAGCAAAAAAGTTAATTGCTGCAAGCACTGTGCCTGGTTCCGCTTACAACGTCGGACAAAAGACGGAGGGGCTTTTCTGGCAGCCTGACCGGCTGGTGAAGAATCACAGGTGCCTCCCCCTCCTGCTGCGACAAGCTCCCCTCCCCCCCCAGTCTCCCAGAACCAGAAGAGGTATGAAAAGGGCGGAGGAGAGGTTGGCTTCATGCAGGAACAGTCTCCGATTGATTGCTTGGGGAAAACCCTGGAGAGGAGGGACTTTCAGCCTCGGCATCTGATCCATGGGGCAAGACTTAAGAGTGGTGGGCTGCTGTGCTCAATAGGTCTGACGCTCTGCCAAATCTTTGCAGATCGTGTTCTTGCTAAAAAAAAAGGTTAACTTCAACTTGCATGGTGTGATTTAATGCAAGCTTACTTCTGACAAATGAGCATAAGGAAGAGCCCCATCTCAGGGCTTGATATGGACTGCTTAGTTGTCTATGGTTTTTCTTTGTCTTTGTCTTCCACATGCTGCAGTGGTGAACCAGTCAATGACACAGGGAAGCTTGAGGGCGGGAGGATTGGAGAAAGGCCAGAGGTTGTGTACCATGTACTTCACACACTTTCGCTGGGATTGCTTGCAATGATGATGGAAGGGTGAGTTTGTCTAGGTTTGTTTTCCCTGGAAGTGGCAAGGAATTACTCTTAACTTGCTTTCATTTCTTTCTGGGTGGGGATGGAGGAACTCTTTCAGACAAATATATGTGCTTGGATCAAAATGGGCTTCAGTTGCAGAATCAGATTTTAACTGCAGAATAGGGCTATCTGCACCCTAGGAAATAGAGGCAAGAAGACCCCTCGGACAGCGTGACATTGCATGATTGAATAGGATTCTTATGGGTCTGCGAGGACCATTATGTACTCCTGCAGCCTCTGGAAGTACTGTTCTATGAAAGCAGCTTCAAATACCTACTTTGGATGCCTCAAACAGGCTTAGAAATGGGTTTGAGTCTAAAGAAAGCCCACATAGAAGTAGTTTGCTGAAGGACACAGAGAAATTGCTGTAGGTTTCTTTGCAGTCTTCAATGGTGTCTTTTTGAGTTCTAGATGTTTACAAAGCTTTTCGCGAAGGCACTTGGAGATGGTAGTGGGATTGGATGCTGTAGCAATATCTCTTGAACAATGTATGTAGGAACTCATCTCTTTATGGATTTGCATGGTGGTTTTCTAGAATGAAGTACGTGTGGACTCCCTATGTTTGCATGATTGCTGCGTTCGGTGTCTGCTCTCCAGAGCTCTGGATGACTCTATTCAAGTGGCTCCGACTGAAGGCTGTGCACCCTATTTTGCTGGTGAGTTCCTAGTTCTAGTTAATTGTATCCATGGAGGAGCTGTGTGCATGCCATCTCCACCCGCAACCTTTCCCCCACTGCATGGGGGAGAAAGCCTGAAGGGGAATGATAAGCATGTGCAGCTGAATCTGCTTTCAGTCATCCCCAATGATCAGGAACTCTGCGCACTGGATACAGTGCCTGTTCTATGACAATTATCTCTGGTCCTGGCATAATGTAAGTATAGGATTGCTTTGTTAAGCTGATTAACCGACAGTACAGTGGTACCTCGGTTTACGAACTTAATTCATTCCGGAAGTCCGTTCTTACACCAAAGTATTCTTAAACCGAGGCGCACTTTCCCTACTGAGGCCTCCTGCTGCCGGTGGCCTTCCACAGTTCGTCTTCCCGGGCAAAGTTCGCTAACTGGAACACCTACTTCTGGTTTTGCGGAGTTCGTCCACCGAATAGTTCGTTAACAGGGCTGTTCATAGACCGAGGTACCACTGTATTATTTAGAACTTTTCAGTGCAATCCTGTACACGCCTACTCAAGGTAAGTCCCATTGAATCCAATGGGACTTCCCTCCATGCAAATGTGTGTATATTACTGCAGTCCCAATGAGTGAACTGTAGTGATAAGAAGGTATCTGTGCTTGCATAGTTGAGCACTTAAAAGAGCAAATCTTTTATGGTGTGTCTGATTGATATTTCAGGCTCTTATCCTGAGTATGGCAGTTCCAGCTATCATAGGCTTCAGCTTGTGGAAAGAGGTAAGATAATATGACGCTCCCATTATTACTAACAGCAGTCAGCATTATCCAGTTGGAGTATTGGTTGAAGGGGACTTGACAAGGGTGAGCAGGTAGTTCATTTTCATGCTCGTGCAGTTCTCCAAATTCTCCATATATTGCTGTGTTTTGAGATAGGCTTTTCCAACATATCTCCTTGGCCAGAAATTCACAGCTAAAATGGCAGCAGCAAAAGTGTATGGCCACTAGGTAGCACTGTGAGTCTCAAATGCAGGCTTGGTTGGTTTGCTAAAGTAAATAAATAGAAATAAAAATGAATCTAGCCCGGTGATGAGGAACTCCTAAGAAAAACGAACACTTTATATTAACCAAACATTTTATTAATAAATTGTGGATAATTTTGTTGGGAGTATTTGAGTCAAAGGGATTCCTTTTTTCTTTTACTAATGCATTATGAAGAATAAAATGGATTCAATTTCTGTCCACTCTGATGGAAGCTAGCCTAATAGTGTAGCGAAGGGCTCTTGAGCATTGATGCTGCTGCGATTTGATAGTGAAGCTAGAAAGGTGGTTTTTAGTCTGATCCCCTGCATTATTTAAAGTTCTGTAATTTGTTTTCCCACAGTTCATAGCCTTGGTGCTTCCTTTTAGTTTTTTCCTAGGATAATGGCAGAACTTTCAGAACTTCAGGAGTTTTATGACCCTGACACAGTTGGACTCATGACCTGGATCAAGTAAGCCATCCCGTTTTGTGTACTTTTTGGTGTTCCTCCTTAGTGCAGGATATTTTTTGTAACCTAAGCTGCAGTCAGTGCAGCGGTTGTTTCCCTCGCACATGCCTCTAGCCAAGCTCCATGTGGCCCTGCCACTCACCTTTTTGGGTTTGCACTCGGCACTTTGCCCGGTTGAAGAAACCTTGGTGAATTGAATGTGTGTGTTTTAACCCATCTAGATTGTATGTTTTGCTATTGGCAGCATTACAGCTGTGCAGGACCCGGTTCCTGTCAATTCCTCTATTGCGCAGCCTGGAGTGGTGTGATGTGTTGCGGCACCGCCTATCTTTTGCCTCAGACAGCTAGATGTCTTAGACTGGCCTTGCCTTCACTGCTGCATTTTGCACCAGCTGAAGTTTCCAAATATTTTCCAGAGGCAGCCACACACAGAGTGCCGTAAAGGTAAAGGGACCCCTGACCATTAGGTCCAGTCGTGACCGACTCTGGGGTTGCGGCGCTCATCTCGCTTTAGTGGCCGAGGGAGCCGGCGTACAGCTTCCGGGTCATGTAGCCAGCATGACTAAGCCGCTTCTGGCGCACCAGAGCAGCGCACGGAAACGCCGTTTACCTTCCCGCCGGAGCGGTACCTATTTATCTACTTGCACCATGACGTGCTTTTGAACTGCTAGGTTGGCAGGAGCAGGGACAGAGCAACGGGAGCTCACCCCGTCGTGGGAATTCGAACCGCCAACCTTCTGATCGGCAAGCCCTAGGCTCTGTGGTTTAACTCACAGCGCCACCCGCGTCCCTACAGAGTGCCTTATCATTCTCTAATCTTCATGGAACTAAAGAGTGGTGACTGTGTCCCAATACACCCTCTCTAGGAACAGGTGCCGTGAGCACTGCAGTCTTAAGCTGTGCAAGAGCACCCCTGGCTGTGGAAGCACAGACAGGTCCCAAGAGCATTTTCAGGCTGTACTATATAATTTTATAGAATTACATAAGTGAGGACATGGTTTCTCCCCCCCCCCCCCCGCAGAAGACAGGCTCCTATTGCTGCTGTGTTTGCCGGCAGTCCGCAGTTGATGGGCACGATCAAGTTGTGCACTGGCTGGATGGTGACCAATCTGCCCCTGTATAACGAGGAGGATCTGCAAAAGAGGAATGAGAATGTGAGTCATTTTTGCTTTGTACCATATTTAAAGGGCTTCTCACGTTTTGTAGCGTACGTTGAAATCTTTGCTGGGGATAATGTTTCTGTTATTCCCATTCCATAGGCGGGAAATGGAACCTAAACTTGCTCATGTATTTTGAGTACAAGCTGAGAAAGTTAGAAAGTTAAGTTCTTTCAAATCAACAGAAATTTAAACTCCACACTGTATTATTGTTGCTGAGGATTCTTCCAAGTGGAAATAAAAACCATTTAACTCAATGGGGTCTGGCGTAAGTCTGTGTAGGATTCAGGAGTAAAACTCACTGATTTTTACCATGTGCCTAATTTACACTCGATTGCACCCTTTGTTTACTGGCCTTAGTGGCTCTGACCCAAATATCTCTGTGGAGTTCAGTCTATGTTTTTTTGCCTCTATTTCCAATGTGGAAGTTGATCAGCCGTTTCACCCCTATAGAGAAGGATTCTTGAGGGTGACTGCTTTTGTTTGACACATGATGAAAAGTTTTGTTTAAAATTCTTGCATTAGAATTGTTTTCCCCCACCCCATTAATTAATGAATAAGGTTTTTAAATTTCGATTGCACATTTGAATCCTGCAGATTTTTCAGATCTATTCCAAAAGATCAGCTGAAGATATTTACAAGATACTCACGTCATACAAAGCCACCTATTTGGTTATAGAGGATTCCATTTGCAATGAGGTGGGGCCTGTGAGGGGATGCCGGGTCAAAGACTTACTGGATATTGCCAACGGCCATGTAAGTAGCACCTTGAGCTTCTGTCAAAATTCTTTTGCAAGTTTCCTTTTAGAAGGCATAAAGTTTCAAATATGATTATTTGAATATTATTCATCATAGAATAATTTAGTTGGAAGGGTCATCTAGTTCAATCCCCCTACAATGCAGGAACTAGGTCATACATGACACAGGTAGCTTGCATTGAATTTTCTCATATGGGATAATAGATTCCGTGCTGTTAATGAGTGGCTCCTACATTCTACAATATACTTTTAGAAAGAATTGTTGCTCTACAAATGAAATGTTCCTCTCTCTCTTTCTCCAGCACAGCTAGACTAGTGTTGTTGACAGTTTCGCAGATCATGAAATTAAGAATCGGTTAATGTCAGTCCTTTGTGTGCATTGAATTAAAATACACATTTTCCTTCTTTCTCCCCAGGTGTATTATGAAGAAAACGACAGCTATGGCTACTCTAAATATGGACGGTTTTGTCAGGAGATCAAAATGAACTATTCTCCGTACGTGAACTACTTCACTCGAGTATACTGGAACAGATCCTATTACGTATACAAAATCAACACTGTGATATCCTTCCAGTCCTGAGATGCCATTTTGAAGACTGACTTGAGTTGGCAGAATTCCTAAATGGGAAGAGGTCATTTACGAACGTACTTTTTTATATCCCATATACAGTATAAACACACACACACACACACATCCTTGAGAACATGCAAAACGGTACCTGACTGGAATACTGCGGACAGACTACAGAACAGCGAAAGAGAGAGATGCTGCAAGGCCATGCGAGTAGAATATGGACTGTCTTCCATATTTTAAAATACCTCTTCCCAGCTTTTCCAGTTTTAACCTTATTTTAATGTGCATTGATTTTATTTTTTATTGTTTATAGCAACTGCTGCCTTTAAGTAGTTTTATTTACATGGTTAAATATAAAAAAAGGAACGTGTAAACCTTCTGGGCATGATCCTGAAGCTATGCATATTTATCTGGGGTTGTGGGAGGATATTCAGTCCTTTTTGGAGCTGCAGGTTCCCACCATATTTTTTTAATGAATGGAAGTGGAGCAGGAGGGTTTGGAGATTGCTGGAAATTATTCGGGTTGGGTGGGGTATGAGTTGTATACAGGGTAGTGCTTGGCTGAGATTGATTCTTGTTAATCATGGTTGCTAGCTATGATCTGCTTTCTGGCAGATCTGCCATTGATCTTCAATGGGGCACAATTTTACCCCACGTTTGGTGAAAGACTGTATCCTAAGAAGGTAGCACACAGTGGATTACATGTCTTTAAAAAAGAAATCAGTGTCCCAAATAAGAGTTTACTCTTAATATGTACAATTTTCTTTGAAATGTGTAGATGTGTTTTAGGAATATACATCCAATATTATGATGGAGACCGTCTAATTGTTTCAAATATACAATTTAGTCCCTAAACAGGAAAGGGCTTGGAGAGATTTTGCAGATTTCAGCCACTTTGCAGAACTGTGCGTCTGCTTAAATATGATGGATGGGGTTAATCACTTTGATCTGGTTTTATAGCCTTGTTAAAAGTTATTTCTCGAATTGGATTTTAAAAACCACACACTGAAGACGAAGCTGATAACAACAGGTTGTATTTTGGGTTGTTTAAAAAAATTTAAATATTGTTATGGGACCTTAGTAATTTCTCTCCACGTATTTTATGCTGTTGTTCTTGGTAATTTTCTTTACTTTTCTGTCTGTGTCCCCCCCCATGTTTGATATTTATGGTCTTTCAAAAACAACAATCCTGAAGAGTTTTGTTTTTTTAAAGTGTAAGCTGTGAGAGCATTCCTTCTGTGCTTCACGGAAAGCCTTCTATCCACTGACTACAACTGAAATTCCAGATGTTGGCATTTTCATTCAAGGTACACAAACATGAGAATAACCAGGCAAAGCAGATTTAGTATGTGTATATTTTATTACACACATTATGTGTGGTACTCATTGCTGCCTATTTTATGCAGGTCAAACATTTTTTGAAGAGGAATTCATTATGAAGAACTCCAGCTCATAGAACTTAAAATCATATTGGTGTTATGATTTCTGAGAGGGTATATATTGTACTGCTGAGTGATTGGATGTAAAATGCCTTATGGCAGTAGCCTTGAGATGCATTCACTTCGACAATGTCTGTATCCGTGAGATTTTGTTTTAATGCCGCAGTCATTCTCTGTGTTCCTTTACAAATGCAATTATGCCTCTGCATTGAAAAAAATTCTGATGCTGCAATAAATTGCATCAGATTCACTTACCTTGAATTTACTGCAAGGGAATTTATGTTTCAATACTGTTTTGTACTGACTGAAGGGCTGCCTGTTTTGACATGTTTCCAGCATCAAATACTCCACCTCCCTTCACCAAGCACTGCTGTGGTGTAATCACCTTTGATTTCTATGAGACTTCCATGGAAATAGATGCAGGTCATGCAGTAACATCAATATGTCTGGCCAGCTCTAATACAATACCATTAATGGAGGTAAACCAGCAACCTCTATGGTAGTCTCTAATGTTCATGAATTCCACTCCTAATTATTGCACTTCTGCGCTGGCTGAATTACTTCAGCCCTAACAGTCTTGCTCAAAATGCAGTTATATCTCCGCTTCTGAAATGGGCTCCTTTTGAGTATTTACTCCAGTGCTGAGTAACTTTAAGCTTGTCCACATAGTTGAAGATGAGCTTGTTTTCCAGCCTGAAATTTTGTTTTATATGTTGTTTTGAGCATGCAGCGCATAAGCCCTTACCCCTGATTTTTAAGTAGTGATGTTGCTTACCCGTATCCCACTCCTCATGCTTGAAGAGAAATGAAATCCGATAGCTCTCAAGTTCCAGAAACTTATTACAGCAACAAGGGGTGGAAAGTGCCGCTTTGCTAATAGAGATGGAGGTACTCCACCTGGAAGTCCCCTGCATGCCTGTAGAGAAGAGGGAAACAGGACATGGTGGGAACAAGCACGTATTCCTCCCCACAGTAGCCAATGGGAAGGTAGAAGAAAAAAGCTACCCCTTGCCCTGTCCACGGCAAAATCTCGGGACAGTGGATGAGGACAGCTGCTATTCTCCCTGTCGCAAATGTACAGTAGGATTGCTCTGTTTTGTAAGCTTTCTCTGTGAGTTGTGGGACCTTTTGAAATCAGATCTGCAGCTGTGGAAGGAGGAGGTGTGGCTCTCATGGCCTCTGGTTAGATAAAACCTTTACAAACCGTGATAGTGTTTTTTCCCCTATAGAGAAAAAAGTAACAAAAAAATTAAAACTGCAAATCTAATGTTGGTTATTGGGCTAGCTGTTGAATAGCCAGAAGTGGGAGGTAGATGAGGTCTTTTTATTTTTATTTTTATTAGTTGTGCAAAATGCAGCATTTTCCTAACATTCCCTGAGGACTTTGAAGGCGGTATTTGGAAAGCTTGTAAGCATCACTCTAATTAAGTGTTTTTCGGGCATAACCTGTTATGGTTCTAATGAATGGAGAAATAACTAGTCCTTTAAAAAAAAAGCATTCAAACCTCTTGCTGTCGATGTTGCAGTCCAGTTGGAACATGTGCCTTGTAAACCTTTTTTTTATTATTAAAGAAACAAACTCTAACCTCTGCACATTTTGTTGATTCTTTATATGTCTACAATCCACAATTGAATTTCAGTAGGGACAAATGTCAGGTTCTACACTTAAGCAGGAAGAACTAGCTGCACAAATATAAGATGGGGGGACACCTGGATTGCCAGTACTATACGTGAAAAGGATCTAGGAGTTTTAGTAGACCACAAGCTTAACTTAACAGTGTGATGCAGCAGCAAAAAAAGCTGCTGCTATTCTAGACTGAAGTATAGTGTCCTAATCAAGGGAAGTAATAGTGCCACTCTATTCTGTCTTGGTCAGACCACACCTGGAGTACTGTGTCCAGTTCTGGGCACCACAATTTAAGAAGGATATTGACAAGCTAGAATGTGTGCAGAGGAGGGCAACCAAGATGATTAAGGGTCTGGAAACCAAGCCTTAGAGGGAATAGTTGAGGGAACTGGGTATGCTTAGCCTGGAAAAGAGGATACTGAGAGAAGATATGATAGCCATCTTCAAGTATCTAAAGGGCTGTCACATGGAGGAAGCATGTTTTCTCCTGCTCCAGAGGGTAGGACTGGAAACAAGAAAGGAGATTCCGACTAAACACCAGGAAGAACTTTCTGACAATAAGAGCTGTTTGACAGTGGAATGGACTCCCATGAAAGGTGACTGACTCTCCTTCCAGGAAGGTACATAGTCTGGGCCCTATGGAGCAGTTGCTGCAACCTGAGCCATAACCTGAGACTTCTGCACTGAAGGCGCTGCTGCGCTTTTCGCTTCAAGCCCCTCTTGGTTCTAGGAGACAGCGGGGAGGGGGAAGGTGGCCTACGGACCCGTCTCTTGGCTGAACTTTCTCCTCTTCTGCGGCATCTGGCGCGCCTTCCCCTGTCTCAAGTCTGCCCTGCCTTGCGGGCAGCGACACCCCCCAAAAATCACGGGTCATCGCTTCTGCAGAGTGATCTTACGCACAGAATCTGCATACACGTATAGGTTTGGAGAAAGCGCGGGCCGTTTTTTCACACCATCGACCCACACGGAACAAGTTTCTAGGCAAACGGATTCCGCCTCCTCTCATCCGATTGGCGGCTCTTGCGCGGAGGGCGGAGCGTCCGTCCCGTCCATCCCTCCACGTGGAGTCGGCGGTGCTGGGCGCGCAGTCTCGGGCTGCTGGAGAACTTGCCCCGTCTCCGGGAATCGCTCGGCGCCGCACCGAGGGGGAGAATGAGGGACTCGCCGGCCGGGGCCCGCCGATGGCTCCTCTTCCTCTGGCTGGCGGCCGGCTCGGGCGGCTCCCCGTGCCGCTGGCCCGCCTCGCCGCGCGCGCTCTGCTTCTATGGGCAGGTGCCCGAGAACAGCCCTCCGGGGACGCGGGTGCAAGGGCTGCGGGTGCCGCTGCGGAGGCTGCTGCTGCGGGCGCCGTCTCCGACGCCGGGAGCCGCCTGGGCCCTGGAGGGCGACGGCGCCTCGCACTTCGCCCTGCAGCTGCTCCCGCCCGGGGCTCCCCGTCGGCGGCCGGCGCTGCTGCTGCTTCTGCGCACGGCCGAGCGCTTGGACCGGGAGGCGCGTCCGCGCTACAGCCTGTGGCTGACGGGCCCCTCGAGGGCGGCGCTGCTGCTCCGGCTGCGGGTGCTGGACCGCAACGACCACCGGCCTCGCTTCCCGCCGGGCCCCGCGCCGCCCCTCGAGGTGGACGAGCTGGCGCCGCTGGGCTCCGAGGTGGCGCGCCTGCGCGCCCTGGACGCCGACGAGGGCGCCAACGCGCGCCTCACCTACCGCTCGTGGCCCGGCGCCTCTTCCGAGCCGGGCCGCCGCCTCTTCGTGGTGCCGCGCAGCGGGCAGGTGCTCACCGTGGGCTCCCTGCTCGGCCTGCGCCGCCTCAGCCTCTGGGTCTCGGCCCAGGACCACGGGCTGCCCCGGCCCTTGCGCAGCCCCGCCAGGCGCCTGGAGCTGGCCGTGAGGAAGAGGACGACGACGAGCGCCGTCCAAGGCGCTGCTCCGTCGCCGCGCAAGGCTCGCGCCCTGGCCGCCTCCTCCAGCCCCAGCTACAAAGTCCGCGTCCCCGTCGGGGCGCCTGCGGGGGAGCTCATCTTCACCGTCCCGGACACCCGCTACCAGGAGGCCGGCGGCAGCTGGTTCGAGATGGTCTCTCCGGCCGCGGCGGGGGCTTTCCCGGTGGAGCTGGACAGGGGCTCCGGCCGGCTGTCCCTCGTCCGGCAGCTGGAGAGGGGAGGCCGAACGGAGGTGGTGGTCAAGGTGCATCGCATAGACGGGCAAGGTGAGGCTGCCTCACAGGTGGGAAGCCTGCTAAGTCGTGGGGGTCTCTGAGCGGGTGCGGAGCAGATGCAGTGACATCTTAGGGGTTTTAATAAAAACAACAGGTATAAGCCAGTCCTTAACTTAAAGTATATCTTTTGGGGTTGTCGACACAGAAGTTTAAGGTAAACGCCACAGCGATGCAATAAGATTGAGAATAATGAAACCGTCTAACTATCTAAATGCAGCATATTCTAAAATGCTCGGGCTTGTTGCTGAATGGAACACAGTGTTAGGTGCCAGATATGGGTTGTGTGGTAAATTGTCCCACGTGGAGCCGGTCAGAGAACTGCTTTGCCACTAAGGCTGTTCTAGTTGCATAAGCAGCCCAAATGATTTCTTGGGATAGCAATGTTTTTGTGGTGCTGTGGGAGCAACACTGAAGCAGCATGTAGACTGAAAGATTGGTGCCTGCATTCATGTGATTATTTCAAAAGAGATGTTGGAGTTCACGGACTCATTCCCCTTTTAATTATTTTGATTTAAAGCATATATTGACTTGTGTGGGAGATTTCATACCTTAGAAATGCGTCAAGCCTGTAAAGAAACCTACTGAGCAGAAATTCTGCCTCCTAATTCTTCAGACTTGTGATACAGCTACTCTCCATAGATGAGTCTTGTCTCATGCTTCAAACTACACATCGTGCTCAAGTGTTCGTAATTTTGCTCAGCCTTTTTCTCAAAGGAAAATGGTCACAGGTCTGGTGGATGGGAAAGAGGTGATTCACTCTTTCTCCTTGGGCCATTTCTCCTGATGGGAAAAGTACACAATCCTTTCATGTTTTCCCTTTGGAGAGAAGAAGGACATGGGAGAGCAATATTTGATTAGAAAAATGGTTTGAGAGGCTCTTCCACCTCCTCCCTCATTTCTTTGTTTTAGATTGCAGCCTTCAGAGGCTGCTTCTTATTTTAAAAGAAAAAAAGTCGGGACAGGTAAACACAATGTCACGCTGTTTGATCCCAGGTGGTTTATTTTTCTTCAACTTTGTATTTTATAGTTTAGCTGTGTGAGTTCATCATTTGTAAAGATTTCAACAGTTTGGAGCAGAATATTGAGTTATGGTGCAAACATTCACAAGCAAACAAGACATGCTGAAGCACATTTCAAGCTGTACATCCTATTATCCTTGGCAAACAGTGTGTGGACTGAGGGATCCTTCCTAACCAATGTGAAAATGGTTGCTTGTTTGCACAAAACTACAGTTATTTCAAATATGCAGTTTGCTTTTGAATAAATGCAGCTTCCTTCCTGTGAGGTTTCACACTCACAAGGGCTAACAACACATTTATGTATTTTTGGTCATATGAAGAAGCCAGTTGTGTTCTCAAGGTGCTAACACTGCCTGTTGCAGCAGGTATGGGTGGCCTGTAGCCCTCCAGATATGGCAGCTCCCAGCTAGCATGGTCAATGGCTAGGAATAATGGGAGTTGTATCTGGAGGGCCACACTGAGCTGTGGAGCATCTCTAAGTGGCTTAGTTTCCATCTCATATGACTCTTTCCATTGACGTAATCTAGACAGTGTCTTAGTGCAGGTTTGATGCAACAACATCTGGAGGTCTTTCCATGCTTACTGTGTACATTTCTGTTTGCAAATGTCATGGATGAGGACATGGTAACAGAGGTCAGGCCATTTCTCCATCTGGTCCAGTATTGTCCTCTCTGGCATCAGTCACAGGCAGATGCCCTTTCCCACCAGCTGCTACTTGATCTCAGGGGCTGAACCTGGGACTTTCTCCATTCAAAACAGCGACAGAGAACCTCTGGCCCTCCAGATGTTCTTAGGTTCCAGTTCTTACTAGACCAACCACCATGGCCAATGATTGTAGATGATGGCAGTTGTGACCCAAGAGAGCAACAGGATCCTCACTTCCTGGTGTAAGCCGAATGCTTCTACATCCCTTGAATGTTTTAAATAGCTATTTTTAACTGTCCTTATGCATGATTTTACTGTTTGGTTCTTTTTGTCAACTGCATTGAGTTTTTCTTCTTACAACCAAGTGGTGTCTAAATTTTATGAAATGTATAAATAATAAAATATTGAGCTGTGGTTCGCCCCCGCGCCAGCCCCTCAAACGGTTTAGTCCCATCCACCTCCACTGCATTAAAAGTCCAGACAAGGCTTTTGGTGCAGGCTTGATCTAGCTTATTAAGTTAAAAGCAGGCAAACCGATGAAGGGTATTGCTGTGTTAACTTGTGAAGCCGACTGCGCAATCGGCATGTTGCTCTTCTGCATTGTTGTTCTTTAAAAAGAGCTTATTATGATCTCTGCCATGATCCTCTTTGCAAAGCTGTGTTCTGCTTCATCCTGTGCCCGATAACAATATCGACAAGACAAAACGCCTCGGGGTGGAAATAATTCCAGTGATCATGTAGGACAAGGTCATAGCTGCACTTCCTTTAGCTGTTCAAAATTAAATTACATTTGGAAATCTTCAAAATAAAACATGCTGGAATAATGTCTGTGTGGTTGCTTACAACTGTTAAGCAGTTGCAGGAACTATTAAGTTTTACAAATGCACTCGGAAGAATTGGCAAAAACCAACCCATTGGTGGCTCTTGCGATGGTGCAATACTGTGGAATGCCAAGCTTGACCCAGATGTATTTCATGACTGCATGGAGCAAACAGCCCTTTACCAACATCCATTATGTGGACTATAAAGATGAGGAAGGAAATGTAAACAGAATTCTGTAATTTTTTTAGTGCCCTTCATTTGAGTGGTATTACACTTAAACAGACAGTACAGAGTTGCCCTGTGTGGTTGTTACTTATTTATTAGACTTCTTGATCCCTCGCTACCCAGAGGTCTCCGAACGATTCACAGCACATTTAAAAACAAAGTATAAATAAGCTATATAATGAAAACGGAATAAAGCAACTCCCATAATCACATGTTGAAGAAGTTATCTCTCAACTTCAATTTCCTACCTATAAAATGGAAATACACCTAGTGCATAGAATTCTTTAAGGATAAACTAGTTCAGGCAATGTTATTGCCCACTATGGATATTACAAAAAAGTAGGTTTGATGCTTTGCTGTCTCTGGTTTCGTTATTTTGTGTGCTATTCTCACCGTCTTTTAAGGTTTGTGTACATTTCTCTGTCATCTCAGAACACCCCCAGTCATGAATGGCTATAAGCTTTCTGTGCCTCCTTGTCCCTGGGAGTCTAATTTAGTCTGTGGGGGTCCCAATTAGCAAAGGAAACAGGTAATTACGAAAGCCAATTTAATCTCCAAATTAGTCTAAATTTTTAAAGATAGGAAAATACAAAATCCATTAAATTCCCAGGACTGCTTCTTTGTACTGGTCGTTATTGCTTTCCTTTTCTTCCAGTATAAATCCATCCTTTGTGTCCTTTCCCTTGATCTTGCTGAGGCTTTTGGTGTCTGCCCTACTTGAGAGACAAAGTGACCATAAGCTGCATATTGAACCCTGCCGCAGTTTTATGAAAGCAGAAAAAAGCACCTTTTGTGAGTGTTTGAGAGGAGTTCCAAGAGCTCCATCACCTTATTTCTTAGCAAAATGGAAAGCCTAAAAGAGCAGGGTGTAAAAAAGGAAAAAAAGTTATACGTTCTGTATTTCTGAAGGGTGCTGCTGATTGTCCTTTAACACTCTGTATAACAAATCAACTCATTTTATGTGTAACATTTATCATAGAGCCCATAACGGATGTTCTCTGAGTGTTAAAAGTGTGTATTCTAAGAAATGCACTTTTCAGATAGATCAAACACAGAGTTAAGTGCAATGAAAACCGATTTGAATTAAAATGGAACTAAATTAAAAAATGGTCCACATTCTGCCAGAGGAATTTAATTTTCATCAGTTCACCCAGAAGTTATAGGAACGACTTCAGAGATATTTTTGAACTATTTCAGTGAATTTGTTCCAAGTACTGGCAGTACCTCACATGATGAAGCAGATATATGTCTCTTCTTTAAGCAGCTTACGTTTATTATTGATTTGTATACTTTTGGAATAAGTTGGTGGGACGAAAGTGTAGCAGCAGTGGTTTGCATTCAGTTTTCAACACTTATTTTGGGCTAAGTAAACTTGCCCAGACCAGGCCCATGTGGTTTAAGTAGGTAGTAATATCCCGCCCCCACCGCACTCTTTGGTATCAGTTTGGCTTAAACATCCTCCTGATTTTGTGCCTTGCCAGATCGCTTTCTTGTGGTGACAGATCAGTATTGACAAATAGCTTGGCTGTAACATCAAGCTGTTTATGTCAACGGAACAAAATGTTGTGTGGTCATATTGATTCAGCACTAGCTGAACGCTTTTGTATGTCTGATCTTTTTTGTGTGTGTCAGGCGGGGGCTTGGTTGAAAATCAGGAGCCAGGGAAGCACATTTCGTAGTCTGTAAAATGCCCATCTGATGTAGCACTGATGTTAAGTATTTGGGTACTTCTGGATTTTTGGCTAATAGTATGTAACATTCTAAATGCAAGACGGTAATTTGGTTGGCTTTTGTTCCATTTGAAAAGCATGTCTTGAGCACAAACCACAGGAATTGTTTCTTCACCAAAAGCCCGGTCAACACAATCATCAAAGTTGGCAGCATTGTGTAAGTAGCCAGCCAGTGTTAGAAACTCAGCTATATAAGCTAGGCTCCTTAAACCAGGGTTACAGTCACCAAAATGGAATGCCTAGTTGCCATTTTGGAGCCAGACAGCTTTGAAAGTCATATTTTTCAATATGGCTTTTTGGTTCCTGAAATTCATTCTGATCGTGCAGATAAAATATAATGGATAGAATTCTCCAGCATGTGTTGCTCGTGCGTGAAAACAGTCAAGATCCAAGGCGTGGCACCTCCAGATGGTGGAGACGTCAGGTGCCATCCTGGTGCTGGGGCATCTTCACTTGGTCGCAAGTGGCCGATAGCCAGATGCAAAGTGCACCTGGTGCCTGGCGAATTTTGAACGACGTAGCCAGCCGCCAGTAAAGTATGGAAACCAAACTTGTGTGAGTGCATCTGGAATTATTAAAAGCCATTGTCAAACAAAGGTGGTTGTCTCTTTCTAAGTGGCTTTAGTTAATCAAGTCAACCTCAGTAAGCCCACTTTTTAATCAAGTAAGTTAAGTCTCTTAGCCTCAGTTTTCTTGTCAGTGCCTATAAAACAGTTCTTTTCATGTACTGGTATTTATAATACACCTTTGTTCAGTTACGGATATAAAAATGCAGTGGTCTCTCATTGGGGCACCATCCAGACCCAAACCTGCTTGGCATTAGCAAGATGGCCAACAGCTCCCATCATCTCTAATCGTTGGTCATGTTAGCCAAAGACCATTATCCATTGCAAGATGGTTTTGAAGGTGAATTATATTTATTTATTTCATAAAATTTACATACCGCTTGATTGTAAAAACAAAGTAGAACACCCCAGATGGGTTTACCAAAAAAAGGGTTTAAAGGAGGGCTGCATGGCATTTGAGATGCTGCAAAAGCTACAGAAAACAATGGTGAAGCCCCAGTTCTTTGTGCTGAATCCATACGTACTCTTTGCTTGAGCAGAAGGTAAAACTAATCAAGGTCCAGATAGCGTTTTCGGTTGGTGTGCCCTGTTCGCTGGCCAGGTTTTGGATTTCATTGGTTTCATAAAGCTGTGCTGGATTTAGGACAGTGCAGGAGGTTTCCCCGAGCTGAGGGAGCACAAAATAATAAATGAATTATTGCGATAATAAGAAATATTTTGTTCTCACTCAGGGAACTATATTACCAAAGTCCTTCCCTGCAGAATGGCTCAAGTTCAAACATAAGCCAGTTTGCATCGATTGCTATAGCTTGTTGTCCTCTGGCTATTAAGTGACCTATGTGCAAATTAGTGGGTGAGCTCCATGAGTGGTTTCTGAGAGCTTGTTTGTATTCTGTAATGATGGGCTTAATGCCTTGTGGGGTTTTTGCATTGCAGTGGGATTATAAATCTGTCACTTATTAACTTCGGAAGGTGGTGGACTCTCCTTCATTGGAGAGGTTTTTAAGCAAAGTTTGGGTGGCCATCAGTCATGGGTGCTTTAGTTGAGAGTCCTGCATTGGACTAGATGACCATCTGGTTCCCCTCCAGCTCTACAATTCTGGGAGCAACAGGGAGGTTGTTGTCAGGAGCTCAGCCTACACTTGAGTAGGACCCTAGCAGAGACACATGCCCAACTGGCATGTTCTCTCCCTCCTGCTTGATCGTTCGGGAGCTTCATAAGCTTTCTTCAGCCCAAACATCACAGCGACCGATGCCAACAGACACCGGCACACTTAGGGATCTGCAGAGTCTTCACAACTTGCGTGGCAGACCTCAGCAACTCAGCATGTTGGCTAATCTACTTTATTTACATATAAACACGCACGGAGCACTGCAACATGGCTCCCTCTCTCTCTCTAGCATCAGACAGCAAAGAGAAAAAGAACAAAGGACAATAGTCCCACTTCACGGAACACAGTAACACAAACATCCTGTCTCCGTCACTTCCCACTCTGTGGAGTCAAAACATATACCGTCCATGTGATAGACAACAATCCCATGACTGCAGTCATGGAGCAGGAATTCTAACAGTTCAACCCCCCAACCCCCTGCCGTTGGTATTGATATTCCTTGAAACAGTCCCTCTTCTGATCAAAATAAAAACGGAGTGGGGCTTTCAGGAAGGAGTATAGGTGGGAAAGAATTCAGCGCTCACTCCCTGCCTACCCCATTTCCTTACGAAATTCTTTTTCTTACACATGCAATTTATAGTTATTCTGTAGTTACCTATCTTCTGTGCATGCTAGGATGCCCACTGAAATGCATGGGGTCCTTCCTAGTAGCCAAAGGAATTCATTAAACCAAGACAAAGGATTCTTATCACACCATTTGTGTTAATGAGCTGTCCAATTAATTAGCCAGGATATTGGTGCTATATATGACAGTTCCTGACAAATGATTTTTTGTTCTGTTACAGGTGTTAATACAACCATCTTGGCAGTTAACCACTAATCTTCTGCTGTAAAAGGTTGAAGATGTGTCTGCTGAACTTAAGCTCTAATTATTACTGACAGCTCCCACCTTATCGTGTTCGCCTGCCAGCTAAGAGTAGGGCTAGGCGATACCTGGTTCTCAACATCACAATATATTGATATCACAATATATATCTGTGGTGGCGGAAGGCCTTGCTGGGCCTCCCTGCGCCTCTCTGTGTAAGCTCCCAAATTCTTATTTACTTACTTACTTTTTCTGTATCCCTTGCAGACCATGACTGGTATTTGTGCCGTGTGGTGATTATAGCCGTTGAAGAGGAGCTCATCTCTTGGGAAATGTATCCGTACCCCTATTTGGCACGTGTTGATCCTGACGCTCGAGCAGGCACATCAGTCTATCAACTTGTTGCCCATTACAGTGGTAATGAAAATTCTAGTGTTGGGATATCCTATGCTCTGATTGCAGGTAAATAGGTGCTGCTTTCTGTCTGAAATGAATTTTGCCTCTTTTTATTTTTTATTTTGAAAGGATTCAAGCCCTGACCCACGAGGGTGCTTTGAATTTTTCAACTTTCCAATTCAAAAAATGAGTGGTGCTAAAAAGTTGTAACATGACTGGGGAAATTCAAAAGATAGTTGGGTTAACTTAATATAATTTAGTTTGGCTTGGCAAGTAAAATGTGTGCAAAATTGCATAGAAATCATTAAAATGATTGCCAAGTACTTGCACTTATATTATATATGTATGTATTTATTTATTTATACTTACATATTTCTTATTCTTTTATTTAGCATTACCTGACATTTTCAGTAGGTAAAATTAAAACTCATAGGTTTTCCAAAAGCAGCTTATGTGTTTCTTCATCAAATGCAGATTTACCAAGCTAAATGTTGCCCAGTCACAAAAATAATAGATTTGACTTCATCACACCCAAAACCATATTTTTAAAACCCTTCATTTAAGAAATTTGCAAAAATTAAGTTTCACCCCTTAAAATGACATACCCTACTGACCCACCTCTGGAGATTAAACTGACCCAGCTAGTTTATTTTTGGCAGACTTAAAAAGCCTTTGTTATGTTGCGTTGATTCTTGTTGTTTAGTCGTTTAGTCATGTCCGACTCTTCGTGACCCCATGGACCAGAGCACGCCAGGCACTCCTGTCTTCCACTGCCTCCCGCAGTTTGGTCAAACTCATGCTGGTAGCTTCGAGAACACTATCCAACCATCTCGTCCTCTGTTGTCCACTTCTCCTTGTGCCCTCAATCTTTCCCAACATCAGGGTCTTTTCCAGGGAATCTTCTCTTCTCATGAGGTGGCCAAAGCATTGGAGCCTCAGCTTCAGGATCTGTCCTTCTAGTGAGCAGTCAGGGCTGATTTCCTTAAGAATGGATAGGTTTGATCTTCTTGCAGTCCATGGGACTCTCAAGAGTCTCTTCCAGCACCATAATTCAAAAGCATCAATTCTTTGGCGATCAGCCTTCTTGATGGTCCAGCTCTCACTTCCATACATCACTACTGGGAAGACCATAGCTTTTACTATGTTGGCAAGGTCCTTTGTTGGCAAGGTGATGTCTCTACTTTTTAAGATGCTGTCTAGGTTTGTTATTGCTTTTCTCCCAAGAAGCAGGCGTCTTTTAAATTAGTGGCTGCTGTCACCATCTGCAGTGATCATGGAGCCCAAGAAAGTAAAATCTCTCACTGCCTCCATTTCTTCCCCTTCTATTTGCCAGGAGGTGATGGGCCCAGTGGCCATGATCTTCATTTTTTTGATGTTGAGCTTCAGACCATATTTTGCGCTCTCCTCTGTCACCCTCAATAAAAGGTTCTTTGATTCCTCCTCACTTTCTGCCATCAGGGTTGTGTCATCTGCATATCTGAGGTTGTTGATATTTCTTCCGGCAGTCTCAATTCCTGCTAGGGATTCATCCAGCCCAGCCTTTCGCATGATGAGTTCTGCATATAAGTTAAATAAGCAGGGAGACAATATGCAGCCTTGTTGTACTCCTTTCCCAATTTTGAACCAATCAGTTGTTCCATATCCAGTTCTAACTATAGCTTCTTGTCCCACATAGAGATTTCTCAGGAGGCAGATGAGGTGATCAGGCACTCCCATTTCTTTAAGAACTTGCCGTACTTTGCTGTGGTCAACACAGTCAAAGGCTTTTGCATAGTCAGTGAAGCAGAAGTAGATGTCTATGCATATTTTAATTGAAAGGTGACTAAGGGATTGCATCTTTACTGCCTCATTTTATGTCCCCACCTCAACAAACCCCACTGCAGCCACAGCCAAACTACTTTCTGTGCTGAGTCCTAGATTAGTTTGAAGCGTCAGTGCTCTGCAAATGGTCTTTTCTCCCCCTACTGCTGTTGCTTTCCCCTATAATTCACTTTCCTTTCCTATGCCCTTCATTCTTCTGTGCCATATGCTTGGTAGAAGCAGCAGAGCAGATAGCGTAATGTAGTCAAGTGAGGTAAATTGGTTAGGGACTTGCTTGATTTAATCGCTAGTGCCAAACCGCTTTGCATAAATGGGATTTTTAATTGGCTCAGAGTGTACACAGGAATGTGTCCAGGCCCTGCTCTTTCCTGTGCCATTGGTGTGTGCAGGAGACAATGGCAGCTCATGTGTGCTACTAACTTTGGCCCAGGAATAGGAACAGAATTCCTGTTCAGAATACTGATGGTGGCAGCTCAAAGTCTTCCTTCCCAGGCATCATAAGTGGAGCACCGAGTTTGGTGGATGTGCTAAGCCACCCTGCTTGCTGATTTATCTGCCACTCAGCCATCAAAAGCATCTTATTCTGTCCACTGCAATGTGTAAGAGTCGGTGTTGGTGGGAAATAGTAATGGGAAAGAAATTTGTGCAAGTGAGGAGCTTGGTGCTAAAAGGTAACAACACCTCTTTTCATAATTTTTTGTATTCCTTTCACTCAACAGGTGGTGAGGAACGATTTGATATAGATATGGACACAGGGGTCATATTGACAACTGGCTTGCCTTTAACTCTGAACCAGGAGTATGTGGTCACCGTGCTGGCCATTGATGAATATGGCAGCAAAAGCCCATATGCTTACATCTCTATCCTGGCTGGCTCCAGGCCTCCTCAGTTCACAAATATGTCCTACAGTGTGTTTGTTCCAGAAAATACTCCAGCAAGTGAAAAGTAAGTGGTGAATTAATGTCCTGCTGTACTAAAAGACTGCGTCGTAGATACTTACGCACGTTACTTAAACATAAAAAGCTTGCATTGTAAAACCAAAATTTATTTTCAGTGTGTAGTTGGGTCTAGCTTGCTCTACTGGGGCGACCCTTGATGGCTGCTTTGAAGTTTTATCAGGTGAAAAATGTGGAAATCTGCTTCTCTATGTGAATGGGTCAACAGGAGCATGCTACAGCTCTAGTAGCTTCCTGTTGTTTTCTGAGCCCAGTTTGTGTCTGCAGAAACCTAATGGCCACATCAGACAGAACACCAGGCCATTAGCTATGGTTGAGCAAATCGTCCTTTGCACAATCTGTATGGTGGCGTGCACAGCCCTGTAACTCCTGCTTTGCTTGAAACAAACCACGCAGCAGCTGGCTTAGTATTGATGTCCCAGTCACCTCCCCAGTTGTGGTTTGTTTGGGAGAAACAGATCGCCATTTGTTTGGTAAGGAACAAACCATAGGTGCTGGTAATTGCTAAGCCAGCTGCCTCCATGGTTTGTTTTCCCACCCAACCAGGGGAAGAGCAAAGTGGGAGCACCTGGACTGACTGCAGCAGCCTAATTTGAAGTCTAATTTCAGGAGTTATTTTTAAATCCGTGTACTGAAAGTGTAAAAATGAAATTTGCAAGGAGAAACTGGTAACTTGGCAAGGGATCCTGGTTCACCTCTTTCATCTCTTCTGCCTACCCAGGATTAACAAACTGTCTCTTGGTTAATCTTTCCTTTTCAGAGTGGCTGCTATTGAAGCAGTCTCCTTCCAAAGCCAGCCTCTCTCTTACACTCTGCTGATGAATCCCAGTGGCCTGTTCAGCATGGACCCAGAGACCGGCATGCTAAGCTTGACTCATACGGTGGACTACGAGAGCGAGCATCACCTCTACCATTTTTTAGTTAAAGCAATGGAAGCCGAGAGTTTGCTCAGCAGTGTCACTGAGGTAGAGCCAGGGTTTTCCTTTCCGTACTTGGTGATCTGTTCATTTCAGTATAGGGGGGTTGCATGTTAAGATTATTACACAGAGCATATCGAAATACCAGTCCTCCAATGCCAGCCTAAAAAGTTTGGGTATTGAATTAGAATGGCAAACCCAAATGGATTTTTTAAAAAAGGCATTAGCGCTTGTGTAAGGAGATTTCCCTTTCTCCACCCATGCATGCTCTCTGGGTTACCCCAGGACGTGGGTAGTGCTGTGGTCTAAACCACTGAGCCTCTTGGGCTTGCCAATCAGAAGGTCGGTGGTTCGAATCCCCACAACGGAGTGAGCTCCTATTGCTCTGTCCCAGCTCCTGCCAACCTAGCAGTTTGAAAGCATGCCAGTGCAAGTAGATAAATAGGTACCACTGCAGTGGGAAGGTAAACGGCATTTCCGTGCGCTCTGGTTTCCATCACGGTGTCCTGTTGCACCAGAAACAGTTTAGTCATGCTAGCCACATGACCTGGAAAGCTATCCGTGGACAAATGCCAGCTCCCTCAGCCTGAAAGCAAAATGAGTGCTGCAACCCCATAGTTGCCTTTGACTGGACTTAACCATCCAGGGGTCCTTTACCTTTACCATTACACCCCATGCCATTCCCAAATATGCTCTGAAGGGTTGAGGGAATCTCCCAGAACTGATTTAGGGAACTTGGAGGGGGGGGGGTGAGTCCATCAGTGCATGGATTTCTTGTGCAGTGGAGCAGTCTGCTTAATGCTATGTTGAATAGCATGAACAACAACAATAATAAACAGAAACAAAAGGTGCCCATTTTTCAGTACATGGTTCCCAGAATCTGGATCCCTGAGGTGATGTGTTCATCAGTTCGTTGTTGCTTGGTTTATCCGCTGCCTCATAATCTTGTTGTTTTTTTAAGTTCAGTTCTTTATATTTTTAGATCTAAAATATAATTTGTTTAATTACCTTGTCATGTAAGACCATTGAAATGGCCATAGCCCAATGATAGAGCATCTCCTGGGAAGGTCCCAGGCTCAACCCCCAGTGTCTCCAGATAGGACCACTGTGTGAAACTCTGGAGAGAGCCGCTGCCAGCCAATGTAGACAGTACTGGGCTAGATGGACCAATGGTCAGACTCAATATAGAGCAGATACCTAGAATTGTTTAATTATCTAAGTTATATAAGCTGCCTTGAGTGGTTGCTTTAGAACCAGAACTCCAGGATGTACATTTTCCAGGGACTATGGAAAATGGAACGAATTTCTCTTGGCAAAGAAATATGCACTTGATCGGATCCCATGTAACTAAGCGTTTCTCTTCTGTCCCCTTGTAGGTCATAGTTCATATCACAGATGAAAACGACTGCTCTCCTGAATTTCAGCAATCTATTTATAGCCGGGAAAGCATTCTTGAATCAATCCCTATAGGCACGTCTTTATTGCAAGGTAAACCAGAGCCATCATCCCCTTGCCTGTCTTTGCAAAGCACCACATGATGAGCCGAGGACTGCAGGCAAGCTACTTCAAGCAGAGATAGGTGCAGCCCTTACTCACAAGAGTCTCTGTCCCTGCTCGGGCAGCTAGTATGAAAGTGGGCACATGTGCCTCTTCCCTGGTCCTGGGATGGAGCACTGGGAACCCTCCTCCCCACCGCCAGAGCCCTTCCTGGATTCCAACAACACTCTGTCCAGCTCCAGACTTCCATCTTCCTTCCCACTACAGCCAGGCAGGGTGCAAGGTGTGAGGGGGCTCAGCGGACATCTGTTCCAGCCTCCTTTACCTCCTCATCTTCCTCCAGAGCCTCTCATTCTGGGGCTGAGCCTGATGGTGTAGTCATGACACTTGGAAAGAATACATCCATGTATATTAAGATTTCATTCTGGCATTCTGCTTATCCCCCCCCCCCCTTATTATCGCACTTCAAACAAATAAGCAGTCACTATTATATTTTGCTTTTTTAAAAAAAACACCCTGTTGCTGAATATTTGGACAGCTCTTGGTCTCGTGCCCTCAATATCTTGAATGAATACCCAAAGGTCAGTGAGTTTCCATCCTCTTAATTGCACTGGGGATTCTGAAAAAAGTGTTTGCTCCCATAGGGCTTTACAACGTGTTTTCTCCCTCTTGGCCAGCTGTGAAAACATCTTTCTTGGGTGTTAGAAACAGCACAGAACAGCTCTTCTACTTCCTGTCATGTTTGACTCTGCAGTGCAAACAGCACCTTTTTCCTAGGTTGCATTTGGCAGACTGTGATGGTCTCCTCCCAGCCACTGTGGGGCCCCTGCCTTCTGATGGAAGGGTGTTTCCTGCTAACACAGAGTGTACCCCTCTGTTCACTCTCCCGCTTTAAAGACCAGCTGCCACCAGACAAGGTTTTAATTATTTCCACGAGGCTACCCCTTACCAATCAGCCTCCAAATTTACCTGGGCTCCTGTCTGAATCATTATTACTATTGGTACTAATTCCTTTATTTTCTGCTCTTCACTCTAAGGTCCCAGAAAGTGTTTGTGCGTCTGAGCAGTTCTTTGTTAATTACTGAAACTTGTGTTGACTAGTCTTCTGTATTGTGACCCAGCTCAAATGTCCTCATTGTTTTTACCCTTTTAAACATTCCTGGCTGCAGTTCTTGCAGCGGACTGTGACTCTGGATCCAACGCTGAGATCCTCTACTTCATTCAGAGTGCGGATTTTTCCATCACGCCCGAGGGTGTCGTCAATTCCAATCAGCGGCTGGACTATGAGCGAGCCAACCACATGTATGAGTTTGTGGTCATTGCCGTGGACAAAGGGCACCCTCCTCGGACAGGGACGGCATCCGTGCGCATTCGCTTGACAAATGTGAATGATGAAACCCCGGTGTTCTCCCAGTCAGTGTAAGCAGAGCTTCCTTTGCAGTGGTACCACTCCTGCATTGCAGATTTGCTGTATAATCTTGTTGTGCCAGTCAGAATGGTTGTTAGGTCCTAACCCTTAGCTGTCTTAAACTGACCTGCAGAAACTAATGCAATGTTATGAAGGTGCATTGCACAAAATAGCTGCAATATCTGATTTTTTGGACCATCAGGATATGTAAAAATATGGCACTGCTTTTAAAAAAATAAAAAATAAAGACAACTTGAGGTAGATGTTTTGACTACAGCTGCTGGCTGGGGCTGATGGCAGTTGAAGTCCAAAACATCTAGAGTGGACCAGGTTCGTAAAGGCCTGTTTAGTCAGACATATTATGGGATACATAGAATCAGCAATGGCGTGACTATGTGGTAGATGGAGGCCGATGAACTTACCTTTAGTTCCTGACCATTTCCTGCTAGTTCCTACAGCAGGTTTTAAATTACAATTCTCTCAAAATTCCAGAATGTATTCTCTTCCCTTCCTCAGAGCTAAACAATGTATTACATTTATTCAGTGTCAAATGACATAAGCATTTCCCTTGCTTCTGGCACACAAATGATGTACAAATAATTCTAGCATCGCACAAAGTCCACACGCTATAAGCCAAAATTCTCCTTTCCTAAAGAGCTGTTTAGTCACAAAGTGAAATCAGGCCAAATTATTATCATTATTATTATTATGAATTATTATTATTATTATTATTATTATTATTATTAATTTATACCCGCCCCCCATCTGGCTGGGTTTCCCCAGCCACTCTGGGCGGCTTCCAACAGAACACTAAAATACAATAACCTATTAAACATTAAAAGCTTCCCTAAACAGGGCTGCCTTCAGATGTCTTCTAAAAGTTTGGTAGTTATTTTTCTCTTTGACATCTGGTGGGAGGGCATTCCACAGGGCGGGTGCCACTACTGAGAAGGCCCTCTGCCTAGTTCCCTGCAACTTGGCTTCTCGTAGCAAGGGAACCGCCAGAGGGCCCTCGGCGCTGGACCTCAGGGTCCAGGCAGAACGATGGATAGCAGGGCTGCGCAAACACCGTGCCTATAAAGTACATTTCTTCCTGCAAAGAATCCTGGGAACTGTAGTTTGTTAAGGGTGCTAGGAATTGTAGCTCTCTGAGGGGTAAATTGACAGCTCTCTGGGTTTTGTGGGGGAAACCAAGTGTTTTCATTTTCTGGTGTGTCAACCTGCTTGCCCACCTAGCCCCAGAGGCATTGCTAGGTGCTTAGTCCCATAACACACATTTACATATGATTTACATATGTGGGGGTGTTTTTTGGGGGGTGTAAATATGCCTCTGGGAAATTAAGGTGGTGGCTGGGAGTTTCACCAGCACTGTGCTTTGCTATATGCCCAGCCCACTCTGTACGAAGTTTAAAGAACTGTACAATGCTGTTTAATGGGAAATTGTTGGGTGAGTTAGGAATTAGAATGCATTTTTTCTTTCCTTACATCAGTTACAGAACTTTCCTCTCAGAAGATGCAGGCCCTGGTACATTAGTGGCTACCATCCACGCAAAAGATCCTGATGGAGATGGAGTGCTGTACTTAATTACGGGTGGGAACGAAGAAGGCAATTTTGAATTGGATAGCCATAAAGGTAAGGAAAGAGATGCTGAATGTTAATCTATTGCATCTTCTTCCACACTGTAGGCATTGGCTGTACAGTATTGATAAACCTAAATAGGAAAATCCTTGCAAATATGTGCAGGCTACTCATTGTTTCAGCATAGCTTTCCTGGCAATGCCAGAATAAATTGGATTTATTCATTTATTATAAGTTGTCATGTTTATTTATTTGTGTAGCCAAAGCCATTCAAAAGGAAAAGTACAAGATAAAATATATTACACAGCTAAAATAGTTGTAAAAACCAAGCATTCTGTCAAATAGAAAATCGCTCCGCCGATGAATTTGCCTGATCACCCCCACAAACATGTCCCTTTAGAAGTGTCACTCTAAAGATAAAACAAGCCACCTTTTCCAGAAATCTATGGGGACCTGTCGTTCTCACATTTAAGACCCTTATGTCCTGTAAAGAGAGATACCTTTTTATTTTCCTTGTTGGTAACTCCACCTCCCCCCCTACTCCTGAATCCAAGTATACTTAATTTTCTTTTGCTTTCTTTTCTTGATCTTCAATCTTCTGAATCCAGGTATCCTTAGACTTCGCAGAAACCCCCTGCCTAAACTGAAAAGCCCGCAGTATGTTCTAAATATCTCTGCCATAGATGACAATTCCTCGGGGGGACCACGATCTCTCAGCAGCTTTGCAGAAGTCGTGGTGGAAATAAATGACATTAACAACAACAAGCCTGTTTTCAGGGAGGTGAGTTGACTTGCTGCCCCATTCGTGTGTTTTTGATTTTTTATGTAGCAGCAGAATTGTTAGTAGTTTTGACTTCTGCTTGTCAAACGTGCAAGATGTGGTATTCTCTATGCTTGGCTGCTGCTGATTTTGAAAAGTTCAAACCTGTAAAGTTTCGTCCAGTTTTAAGTGGTCTTTGAAGTCTCCCTAAATAACTTGTGCTTAAAACTTTCTCTCTTCCTTTCAGATGAATGCCTCTGACTCCATCTGCTTTATCTTGCACTTAATTTGGTTGCCAGAGTACTGTGCCTTACATGATACAGTGGTGCCTCGCAAGACGAAATTAATTCGTTCCGCAAGTCTCTTCGTCTTGCGAGTTTTTCGTCTTGCGATGCACGGTTTCCCATAGGAATGCATTGAAAATCAATTAATGCGTTCCTAGGAGACCGCCTTCAGACCAGGTCCGGGGACAGTCTGTCCCCGGACCTCTTCTGAAGGCTGGGGGGAGCAAGGGCTTTTCTTCCCACCCCCAGCATTTTAAAAACCCGGGACAGCGGAGGACTTCTCCGCTGTCCGGGCGATCTTAAAATGCTGGCGGGCGGCATTTAAAATCACCCCGGGACAGCGGAGGACTTCTCCGCTGTCCGGGGCAATTAAAGCCCCTGGGAAGGCAGGCAGGGGGACAAGACTTTGCCCCCGCCAGCCTTCAGAAGAGGTCCTGGACCTCTTCTGAAGGCGGGCGGGGCGAAGTCTTTGCTCCCCGCCTTCAAAAGCCCTCCGGGACAGGCAGGCAGGGGAGCAAGGACTTCGCCCCCGCCCGCCTTCAGAAGGTCTTCCCTCCCCCGCCCGGCTCGGAGCACCGTTCCGAGCCGGGCGGCGGCGGAGGTCTTCCTCCCCCGCCCGGCCCGGGCACCGTTCCGAGGCCGGGCGGCGGCGGAGGTGTTCCCTCCCCGCCCGGCCGGAGCACCGTTCCGAGCCGGGCGGCGGCGGCAGGTGTTCCCTCCCCCGCCCGGCCCGGGCACCGTTCCGGCCGGGCGGCGGGGAGGTCTTCCTCCCCACCGCCCGGCTCGGAGCACCGTCCCGAGCCGGACAGAGGCGGAGGTCTTCCCTCCCCACCGCCCGGCTTTGGAGCACCGTTCCGAGCCGGGCGGCGGCGGCAGGTGTTCCCTCCCCCGCCCGGCCCGGAGCACCGTTCCGAGCCGGGCGGCGGCGGCAGGTGTTCCTCCCCCCGCCCGGCCGGAGAGCCTTCGAAGCCCGGCGGCGGCGGGAGGAGGTGTCCCCGCCCCGCCGCCAGGCCTGGAGGAGGTCCGAGGACAGTGGGGAAGACGCGCTGCGCGTCCCCGCTGTCCCTGAGATTTCCCTATGGGCTGTCGTCTTGCGAAGCAAGCCCATAGGGAAATTCGTTTTGCGAAGCGCCTCCAAAACGGAAAACCCTTTCGTCTAGCGGGTTTTCCGTCTTGCGAGGCGTTCGTCTTGCGGGGTACCACTATGGATTTCTGAAGTTGCTCAAGCTAACTTGCTGTTTTCTTGTATTGCAGTGTGCTTACTACAGTGACAGTACCTGGGTTCTAGAGAACCAGCCTCCAGGAACCTATGTTCTGCAGGTGGAAGCCTACGATGCAGACTTTGGAGTGAATGGAGAAGTGAAGTATGGCCTCATGCACAGAGATGGAGCTTCACCGGGCTTCAGTATTGATCCTGATTCAGGTAAGAATTGCCTTTCATAGTCTGGTGAGCGCTGCATTCTTTTTCTTTTCTTTTTACAATAATTTTTATTGGTTTTCAATTACAACAATCCAATGATAGCCTCATTATAACAATGCCAAATTATAATGCAATTACTAATCCCAATCATTCAGATGCCAAATTATATAATTCAGGTGGCCTCCCATGTGCTAGAATGGATGGTTTGATGATTTACTTTGTTTCTGCGTTCCAAAATCCTATTCATCTCAGTTACACTCCAGTCAAAATAACAATCCCTTACACAACAACTGCAATATTAACAACATCCATTCGTCTTGACACATTAAATGTTTTATACATCTATAGGTGAAGCATTCAAACTACATCCTTATTCCTCCTGTGTGTGACAATTATTCTGTCCGTGGTGTTCCTTCCTGTCCTTGTAAAATATTATGTCTATCTTTTCCCAGCCGTTGCTGCTCTCCATCATGTCTTGGGCGGAGCTAATATCCCATTGTTGTTTCAGAATTCTCCATTCTCAAATGCCAGCCGAGCCAGATCCTGCATGATCAGAAAGTGTTAACTCCATAGCCTGTTCCCCTCTTACTATAGGAACCTGGGGAACTGCTTTATACAGAGTCAGACCACTGGTCCATGTAGCTCAGCAATGTCTGCCCTGACTGGCAGGGCCTGTCCAGAATTTCACATGGCTGGGATCTCTCCCAGCCCTTACCTGGAGACACCTGGGACCTTCTAGATGCAAAGCAGGTGCTCCACCCACTGAGCTCTACAGCCCTCCCTGTATGGGAGGCACTTGCACTAGAGTGCTTTGGAAGACTGTTCGTTTGCTCATGCTTTCTCTGGCTAAGTCATTGGCCCATTGACCCTGACACTGCTCCTGACATTATATTCATATTTGTGAAAGGAGGGTGGTGGTGGTGGTTATTGTTTTGTTTTTGCTTTAACTAGTTATCTTGTGCTTTTATTATGTATTTTTATCTTGTGAACTGCCCTGAGATTTTATGTATATTTTAATATTCATTTTATTTTGCTTTTTTTTTTTACATTTTAGTTCTTGCTATAAATGCTGCAGGACCCTTGGATGGGAAATTGTCTATAAACTATTGTTATGAAATAAAGCAATAAATTATATCCTCAAATTTAAATGGAGATGAACCATTTGAAGGGGTGATGGGGGGGTTAAATACCCCTCTCCTCCCTGTCAATCCCATTGGAAATAGTTTTTCTTCATCTAAACTGGTTGTTGGTCTACTGCCACTTGCTTTTAAGTGTACAGTGGTGCCTCACAAGACGAAATTAATCCGTTCCGCGAGTCTCTTCGTCTTGCGGTTTTTTCGTCTTGCGAAGCATGGCTATTAGCGGCTTAGCGGCTATTAGCGGCTTAGCGGCTTAGCGGCTATTAACGGCTTAGCGGCTTTAAGAAAAAGGAAACAAACTCGCAAGAACTCGCAAGACATTTCATCTTGCGAAGCAAGCCCATAGGGAAATTCATCTTGCGGAACGACTCAAAAAACAGAAAACTCTTTCGTCTTGCGCGTTTTTCGTCTTGCGAGGCATTCGTCTTGCGAGGTACCACTGTATATCCTTGTACTTATTTCAAGCCTCACCGTGTTGTGCTTCTAAATAAAGATGCTAAATTCTTCGGGTGCACAAGTATTTACTGAATTTTTGTTTTCAGACTCTCAATGCATTTCAAGCTGACTACTCATCTTCTGGTTATTTCAGCAGAAGCTCGTGGTTCTGTAGTTATGTTATTTCTTTTAAATAGCCCTTTACCCTGAAGAAGAGAGAAATTGGGTCAAAACACATTGGGAGTTGGGCAATTTCTTCAGTAAATGTTTGTATACCATCTAAGCTATTTTGTGAGACACAAGAAAAATAAATTGCAGAGTGGAAGAAAAAGGGAGCTCCTCTGTGCAGGCAAACATTACAAGGGATAAGCTTTTATTAAGCCTGAACAGTGGGAGTGAGTTGCTGCAGACTTGTGAAAACGTCTGATTAAAGTCAGCGGTGATCCTGCTGACTCTTTGATAGTAATGTTTCTGTTTAGGTGTTATCGTTTCGACTCGGCGTTTTGACCGAGAGAAACAGAAGGAGTATACGCTCTCTGTGACGGCTACAGATCAAGCTCAGGAGCCACTGATTGGAGTGTGTCAAATCACCATCTTCATTGCTGATATGAATGACAACGATCCAAAGTTTGAGAACAGCCGCTATCAATGTGAGTAGGCACAAACTGTTGTTGCACTGTGAGAGTTGATTTAAGTTTGCGAAGTGCGTGTTGAGCCCAGAAGCCTTCAGTTAGATTCCTTCTCTGTAGGGCTGTAAGATGGCATAAATTTAAATTTCCTTTCAAACCCATGTTCATCACACGCAGCAATGTTTCCATTCCACTGCATTTCAGTTTCTGGCAAAAAGTTATCATTACATTATTCCACACCATTTGTCCCAGTTCAAAGGCCATTCATTTCATTGTATAGGAAATGCAAGGCAAATGGGAAGGGGGATAGCATCATGAAATACATATTGTTTGTGTTACGTATCATTTACAAACGGGGGGGGGGTGCAGTAGCAAATTCCAATTGTAGTCAATGGATTGATTTCTGTTCTTGGCACGGGACAATTGAGTGAACGCTGGCAATTTCCGCTTCTGTTTTTATTGGAATTCTGCAACATCTCTGACTGCGGCTTATACTCACCTCACCTGTGTGAGCAGCAGTGCAGAAGCCAGCTATACTAAAGCTAGGTGAAGACTGCTTTGTATGGGAAAATGTACATTTGTGGTCACTGGCCTAGGTGGGTTACTTGTTAGGAAGAAAATGTATGCTGCCTTAGGTTCCAAAATGAAAGAAAGGGGGGAAGTAAATAAACATCATCTTAATTTTATTATTTATACGCCACCTATCTGGCTGGGTTGCCCCAGCCACTCTGGATGGCTTCCAGCAAAATATAAAAACATCATAAAACATCAAACATTAAAAAAAGTCTCTATACAGGGCTGCCTTCAGATGTCTTCTAAAGGTTAAATAGTTACTCATCTCCTTGACATCTGATGGGAGAGCATTCTACAGGGTGGGTGCCACTACCCAGAAACCCTCTGCCTGGTTCCCTGTAACTTCACTTCTCACAGTAAGGGAACCACCAGAAGGCCCTCAGAGCTAGATCTCAGTGTCTGGGGGTGGAGACACTCCTTCAGATATATTTAGGGCTTTAAAGGTCAGCGCCAACACTTTGAATTGTGCTTGAAAACATACTGGGAGCCAATGTAGATCCTTTAGGGCTGGTGTTCTATGGTCCTGGCAGTTGCTCCCACTCACCTGTCTAGTAGCTTCCGAGTCACCTTCAAAGGTAGCCCCACGTAGAGCGCATTGCAGTAGTCCAAGTGGGAGATAATCAGAACGTGTACCACTTTGGCGAGGCAGTGCACAAACAGGTAGGGTCTCCTCTGGCGTACCAAATGGAGCTGGTAGGCGGCCACCCTGGACACAGAATTGGCCTACATCTCCATGGGCAGCTGTGAGTCCAAAATGACCCCCAGGCTGCATACAGTGGCTGTCCGCAGATGCTAATCCATTAGGGCAAGTTGGACTCTGCCCCACCAACCTCATTCTGTCCTTAGCCAGCCCCTACCTGCCTGCCTTCAAAAGGTGGCTTTACCTGTTGTTGCCTCTGGCTCCACCTACCGTTGGTCCCTTGCCTCCTGCCTTACCAGTCACATCAGGCACAAGTTGTCACTGGGCTAAATATTGCTTCCAGGATCAGAGGCAACAATGCCTCTGAGTAGCAGTCCATTGGGGAGAAACAGCAGGAAGACGTTATTGCCATCATGTTCTTAAAGAGGCATCTGGTTGGCCACTAAGATAAAGGATGCTGGACTAGATCTGGCAGAGCCTTCCTTGCATTTTTATGTGCTGTGATTGCCATCACTGAAATGCCACTTTAACTAGGCCAGGGCATGTTTAGAATGAACTCTGTGCTTCCATCTTTCCAAAGACTTCCTTCGTGAAGACACCCCAGTGGGGACAAGTTTCCTCCATGCTGCAGCTCATGACGATGACCAGGGGGTAAACGCCGCCATCACGTACTCCATGTTGCCGCAGGAGCCAGAATACTTCCAAGTCAGCCCCAGCACAGGCTGGGTGTACGTGAATCTCGTAATCTCCCAGGTATGCTTCTGCATACAGCAGAGCTTTCCAAACTGTGTGCCGCGACACATTAGTGTGTTGGCTCAGTATGTAGATGTGTTACGTGGCCACTACCCGCGCTCCTCCCAGAGCTGGAAAGGGGTCAGTTTAACCTCCGGTTTGCTGCTAAAACCGAACTGCTGTGTTGTGAAATGATGCATGTCCGAAAAAGTATGTCACCGGCATGAAAAATTTGGAAAGCTCTGGTTTACAGAATATAATCTGGCAGGCAGAATACTTGCTGCACCTGCTTTTTTTCAGCCTTTGTTCTAGCAAACGAGCATTCGTTTTTTGGTGAACGGCTGCTAAAAATTATTTTGCAGACATTTCAGATCACAAGATACATCGTGGCCACAGATGGAGGGAACCGGAGCAGCACGGTGGAACTGACAGTCACTGTAACGAACACACTTAATCAGTCGCCGCAGTGGGAGAAAAGTGCCTATTCGGTCACGATCCCGGAGAGCACGATTCGAGACACCAAGATAGTGGTAGGCTTTAAAAATAAAATTGGAAACGTATTTGTTTCAGGATAAAAGGAAGCTGGTTTACACTGAGTGGTGCCCAGAACTGGACACAAAATAGAGTGGGACTATTAGTTTCTTACCTTTCTTCCCAGGAGCTCAAGAGGGTGTGCATGGTTCTTTTCTATGAGTCATGGTCCCTCCCCTAATTGTTCTGAAATTCTGCAAACAAGTCTTGCTCCTATTGGACACCGGTATCCACAAGTGAATCCATATGTCTGCATCTCTGATTTTTTATTTTTTTTAAAAGAAGAATTGGCTCCCTTTGCTCCACAGCTCATTTCTGTTCTTCCTTGGGTGTGGATTCCTGTATGAAATGTGCGTGGCAGTAATTTGAACATCCTTTCCAGACATTTTGAAGTATAATTCCCATCATCCCTGACCACCAGTTGGCTGGGGCTAATGTGAGGTGTGTTCCAAAACATCTGCAGAATTAGAGGATTGGTTATTATTAACAGGAAAGCAGAGCTCTGATGCCATGGGCCGTTGGCCGCAATAGTATCATCTGCATTTCAACTCTTAAGGATCAAGGTGGCCCATGTAAATGCATCTCCCCACTGAATGGTGTTCCTGGTTATTCCTGTTCCTAGACTATCAAAGCAACGTCCCCACTTGGTGACCCAAGGGTTACCTATACACTGGAGGAGGGCCAGGTTCCGGAGACAAACATGCCTGTCCGCTTCTACCTCAAACCGAACAGAGCAGATGGGTCTGCTTCACTGCTGGTTGCTGAACCTCTTGACTTTGAGACCACCAAGTTCTTTGTACTGAGCATCAAGGCTCAGAATGTAGCTACAATTCCATTGGCATCTTTCACCACGGTTTGTGTTAATGTCACAGGTTGGTTATCCGTTTATTAATATTGGCATATCAAACTGAAATTACAAGTACTTGATGTCAGCGAACCATGTATCGCTAAATCTGCCTTTTTGTTCCGCAGACGTCAATGATAACGTCCCGTTCTTCACATCTTCTACTTACGAGGTTTCTGTACCTGAGGGAGCAGCGGTTGGTACCTCTGTTGTGCAGGTTCTTGCTACGGATTCAGACTCGGGACTCCACGGAGAGGTTCGTTGTTACCTTTCCCTTTACTGAAAACGAGTGAGAAAATGCAACATGCGATTCTGTATTCCTAAACTTTCTGGGTGGTGGTCAGTGAAGTCTTGCTCAGAGTAGACCCATTGAACATTACTAAGTTAAGTCCATTAATTTTAGTGCATGCGCTCTGAGTAAAATCTAGCTGAGTACCATTTAATTGACTCAAGACCCTAACTTTTTGTACTACAGTGGAACCTCGGTTTTCGAATGTAATCCATTCCGGAAGTCTGTTCGACTTCCGAAACGTTTGAAAACCGAGGATCAGTGGGCTGGCTGCAAAGTCAGTGGGGGGGGGGGGGGAAATGAAAAAAGCGCCTTGGAAGCCATTCGACTTCTGAGGCCTGTTTGAAAACGGAAGCATTTACTTCTGGGTTTATGGCGTTCGGCTTCTGAAACGTTTGGCAGCCGAGACGTTAGAAAACTGAGGTTTGACTGTAATAGCCTCCTGAAGTAGGAAGTTACAGTATACATATTCTTTTCAACTGGCGCCACATGCCATCTGTTGCATGCATTAAAACTTGTGGATGCCAATATGCATTAAAGCACTTGTGTAGACTGTACATCATTTAAGACAAGAATGGAAGAATTCTTATTTTCTGCCAAAAGTTGCATTCTTCTCAGGGGTCATTTGTTAGGGGCTGCATCCTGGCAGTGGGTGAGACCATCTCTTTCCCTGTCTCTGTCCTTCCCTTCCCTTCCCTTCTCTCTCTCTCTGTCCCTCCTTTCCCCTTTCTCACCCTCTTCTTTTCATGGGAGAAATAGATTAACTCTGGCTAGAGCCTGAATTGATTGCTTACTCTTGACCTCATGTTAGTGTATTATAGGGGACCCTTGGACGACTGTGCTGATACTTTCCCTCCCCCTCCCCCACTTTGTGCTGAGTGGATGGGCCTGTGAGCTTCCATTTTAACTTCCCACGATGCCTCTGAGGTCACATTACTCGGGGACATTGTGACAAATTAAAACGGGGACTTTATGCTACTCAGATTTGATAGCAGAAGTGTTGATGCCGCCTGCAGGGCTTATTGGTGCAAGAGGACTCCAGAAGACACTTTGCTGAGGGCAACCTCAGACTTTAAAGCCGTTCTCACATTACTCAATAATCAACGGCAACCAACAGCAGATTCACAAACATAAGAATGTCTGATTCTCCAGTGAAAAGATTTAAAGACCAGTGTGTGAATCTAAATTGCAGCAATCAGTGAGAGTCCTGAATTGTTCAGTCGTTGACTTGCTTCAAATGTTATGCCCTCTGTGGCAAGTCCACACAGCTCTTCAAACTGTAGAGCAGCGGTTCTCAACCTGTGGGTCCCCAGATGTTGCTGGACTACAACTCCCATCACCCCTGAGCTCTGGCCTTGCTAGCTAGGGTTGATGGGAGTTGTAGTCCAACAACATCTGGGGACCCACAGGTTGAGAAAGGCTGCTCTAGAGGGTAGAAAACCACAGTCCACATATTTGTGGCTATACTGTGACTACACAGACCTTTCCCTTCCACACAAACGGTGCTGTTACCTAACTTTCTGTAAGTGCTACAAATGGCATAGGTCTGTGACTATCGAATAATTATGGCCTTGGAGCTGAACTAAGTTGGATGTCCTTGAGAGTGGTTGTGTTCCTGTTTCTGAGCTGTTACGAAGATGGGATAGAGTATAAAGCCCACTCCTATGTTCTTCAATTGCAGGTCCACTATTCAATACTGAAGGACGCTAGTGAAGATTACCAATACTTCAACATTGATTCCAAGTTGGGAGTCATTTCTACCCAGGCATCTTTTGACAGAGAGAAGAGAGGATCTTACTTGATCGAAGTTCATTCCCAGGATTCTTCTGAATCAGCCAGGCCTGGTTTATATGGGCAGCCTAACACAGGTAAACCTCAGTGGGTTTCAAAAAGAACATAGAGGTTCCTGTGGGTCAAAAGAGGGTTCAGAATGATGTGCTGGCATTGTGATTGCCTGAGCCTCCAAAGGCAAATAGCTGATTATTTGCTTTTCAGATACAGCGTATGTGAGGATTTTAATTAGCGACATAAACGACAATGCCCCTGCTTTCCTGCATTTGGTGTATGAAATTAATATAGATGAAGACGAGGATGTTGGGTATGCATTTTTGACGGCAACAGCAGATGACAAAGATGAAGGTACACAAACACAGGTTTATTTTATGTGTTGTCCTGTCTTGACTGAAACCTCTCTAATTTGGACGCAGTAGTGAGGCTATGGCAGGCTGTTCCAGAAGATGAGGTGGCAACTGTCCTGTCTTCGAAGGAACTTTTTCTATATGTGGTACAGGAACAGGTTTATAGAATGTGGAATAAAACAGTAATGGCAAAAATTGCATGTCATGTACTTTTCAAAATACGACTATTTGGAAACTAGCTTTATTCAGACCTTTCTTAATGTTCTGTAAAGAGAACCGGGATAATTTTTTAAAGCATTTCTCATAAGCTCATTATATCCACCCATTTTTTTTTTTTTTAATGGAAAGTAGACTCGGACCTTTTGAGTTAGAATATAGCCAAGCTAAAAGTTTTTGGCTAGTATCTCACATGTGTTAGTATCTTCGTCTGGCACTCTTACATTCCCAAGGTTTTTTATTTAAATAGGATGGATCATAATTTTGGACTGACGCCCATTAAGAGTTGGTTAAAATAACAAAGGGATTTGTTATTTCCGTGCCGGAATTGTTATTTATAGGGCAAAATGTTACTATTAAATTGGAGGACTTATTGCATTTTTTGCTAGTTGCCGTTAACGAACTGTAGTCGAAAGGTGGAAAGCTTTGGAAAGTCTAAATATTGCTGCTTGGTATTAAAATGTCTGGACAGTTGCAGTCTCAGAAAAGATTACATGCAATGCACAAGTTCTGCAAGGCGGAGAAAAACCGCAAACCTTCTGTCCCATTGGGGATGAAACTGTATTTGGTATATTTCTGACCATAATACACAAAGACACTTAACAGTACTTGCTGTAGATATTTGGAAGCCATATACAATTTATGATGCTATTCTCTTTTCACAGAACATATCGCACTGTCGTGTCAGTAGCAGTTCCTATTTGTACATGACTCCTAAACTGGGACAGTTTTCTGTTGTTTGTTCTTTATGCCTACTGCATTATAATAAAATGCAAAGTAATAATAATGACATAAGAGAGAGGTACCTAGCCTCTAGATTCACTTCAGAGTCTTGCTATACATGCAGTTTACTTTGGAAGTAGGCATGCATGACCCTTCTACATTTTGGGTTGGATCCAAGCATACAATGTAATCCTAACCTCGGCTACTCAGAACTAAGCCCTACTGAATTCAGCAGGGCTTACTTCTAAGTTAGTGGGGTTAGAACTGAAGCCTTAGTCCAGGCATAGGAAAACTCGGCCCTTCAGATGTTTTGGGACTACAATTCCCATCTTCCCTGACCACAAGTCATTAGCTAGGTATCATGAGAGTTGTAGTCCCAAAATATCTGGAGGGCCAAGTTTGCCTATGCCCGCCTTAGTCATACTGAGAGTAGACTCATTGAAACACATGGCTCTCAAGTCAGTTGATTTCAATGGGTCTACTCTTAAGCAAGTCTAAGTCTGGATCTAAAATTTTCTTGTTTTTTTCAAAATTATTCTGAAAGTAATGTTGGGATAGACCCTAGTGCTCAGAGATCTCCCGGGCTGTGATAAGGATAATATGGTAGCAACCTTGTGTTTTTAGGATCTAACGCCAAGCTCAGATATCAGATCACTTCAGGAAATGAGCGAGGAGATTTTTACGTGGAACCTGAGATGGGAACTCTATTGATTGCCCAGTGTCTTGACTATGAACAAGAACAGCATTATGAGCTTCAGTTGGTAGCTTCTGATGGAAAATGGGAGAACCACACCCTTGTTATCATCAATGTAGTCAATAAGAATGATGAAGCCCCTGTCTTCTCCCAGGACGAATACCACAGCAGTGTCTTGGAGGAACTTACTGATCTGCCGGTAACTGTTTTACGGGTAAGCAGGGTAAATCTGGGTTCAAAGATTATGCAAATGACACTGGTGGAAAATTCCAGCAACTTAAAAGAATTGCAATTCTTGAAATGAAAGCATATTCACTCAGAAGACAGTTTTGAGGAGCTTCGTTGGGTTTATTCTCCATAGTAAGTGTGGGTTTGTGCTTAGGATTGCAGACTAATTCAAGTAGTGAATTTCTGGATACTAACTGTACATTTACACCATGTCATCGTTTTTGGGTTTCTACCAGACTCCATAGTGATCTCAGCTGGTTGCAATACAGCTATCATGTTTGGGCTTTTATTTTTATTATTTCAATGTATGCATTGCCTATCCAGATAATAGTGTGCAAAGTGATTAAGAACAAACAAAGTATAACATAAAATAAACAAAACATCGTCAAATATAAACTGATATACAAGACAAGGTTTTAAAAAACCCAGATCAATGAAACAGCCAGTTAAAAGCAGCAGGAAAAACCCCCAGGTGAGCTTGATGGCTAAAAACCTTTCTAAATAATGTATCTGTTGTCAGAAAACCACTCGTGGGGGGCACTAAGCAGGCCTCCATAGGAAGGGAATTCCAAAGTTTAGGTGTTTGGTGCTTAACCTTTGTGCTTGCTTTCAGGTTTCTGCAACTGACCCCGATCAGGAAGCTGACCAGAGTGCCCTTCGCTACTCATTGCACGGTCAGGGTGCCCAAGCGGAGTTCACTATCAGTGAGTACACAGGCGAGATCACTGCAAATGAGAAGCTGGACCGGGAAAAGCGGTCCGTGTGGCGCTTCCTTGTTCTTGCTACGGATGAGGATGGGGAGGGTCTAACCGGCTTCGCCGACGTCATCATTGACGTGACAGACGTGAACGACAACCCGCCTCTTTTCCTTTGCGCCTCGGACGGTTGCTTTATGGGGCAAATTCCAGAAGACGCCCCCGCTGACTCCACCGTCATGGAGATGTCGGCGGTAGACCTTGATGACCCCAGAGCTGGGAAGAATGCCGTGTTAACCTACAGTATTATTCAGAACGTCCAAAACGAGATTAACCTCAACCTGTTCTCAGTTAACCCAGCTACTGGCACCATCTACACTGTGTTGGGATCCTTAGACAGGGAGAAAGAAGACCGGTACCTGGTGGTGGTTGAGGCGAAAGATGGAGGAGGCCTGACTGGAACAGGGACTGCCACTATTTTGGTCACTGACGTAAATGACCACACGCCAACCTTCACGCAAAAGATCTACACGGCCTTTGTCTCCGAGGGCGCAAGCCTCAGCGCTGAGGTTGCTGTGGTGTCAGCTACTGATGGGGATGAAGGAGAAAACGCTGTGGTGGCTTTCAGCATCGTAGGTGGAGATGAGGACCACAAATTCTTTATTGAGACGGACAAAGCAGACAAACGCGGTATAATTCGACTGAGGAAGCGGATAGATTTCGAGAAACCCCACGAGAGGGTGTTTAACTTGACCGTAAAAGCAGAGGACCTGGATTTTTCCAGCATAGCTCACTGTGTCATCTATGTGGAGGACTCCAACGACCACGCTCCTCTGTTTTACCCACAATTCTATGAGGTAGCAGGTCTGGCTGAAGACGTCCCCCTCGGAACTAAAGTCGTCCAGGTTATTGCTGTTGATTTAGATTCCGGGCTGAATGGACGGTTCTCTTACCGCCTGCTAAATAAGTCGGACCCAAATGGGAAGTTCTCTGTGGCTACTGATGGCTGGGTCCTTGTGGCAGGTCTTCTGGATTATGAAACTGTGGCACAGTACCAACTCGTGGTCATCGCTACAGATATGGGACAGCCTCCTTTGAGCGGCAGTGCCACAGTCCTCGTGGCTCTTCAAGACGTAAACGACAACGGACCCGAGTTTGAGGCGCAGTACAACCCAGTAGTTTGGGAAAACACTCCTTCTCCTCAGATTGTCCAGATGAACGATACCTCAACGCTTTTGTACGCTAAGGACAGGGACAGCCCAGCAAATGGGGCGCCTTTCTCCTTTCACTTACTGAGCGACTTTGGCAGCGTGACTTATTTTAATTTGCAGGACTTCAGCAATGGGAGTGCAATGCTAACTGCGTTGCACACATTCGACAGGGAGGTGCACAAGGTATTTGAATTGCGGATTCTCATTGCTGACAGCGGGAGCCCTCCCATGAGCTCAACCAACACATTAACCGTGAATATCGGAGACCGAAATGACCACCCTCATGCTGCTGGCTTCATGGAGTGCCTCATCTACAGCTACAATGGTAAGCTGATGGTGATGAAGCTGGCTTGCATGCTTAAAGGAGACTGCCTTATTCCAGGTCATGTTTTGTACATCTACCTTGGTATTGTCTACTCAAACTGGCAGCAGCTCTGCAGGGCCTCAGCCTCATCTTTCCCACCACTTGATCCTTAAAAAAAACCCCAGAAACTCTGATGCCAGGGGTTGAACATGAGACCTTCTGCATGCAGAGCTTGTGACTTGCCATGAAGCTACCTACGGTCATGCCTGTATTCTGCATTCTTATAGCCTGTGTTCCCTGTTCACAATCAGTTTCAGAACACCTTGGGTGAACATTAGGATGCATACAGAGGTGTTCTTGGTGAATCCCCTCCCAACTTTACATCTCCTGTTGGTTTTAGCTTGATGAGTTCTTCCCAAAGATTTATGGGTTGTAAATTTGGGTGCATTTGGGGAAAGGAGTTAAAATAATACTAAAGAAAGTCGGGTGAGTTGAATGTGTTCTTTCGTGCAGTGTCTTCCAAAATCTGTTCTGGCGAATGCCCATCAGTTTGCCTACTACCATCAATCTTCCCCTTAAATCACATGGCAGCAGTGATTGTAACGTCCATCAGGCTGTTATGCAAGCAGAGACTGGCACCTGCTGTGCTGTTTGGCATTCTGGCTATCTATCCTTACTAAAAAGCATATGTTTAGCCCTTCTTTTTAAGAGAAGTGTGAATGAGTGCAAACCAGGCTTGGGGAACCTTCTGCTCATGGGTCTAATTAGGTCCCAATTTGGCCCATGAGGCTGTTTTCCCTTAACCCACACCCACCTCCCTTTACACCTGACATCGTGTGATAATCGGCTGATGGGTGGTGTTTCAATGCACCATGCTCTTTGCAAGATTGCCCCATCACCTGGCATAACTGTCATGTCAAGTGACTGGCAGGTTAAATTTGATTGACTGTCAAATTTGGCCCACAAGAATTAGAGGAGAGAAGGATCTGGGCTGCTTCACAGATCTAATTCTAGTGCATGCTGAAATCCTGGTCTGGGACCAATGATCCATGTGTGGGAAGCACTTCGAAGTTGCAGGGTATTTTGTTGATATCCCCCACCAGCTGCAGAGCATGCTACAACTTCTGAAAAGCCACTCCAGATGGTGAGAGGACTTTACATGGGGGGGGCAGGGGCTGGAACTGGCACATCCCTCCCCCCAGTGCATGGATCATTCCTCAGTGGTTGAGCTCATGCATTGCATGCAAAAGGTCATAGGTACAATCCCTGGTATCTTCAGGTAGGGCTGAGAAAGACTTCTGTTGTCTGAAATTGTGGAGAGAAATGGTGAGTCAGTGTAGAGAATAGTGAGAGCAGTGGTCCGACTAGGCATAAAGCAGGTCCCTCTGCTCTTCCCTAGGAATTGTTAGATCCAAGCCTCAGGTGGCATAGGAGCCTGAACAGGAATTTTGGTGGTTGGTGAGCTCGGCATAGTTCCCATGGTCCTTACCTGGCTGGTTTCTGAGTCTCTATTTCCTTTGCTGAGACATTCCCTTCACTTAAAAAACATGGGTTTCTAAAACAGGTGCCTGCTATAAGCAAGCATATGCAGTTTTTTCTTGATTGTCTCAATTCACTAAATTTGATTTTCCTTATTTCACCTTGGAACAAGAGCTTTCTTGCCCCAGATTTTGTTTTTGTAGGCATACAGCCTGCGCAGCTTGGATGGCAGGTGTGTGTCAGCTTGCAAGTGTTGATATCTTGCGCTGATATTTCAACAGCACAACATGCTTCCAGAATAGTTGAAAAGCAAACATGATAGGAGAATAAAATGAATAGTAATTTTTTAACACTTGCAGAATGCTTTCTCACATTTACGTAAGTCGTAGATTTTCTTTTTTCCCATTTTTCTTCTCTTTTTTTTAAGGTATCTTACCCACAACTGTATTGGGTCAGATTCATGCCCCAGACAATGATGACTGGGACCACAAGACGTATCACTTTGAAGGGAAAGCACCCAGGTAAATGTCAAGTTCTTAAGTTTTTGAAAATAGCTCTCTCTTAATGAGAGAGTTGAGTATCAGAAACGGGTAGCTGTTCTGAAAACTAATGCAGTATAGCTTCACAGAACACATGGGCTGCATTCACACATCATACTAAATCAGGGTTGCCAACATGGTGGTGATACCTCTGTGCACCCACCCACACACTACCCCCTTTGTCTTAAGGTGCTAAGAGTGGTTTCCTTTTTCAGCCTTAAGAACAACATAGAGCTGAAGAAGGAAGTTGGAGGAGAGGACTCTCTTTCCCACTTCCTCTTTCAGCTCTATGACTTTTACCCAGCTCTTAGAAATGTGAGGTGTATGCACGCTATTTCTGGGTTTTGTTTTGTTTTAAAGGTAGGCTGCTAAGGTAGGGGGTAACCAGAGGTATAGTGCCCACTTGCTCAAAAATCTAATTGTGCCTGTGGACCTAAAAATGTTGGCAACCCTTGCACTGTGCTATAGTTTAGTGTGACGTGCATAAAGTGAAAGGGTGGACATAGGAAAACATTTTTGGCTATTGTTATTAAGACTATTGAGGAGATTTCTAGATATAAATTGCTGGGCCCTATGCTTCACTTATGGGACAATTTGCACCAGACAATGTAATCTACCTATTAAAAAATAGCATTATGTGCACCCCAGACTTCAAACTATGAGAGATTTCAGGGGTGCAAGTGTGTACCACAGGTTTGGTTTCTTTAGAAGGAAAGTACTTAAGAGATGATGCGTGTTTTTGCAGTGCATTAATATACAAATTTCATACATCAAGGTGATTTGGGAAGGGCAGGAGTCCCCAAAAGGTGGTGTGCCACTGCCCAGAAGCAGAGGCGCTGCCACTCACCGAGAAGTCGGGGCGGGGGGGGGGGAGCAGTGAAGTGGTTGACGCTGTGCAGACACATCAGCAGGAATGCTGGATTGGCTTTTCCACTGGGCCCGCAGAGCACGGGTTGCTTAGTTCCTTTCCCTCCAGGAGGGCAGTAATTTCGCTGCCAGGAGGTCAAGTGTGTGAGTAACACCCATTCTCACTTACTGCTCCTGGACAAATTTATTTTAAGGATCAACAGGCAAGCATAACCAATTATGCTGGGGAGCAGATAAATTTACCAGAGGGTAAGTTCACATGAAATGCAACGAGCCAACACAGCAATGAAAATTAAGCAGATGATGTGAATGCATGCATTTGTTGTTATTTCATTTAACAAAATTTATACACCACTTGAGTCAACAGAGAGCTCTAGCCACAATATGATCGGGTGATACCATGAATGGTTTCTTCCTCTCAGGTATTTTATCCTGAATGACAATTCTGGCTTACTAAGTATCAAAGAAGGAACTCCTTCAGGAACCTATGACATAAGAGTGAAAGTTACAGATGGCATCTGGCCTGATGTGGTCTCCACTGTAAGGGTGGTTGTGAAAGAAATCAAGGAAGAAGCTGCCCACAATGCAGGATCTATCCGAATAAGAGGTAAATGATGAGTTGTAAGCATCTTCTGGAGATCAGTTAACATTGTTGAGACTCCTGAATGCCCACCAAGGCCTGCAATTGAGTCACTAAGGACTCATGACCAGGGGTATCAAAGGTTGCAATGTAACAGGTTCATGAGGGTATCATAGTTCTCTTGGTGGAAGGTTGTTGATCCAGGACCCAGAAGAGTGATATTCTAGGACCGGGGTGGGGAACCTTTTCTGGCTGGAGCACCTGATCTTTATCAACCCCACCTCTAGCGGGCCAGTGTTGACAAGGCGGGCTGGACCTCTGACATGTCAATCACCTGACCTTAGAGCGGCATCCAGTGATGCTTTCCCTTTGCAAAAGCCTCTTTGAAGTGGCTAATGCAGGCATGTTGCTTCAAAGGATGCTTTTGCACAGGGCTGGAGGTCCCCCACCCCTGGTATAGAAGACAGAAAGTGATTTCTCACTGTCAGCAACCTTCCCTGGTTGGATTCCAGCACAAGCTAACTCAACTGACCCCCAGTATCAGTAGGAGAAGAGCGGTCTGCACCCTCAAATGCTGCCATGACTAGTGACGGGGAACACTGTCAATTATGATTTCTGTCAAGTTCCCATTTTTTTCCATTCTCATTTTCAAATCGGTCTCCCACTCCTTTTTAACAAAACTTTCTTACAAAAATTCACCAGCATTTTAGGGTACATTTTTCTATACCTGTGTTTGTATGCAATTTTGTCTAAACTGCAAAGCAGTTTACCTAATAAGAGTGCATTTTAATACAAACATTACCCTGGTTTATGCATTTTTGTATGCATCACTTGGCTAGAAAGCTGCATTGCAAATTCAGAGAAATGTGAATTTCAAACAATGGCTGTGTTTCAGGTTGTGAATTTTTTTTCTGTGTGTGCAAAATTTGGCATGTCTGCCTTTACATATGAACTGAATCAAATATCTCCCCCATACCTAGTCATGGCATCCCCCAAAGCCAGGATTTCAGGTCAGTTTAATAGCCCAAGGTTTCCTGCAACGTGTCTTGTCCCTTGGTAGAGGCCACAGGTAACCATGGAGTACCAAGATGTTGGTAAAGTAGTATGTGTTTAAAAAAATTAAGGTTTAGGTATGAGATTGGATAAATTTTCAAAGGATGAATTCCTATGAACGTTCTGGAAGTGGTCTTGCCTTTTAGAGAGGAGATGCCTGAAGGTTTTTATTTCACCGTTGCTTCAGTGTCAGGCTTGGAAATTTGTGTGTGTGTGATATATTTACAGATATCACTGCAGAGGATTTTATATATCAGTCATCCGAGAGTGAAAGTAAGTACAACCAAATGAAGAAGCTTTTTTCAGAAATCATACCGGCCCAACTCGAAAATGTCCACATCTTCAGTGTCTTGAACAGCCCAGGCAAAACACAAGGGGTAGATGTATGGTTTGCAATTCATGGATCACCCTATTACAAAGCAGAAAAACTTAACGGAAATGTTGCTGTGTCCAAAGCACGGGTAAGTGGTGTTTGTTTGTCATTCCCTCTCTCTACCCACCCCCAACTTGCAATTCTAGGCAACATTTTTAATGAAGTCTCTACAGAACCTATCTGATGGAATCTTTGTGGATTTCCTTCTAAATTTTATTCCAGATTTTGAGAGTGCAATTTTGCATGGGAAACACACGGCAGCTACTTCATGATCAAACAGGTTTGAAGATAGTCTTTCCCCCCAAAGAACTCCACTCTGCAGAGGGAGTGGACCTGTTGAGATGGCCCGCCTGTGGGGACTGGTGGAATCTGATGGTTTCCTAAACACCTGGTGGTGTGCAGGCAAAAAAAAAGACTGTGGGGGAGGGGCAGCTGGAGCACAGGTAGTGTAAATCCCAGTCTGAACCTGAGGGTATATAGTCATACCCTGAAAGTCGAATGGAATCCGTTCCGGCAGTCCGTTCGGCTTCCAAAACGTTCGGAAACCAAGGTGCAGCTTCCAATTGGCTGCAGGAAGCTCCTGCAGCCAATCAGAAGCTGCAGAACCCACGTTGGACGTTCGGGTTCCAAAGAACATTCGCAAACTGGAATACTCACTTCCGGGTTTGCAGTGTTCAGGAGTCAAAAGGTTCAAGTCTCAAGGCGTTCGACTTCCAAGGTATGACTGTATTGCTGTTCTTACCATAGGGCGATGATGGCAGGAAAAGCCATCCAGCAAAACTTTTCCAAGTGGTGAGTGGACTCTTGCCATGTGGCCAAGAGAGCGTTGTTCTTGTCCTCAGCAGCCTACTGTAACAATTTTACAGATTTCTAAATGCAATAATATATAAAAAATTCCTGAGGGACAAAATGGCTCAGAGTCACACAGAGCTGGACATCACAGTTATAGCTTGCCCAGTAAACGGGCAGTTTCAGTTATTGGAGTGGGGAAGCTGCTTGGAGAAGCAATTCCATTCACCTGCCCCCTTGACCCTTTCCCATCTTGGCTTCTTAGAGCTGGCTGAAGGAGACTTGACAGGGTGGGTCCAGTGGGTTATTGGAGGAGAGCTGATGGTAGTTGTTGTCCAAAACATCTGGAGGGTACCAGGGTTGCTGAAAGCTGCACTAGTTTAAGACTAAACTGAACATTGGGTTTAATCTAATTCAGTCCAGACTTTTTAAGAACAAATACTTTGCTGGGCACTGCTTGCTATGAGACAACTGCAGCAGAGCCCAAAGGGTATCATTTGTGAAGTCTTCAAAGAGGTGTTTTTAGTCTAGTTCTCTTGTGCATTTCTGGTTCCTTTAAAAAAAAAAGGGCTGACAACTAGATCTAACCCACAACAGCTGGAAACTATCCTGAATATCAGCATCACACAAGTTGGCATAGATGAGTGCGCAACTGAAAACTGCTCTCATAGCGCCGGATGCACCAGCAAAAATGAATTCAGTGCTCTTCCCACGATTACTTCTTCCGGAAATGTTTTGCTGGCCTCCATTACAGTGCTGAGCAGTGCCCAGTGTACTTGCGAAGCTCGGGAGAGAAAGCACCATTCTTGTTCCTCCTACCGGATCAATCCATGCTTTAATGGTGGCACCTGTACAGACACAGACCTGGGCTACAGGTTAGTAGATTGGCTCATGATTGAGCTGTGTTGTTGTTGTTGTTTTAAAAAAGTGCCAACCTTTATGTGGGGATGGGGAACAGGATCATGGTAGAACTCCAGATTCGAAAGTAGCCAACCCTCTGCAGGCCTCTTTTGACAGGCGGGTGGGGCCACTCAGCTGCCAATCACTTGACATCATATAAAACCATGCAAATTGAATGGCTGCAAAGGAAGAATGGGCTCCCCCTCCTTCCTTCGCAGCCACAGCTTGAAGGTTTGCCTCATGAACTTCCCGCTCCTGACATCAAGTGTGGAAAATGTGGGTGCGGTTGACACAAAATGACTTGGTGACCCGCCCTTAGAGACTGGACAAGTCTCAGGGGCTTTATAGTGATGAAATGTTCAAGGCGGAGTACAATAATTCCAACTAAAGGAAATATCATTCACAGATTATATACTCGGGTCACCTTATATGCTAATAACCAATTCTAATGCCATCTGCACACAAGAGGGAAGTATCTTGAAGCCTGGGAGAATCCCAGGTTTTGCAGAATTATACATCTTTGACCCCAGACATGTTTCTGAAATGGCTTCATGGCTGTCATATTTTTCCAAGACACAAGATGGCAATGTTGGGCTTTGAAGTTAAATCTCTATGGTTTCAAGCTTAAGGATAGCTCCTCTTGCCTCCCTGATCAACTCTTTCCTACAACCAATGAATAGAAGTGGACCCGTTATATTTGAAAGGAAATTATTCCCCTGCAAAAAATGTTTTGGGTTTTTGTCTCCTTTCTCCTCCTGGAACATTGTCTGCCATCTCTTGAGTACTTCTCACTGTGCAGTGAACTTTCCCATTTCTTTATTTGTGGATGTCCATTAGGCCCTTTAGATACTAAAGAATTTAGAAGAAATTTGTTTTGTTAGATTTAGCGTGTGCATGTAGGAGATATATACCACCTTCTCTCTGAGGAACTCAAGGCAGTGTACATAGTCCCCCCCCATCCCCTCCTTTTTAATCCTGACAACAACACACTGAGGTAGATAATTCTGAGAAATTAACGGCTATTTCAGGGTCATCCATTGAGCTTAAGGGCTGAGGAGAATTCTTCCCTGCCCTTATCTGACACCATAACCCAAGGTGGGGAACCTGTGGCCCTCTAAATGTCGCTGGACTACAACTCCCATCACCCCTGGTCATTAGCCAAGCCACCCATCTTAGAGGCCCTCACTTCCTCCTGCTGGAGTGAGTTACATAGTTTAACTGCACTGTGTGAAGAAACTCCGCCTGTACGTTACTACTACTAGCAATAATCTTAAGGGGGGGGTTGTTGCCTGCCCTTCACCAGAAGATCTCAAAGCGGGTTAAGTAATGTACAAATAAAATGTTAAAACCAGTTTAAACAACTAACCATCAGGAAGAATAAGGTGAGTCCTAGAAACCATTCTTCCAGTGGCAAAGGGTAGCTACTACGCTCTCTGCTTTGCAATGTGTGTCTGCTTAGGGGTAGAGAGAGGGACAGGAATAACACATTGGTTTATTTCTGCAGCTGCAAGTGCCCCATGGCTTTCCATGGGCCTGAATGCCAGCAGACACAGCACACCTTCCGAGGACACGGATATGCCTGGTTCCCAACCCTCAAGCCTTGCTTCCAGAGCCGTATCTCGCTGGATTTCATTACCGAAGCAGCCAATGGACTTCTGCTTTACAACGGGCCCATGACACGCCTGAAGCCGGGGGAAGCAGAGGATTTCATTGCCCTAGGTGAAAGATTTCTGTTTCTCTCCTTCTGTACTACTGGATCATAAAGCAGGGGTTGGGAATCATCCCCCTCCCCCCGGCATTCCCTCAGGACCACATGCTAGAGATGGGTAGGGCCAGAGGCAAAATGGGTAGAGCGGTGGAAGTGATTCCAAAGGCGTCTGGACTATGGCAGTACAGACACTGAGGTCCAGCTCCAAGGGCCTTCTGGTGGTTCCCTCACTGTGAGAAGTGAAGTTTAAAAGGAACAAGGCAGAGGCCCTTCTTGGTAGCGGCACCCGCCCTGTGGAACACCCTCCCACCAGATGTCAAGGAGATAAATAACTACACAACTTTCTGAAGACATCTGAAAGCAGCCCTGCATAGGGAAGTTTTTAATGTTTGATATTTGTTTGCCGTGTTTTATTCTCTTGGAAGCGGCCTAGAATGGCTAGGACAACCCAGTCAGTTGGGCGGGGTATAAATAATAAACTTATTATTATTTCTCATTTTGCTCTCTACACCTAAGGTATATTCCTCTTTCAACTGTATTTATACTGGAATCATAGAATTGGAAGAGATCACAAGGGTCATCTCTTGTGCAGGAATCTCTTGCCCAACGTGGGACTCAAACTCACGACATGTGAGATTAAGAGTCTCATTCTGTACCAACTGAGTTATCCCAGCTGAGGGTATGCAAAGCCAGGAGCGACTTGACTGGTGGGGCCTCCCCGTAGTAGCTACTTACAGGGAGGGACGAGGCAGCAGCAAGGTCAGGGCTGCACAGATGCACTGGTAGAGCCAACTGAGCAGTCCTGCTGGTGCACCCTCTAAGTCGCATCCGCTTTCCCCCACTCCTGGTAAGCGACAGTGACGCTTCTCCTTGGGATGCTGTTGCTGTGGCCAACTCCTCTTCCACTGGGCAAACTGCTCCTGCATGAAGGTAATGTGAGTTCTTGTAGTCTTAGATCAGGCATCCCCAAACTCAGCATCCCCAAACTCTGTCCAGATGTTTTGGGACTACAATTCCCATCATCCCTGACCACTGGTCCTGTAAGCTAGGGGTGATGGGAGTTGTAGTCCCAAAACATCTGGAGGGCCGAGTTTGGGGATGCCTGTCTTAGATGATACAAAAGAAGTGCATGTCAACAAGGATCAAGCGAAATTCTCAAGGAAGAAAACCACCCAATATGCTTTTCTCTTTCATTAAACAGAGCTCTCGGAGGGCGTTCCATTGCTAACTTTGAGCCATGGCTCAGGGGCACTGCTTCTGCAGCTGTCGGAGAAAGTCAACGTCGCTGATCGGCGCTGGCATAACATAAACATAATCAACGATGGAAAGGCAAGTGTAAAGTGTACCCCAAAAGGACTCTAGAAGTTTTTGAGCTTTCACACCCAATCTTTATTTGAGCATAGCATATGTTTTTTTATGTTAGTTTATCCTGAAGGGAAGTCACATTTGTAGAGGAAGGGAGGAAATTAGATTTGTGATTAGATGCTACATGGGTAGGTGCATATTTTTTTCTCAGGTGGAATAATTTGGTTGGGGAATTGGCACAGGGGGCAGGAGACAGGACTCTCCAGCGCTCTGGCTCCAATCTGAGTCAACATAAATATCTTTTCCACTTTAGAAAGTACAGCTGATCTTGGACCACTGCGTAAATGTCTCTGTTATGAACAGCGTCGGTGCCCTGCAGGGAGTGTCGAGGGCAGATAAATCTGCCTGTAAAGTTTCTTCCGAGACTCCAGGAAGTGAGAGGTAAAATATTGGAAATATAAGCTTTGACTGGTAGATCAATCAACTTGAGTTTAGGTTGTTTAATTGATGCAGGCCATTTTGAATCGGTAGGGCCGTGGGCTAAGTCAGCAAATTTCATTACGCCGCAAGACATGCAGGTTAGTGACTTGTTTAATGATAACCTTTGATTCTTTGGGCCACTTCAGACATCATACCATTCAGTTGTCAACAACCTGCCTTCTGTCTGGGGTTCTTAGTTTAGCTACCATTCCAAGGATCCTTTGGGGGGAGCCGTGTAGTTTCAATGCATGGTGTGTACACAGCCACAGTATGAATCCATGGAGAGCTGCTGTCTGTCAGTGTTGGTAGCTAGATGAACCAGTGGTCTGACTCAGTATAGGGCATCTTCCTGTGTTCCCTTCCTCAAAGGCCAGCGGTTATCCTTATCTAGGTTGGTTGTAGGTTTATTAGAACTGTGGGGTGTGTTTTGCTTTTTTGCTTTCTACCTTTCTAATTCTCTTGCTGTTGGTAGATTTCTCAACGTTCACCAGCCTCTCCAGCTGGGTGGAGTGAAGAAGGCCCAGCCCTACCATACGTCACAAAAGCATTTCAGAGGGTTTGTTGGCTGCATCCGAAATGTTGTTCTCGATAGCCAGGTAAGACCATCAAGGCATCGCACATTCTTCCCCAGCTCCCTGCCATCCCAGTCTACCTGCAGCTGCTTACCGCCATTCTTCTTGCTTATCTATTTTTCTATAGGTATACAATTTAGAGCATCCTGCAGAGTCCTTGAACAGTGCACCAGGCTGCTCTCTGACTGACGGGCTGTGCCAGAAAGCTGGTGTGTCTTCCTGTGGCACCCATGGCAAATGCATTGGCGACTGGGGCTCTTTTAACTGTGATTGTTTCACTGGCTACACAGGAGCAAGATGTGACAAAGGTTTGGTTTGCATTGTGGGGGAAATTTCAGTAATCCCAAAGAAAAGACTCTGGCAACAAGGCAGTGGACTTGGTTTCGGTTTTGATTTTAATGAGACAGATTTGTTAGCTTTTCCGTTAGGAGTGCATTTTGCACCATGCTCCCACCCCTAATTTTGTGTATTTTTCACTTAAGCGCTGCATAATCTAATTCTGCTTCCATAACAAGGAATAGGGACTTTTGGTAAATGGAGCGTGGAGTTGCTGAGGACTAGATATATTTTTGTCCCTAACCAAAATAAAATGCAAGCTAATATTTTTAGTCATTAAATGTGTTGTGTTTATGCCTGCCAGCTTAGTAGAACACCTTCCTGCAGCAATGTAGTTGGCTGTGGTCCCACAAAACCTTGTGCCCTAATAAAGACTCTTTGATTTTAATAAAATATAAATTCATACTAGACACTTAGGAAGTAAAAGGGAGGTGGGAAAGTCCAAATTATTACACAGTATGACCTTCGTCTGTCCTTTCACATTTAGCTCTTCCAGAATGGACTTTTGGAAAGGATAGTTGGATTCACTATGAACTGAAAACGCTGTTTAATGCATACCACACCCGTGTCCAACTTGCAGTACGCACAAGGATGTCCTTCTGTACCCTTCTCAGTATGGCATCTTCGGATGGAAGCGGATACATTAGAGTGGAGGTAAACAATTAATCCACTGTTTTTCCACAAACACTTTCATTTTTTCATTTTTTTTAAAAAACCAAACCAGCGATTACAGGAGCAAAAAATAAAATTAAGTAAAAGTAAGTGTCACATCATACATTGATGTTAAGGAAAAGACAATCCAGATTTCCCTCATCAGTGCAGGTAGAGACTAATTTGCATCAGTTCCAAAAGTGCAAGAAATAAAGCATAAAAACAATCTGGGTCTTTTGACCCATTGGAGACCTTTAAATTGTGAGTAATCCTCTCTGAAATGGATATTTCTATAACAACGTGTTAACTATAAGGCCTTCAGTGTTTTCTACCTTTCATGGAATCATCATAGAATCATAGAGTTGGAAGGGACCCTGAGGATCATCTATTCCAGCCCCCTGCAATGCAGGAATATGCAGTTGTCCCTTACGGTGATTGAACCTGCAACCTTGGCTTCAATCACCACCGTGCTATAACCAGCTGAGCTATCCAGCTGCCTTTGTGCCATTGAGATTCTGGCTGCAGCCAGCATCCAGCTTTCAAGCACAAATTGCATACATGACCATCCCAGATACTTAACAAAGAAAGTTGTTTTTACATATTACATAATTCTACAGCTGTTTTCTCCTGTGACTATGTTAGACACCACAATAATTATTTTTCTTTTCATTTCCCAGTTAAATGGGTTTCCAGTTAAAAAGCTGCATTTTCTGAAAAGTTTCTTTAATCTTATAAAAACTTAATTGGAGCAGAGCACGTTTCCCACTGCAAAGAACAACAGTTTGCTCCCATTAAACACTCAGATCTTTAAGTATGCTATAGGCATCTTCCATAAAATTATATATCAAGACCATGCTTCTCATGTCTCCATGCAGGTAATTGGTGGACATTTTGGGGTGAGCTTCAATTTGGGAGACAAAGACCACACACTTCAATTAAGCACTGTGCACATAGACAATGGTCAGTGGGTTGAACTAGCCTTACAGCGGTATCACAATGAATTTTATTTGCGTATCAATGATGGTGGAGGCGATCATGAGACTTCGGCCATTCTGGGATCAAGCGGACAGTTTGAAATGAATTTGGCAAGCATTGTACTCGGAAACCGCCTTGCTAACGGTTCAGAAAGCGATTTCCAAGGTACGTGGTGTGTCTGATGGACCTGGAAAATTTGAAAACCAGTAAAAATTGCTCATGTCCTTTGTAGAACCACTAAGGATGTGCAGCTCAGAATTTCCTCCAGAGGGCAGCCGCACTGGGCATTTCCCAGGGCCCCAAGACCAGAAATGGGCCCACTCATCTAACAGTACTACCAGTTCTGCTTTGTACAGCGTATCTAAGAAGATCAGGGGCAGCTTACGAGAATTTGCACCACCCATTTCTTCCATGTTTGGGGCCCCCACTGAAAATGCCATGCCATCCTAGAATAACTCCTAGGAAGCCATTCATTTAAAAAATATTTATCATCATCATCAATTCTCCCCATAACTATGGCTTTTTCCATGTTGTATCAATGGAATGCAATTGTAACAGGTAATAGGTGTTGCTTGTTCAATAGCGATGGAATAACCTTTCTAGATGATGCATTGGGAAGTGGTTCTCATTGTCTCCACCCATTTCTCTGTTATGGGACAGCTTTGCACTGTGCTGTACTTGGCAAGACTAGCAGTTTTCTGCATCGCTGCACCAGCATGGTGCTCCTGACTTGAGTGACATCCAGGGTTCACTGAACATCGGTGCAATGCACTTTCACCACTTCTGATGTCGCACTACACTCCCGTTAAAGGAGGACCATTTACAACGAAGCTCACTTAAGCCTCTCTTCCTTCTGGTGCTCCCTGCAGGCTGTATGAGGGATGTCCGCCTGAATGGCCAGCCTCTTCTTGTGGATGGCAAAAGCACTGAATACAGCTTCATTGTGGAGCAGCAGGGCATCACCATAGGTTGCCATTCCAGCTCTTGCAGCAGCCAGCCCTGTTACAGCCCTTTCCACTGCGTAGACCTTTGGAGGAAGTATGAGTGCAGGTATATATACCCTGGTCTTGCTTTGTTCTCTTTTCCTTTTGAAATCTTTTTCCTTTTGAAAAATCAACTGGTTGGCCATGGTGAGAACAGAATGCCAGCCTAGATGGCCCATTGGGCTGATCCACCAAGGCTCTTCTCTCATATCCGTGGAAGGAAACAAGCCAGCAGTAACCCTACCATATGTAGCACCAGAATGTAAATGTCCCTTGTTAAGTCTTTTTGCCGCAACACCAGTGTGCATGAGCTCCTGCACACAGACAAGAAAGGAACCTCGCCACCTGCACCCAGAGAGCTTTGCATTTTTGCTTTAGTTGGGAGCTGGGACTAGCTTACTTTCTGGGACATCCTCTGTTCCCGAGAACATTTCCTGCTGTCATTCCAGATTTTGTGATAACCGTTCTAACTCGTCTGTAGAGGGCATCAGCATTGATGCAGGAGCAGGCAAGCACTGGCTTAAGGGGGCTGGAGAGCATTGCACCACTTTTGAAAAATCACTCTGTTCCCATCCCTTGTTTTTAGAGGGGCACCAAGTAGTCCAGGGTCCGTATTGGCCTGCACACATCACCAAGGGACCACAGGAAGTGTTTCTTCTGGTCCATCATTTCAGGAGCACAGCCACACAAGATAGGTGCTCCTCCCAGGCGATCTGTTTATTCTGCATCAATCCTGGTTTGCTTGCACAAAGCATATGTTGTGTCTGGCCTTCATTGAGCATGCATTCCGATTCATTTACATGGCAGTTCTGTAACAATGAAGTCACACTGCTTTACTTGTGGAGTGTTAATACATTTTCCTTCTAACTCCACAACTTTCAGTGCATTTTCCCCATCAGAGTCCATTTGCTGTTCCTATTAATTGTGTTTGTTTTGCTAGGGCATGGGTAGGCAAACTAAGGCCTGGGGGCCGGATCTTGCCCAATCGCCGTCTAAATCCAGCTCGCGGACAGTCCGGGAATCAGCATGTTTTTACATGAGTAGAATGTGTCCTTTTATTTAAAATGCATCTCTGGGTTATTTGTGGGGCATAGGATTTCGTTCATTTTTTTTTTCTTTTCAAAATATTGTCCGCCCCCCCCAAAGGTCTGAGGGACAGTGGACCAGCCCCCTGCTGAAAAAGTTTGCTGACCCCTGCACTAGGGCAACAGAGTGCCCCTATCTACTTTAATTATGCAAACCTGAATTTCTGGCATATGCTTGAATCCCTCCTGCAAAATAGTGGAGCCTGGAGACATCCAGAGACAAGAGCAGCTTAGGTGGGACCCAAAAGGTACCTGCTGTTATTTCAGCCACTGGTTCTGCTCGCTCCCCTAAAGAAACTTGTGGGTCCCCAAAGCGGATGCTTATCAAATTGCCCCGGCAAGGGATTTCCAATCCTTCCTTTGCATTTATTTACATTGCAAAATAACAGAGCAGCTTCATGTTTTATCTCTTTTATGAAAACGGTGGGTTTCTCTTCATCCAGGTGCCCAGCTGGCAAAGTGGAAGTGATGGATAATCTCACGGGCTTGAAACAGTGCACATCGTCACCCTGCGGGCACTGGAACTGCAGGAATGGAGGGACCTGTGTGGCCCAGTCCCGAGACAAATACGTCTGCCAGTGCCCTGAAGGTTATAAAGGGAAATGGTGCGAAGTCGGCCCCGTGAAAGCTGGAAGACCCGTGGGGCTCAGCTCTGGTTCCATCTTGGCTATCAGCATGTGCCTGCTTGTTTTTCTAGGTAGGAAAGTTTCACCTCTCTTGTGCTACAACTTAATTCTGTATTGAAATGAGGACACTTAGCTACGCCTCTGCCTTCCTGTACTGCTTTAACAACTGTTAGTAAAAGATACTCCATGGAGATCTGGCTACCTTCTTCCTTCCCGTCCCTCGCCCCAGTTCTTCCCATCTCCCCCATCTATGTCTTCAGTAGTTCTTGGTCAAGATTGGCACACGTGCCAATAACGGAAGCTTATCTACATTGTTTTGAATATATATGGCAGCCCTAGTCCCACTGCTCCTCTGTGCACCCCGTAAAATTCCCTGCCCTGGTGCTCAGATCAGCATTGGGCAACTGGGTCCAAGACCTGGCATTTACATTTCCCACAGGACCCCAGAATGCTGCTATGTTGGGCACTGTGGGCAACCACTGTAGGGAAAGAAAGGGCCAGTGGGTGTGATTCTACTCCCCTTCTGTGTGCATTTGGATAACAGCTGAGCAGTCTTGCTAAAGCTGGTTGTGTACCCAGGGCTCCCCTTCTTTGGCTGCTGTGTTCAGTGGAGCTCCACAGATGCATGGGACTTGCCAGTGAGAGATCCACACTTGAACCTCCAAGGCTGCCTCCCTGCATTTAACCCTGTGCTTAGGACTTTGAAAACCAAAATGCAAAACTGAGCTCAGCTTTGAATGAATTGTTAACTCGGGAAAGATAAAAATGAGCCTGAGGATCATGTGCATTGCCTGGAGGAAAGGCAGGAAATAAAGCAAAATAAAAGCCTCCCTCAAATAGTCAGCTTGGATGGTGATATTTCTGCTGATATAAGCACAAGCTATTTATTCGTGTTTTTGCAGCCCCTTCGCTTCTCTCTTTGGATGTGGGAAGAGCCAGGCTGGATCAGAGCATCCTGCTTTCCACAGCAGCTAGCCAGATGCCTGTGGAAAGTACACAAGATGAGGGCAATTGCTCTCTCCCACTGTTGTTCCCCAATGACTAGTATACAGAGACATGCAGAGTTTCACCCTGGAAGTAATACCGTATTTTTCGCCCTATAGGACCGTATTTTTCGCCCTATAGGACGCACTTTTTTCTCCAAAAATGAAGGGGAAATCTGGGTGTGTCCTATGGGGCGAATGCAGGCTTTCGCTGAAGCTTGGAGAGCGAGAGGGGTTGGTGCGCACCGACCCCTCTCACTCTCCAGGCTTCAGGAAGACATCCGCAGCCTAGGCAGCCCTGCGGGAGTTCCCGCAGGACTGTCTAGGCTGCGGATAGTAGCCTACTTCCGGGAGCGCCGGGTGCGCTGAAAGCAGAGCGCCCGGCGCTTCGGGAACACATCCGCAGCCTAGGCAGCCCTGCGGGAGGTCCCGCAGGGATGTCTAGGCTGCGGATAGCAGCCTGCTGCCCGGCGGGCGGGGCGCCCTGAAGCAGAGCGCCCCGTGCGCCGGACAGACATCCGCAGCGTGGGGAGCCCTGCAGGAGTTCCCCGCAGGGCTCCCCACGCTGCGGATAGCAGCCTGCCGCCCAGCGGGCGGGGCGCCCTGAAGCAGAGTGCCCCTCGCGCCGGGCAGACATCGGCCAGCCCCACAAGCTCGGGGGACAGCAGGGAGGCGCAGCGCCGCCATCCCGCTGTTCCTCGACCTGGTTCAGTTTCCCCGACCTGCTTTTGGGGGGGGAAATAAAGGAAAAAATTTTTCCTTTATTTCCCCCCCAAAAAACTAGGTGCGTCCTATGGGACAGAGCGTCCTATGGGATGAAAAATACGGTATATAGCTATAGCAACTATTAGTCATTGAACAAGCCAAGATATATTAAACCAAATTCAAACCGTGATTTAATATCCTGACTTGTTCTGAAGCTGGCACCAATAGTTTCATGATTTAGATGAAATGGGAAACTATGGTCATTTACAGACTTCCTCATTTCATTGTGGTTTTCAACAAGGGGAGAGGAAGGAAGGGGCTGCACGCATGAGTAAAAGGTTCATGTGCCTCAGCTTAAGTCAAGTTACGAGCATACAAATGTGGCCACTGTGTACATGTCTCAGAAAAGTAATGACTCAATTTATAATACCACTTTAATCTTCATTAAAACAGTGTTTTACTTACTTTGGGTATCTTATTTACTCAGGATTGGTGAAAGGCCAGAGACTGGCCAAAATGCCCTCTATTTAAATGTCCTAGTGGATTCCTGTAGGTAAGTAAAATACCCTTTTAATGAAGCTTGATGTTAAGATATAGATGATTCATTACACTCCTGAAAAATGTACTTTTGTTTAATTGACCCTTAAATTAAAAGACAGAATTTCCTCCATACGAATATAAACCTTAAATGCTTTGCTTTTCTTCTTTATGAATTGTATACAGCTATGCTCTGCAGGTTGAAGGCTGCTCATAACCAATGTTTCTTTTTTCTTTCTTTCTTTTTCCTTCCTCAGGTTTATTAGTTTCCTATACTGTGTGGAGTCAGTGGGGGAGATCAAGGTTTCGGAAAGGAGGAATTTACCACATCCCTGAGGAACACGAAAGCTGGGAAGATGTTAGAGAAAACATCTTCAATTATAATGAGGAGGGTGGAGGGGAGCATGACCTGGTATGGTTTTGCATGACCTGGTATGGCATCACGACAGCATTTTAAATTCCTTAATAGGCCAGATTCAAATATGCATCAGAGAAATAAAAAAGAAGTAAAATAAACATTTTGAAGGCATGATTGCAAACTGTTTTGTCAGGGGAAAAGTTTCGTAAATGAAATACTTAACCATAGCTAAAGCATAATGCTGTCCATGTTTACTCAAAAGTAAGCCCCACTGTGTTCAGTGGGGATTACTCCCTAGTGTGCAGGTTTAGGACTGCATAAAATTAATATTTATTTATTGCTTTCAAGTTTTGTTTACAAAGCAGTTTACAATATGAATAAGAGGGGGGGAGAGATAAACAAGAAAAGAGTGAATATAGGGGAAAAGATAATCGGGGTAAAATACATACACCCTTCCCCCCCAAAAAATGTACTCTCCAGACAAAAACATTGCAAAGAATATTTGTGCTTCCAGTTTTTTTAATTAGTTTTTATTACTGTTATTGTGTTACAAAACAAATCTTAGTTACATTCTTACAAAACTGGAAGAGATTAGAAATTACAGTTGCATAATGCAGCCCCTGCCAAGCTGTATGCAGCTTACCTGACCAGGTACTGAAGTCCATCCTTTATAAGCCTCTTGCTGCGAGGTTCCAAATAGAACAGGTTAATTGACTAGCAAAGCATGGGTTGTGGGTTTGATACAGGAAGTATGCCATGAAAGTTTAAAAAAACGAAACTGGGAGGCTGGGAATGGGTGGGTCAGTGAGGAAATAAGTGTCACAACCACTTCCAGAATTGTGATGGGAAAGAGATGTTGCCTTTGTGATAAGACCCCCTTTGCCCTTGATTTTATCCCTGATGCCTATCCCTCAAATATTCTCATTAACATTGATTTTAAAAACCCAGACCCTGACTTCTTAGCATCCTGGACCACATTCACCAGCCCAGACTTATTTGTCTGAGGTAAACATTGAGTTCCCATAGACCTCCCTTGTGTTTCACGTCTCTCCCCTTTTTGTCATTGTCACTTTCCTTTAGGGTGGTTCACATGAACCCCTCCACATGGAAGGGATCATCATAGGGCCTTACCTGTCACTGCCACATTCCCCTGAAGTTTTCATGTTCAGTTGAAATTGGAAGGAGTTCTACCTGTGTACATCTACATGTGGGTACAACTCTTCCTGATGCCACTGAACACACGGATGTTACAGAGTGTGGTGGTAGTAATGCACAAGTGTGCTAGCCCACACAGACCCTCCATGTAGTCCTTTACTGCACATTTATGTGAATTCCCCTTTGAGTACTCCAGGGCTGGCTCAGGGGATGATGAGGTGTGCTTCTGAGGAGGCTTCAAGATGGGTGAAGGGCCCATCATCCCACCATTCTCCTTTTGTATGGAGCCCTCCCCCTCCCAGTGGCAGCACGAGAGGATTCTCAGTTTGCGTGACCTGCTTCTTCCAGGTTAAGAGGGCCAGGGTTGCCTTGTCTGAGCGCCCCCCAAAATCCAAGAGCCGGGTCTGGAGTACTCGCAAATTTTATTGGTCGCCACATTTAAAAGAAGAGATAAAACTGAATACAGTACTTTCAGCTGAGGCTAAACCAACTCTGAGTACAAAAGGTACTTGACACTGTCTCTCCTGTCTTGTGTTTAATATTAATTAGCATTAACTTCTTGAAAAACTGGCGTTGTGCATTTTAACTGTGTTGTTTCTCTGGAATCAGCCAGAGATCTTGCTCTAGGACTGACGTTTTGCCAAAATGTTCTCTGAAAGCTTTTTCATATAATAAAAATGTCTTAGAGCTTGATCTTCATGTGGGGAAAACTATATACACTGTAAATTAAGAAGTCTGGCATGAGTGGTTCTCCCCAACCATCAACACATGAAGTTTGAGTGTATGTTCATTGTGGACCTACAGAAGGGAGGCAGAAATCTTTAAGAAATTTTGTATGACCTGACCTTGATTGTATGTAGAAGTGTGTATTTGGTGGGTAGGGCTAGTGGCTAATATGTGAAGCACTGCCATTTATTTGACTGAGTTTTTGAGAATCAGTGTGATTCAGTAGATAAAGCAGCCTTTCCCAAACCAGTTCTTTCCTGATGTTTTGGACCACAAGTCCCATCACATGTGACCATCAGCCATGCTGCCTGGGGCTGATGGGAGTTGGAGTCCAACAGCTTCTGGAGGCCACCATATTGGGGAAGGCTCAAATGAAGAGATGGACTTGGATCTGTGAAACACCCAATGCAAAGTCCTCCTTCCTCTACCGTGGTCTGAATGTGGCCTTGAGCAAGTCCACCATCTCACTACCATGGTCACCATCTGTCAAACAGGACAAATAGTGACTGACCTCCCAGGGCACTGGGATAGAAAAAAGAATAAAGACTTGAAAGTGATGAAAAGTGTGATAAAATAATTAAAGGTAGTAATTTTATTTACTTAATGTTTCCTTTCCATTTCCTCCCCAGAGTGCTTATAATATAGATGCATTGAAGCAACCTCTACAAAGTATACCTCATCTTTCCTCAGGAAACACTGCTTCACTCCTCAGATCACATTCTGGACCACAAAGAAACCCACTTGTGAATCACGCATGCCTGAAAGAATCTTCTTCTTTGGTCCCAGACCTCAAATATTATGTGTCTCAAATACAACAGGATGCAGACAAAGATTTGCAGAGCCTTCCAGCTGATACTGTGCAAGTTTATTGCCAAGAGTGCCAGCACTCTTTGAGTGGAAGCTTGCATTCCTTGGACCTCTCCAGCATAGAGGAAGATCTAAATTATAATTACCTCCAAGAATGGGGACCAAAGTTTGTAAGGTTAAAAGAGCTCTATGAACTTCCAACTGAACAGTTGTAAAATGTGGGAGACAGGAACCTAGCACGTTGCTGTGTGATGGATCCTACTCCTAGGAGAGCACACTTCAAAAACATTTTAGTATTTTATTTAACAATCCAATTTTGGTTCTATTTATTCATGCTGGTTATTTGGGAACAGTAGTGTGGTTGATCTCCTCACCTTCCCTTAAATTATCTGTATACAATATTTTAGTGTCTGTTGTACAAATAACGTTAGAGGGATATTTGTTGTGAAGCTTTGAAACGAAGGAATTCCGTAGCACTGAAGAGTAGCCTTTAAAGTACCTGTAACGTGTGAATCTTTAGTAGTAATCTAGATGTGCGAGTAAATTTCTGCCATATTGTATTATTTAATCCTCTTAATGCTAACTGTTTTGTGTAGATATTGTAAAATACATTTGTTTACTTGTCCCTCTCTTTTTGTACTTGGGCGTCAATAAAATCTTCACTCATTTTTCTAAATAAGGGGAAGAAAATAACAGTTGGACGGCAGCAGGAACCACATATAAAATGTAGAATTAGTATAGAATTAACCTACAGCTCCCCATGGGCATATGGGAAGCACTTCTTTGGGTGGTGGGTCTGATGCTGTTGGGCTTGCCTGTGCCAAAGGGCATTGTTCCTTCTAGAGCCTCCCCCCCATAAGTTTGGGTGCTACGTAATTAGGTTGATTCCCATGTGAGAGCCAGAAGGAAGCAGAAGGGGTGTGTATGTGATTAACCCAGATTCTTGCAGAGATATGGAGTGCTGGGGAATGGCCAGCTGGTGAGAACATACAAGCCATAACTTCTTTGGCAATCACTCATGGCCGAGTATGATTGTCTTCCATGAACACAATCTTAACAGTGAGTCCGTAAGTGACTGTGGAGGCCAATTCTGGTTCCACACGTCCTTCCACAGTGGGGACATTGGTTTCTGACCGGGAATTGATCACGGTGAGGCTTTGCCAAATGTGACTTTCTCTTAGCTCTTTTCTCCTTTTCACTCTTGAGTTTATGCTTTTTCTAAGTCCATGGCACCTTTGGTAAAGGCTGTTCTCCGATTGGAGCGCTTGCAGGCCAGTGTTTCCCAATTATCAGTGTTTATACCGCATTTTTAAAAGATTTGCCTTGAGAGAGTCCTTAAACCTCTTTTGCTGACCACCAGCATTACACTTTTCATTTTTTAGTTTGGAATAGAGTAGTTTCCATTGACACATACAGAGGATGCTTGATGGGTGGGAATATGGTATTGAGCTCACCTGTTGTGCTGAGCAGTTCACTTGGAGGAAAGAGGGAAAATTAGAAAAAGGCTGCAGGTACCTGGGTCAGAGAGAGCAGATGGCGAACCACTATAAACAGGGTCCTGGGGAAGTGTGGTGGGCAATAAATGAGGGAGTGGACGTTTGTAAACTCTGCTCAGCCTCTCGCCCACCTGTCGGTGCTGTTGCTCAACGTCAGCTCAGCCCACTATAAAAATCCGCGATTGGATAGTGGGTGACACAGCTGATCCATATATTTGCAATCAGGCGGTATAGAAATGATAAGACAAATCCCTGCAACTTCTCTCAAGGGAGCGGAGCAGCGGCCTGAACCTCGCGCCAAGATAATGCGCAGGATTCCACAGTCTTAAACACACACACGCATAAGTGCTCCAGCTCCCCCCAGGATTAACAACCCACTAAACCTTTTCACCCGCCGCACAGCTGCCCTGGGAGAAGCTCTACCGGTTGAATTTCTGCTGCTCGCCGCGCACGTGCGCGCTCCGTGGTCCTCCTGGGTGGAATCCAGCGCGAGCGAGCAAGCAAACAAGAGGCACTATGCTTAGGCGAGCGGCCACGGAGGCGGAGCCAGCCGGAAAGCGACGAATCGCTTTCCGAGCCCGGCCTGCCGCCGCTTCTCGATTGGCCGGAATCCAACAATCGGGGCGGAGCAAAAGCCCGGCCGGCTGGCTTTCCGTCCCTCCCCTTTCCCCGAGGCAGGGGAAAGAGCAAGCGGCACAGGCGGCGGCCATTTTGGTTGGTGGAGGTAAGAGGAGGAGGCGGAGGCGTTTGCCTGTAAAGGGTCAGAGGCAAAGGTGAGGAGAGCGAAGGGGCTGCCGCGTCGCTGGGCTCCAGTGGTGTGGGGCTGAGGGGGTGCTCTGAAGGGATGGGATGTTTAAATAGGTGGGGTGCGGTCTTGCAAAATAAAAGGGATACAAGGGAGGAGGCGCTGTAGTATGTGGTGCCGCAGGACCCGCAGTGTGTCGCTTTGCACCGCTGCCGTGGCCCCTCCAAAACGGGGTCTGGATGCAGGAATGGTTTGCCCCCGGCGTATGTGAGATGCAATCAATGCAACAGGGTGGTAGCCAACAGACACCTGAAAGGTGACTCTTCTATGCAAAGCTCACTGTTTGCAACATTTGCAACGTTTCTACGTGTATCCGTGTCAGCTGATAATAACAGCTCTAGTGCACATGGGGAAGACAGCTCCGGTGCACAAAAGCAAAGGCCTCAATGAAATCCTTTTAAAAACAAAAAAAGGAGTCATTTCATGTATGTTTTTTAATGAGGGACTCTCTGTTAGTTTTCATGTAAAGATGCAGATGAAATGGAGCCTAATGAGAAGCGTTTAATGTTGTGAACCGCCCCTGAGATCTGTGGATGTTGGGCTGCAGACCAATCAATCAATAATTAAATAGCTATTTGTTTATTTGTTTGTTTTGCATTTTATTTATTTTGCATTTGTTTTGATGGTTCTGGAGTGTGTTGCTTTCGTACAAACAAACAAACAAGATATCCGTCCCCGCTCACCCCGGATCCCCATTTGTTGTGTTTGTGTTGTGGATCTCAGTGAGGATTAGATACTCTGCAGTCGTAGGAATATATTGCGTTGTATGGAGCAGCCATGTTCTGTTATGATGTTGCTTTTAAATCTGGTGCAGCTGCTGGCCCAGCAAATGCTTGAAGAAAGGGAAAGAAACTGCAGAGGAAGATGAGTGCAGAAGCTGCTGACCGGGAGGCCGTCACTTCAAGTCGACCTTGCACACCTCCCCAAACATCCTGGTTTGAGTTTTTGCTAGAGGAGTCTCTGCTGGACAAACATCTGAAAAAAGTTTCGCCTGGTTAGTAATATCAAAAAATCTACAGAGAACAAGAGAGCTTGACTGTGTTGTTTCTGATGGAATGGTTAGGATTCTCCTTAGTTCTATGTATAGGAATTCTTTTGTTGTGAGCTAAATTTGTTACTTGTCATTTGAATGTGGCTGTACAGTTAAGCTGCTTAAATCCCATTGAAATCAGTGGCATTCCTAAGGGAATGCCACATATTATGAATGTGTGAATGTTTAGCAAAAAATGTATAAAAGGTATCATATTGAATAGAAATAGGGCAAACATTTGCAAGCACACATCATAAACATAGCCATGATTGGTTACAGTGTTCATTTGGTGGTAGACCTGAGTTTGTGTCTGTGATGTGTGAAAGGGCCATAAATGCAGGGTTGTAATCTTCATCAGTATTAAATAATCAGACAAGTTTGTTTTCTCTAAATAAAAAATCATCGCTGCCCGTTCATCCTGGAAAGAATGCTGTTTGCTTTGTATTGGTTACCTCTTTTTCTCTAGTATTTTCATCCAGAACAAACTTTTCCAAACCTGTCTTTTCTGCCCAGTAGATCCCTCACCTGTTCAGCTAATCGTTCAGTTTTTGGAGCAGGCTTCCAAACCTTTGGTGAATGAGCAGAATCAGGTCCAGCCTCCACCTGATAACAAGAGAAACCGCATTTTGAAATTGCTTGCTCTGAAAGTTGCAGCACATTTAAAGTGGGATTTGGATGTACTGGAGAAAAGGTATCAGTGGACTTCTTGGTTAATGTTGTTAACATATAATCAATGGGGAACTTGCAGCTCTTGGGAATTGTAGACCAGAAACATCTTATTATCTCCCACCATTAGCCATACTGTCTGGGCTGATGGGAGTTGTAGTCCCACATCATCTGGAGGGTCCCAGGGTTTAGACAGCATTCATTTTTTAAAAAATTTTTTACATATTTTGTGCACGTTCTCTCTGGTTTTTATTGTTTTTGTTGTCTTAGAGGAGCACATGCCAATACAAATGTATGCTTTAAAAAGTACCTACAATGCTATATTAATAATTATTAATCATGATTCAGCAAGCCTGCTGAAAGTAAACAAGTCTGGTCAGGGCCTGCATGGGAGAACACTTGGAAACCTGATGTATGCTACCTTAAGTTGTATTGCTTTAAGGAAGCTTTGTAACGAAGTACCATTCGGTAACTTCTGCAATCCTTGGTCTTTTATTCAGTTTATCGGTTCCTGTATTGAACATGCTGCTGAACGAACTGCTGTGCATTAGTAAGGTTCCTCCAGGAACTAAGCATGTAGATGTGGACCTTGCCAGTTTACCTCCAACCACAGCAATGGCGATACTACTCTACAATAGATGGTGAGAACGTCATTGTTTGAGTGTCATTGATGTAATTCAAATATGGAGACAAGTGTTAAGATTAAATTAATCTTGATTATATTGCTTAAACTAAACTGGTCTAATTTGATAGTCCTATGACAAAAATGTTGTATGCACATTGGTTTGCAGTTTTCTTTGAGATTTAAACCAGCAGTTGTAATAAATCATTATTTTCAATGTGTACGTAGACCCCTAACTATAATATTATTTTGTAACTTACATAAAAGATCAAGGAAAATTATAGGGATATACTGTCACGTTATTGAATCGGAGGAGAGGTTGACCACAATCCCATTTTAAATGTGGTGTAGAGTCTTAGATCTATTTGTTGCCATTTTTCTTGGGTGGGGCATATGCAGTCATGGATAAAGTTTCACATATTTTTCCTTGTAAAATAGCTTTTTGATACGTAGGAGCCATGCAAGAAAAAAGTTGGCAACTTCATGTGCAATACTATACATGATATTTTTTAGAATCGGATAGGCTGTTGGTGCTTTTTGATAACTTGTGACTATCACACTTTGAGTGCTGTTTTAATGTAGCACAAACTTTTGTTTGAAGCTGTAATAATGGATAGAGCTGATAATAATAATAATAATAATAATAATAATAATAATAATAATATTTTTTATTTATACCCCGCCCTCCCCGGCCAGAGCCGGGCTCAGGGCAGCTAACACTAGTAAAATTACAGTAAAAACATAATGGGGGCAAAAAAACAATTTAAAAATCAGGTTGTTTCCATGACTGAACTGTATGCTTATCACTTAACTTTCTTTTAATAGGGCTATTAGGACCATAGTCAAAAGCAGTTTTCCTGTCAAACAAGTGAAACCTGGTCCACCTCAGTTAAATGTGTAAGTTTGTGCATCTGTTTCAGACCCTTACAAACAATACATTAATCAACTTAACTCTAATTTTAGCAAGGCATAGCAGTGGTTTAACATCGTAGATCATTACAATAAATATTGTTCAGACGTTTAATATTATTGTTGGTTACATGGTCAATTGAAACTTTACTGTATTTTTTTTAAAAGGGTGTGTGTGCATGCTGGTAAACTTTTTTTTTTTTAAAGAACTCTGCCACTGAATTGATTGTAGCTGAGAATAGGTTCTGGTCCCATTAGAGCAAATTATATTCAGAAAAGTTTTGTAAAATGCCTAAAATTTAAAAACTGAATCAATTCTCTATTACTGAAGTGTTGTTGGAGAAATTTAAAATGCCGTAAACAAATTTTTTTTGTTTGTTTTCTTAAATTCAGAAGATGTAAGCTGTTTTGGAAATCTAAATATAGGGGCATCCATTTAATATTGCTTTGAATGGTACGCTCATTGTTGCTTTTGCCTTTTTTATTTAGAATGAATCAGGTTCAGCAAGAAAAGGAAGTAACAGAAAATATCCTGAAAGTAGTAAGTGCCTTTTTCTTTGCTAGATGTGAATGTGAAGGAAAAAATGTGGAACTTTGGATCAATGTACTGAATTTAAACCCTTCCTGGATAAATATGGCCCTTCGTAACTTTCTTTTCTTTTCAATAGTTTATTTGCCATAGCATATATTCCAAACATTCTCGTGCTCTTAAAAACCATAGAATAACACGTCATGTTCTCCAATCTCATTAAAAGGAAGGAATACATTAAGATGTGAGTGAAAATTAAGATGTGAGTGTATTAACAGAGCAACTCCTCTTGCTTTATTGGAGACACTGGCTGTAAATTTTTGCCCAACCCATGACTGTGTAAATAAATAACTGTCTGCTTTATGAGTTCCTTGCAAGAATACTTATGTGTGGGTCCATTTTGTATAAATATGTTGCCATTCTGGCCTGTTTTACCACATTTCCCAGTCCCTTCACATTTGAAGTAATTATGTTGGTGTCAGTACTCATTCTGACAGGTGGCTATTACCGTATTTTTCGCTCTATAATACGCACCCGACCATAACACGCACGTAGTTTTTAGAGGAGGAAAATCCGTAGGCATGCCACCCATAGCCATTGCCTCCATAACATGCACAGACATTTCCCCTTACTTTCTAGGAGGAAAAAAGTGAGTGTTATGGTGCAAAAAATACGGTAATTACCCCCCCAATTAAGTTCTTCTATAAAGTTATTGTCATTATGGCAGATAGCAGTGAGCGACTTCCGTCGCTGTGCAGGCGATGTCGGCAAAGCAGGTTCTTGAACACTAGTTTCTAAGATTTCCTGTGCTAAGGATCTACAGTTCCTGAGTCCCTGATCCACGCCGCTATTAAGTGTCCCGTGTGGCGCTGTGGGTTAAACCACAGAGCCTAGGACTTGCTGATCAGAAGGTTGGCGGTTCGAATCCCCGCGATGGGGTGAGCTCCCGTCGCTTGGTCCCTGCTCCTGCCAACCTAGCAGTTCGAAAGCACGTCAAAGTGCAAATAGATAAATAGGTACCGCTCCAGCGGGAAGGTAAACGGCGTTTCCGTGCGTTGCTCTGGTTTGCCAGAAGCGGCTTAGTCATGCTGGCCACATGACCTGGGAGCTGTACGCTGGCTCCCTCGGCCAATAAAGCGAGATGAGCACTGCAACCCCAGAGTCGGTCACGACTGGACCTAATGGTCAGGGGTCCCTTTACCTTTACCTATACTGTCACACCTTGGGTTACAGACTCTTCAGGTTGTATTTTTTTGGGTTACAGACCGCCGAAACCCGGAAGTACTGGAACAGAAGTACTAAATCGTGCTTTGCACATGCGCAGAAGTGCTGAATCGCAACCTGCACATGCGCAGACGCGCCACTGCAGGTTGTGAAGGCTGCGGGTTGCGAACGTGCATCCTGCACCGATCACGTTCGCAACCCGAGCATCCACTGTACTATACGCGGTTGCTGCATCTTCTGTGCAGGCAGATGTGCTGTTACGTCCGCTGCTAAGTCCTTCACCCAAGTTTTGGGTGAATCAATGCAGCAAAATGCAGCAAAATGAGGGACTCCAACAAGCCGTGATGCTACTGCCTTATGTGGTGAACCCAATTCCTGATCCTCAAGCTCCCTCATTGAGAGCCAGGCTGATGTTGTGACCATACCTGCCTCACTGTAACGTTTTTTCCCCACCGAATCTCAGATTTTGCTTGCTGAAGGGGACTGGACTGTGCTTGTGTTTCGTATTTTGATGAATAGTTCCTTGTGTGAGGTGGTATTGAGGATAATGGGTTTTCGTGAAGACTCCTTGGATTGAAAATCGATTGGGTATGTTGTAGGAATCTTGAACTCTGCAGAAATCTTTAAAAGACTGGATTTCAAAAGTTCAAGCCTTCTGATAATCCCTTGTTGCTCTTCCATTGGGAGGTTTTTAAAAGAGCATTTCAAATTCTCCTCCCAGTTGCAGTTGTCTTTGGTTAAATCTTCTGATTCCAGGCACTTGATCAGATTCTTTGAGGGGGCGTTGCTTAGGCTATTTTGAATTCTCCTTATTGGTGTCCTGTTGTTGTTGTGATGGACAGCTGCTTTAGGGTTACCTAATAATGGCAATATAGTCAAATTTTTTAAAAGCTTGTGTTGGAAAAACTCCCATATCAGTCAGCATAGACTTGGCATGTTGTAACATTGTCAGGATACTGGGACTCCTGAAAGATAGTAAAACTTTCTGTGTTTGTTTGGGGCAGATCAGAGACTCTTTTAGCTGATAGAAATGTGGACCAAGGTAGGAATCTGCCTTTATGGGTGCATATTGTAAGGTTGACTTGGTTTGCTTGCAGCACTAAATGTTGCTGCTCTTTCATTTCACTGCCAGACTTCTGGCTTGAGTTCTCTCAAGGTTTGGAACTCTCTTTTTTGTCTGTTTGTTTATCTCCTTAGCTCGTGGGGCGTTAGAGGAGGTACCTTTGAAACCCTGTGACAACTCGAGTAGATCTCCCTACCGAGTGTCCCCTTGACCTTACTGATCAAAATATTCATTTTGGAATGTAGTAAGTTCAGTGTTTGACAAATCAATTGTTTTAGCTGTCATTAGAATCAGCTCAGCTGGGTTCTCCTGAGTAGCACTCGGGTTCGTCTCAGCCTTCTGGGGTTCTGAATTTGCCTTATTATGATTGCTGTTGGGCTCCCCGATAGTGCTGATAGGATCTTCATATGAATCTCCATGTACTTCAGGTAGCACTGCAAAGCGATTGTGAAAGGGAACTTGTGCAGACGTAGCAAGACATGTTGAGGGGGGGAAATTCCAATCTTAGACTGTTTAGCTGTGGGGGGGGGGTGAGTAGTCCTCAATTTCTCTAAAATGTTTTTTTGGCCCCCTGATCATCCTTCCCACCAGTTAGTGTGCCAGACTGGTCAGAGGGCAATTAAAAATTACAGAGCAGCCGGCTTAATTAAGCATAGGTTTACTCTAGAAACACTGTTGTTGTTTTTGAGTGAGTTGAACCTCCCGCAACCTCTTATCAGCATTAATAGTTGAAGCTGCTTGGGCGGCTGGGGCATGTTTTGACTACTGCCAGCTTTATCTTCCAAGAATACTGAATAATTTCCTTTCAGGAACCCTACATTTCAGATAGCTGGGAAACAGGTGGCACTGTGGTCTAAACCACCGAGCCTTGGGCTTGCCGATCAAAAGGTTGGCGATTCGAATCCCTGTGACGGGGTGAGCTCCTGTTGCTTGGTCCCAGCTCCTGCCAACCTAGCAGTTTGAAAGCACGTCAAAGTGCAAGTAGATTAATAGGTACTGCTCCGGCGGGAAGGCAAACGGCGTTTCTGTGTGCTGCTCTGGTTTCGCCAGAAGCGGCTTAGCCATGACCTGGAAAAACTCTGTGGAGCAGACAAACGTCGGCTCCCTCAGCCTGTAAAGTGAAATGAGCGCCGCAACCCCAGAGCCGTTCGCGACTGGACTTAGCTGTCAGGGGTCCCTTTACCTTTACACTTCAGACAACTGTAAGTCTGTGTATAGGCTGAATGTAAACTCCCCCCTCTGAATTATCTTGCAGCTACTGTCCTCAGTTCAATTAATTAGCTTATGTAGGTAACAATTTAAGATTTTAAGGAGGTTTTCTCACCGCTGCTGTATCGTAGTCGTCATCTTTCTTGTAACTTTCCTTTGACCCTGTTTGTGCCCTCTTATTTGTGGTCTAATTCCGGGTCCATGTTATAAGAAAGAGTTTGTTCAAGGAGGTCGGGGTGGAGAACCTCTGACCCACGGGCCTAATTTGGTCTGCCAGGTCATTTTGGCTAAGTCATTCCCACCTGCTCCTACACCTTGTGTCATATACGATGTAAGGTATGGGATAGATAAAAACCTGTCTCAGGGATTAGCTGATTGGCAGTGTCTGTAAAACCCTATGCAAAGCGCTGTGTGAAATAGTGCTTTAAAGGGGGCTACTGGAGACAACTTTGGGCTAAAAGATCACCTGGTGTCATTTGTGAGGTCAGTTGACGGACCCGTCACACTCTACCTGGAAGGGGGTGGGACACATAATGATCTGGTCTGCCGGACAGATGCAGCTCCCCAACCCGAAGGAAATGTTCTCACGTATGTGTATTGTGGTGCAAGGAACTAGGCCACAAAAGCACTGGAAGAAAGAGCCAGGCTCTTTTCACAAGTTACTGGTCTTATTCCCTCATTCATTCATATTTTTATTTATTTATTTCTTAAATTTATTTGCCACCCTTCATCACAAGATGTCAGGGCTGTTCACAGAATAAAATACAAGATAAAAACACAAGTAAATGATTGAAACAAAAGCAACAATAATCTTCTCTTCTCACAGGCACATTTAAAGTTGGTGTATAATTTTAATCAGCCAAAGGCCTGGTTGAAGATTGTGATTGAATTCAGTAGGACTTGCTTCTGAGTGAGCATGTTTAGGACTGTGATGTTACTTCTGAAGTGTGCAAGATAATCTGAACCGGAAGCCAATTAAAGGGTTATTGTTTGGGGTTAAGTAAGTTAGTAAGATCCTATGCTGCTTACGGAGTAAAGGAGAACTTTCTGCTAAATATTCTAAATATAATGAACACATTGAATAAATAAGTGGCAATAATAACTGGATACATGCATTTCTTTGGGTCGTTACAGCTAAAAGAACAGGCTGCTGATTCCATTCTGGTCTTAGAAGGAGCACTCAAATTAAATAAAGATCTTTATATTCACACAATACGGACTCTAGATTTGCTAGCCATGGACCCTGGTGCGGTTAATGGAGAAACAGAGACTTCCACAGCGGGATTCAACATCAGTGCTGAGGAACTGCAGTGTCAGGTATGCCAGACATTTTGCCTGAAAGCATAGCTGCTGAAATGGTGGTGCTTATGATGCAATTCATGATGCCTCAAAGCACCACTATTATTCTATATTCAAGCTTCCTTGATTTACCTGTGGCTTCTAAGCTTATTTCATATTTAATTATTTCATAAAATGCATATATCACTTGAATGTGTATTTTAAAAAAAAACAAAACTCAAAGTGGTTTACAAAAAGTAAGCTTCAAGTATGGAGTCTTACAATTATCTCTAGGCCTCTGTTCCTTTCCCAATTATTACTAAGTTCAATTTGGATATTTTCCAATTGTTGGAAACGCAAGGAAAACCCATATTCAAGCAAATATGTACCACAGAGTCTTCGACACTCTGAGCATAGTCAATCTTTTCCTTCAAGCTTTTCTCAAAGATTGTGGCAGACACAGAGATTTTATATATCTACCATAGTTTTGTTTGTTTAGATAATTTATATCCTGCACTTTCAACATAGATTTATGTTCCCACAGCGTAAGAAACAAAAAATATAATTTTGAAAGAAATGCTGCTTGTTTGTGTTTCAGGTCTGCTATGATTTAGGTGCCATCTATTTTCAGCAAGGTTCCACAGATTCTGCTCTTTATGGAAACGCCAGAGAGAAATTTTTTAGAACCAAGGAACTGATTTCAAAGGTAAGTCATTCAACAATAGACAGCTCATTTCAGTTTTTGCATGTGTAACCAAATATTTCACATTCATGCAATGCGATCTAGTGCTCACTTTAACTAGATATATCCTGTGAGCAATTTGGGTTTACCTATTTGGGTTTCCTGATCCTTTGTCTTAAGTACAAGAAAACTGAGTTTTCCATTGGAACATGTAATGCATAATGTTTATACATTTAGGAAATGATTTCATCATATATAGCCTTTGAAGTCATTTATCTTAAATAATGAATTATTTTAAAGTTACTGATACAAATTGGATATTTCTTACAGATTGGCTCTTCGCTTCATTGCATCATAGATGAAAAAAGGTTAGCTGGTTACTGCCAAGCTTGTGGAGTTCTTGCGCCTTCTGACAATACTTCACAGCCATCAACTCCTTACAGTCAAATCCACAGCTGTTTAAGATCTGGCAGTTATCAGGTAAAGGATTTGCAAAGCTTGAATTGCACATCATGTGATCCTTATATTAGTCTGCTTGTTTATTCCTCAAGCAAGGTAAAAAGGTAAACGGTAAATGACCCCTAGGTGGTTAAGTCCAGTCAAAGGCGACTACGGGGTGCGGCGCTCATCTTACTTTTCAGGTTGAGGGAGCTGGTGTTTGTCACAGACAGCTTTCCAGGTCATGTGGCCAGCATGACTAAACCACTTGTGGTGCAACTGAACACCGTGACAGAAGCCAGAACGCATGGAAACGCCTTTTACCTTCCCACCGCAGCAGTACCTATTTATCTACTTGCACTGGCATGCTTTCAAACTGCTAAGTTGGCAGAACTGGGACAGAGCAGAGTGGTTTAGACCAGAGTGCCCCCCGCGTCCCTATTCCTCAAGTATATTATTAGTAGTAAGCAGAATATTATTAAGTAGTCTGCTGTATATAGGAATTGTTATTCTCCTGAGAATAAAAACCAGATAGAACCAAAGCTGTCTCTTTTAATTTTGTATTGTAATCAATTGGTTACATAAATAACAAAAAAAGTTCATTATACTTTTAAAACCTTTTCATATTCTGATTTTCGCAGCACGCTTTATATATTGACATGTTTTTAAGTTCAAAACAATGAAAAATAACATTTCACATCTGTATAAGTTAATTTAATATCTGTATAAGTTGAGTTGTTGTTGCAGTATCCAGTAAACTCGTTCCAGCTAACTTTGAAACTATTCCGTCTTGGTGTTGGGCCAAATGCCATATATTGTCAAACTGATTCATCTTCTCTCTGCATGTACTTCAGGAACTAGTGAAGATTTTCCTTGAAGATAACCGAACACCCAGTTTACCCGTTCAGTTCAGGCAATCAGTTCTCAGGGAACTCTCCCAGAAAGCTCAACAAGGGTGAGAAATAACTTGAATGAATCATTCCGATGCACGCTTTGCTTAACAGTTAAGGCCAGGCAGAAGGTATAGATTTCCGAGCAGTTGGCTCGGACCAGTTCCAAGCCAATTGGTACTTTCAGCTCATGGTTGACAACTTAAAACTCTGAGGTAATTTGGCCTGATTTGCTTGTAGTTCACATTATTTTTAAAATGTTGAACTACTTGCTTTTCATTATTAGAACAGCATTTCAAGCAGGAATTGAATAATCCTAGGTGTCTGGTCCCTACTATTCCCTTAGTGTGAAAAGAATTGAAATGTTTCATTGGTTCAGTGCAGGGCTAACTTGTAAGCATTCAAAGAGAACAGCAACTACCAGACTTTTAGAAGACATCTGAAGGCAGCCCTTTTTAGGGAAGCTTTTAATGTTTGATGTATCACAGTATTTTAATATTCTTTTGGAAGCTGCCCAGAGTGGCTGGGGAAACCCAGCCAGATGGGCTGGGTATAAATAATAAATTATTATTATTATTATTACTATTATTATTATTATTATATTCAAAATGCATTTGACGAACCCCCCCCCAACTAGGTTCGAAGCATACGCTTTCTGTGTTTATTTCTTCCAAAAAAAGAGTTAAGAAGCTGTATTTTATGTTGCCTCATTGAGGAACATCTCTGGGTTATTTGTGGGGCATAGGAATTCGTTCATCCCCCCCCCCCCAAAAAAAATATACTCCGGTCCACCACATAGTTTGAGGGACGGTGGACCGGCCCACGGCTGAAAAGGGTTGCTGACCCCTGGTGTATATCTATCCACAGTCCTGATGCCATATTCATAATCTCTGTCTTCTATCCTGATGATAAATGTGCTTTGAGGTTTTTTACCATACAAGTGCATAAATTTTATGAAATCAATCAAACAAACAAACAAACAAACAAGAGAATGGCTGGAATGTGAAGGATGAATTGTTTGCCCCATATCTTACTGTCCATCAATACCTTTCTCAAACTTGCTTCTGCAGTAGCCCCTTCTGGGCAGTCAAGCTGCATTCTGGAGTGTAAGAACTGTCCCTTGTGTCCTTTTATGTGCTTTTCTTCTAACAGCATGTGAACTTTCCGTATTTTTCTAGGAATGATGTCTTGGAAGAAATATGTTTCAAGGTGTGTGTGTGCAACAGTGTTTGTGATGTAATGCAAGGCCGACCAGTTGGTGTCCACTTTAACCAGCTGTTTCTTAGACCCACCAAAGAAAAAATAGACTTTCTCCTAGAGGTATGGAATTGTCCTCAGTTTTAGGCATATCTGCTTAAACTGTTTTCTAAGTTGCTTTTTAAAGCTACTGAATACAGCTTTTTGGTCCTAATGCACTTTTTAAGTGCTATGCTTTTCAGTGTTGCATCTGAACTAATGGGTACTACTTACTTTTAAAATATGTGTTACTTAGTTTTGTGGCTATGAAATCATTAGCCGTTCAGTTATGGTATTGGGTAGCAGATTGGTTGACTAGATACATCTCCTTACCATTTAATTATTGGTTAGAGTTATCAGACAATTGAGTGTATACACTTAACTGCTTCAGAAGGTACACAACCAGCATGTGGAAGCCACAATACACAGTATGTTTTCAGATTGCCCTCACCCAAATGAACTAATGTTATGAATGTGAAAAGGTTATCTGCTGGCTAGCTTTAAGTCTGCCTTGACAAATACTTCAGGTAAATATCTGCTCTTTCATGGGATTGATTCAGACATTCAGTAGCATGCAGGGCTGCATTTGTGTAGAGGTGTTGTACTTATGAACCACTAAATCCATCTGGGATCTTATAACATTTCATATCGCTGTTGTTAGAATGTTTTTTTTCTCAGTGGCTAGCATGCTATCTTTATTACTCCTCTTTTGCATACTCTTTTGAGGGAGCTTATGAAAATGTCTATTTTCTGAAGGAGTATACGCAATATGAAAAAACAATTAAATGTGTGTGCTTTTGTTTTTGTTTTAAGCTTACTTAATTTTTCACTAAAGCTCAATTCAGTATTTCAACTTTGCAGGTATGTTCAAAATCAATACAAGTAGAAAGTGCTTCAGAATCCTCAAAAAGGAAAATGGCCTATTTTCTGAAGTAAGTATGCAATATTAGATTACTTGCAGTCCTCCTTAAAAAGTTGATTAGTATCTTTCATTCAGGGAAGTAGTTAAGTGCTAAGTATATCAGGTCCTAAGATATCATTGGTACCAAGGAAGAAACAACATAATAGTGTTTGTCTGTAAGCTAAATAGGCCTCAGACGTTTTCTCAGCTTCAACAAATTCCCACATGTGCCACTTCTAAAAGGTGGGGTGATAACTGCTGGTGTAATTCGTGGTCAAACCTAAGCTAAATAACTCTTATGTAGAATGCTTTTTGTTCATTGCCATGATCCACTCTAGGTAGGTGATTCAAAAGGCAGTTGTAATTAAGACCTGCTGATTTCCTTAGCCGTTGCTACACAAGATACCAGTGTCTCAACAACTACCTTTCTCATGTGGTCAGTTGGACACCTGGCATGATTCACTGTAAACGCAGTGATTAGTGAATAGCCCCTTGTTTAAAAACATCTTTGAATGTATATTCCAAATGTCATGCCACTACAAACTACACAAAGTGCTGCAATTTCTGTTTCTGCTAATCTTTGCTTAATGATACCTTTGATTGTTTTTTACAGAAATCTCTGTTTGGGTTTGGAAGACCTTCAACTTGTCTTCATGATTTCCTCCCATGAGCTCTTCATAGCGTTGCTGAAAGATGATGAACGAAAGCTGCTTATTGATCAAATGAGGAAAAGGTCACCTCGAGTCAACTTAGGCACTAAGCCTATAACTTCATTTTATGATATTCCAGGTTATTTCCCCCCCCCCCTTAAAATATTCCTTGATAGCTTTTTTTCTGAAGACAAATGACAGTCCTGCAGTAAGTTAAGCCCTGAGCGAAGAAGTAATCGGCTTATGCAACAAGTTGCTATAGTATGTGTTTTGGCAGTTATTGTAAATTCCTGTTAGCCATCATAGATTGCTAACATTGCAACCTGCATATTCAGAAGCCATGCACTTCTGACTACCAGGTGCTAGGGGTTCCAGCTCAATATGGGATATCTACAGGCCTGCAGTTCACTACTCAATCTGCAATAGTTATCTCCCTGGCAAGCATCTGAGTGAAAAATCTAAACTGCACACCTGTAGCCAGTAGAGTACTGTTGCTTGCTGCGCTCTGGCTTGAAAGAGTTGAGATAATGGGACTAGCCGGTGCTAGGTTGTGAAGATGGTGCTATTGTCTTTTGCTTTAAGGGCTACTGGCCCTTCAGGGCAGAAATGAGAGTGGTAGAACCAAGCATACAATCTCTCAAGGTGCTCCTAGGAGCAGGAAAGAGATCTTTCTGCTTGCCTTCCCAGCTTAATTCAGGGAGGCACAGAATTGGACTTACATGGCTTTCTGAGCTGCAGCTAGGATGACCCAGATTTACTTGGGAGTTGAGTTGGAGAGCTTAGAGCAGGAAAGAGGCATCATCTTGGGCATTATGTGAAACAGTGGGATATTGCTGTCATGCCGTATTTCTGAGACTGAGATTCTCTTAGAGATTATTTATCGATCCCAAGAGTCTATTCGTTTATTGTTGTAACCCAATGCAGAATTTTCATTTTCCCTGTCTTGAAAAGGATGACCAAACACAGTGTGGATGTGTGGGTGGTAGGTACAGAAGTGTAACGTTTTTAGGGAATCCAAAATTAATGTGTCCTGAGGGCTATGACTACAAAGAGTCTTGATGCCCCCTGAAGGTTCCTGTGTATGTCTGTGTCTACGTATGGCAATGACATTAGCACTGTACATTCAAACATTTATATGATGGATAGCATTAATTAAAGTGATTTCATTTTGGTGTAAAATAAAAGCATCTTTAGTTGAGCCATCTTTTCTTAAAAATGTCAATCTTTTGTCTGTTGCCTCCAGTTAGTTATAGCTTGGTTCAAGGAAAACTCAATATGATAAATTGCTCATTGACCTCCGTGATACTTTCTCTTCCAGCCTCAGCAAGTGTGAATATTGGTCAGCTTGAACATCAGCTTATATTATCAGCTGATCCCTGGAGGATCCGCCAAATTTTAATTGAATTGCATGGCATGACATCAGAACGCCAGTTCTGGACAGTTTCTAACAAGGTACTTTTAATTTTTTGACTACCGTATTTTTCCGTTTATAAGACACCCCCATGTATAAGATGGCCCCTATTTTTGGGGACTAAATTTAAAGAAAATGAGGGGAGATGGCCCAAAGTTGTTGAGCTTTTTTTAGGGGGAATTGCATGAGCACAATCACCCCAGTAGGGCTGTTGCTAGGGGTTGGCAAAGTGGGCAGCCGCTCCCCAGACACCACTGCAGCCAGAGTAAGCTCCTTAGAGCACACGCTTCCCACAGCAGCATGGGGGAGGGAATTGCGCACCCACCCCAGTTTTTTGAGATGATTCTTGAGTCAAAAAACCTCGTCTAAGACATGGAAAAATAAGGAAAATTATTTAAATGTGAGCTATATTACAGTTATTGATTTCTGTGTTGTTGCTTTTTCTTAGTGGGAAGTGCCAAATGTTTACGGCAATGTAATCCTAGGGATCAAAGATAATTTGACCAGGGATTTGGTCTACATCCTTATGGCAAAGGGGCTACACTGCAGTACAGTCAAGGTGAGGTAATCATTATCTTGCTAATAAGAATCTTGCCAATTACCATTATGGAATGCTACTAATAACTATTACTAGGACTGAGTATTATGTTGTTGGAGATTAAGCATGTGGGGTTTTTTTAAAAAAGATGGTGCCACTTTCCTATTCGTCATGGTTGTTCCCTTCACTGCGATTTCCAGTGTCTTGGTCTTAGGGCCCAAATGGCATATTTGAGTTGCTCATAAAGCCACCAGCGTTATGAGAGGGAAGTGTGGCTGACTGTTGTAATTTTAGGCTGTGCGCCTAATTTGCTCCATGTTCCTTTTGCCTGAAGACTACTGGCCTTTCAAGTGGGGTGGGATAGGTTTGTGGATGGGTTTCCCACTGTATATCAGCAATAGGTGCTCTGGAATTGTTCTGCCTTTTCTGGGCAGATCTGTTCTCACAACTGAGAAAGAGGCGTAGCTGGCTCCATAGCCTGCATTGCTGCGCAGAGCAAGGCAATTATGAGCATGAAAACATTGTGCTCCATGCAATATTTAGATATTTAAAAACCTACTACTTTGACTTTCCTTATTTTCTATGGGTTGATTTCAGTTTCTGTGGTTCAAAGTAATAATTTCAAAAGCCTACTAGCCCTTTAAGACAGGATGGAGATAGTCATGTGATAGACAGTCATGATGCAGCACAGTGATCTTCATAGGCTATGGGGGCATGGACACCATTGATTTTTATCCCAGCCTTCTTAGCAGCAACCAAAATCATGAGTGTGGAATTTAATTATTCCCTTTGCCTCCACCAAAACAAACCACCACTTTAGCAAGCGTATTGCATTATGTGCTTCTGTAGGCTAAATGTTTTATTACAGGACTCTGGACTTTTTGTTGTAGTACAGTGGTACCTCAGGTTACATACGCTTCAGGTTATATACGCTTCAGGTTACACACTCCGCTAACCCAGAAATAGTGCTTCAGGTTAAGAACTTTGCTTCAGGATAAGAACAGAAATTGGGCTCCGGCGGCGGCAGGAGGACCCATTAGCTAAAGTGGTGCTTCAGGTTAAGAACAGTTTCAGGTTAAGAACGGACCTCCGGAACGAATTAAGTACTTAACCAGAGGTACCACTGTACATGAATGTAGCTACTGTCATCGTCCCCCCCAAAAAACCCCACTCTACGTGCAACTAGAAGAGAAATAGGCAAACTCCTCACACTGTTGTTTTTTTTAATTGTTATTATTACAGGATTTTGTCCATGCAAAACAGCTTTTTGCCGCTTGCCTTGAACTTGTGACAGAGTTTTCTCCAAAGCTACGCCAAGTCATGCTGAACGAGGTGCTACTTTTGGACATTTATTCCCATGAAGCAGGAGCAGGGCTTTTGGGAGAAACACCCCCCTCTAACCTGATCAGCAGAGTTCGAGGTTACTTAGAAATGAGGGTTCCTGGTAAGAATGCTTGGCTAATTATGTGAGAAAACTTCTTCAGAAGCTTAGGATCAGAGGAGGGGAAATACTCCACAACTGATAGATATTAGCTTGTAATCCGAGTGAATGATTTTATTTGTATTCTCCAATCCTGGTGCTTGGGGGAAGGATGTCAGCAGGATGCTGAAGTAACATTGATGCACTTCAATCTTTATTGCTGTCAATTTTAATTATATTTAAATGTTTTAACAGATTTTAGCTTCTTAATGATAATTTTAATGTTTCTTGTAAACAAACGGCTTAGAGGTTTGACTGCAATAACGCGGTATATAAATTTTCTCAAACAAATAAACATGATATGCTTGTAAACATGTAAGACGTTAAAAGTATCTAATCAGTTGCTCTTTAAAAATATTGTTTTAGATATTCCACTTCGACAAGTTGTAGCAGAGGAATGCGTTGCCTTTTTGTTGAATTGGAGGGAGAATGAGTACTTAACGATGCAAGTTCCTCTCCCACTGGTTCAGACCAATCCTTATGTGAAGGTAAGGCATGCTTTGGAACTGACTACCAATACATTTGTATAAATCCTAAACTGTCTCCAGACTTACCTGTTATTCTGTTCAAATGCACCCAAATTAATGGAACTTTATTTTTCAACAACATTTGCTTGAACTCATCTGTCTAGATATAGATATAGATTGCATATAGATATAGATATAGCTACACCCATACATATACATATACACATACCATATTTTTCACTCCATAAGACACACTTTTTCCCTCCTAAAAAGTAAGGGGAAATGTGTGTGCGACTTATGGAGCGAATGCAGACGGGAGGCTCTGCTCAGTGCTCCCTTTAAAGAGCCGCGTGGAGTGTGTGTGCGGCTCTTGGGGGCTTTTCTGCGAGGTGGGAGAAGGGACTGACGGGCTGCCCTCTGTCCCTTCCCACACCTCCTGGGAAAGCCAGCAAGAGCCGCTGCCGGGCTCTGCTCAGCGCTCCCTTGTAAGGGCTCCCTTTCATCCCTCATCCTGCTTTGCTGGGAAGCCAGCAGAACAAGAGGCACTGCACAGCTATCGCTCTTGCTCTACTGGGTTCAGTGAGAGTTGTGCAGCTTGCTCTGCTGGCTTCTCAGTGAAGCGGGAGGAGGGATGGAAGGGTTTAAAGCAAGAAAAGCGAGAGCCGCTTACATGCTCTGTGCAGAATATTTTATTTCTTGCTTTCCTCCTCTAAAAACTAGTTGCGTCAGCGAAAAACACGGTACACACAGTGCTTTTTTTCTAAAATAATGTTTAGGGGTACTCTCATTTTGACTCAAGAAAATCACCATTTGATAGTTCAAATTGGGAAACATAAAAACAGTAAATGGACAAAAGTACAAAGATTCACAAAATGTGGTATGTGCTAAACTTGTTGAAATTCTAAATTTCAAAAGCACGTGTTATATGAGGTGTAAGAGTTTGTCTGCTGCCAGGAAAGAGTAAAACATTCTGGACATGCACAAGCAACTTTGGGTTTCCCCGAAGTAGGTCTCTGGGTTGTGTAGCTGAGGATTTCTTTGCCAGATTTGATTTCCTAGCTGTAACCAGGCATAGATTGCTGGAAAAAGAAACAGCGTGCCTTGAGAGCTTTCAAAGGCTGACTGTTCCTTCTTGGTGGTGTGTTTTGCTTAGCTTGGACAGCTTTTGGCTGCCACATGTAAAGATCTTCCTGGACCCAAAGAAAGTAGACGGGCAGCGAAAGACCTTTGGGAGGTGGTTGTACAGATCTGCAGTGTAACCAACCAACACAAACGAGGGAATGATGGCAGAGTGAGCTTAATAAAGCAGAGAGATTCAACGTTGGGCATAATGTACAGGCAAGTTGCTATAGTTTTTTTAAAAATACAACTCAAAGCCAAAATAGGTGTCTTCTGAACATGGGTGTACCTGTAGCCAACATTAGGAAGAGCTACAACATTGCTCCACCCCTAAATTGATTCTAATTAAATTAATTATTGCATAGATTAATTGAATATATGGGTGGGGAGGGGAAAGAGTAAACTGACCTGCTTATTTGAGCCCCTTAGAGTTTATAGCACCCTGTTCTGGGGTTGAAGATACACTTTTGCATTTTGGTTCAGGTCTGATGGTTGATTGTACATTGTAGTTCCTGTTGTATTAAAATTTGCTTTTAAAACCTTTTACAAATAAATTGAGTAAATATAAATAATGAATTACTTTAAATAATTGATAACAGTAACCACATGTCTTCTATTATTTAGGAGTGAGCTGCTCTCTTTTATCAAAAAGTTGCGGGTGAGTTTGGAGCTAAAGTTTTTGCAATGGACTAACCCAGTAAAAAAAACACTGTTGCAGGAAAATACTTTGCGGGCGGATATTATCTTTTTCTTGAGAAATGTGTTACTTCCTCATCCTTCGTTCAAAGGGAGTTGTAACAGGAGATGCATTCCCCTTTGTCAAGACAAGTTTGCCAAATTCCAGATAGATGCTAGAATAAATGTAATAAACTGAAGCAAATCAATCAAACTCCAGAGAGATGGGTGACTACTTCTGTGTGCTCAGTGGACAGTCCCCTTTTTCAAATTGACTCTGCCTCTATTGTTTAGGTTGCTTGTTTTATCATTGATTTAACAAAGAGGCTGCATTTGACTCCACAAACTGAGAAATACATAGAATGAAAATTATAGAATCACAGAATTGTAGAATTGGAAGGGATTCTGAGAATCATCTAGCACAGCCCCCTCCAATGCAGGAATATGCAGCTGTACCATCTGGGGATCAAACCTGCAACATTTGCATTACCAGCACCATGTTCTGAGCTATCCAGGCTTAGCTATATATTGTATATTACCAATAATATACACCAGACTTTCTAGAAACAACAGTGCAGTGGTAGGAAACAAGCTCCCTGTTCTGGATAGAAGGAATACTACTAGCCCATCCCTAAACATGCAGCTGGCCATATAAAATTTTGCCTACAGATAAATAGCTTGGGTAACTTACCTAAGAATTGCTACTTAGTGTTTTAGTGTTGTTAGCCGCCCTGAGCCCGGCTTCGGCTGGGGAGGGCGGGATATAAATAAAATTTATTATTTATTATTATTATTATTATTACTTAAATATATTTTCGCAAGTAATTGCAAGAACGCCTGTTCTGTACAGTGCCATATTTTTAAATGTTGGTGAGATTTGGAAAGGCAGTCGTTTTAATCAAGTGTGCATCGTAGGCCATGCAGCTTTTTTTATTATTTAGACTTGAGAAATGCAAAGAATGACACGCATCTCTTGCAAAATGGCCTTAACCTGTGTGTGAAGTTGTATAATTTTCTACGACATGTAATATCCTTATCAGTAATCTAAGAGGCTATGTATATAGATTTCATTTCAAAGTTGTATAAGCATTTTGAAAGTTTGCAAAGAAAAACTGGATTTCCCTGACACTGAAAAGAAGCATTGTATCATGTACTTTTGTTTTTCCGCTATAGGAGCCTCTAGTTTTGACAACAATATTATCTTTGTTTGTCAAGCTTCATAATGTTCGGGTAAGTGCAGTACTCTTCTTATCATAAATATTTGACTTTGATGTCTGCCTCTCGGACTCATTTCCCATATCATATTCTTTCCTCTTCTAGGAAGACATTGTGAATGATATTACCGCAGAACATATTTCTATTTGGCCATCATCCATTCCTAAGTAAGAAAATTGTTTTTGTTCCAATTATAATTGCGAAATGTGCTTTTCTGGGGATCTGCAGATTGCTTCTTGGTCCTGAGTGTCTTGTTTCAAGGGTTGTCTATGTGTTACCGTATTTTTTGCTCCTTGAGATGCACTTTTTTCCTCCTAAAAAGTAAGGGAAATGTCTGTGCGTCTTGTGGAGCGAATGTGTGGTCGATCGCTGGCTCCCTTTCTGGCCCCGCCCCCTTGCCCAGGCCTCCATTGTTGAATGTTCTGCTGACTGGCTGATTAGATTATTTGTCAGGAAACTGCAGAAACGGCTCCCTTTCCTTTCCTAAAGAAGCTGCAGAACTGTGAGTTGAACCCCATAAAAACAGGATTTTTTTCCCTTTGCAAAGTAAGCTCAACAACTTTGAGCTGATCCTCAAAAAAGGGATCTTTTCCCCTTTACAAAAGAAGCTGCAGAACTGTGAGCTGATCCCCCAAAAATGGGGCTTCCCCCCTTTCCTTCTCTAAAAACTAGGTGCGTCTTATGATCAGGTGCATCTTATGGAGCGAAAACTGCGGCAATTATATTTTAACAGTCTTTCAGGAACAACTCTGTGCCTTCCATTTTAAAGAATAAAAAGGCTTTTCTGTCAGTTATGCAAGGAACTACACCTTCCATTCTGTTTTCCCCAGAGAGGGCAATGCCTTTTTGTTAAATTTAGAATATTTAGGGCTTGATGCCTTTTGGATGTGCTTGACTAACTACTCTCATATGGTAATGAGCCTTTCTCAAAGCTTATGTGACAGCGGGTGATGCCTGAGGAGGACTCTGAGTTTGTTAGGGGAATTGGATAATGATCAGCCTGGAGAGACTATGACAAATGAATATATATGGAACGTTATGGGGCAATTCCCCATCCTTCCTAGGGTGGCTCAAGCCAGTTTTGGCAGTGCATCATGTAGGATGGTAACTGTACATCTTAAGCCTGGAGCCAGTCTAACACCAATAATGGAATCCCTGTCTGCTCTATGTAACTCCTGGTTGATGTGTTTTGTTGGAATGGCTGTGAAATGCATTCTGAACAGTTGGAAAGAGAGTTATTTAATCCTGGCTGATAATGGTGAGGGAGAATAGGAGAATTAATGAAGTGGAAAACTGCTCATGACTTCTTTCCTGTGTGACTAGACCACTGTAATAAGATTGCATTCTTCTTCTTCTTTTAGATTTACACACCACCCTTCTTCAAAAGATCTTAGGGCGGTTCACAAAATAAAAATACAAGATAAAAGCACAAATAATTAGTTGAAACAGAAACAAAAAAATCAGTAACCCCCCCTTTCCACAAACACATTTAAAAGGCTGTAGAATATTAATAAGAAAATACATTTTCTTATGTTTCCACCCTCTGTGGCGGGGGCACACGAAGAAGAGCCTCAGATGATGAATTCAGAGTCTGGGTCAGTTTATACGGGGAGAGGCAGTCCTTGAGGTATTGCAGTCCTGAGTCATTTAGGGCTTTATAGGTCAAAACCAACACTTGGGCCCAGAAATGAATTGGCAGCCAGTGCAGTCAGGCCAGGATCAGTGTAATATGCTCAAACCAACTTGCCCTGGTGAGCAACCTGGCTGCCAAATTCTGCACCAGCTGCAGACAAAAATGAAGTGGCTCATGCTGCAGCCTGGCTGTAAGACTCTTGCTTCTTCCTGATCACACTTAACATGCCCAAGTGGTGGCATTTCTGTGATCCTGGGGTACTTTAATCATACACAGGAAATGTGTTTAAATAGTGCATGACGATGTGAGAGTTTAATTACATCTTTAAAATTTAAGCGCTACAGTTTCAATTTAAAAGTAGGTGACGAATGTTATAAAATGTTTTGTCTTTTCAGCTTGCAGTCAGTGGATTTTGAAGCTGTAGCTGTTACTATCAAAGAGTTGGTCAGTTATGCACTGACTGTAAATTCAAATAATCACTTCTGGTTAATCATTCAAGCAGATATTTATTTTGGTAAGTTGAATGAACTTCTTCCTCTCACTCTTTCATTTGTGTTGCTGGCTGTCTTCACACACACACACACATATATATCTTGTTATGTAAGATATAAGGAAAGATTTGGTGAATAATAGACTCCTCTGGAAGCAATGCCTGGAATCGCAAGTAGGGCGTTCTGTCTCATGAGTAGTCATTCTTCTTGGAGAGCAGCTTCAAAAATAAACAGGTTACCAGCCTGCTTAAAAGGTTTGATTTGACTGCACACAGGTGGTGGTGTAGTGACAATAAAGGTTTATTATTTATTATTATTATAAAAGGTTTGTAGCTGCACTTTCATGCAGAAAGGAATCTTCTTCCTCCACAGCCAGTACAGAAATGTAGGCTTACTAGACCAGGCTTCCTAGCAAGCAGGACCTGTGGTCAGGGATGATGGGACTTGTAGTCTCAAAAACATCTGGAGGGCCGAGTTTGAGGAAGCCTGGACTAGACTCTTAACTAAAAATATGTTTTTTACCCTTGCTTCCTTAGTTGCCATAATAAATACTAACTACTGCTGTCTTCAGTTAATCTTACCTACTGCATGCTGTTTCAAGAGTCAGGAGAAAAATTGAAAATGCTTAGTGAATTAGTGTGGCATTTACTGCTTGTGTTTTTATTGCTCTCTCCCCAATGCAGCAACCAATCAGTACTCTGCTGCTCTTAACTACTATCTTCAAGCAGGAGCTGTGTGTTCGGATTTCTTTACCAAAATGGTACCGCCAGATGTATATACAGATCAGGTGAGTTACATGTCAGCGTACAGGCAAAAGATGTTCTGCTTCAACATAAAATAGGGCTCTGATTTTCAAAGTTTGATAACACAAGTTCAGTCGATGGGTTTCCCTAGGCTCTGAGCAGTTCCAGAGCCAAAGAAATCTAGTTCTAGGTAAACCAGAAGCCTGTAGAAATTCATGTTGAGCAAAAGGATAATTGATATAGTTGCCAGATATATTTGCTCTGTTACTTTATTATTTCTAGCTTCAGCCAAAAAAAGTAGCAGGCTAAGTGCTTTGTTGAGGGGTTAGTTGTATCTGGAGTATCCGATGATTATGTCAGATGATTGGATACATTATAGACTTACTAAAAATGGTATATCAATTTCTCTCCAGGTGATAAAACGAATGATAAAATGTTGTTCTCTGCTCAACTGCCATACGCAGGTAAGGCATGTATCCGCTGTGTACCTAGAAACAAGTCCTACCAATATAAGTCTGCTAGAATAAAAAACAGACTTGTATAGTATAATATATATTGCAGTATAATATAAATGAAATATGAGCCTCCCTTATCAGGAGTTAGTGACATAGTTACATTTTATCAACTCTCAATTTTTCTAGGTAGCCATTTTGTGCCAGTTTCTTAGAGAAGTAGATTATAAAACTGCATTTAAAGCACTTCAGGAGCAAAACAGGTAAGCAAGGTTTTATATTTCCACATACTGTGCATTTGAATGCATTGACATACATTAACTAAAGGTTTCTTTCTTAGCCATGATGCAATGGACTCCTATTATGACTACATCTGGGATATTACCATCTTGGAATACTTGACATGTATCCTTTTATAAAAACAGCCACATGGGAAGGTTTGAAAACCAGGGTGGCTTATACTGTTGAATTGTGCTCACAGAAGGATCCTTTCCATCAAAGTATATAAACGTCACTTAATTTTTTTCTGCTGTATGATTCCACGATTCTATTTTGTTGTATTTATGACATTTTTAAATGGTTTATTTTACTAAGATGAAAAAGATAATAAAGCAGAACTTCCATTCATAGTATTTAATAATTGTGAGAGGCTAAAGGATCTGAAAACTGTCTATATAAAAGTCCTGCTCATTGTATTTCTAGGTTTCCTTAACTGTATTTCAGACCTTCATCATAAGCGAGGAGAGACAGACAAGAAACAAATAGCAGTAAGTTGCTGTTTAAGTTTCTTTTCTAGACTTAATAGTACCTCCCTTTTGCTACTCTGTGCTTTCTTCTGTGCAGGCATTACATAAACAATATGCATTGCATATAAAACATTGAAATGATTCTCAGAACTTGCTTATTGCCAGTACTAACTTATGCTGATGCTTGTTTCAATACTTAGATTAAAGCTATTGGGCAGACTGAGCTGAATTCCAGTAATCCGGAAGAAGTGCTACAGCTTGCTGCTCAAAGACGGAAAAAGAAGTTTCTTCAAGCAATGGCAAAGCTTTACTTTTAGAGCACCATTTCTAAGAGAGCGAGAGAAAAGATGGCAGCTGCAAGTTACTTCCAACACTTTATTAACGCATAAGACTTTTTTTTTTACAAATTTATAAACATACTGTGTGGCATTTTCCTATTTAGAAAACTTAAAAATTCTTCCTTTCTTTTTACAAGATTATACAGAAGCGGGTTAGCTTTTGTAATGCAAGCTGGCATAAAGAGGGACAGTAAACTACCTTGGACAGAGCATGACTCTCCCTAGTACTTAAGCTGTTGCAGAACAGTCTTAACTTCACCTGCTTGTTTTTTCACCCTTGCTTTGTGGCAGCTTTTCTTGTATAAAAGGAAAGATAGCACCTCATGAGGAAAGAGGTAGTATGTGACATTTATTCACGGTAAAGCAGGTGTTGTTCCAGTTACATGCTGGTTGCTCAAGTTGCCTGCTGATTTTAGAAGTTGTTTCAATGTTTAACTGCAGCCTCTTCTCACCCCCACTTTCCTATGCCAATGCTTAAAACCAGTTTCACCTTATCTCATACCTATACTACACAAGTATAGTAGCAAGATTGATCTCCCAGTAGCAGTTACACTGCTATGCAGGCTTCTAAAATCTGACTAATGCTGTTGAGTGTAGACGTTGACTGTACAGTGTGCTTTCAACAGAAGTCAGCAGAATATATCTTAAGTTCATACATAGCTAAACCACTGACACACTCACCCACAGGTATCAAAAAACTCAGTTACTTGAGGCCATTCAACAGGTTAAAAATGTGTAGTTCATTGACTGCTGAACAGTTAAATTCATAGTCTGTTCTTTACTGGGCTGCAAAGTCAGTAAAGTTGCATGTGAGCTTCTTTTTGATAGTCTTCCCAACCACTTGTCAAGTGTAAAAAGTCCAGGATGTATTTTCCAACAGTCTTACAATATTGTTCAGGTTGGCACACACTCCTGTTGTGCAGGGATTTCATTTTTCAGAACTCTTGGGTGGGGTAATTATTCCTCCTGTAGACACCGGTGATAGCTGGCCTGGTGCTGCAACAGCTACTTCATAGTTGACTTCATCCTATTCAATTAATATTTAAATTAATGCACCGAATGGTAAACCAAGCAATTTCTGCTTTGCTATTCCCCTATGGTTCAGAGCACATTCCTTCATGAGTGAGTTTTTGCCTGTGGACTCAAAGGCAGAAAATTGCTCCCTTGTAGTCCTACATATAGTTCCCCTTTCCTTGAAAAGGAACTGGTACAGCTAGGGTGCCCTCTCCTCACCTCATGGTCTGCATCTTCCATGCAAATGGCATTTACTTGACACACAAGAATTTCCTTCCTTTTTCTCCATGGAGGTAAAGGGACATACATGGTTCATGTATCCACCCCTACCCCATTGCCCTTAAACAAACCTAGTGACTGGTCAAAATAGCCCTGTTGGATCAAGCCACTAGCCCACCTAGTCTGAGTTGGGGGCACATTGGTTCTGTTTACAGTATGTCTGTCTACTGATAAAAGACCAACTGTACTACTGCTCCAACACAGCTTATTTCTTATTGTGTTCATGTATTTAAAACTAGATGCATCTTCAAATTGCAGTTATCTTTATACATTAGTTTTACTTTCTAATGCAACTATATTAACTGCCAAAAATGTACATCACTGTCTTTACAGCCCTAGTCAGTATGGACATGGTCAGGTATGATGGGTCTTTTAAAACATTAAACACTCTAAGGGTCAGAGGTTTGTCCTGGACAAGCTCAAGTGGAGAAGGAAGCAGCTGGATCTGGCCCAGAACTCACTACCTCCTGACCTTGAACCAATTTCTTTAAACATCTCTGTAGTGCTATACAAATATGTCTTGCCAGCCTAAATAACTTTTACACTGGAAGTGGGCAAGATACGTGACATTACTTTAACACTCAGAGGTACAACATGAAACTCAGAGTGGGAGAAACAACTCACCAGCATGTCCAAGTAGTTTGTGTGCGTTTGTATATTATGCCTGTCTTCTGCTGCAATTTTCTTAAAATTCTTTAGTTTCACTGGCGATTTTTTTGCTACCTTAAGAAACGGTTTTAGCCACTCTACACATTCTGCAATACTGTCCCACTCCAAGCCTAATAATAAAAGAGAAATTTTGAGTCGAGGTCTTCATAATGCGTATTCACTGCTCTACAACAAACAAGAGCTACACTTGATATTTTACATAAACAGTTGGACAGAATGTAAATAAAATTACATGATTACAAATAAAAGCCTTTAAGTATTTATATGGCACTCTGCGTATATTACTAAGCCAATAATGTTAGAACAAATCTATTGGAACAGTAGCTTGTTCCAGGCCAACTACTCTGTTCATGGCAGAGGCAAGATTTTCAGTTTCTAGCTTCTCTCATTCACAGCTTAACGTTCTTGCGCTCGCTGAAATAGCTTTCAGTTTCATTATTGGCCATCAGTTTCAGACTCAAGGCAACCTCAAAACTAGAAAACAACAGTCATGAACCCCTTGATTTCACCACTACTGTGCATTTCTGAAACTTTGAACCTTGTGCAGAGTTTAATATGCCTTGTTTCAGATATAAACAGCTACAGCCCAGTGAAGCTAGATGAGCATAAGTGCAAGATATTACCAAATATTATTTCCAAGATAGTGGCTGGTGTGCTGGCAAGAGGATATAACAATTCTTATTCCTATTGCAAAGGGATAAACTAGTACCCAGCATGTCCAAGGATAACTCCTAATAGACTCAGCTGGTGACAACTGCAGATAAAACGCCCTCTTGTTTCTCATTAATCTTATCATGCGTGGAGTAATCACAGTTTGCACATGGAGGAGAGAAATGGAACAGAACAGGATGAAGAGACGTTGTGTAAAAGACAGGAAAAATCCCATTGTTTGGGTAGGCAATTTTTAAATGTGCCCAGGGATAAAGTGAGAGGTAACCCTAGAATTCAAAATTTAATGTAGCACGATTAAATGCGAGAAAGCTCAAGGGGCAGCAGAGTTATGAGAAAGCATGAACTAAGGGCAGAGGTGGAAGGGAGGAAACAGGGGAAAAATTAGCCTATTGAGAAGTACACAGACACAATTTGTGAGCAGGCTCCATAACTAACCCTCCAGAGAGTGAGAACTACCCCTTTCAATCCTGAGCCAACAGCCCCCTCAACCACAATATCGGGTAACACACCAGTGATACAATATTGTTGAGGAGCCCTGCTTGTACTTTATTTCTAAAATAAAAAGGTATCCAGCCAGTTTGTGCCAGTTTGCATGCCCACATATTTATTTATGTGCCAGTTTGCATGCCCACATATTTATTGCAGCCTCAGACATCTTACAATAGCTAGGACATGAAAACCTGAGTAACAACAAAAAAGATGCTCCATCCTACCTGAGACTCTTGTAACTACATGTACTGAGGTATAGTGACAGAGTGCAGCCGCCGCCAATATTCTATACTGGAAATCCAAAGAATTGACATCTAGAATACATAGATCTAAAAGCTGCAAGGAAGGAAGACCCACATTTATTAGTATAAATACGTGGTTATAACCAATCTCGTATTTGATAGCTTATCACTACAAGCTGCAGTAACTCATTGAATCAGAGTTGGAAGGGATGCTGAAGGTCATCTAATCCAATCCCCTGCAATGCAGGAATCTCAACTAAAGCATCCATGATGGATGGCTGCTTGTCCATTGCTTGGATTATGAGGGTGCAAGATTACAAATAACGCCTGTCGGTTGCTTAGAGTTTAGGAATAGCACCAGTTTCACTAAGTTACTTGAGCTGATACACGGAGGTTCCTCATAACACTTAAGACTATTGCGTCTGAGTAGGGCTATCCAAAGGACGAATTATTTTAATAAAATCCAGATGTTAAAAATATTTTAACTGAATTAAGATCAAATGTATTTGGAAAACATTTGCAAGCTAGTCTCACATAATCGTCCTGAGTCCTCAAGATCAACACTGCACTGATGCTAGCTCGTGAGATTCCTCATCACATTTTAGAATCCAAACCAATTGTCTTATGTATCCACTTGCCAAGAGCTCAATGTGCTGCACTAAAGGTTTCTCATCTTGTAATTTGTTTGCAACCAAGCACTGCTTTGAATCATCCAGAGACCAGGTGAACTGGGTCCCTCCATATATTTTGAGGGGGGGGGAAGGGTTATATCATACAGGCTTTATAACCAATGCAACAAGCATGTTCTCTTATTCTGCATTTTACTGTATTACAATGCAATATATAAGAAAAGCTTGAATTAAAATACAATTAAAAATAATACAGCATCTAGCACAATTGCTCCAACAGACAAAAAAATCACATACGTGGTCTGCCAAGACCCTTCACAATTTTCAAGTCTGTGGGAGACCACCGCTGGAGACAGCTGTATGATCAAGCACTGAAGAAATTTCCATCCCTTGATTCTTGCCCTGTACCTCAATGTCATCTTCCTGCTGTTCAAACATGAACCCTGCAAGTTGTCTACCTGAGCTGAAATCTTGCATCTATATATCTGTATGGTGCTCTTATGCACCAGATGTGCTGGAATAGGAACTTACCTGTGCTATTTCAATAAACTTTTCCTGAGAATACTGAGGTAGCAGCACCTTTGGGACATCTTTCAGAGCGTCCACTTGGAGATAAAGGTTCAGCCAAGAGATGATCGTTACTGGGCACAGCTCCCACTTTAGAGCCTACATGTGTGTGAACATCATAACAAAGGCTTTAGGGCACCTACAAACTTAGCAAGTAAACTTATTCACACAGCCCAAAACCCTGCACAAGTTCTAGCACAGCAGTGTGCATATCTGTTTTTGCACTGTATCACTGGCGCGCCAGGGAGAACAGTTCTCTATTTTTTCCTTCTCCCCAACATGCTCAGCATTCTTTGTGTAAAATGAAGCAGAATTCAAGTTGTGAGCCCTCCCCTCATGCTATCCTATGATACAGAAATCACCTCGGTCTCTTCATCTACTGCTCTGCAAGACTTAACCCTTGCACAATGCCCTAAATCAGGAATAGAGAGCCTGTGTTGCCCTCTAGACGTTGCTGGATTCCAACTCCCATCAACACATCTGGAGGGCCACAGATACCCCATTCCTGCCTGAAAATATGTACAAGATCCCAGTGCATTCTCCTGGTACTGGCAACAAGCCTCCGATTAAGCACTCCCATTCTGAGAATGCCAAGCAAAACCAGTTCTTATGTAAAATCAAGTAAAGTTGCTCAAGTCACAAGCAATTCTCTTATCCCAGAGGGTACTGTTATAGCATTCCAGGATGTATACACCAGCATGAGAAGTTAGCTGCTTTATACATAGCTCCAATTCTTCCCAGCCCTGAGAAGGTGGTCAAGAAATATCTTCTGTAAAATACAAAACTAAAAATGGAGGAAGGGAAAGGAGAATTTTAGCCGCTTTGAGCCTCCTTCGGGTAGTGATAAAGCAGGATATCAAATCCAAACTCTTCTTCTTCACAGAGTGTATCCAAGCAGCTTTCACAGTGCACATCAGTCAGATTCCAGATTTTGGAGACATTGTTAATAAATAAATACAATCTGCTCTGCCTAAGAAGCCAATATGATGCCCTTCCAGATGTTTGGGACTTCAATTTCCATCAGGAGCAGCCAGCATGGCCAATAGTCAGAGTAATAGGAATTGAACTTAAAACATCTGGAAGGCACCATGTTAGCTTCCCATCCAATAGACTAATTCCTAGGATGCAGACTCTTAAATATGTGCTGAAATGGTCAGCATCTTCATTTTATTACCTTTAATATAATGAGCTCCATTCTTATAATATCATCTTCACTACAAGCACCATCAGTAACATAGGCAAATTCCTGTAGTTTGGGAGCATAAATCTCCTTAAAGGAAGAAGAAAAAGACAGAATGTTAGAACAAACCACAGCAAATCCAACAGGGCTTACAGACTTGTTGATCCATTCTCCTACAACCCTATTCTGCATACCACAGCTATTTCAATTTCACAAATTAGATTCAGATGCTTTTAGGCTCCTGTTACCACCCATGGGAGAGCAGCCATTAGCATGCCAACTTATAGGCTCAGCTGCAAATCCTCGTTTCCATGTAGGAGTGGGCAAGCAGTTGAAAAAGCAAAGAGCCAAGCACTCACTGAGATAGATCCTCAGCCACTACAGTTATGCACTGATCCCCACACATGGAGAAGAAACTTCACACAAGTGGCACTACTGTGCAAAGTCTCATATCATGAGCCCACTGGCAATGCCATGAAATCCTAAGGCCAATTGCACAGGACAGTCCAAAAGCTTCTTCACTGAACCACTGTCACTTGCCCAGGTCTGACTTGCAACGCACCACTGTCACAAAGCAGGAGGTGAAATTTGAAGCCAGACCATTAGACCTAAGTCCTTTACCATGTCCCCAGCCTAAGCTGTGCTTGAGATCTTTAGGGATCTCATCAGTTGCCAACTTAATTGAAACATTTTAAGATGTACAGGCCTGGCCCATAGAGTGCATTAAAAGATGGTGAAGTTTACAACGAATGTTGCATCATTCAAATTATGTTGACATGTTTGGCCTGCTAGGCATACATATCGGTGCTCTTCTTTTAGCAAGTCTTAGCAAAAGCCAGTTGGTAGTGGTTGGAGTTTCTGACTAGAATTGGGAGTAAAAAGGTAAAGGTATAGGACCCCTGACAGTTAAGTCCAGTCACGAACGACTCTGGGGTTGCGCCACTCATCTCACTTTACTGGCCGAGGGAGCCGACATTTGTCTGCAGACAGTTTTTCCGGTTCATGTGGCCAGCATGACTCAGCCTCTTCTGGCGAAACCAGAGCAGCGCACGGAAATGCCGTTTACCTTCCCACTGGAGCGGTATCTATCTACTTGCACTTCGACGTGCTTTCGAACTGCTAGATTGACAGGAGCTGGGACCGAGCAACGAACCGCCGACCTTCCGATCGGCAAGCCCTAGGCTCAGTGGTTTAGACCACAGCGCCACCCGCGTCCCTTGTGAGTACCAGGGTTCAAACCCCCATTCAGTTCACTGCGGGAGCTTACACCAATCACCACCTCTCAGCTTAACAGGGTTGTTGTGGGAATAAAATGGGGGAAACGATGCAGGTCACCTTGAGGTTGGTGAAAAAGCAAGTTATAAAGCAGACAGGATACAAAATAAAGTGTTCAGTCTCAGCTAAGTATTAGGAAACTCCCAGCCTTCAGTTACTGAGGGATGCATTTCCCCGTGATCAGAATCCTAGTAAGAACTCTGAGGGTTAAGAACACAGGCAGCTATTTGCTAATGGCAATTAGGGCTATCATTTGTGAGCACACACACACACTTCCAAGAGCTGCTATATCAGTGTGCAAACTGTGCAACTCAGACCTTCCATTTTTCCTCAGTAATAAACCAAGCTACTTTAATTAAAAGAAAAAGACCCATTTCTTCCTCAGCTGCTATATTGGGATGGGCCTTTGTCTGGAAAGGACATGCAGCACAATTATGGGTTTAAAATGCTATATTGTCAATGGCAGAATGGTTTCACTGACAGCTACTTACCTCAAGCTTGGAAGCAATGAACAGGGCTGTAATTCCTATGAGCTGAAGCATTGTTTTGTTTAAATTCTTTTGAGTCAGCATGAATCTGTCAAAAAAGTCTTGTGCCAAGTAGAAAGTTTCCCTATGGAGCGTGTATACTTCACATACCTGTTACAGAATAAGCTTTGTTTATTCACAGTCACTATACTACAAACAGTGAGACAAAACATTTTTTAAAAGTTGTAACTCAGCAGGGGATATATTTATGCCTATGTTTTTGTTGTGCCTATATATCAGAGGTCAGCAACCTAAGGCCCATGGGCCAGAAGCAGCCCGTGGAGGTTGTTTGACCGGCCCCCGAGCCACCCCTGAACTGAGCTGCCCACTCATGCGCTGTGCTAAACCAGCGCGGTGTAGAGACTCGCTTCTGCGGCACCGAAAATCGTGTCTGCGCAGACGCTGAAAATTGCATCTGCGCACGTGAAGATGCCGAAAATCGTGGGCTCGTGCACTCATATGCACACCAATCCGGCCCACGGAGGGATCTCTGTGGGACTGATCCGGCCCAGGCAAGATAAACCTTGCTCACCCCTGCTATATATTGATATGCTGACTAACCTTGTGAGCTGCTTTCAGCACAATTTGGAAAAGCAGAATATAAACAAGCTTAATACTTAAAGGGGGGGGGAGGAAGCACTCTGGGTCAGTCTTGCTACTTCTCAGGACTGTCCTTTATACACACATTACATTTATAAGTTCAATACTCACCTCCAGAAGCCAGTCCAATAGGATTGATCTCATGTGCGGCTGCAAGTTGGAGTGTAGAGATGTGAAATGCTTACAGTGAGAATATTTGTTCTCCTTTTTGAGAATGTTGAACCAGACATCTTTAGAATTTCCCCAGCTAAAATCAAAGACAGACATTTTAAATTCCAGATTATTTTTAAAAAGACATAAAATACGTGGTCTCAGCAAAAATTGGACTTCAGTGGGATGAAGCCAAATGCTTGTATTTAGTGCATTCAATGTATTATTTCTAGTCTCCAAACTCTAATGACCTTAGTTTTCCAAAGGGGTTCTACTTGAAGCTTGTTTGGATTTGATGAAACATAGCTGCCAAATAAGTTTTTTTTTAAAAAAAAAACTGAGGTAGAAGAGATGAAGAAAAGTCCATTTGCCTTCACCTTCAGACTACATATGATGCAGATGGCTGTATCTGACTTTTCAGACTTTAAAGGGAGCTGAAGGGGTGGGAGAACATTTCTTTATAGTATTTTAGCCCCTCTCAACTGAAAGGTCTCACAGCATGGCTACTTCCTACTCCCAACAAGATAAGAGATTGAGGTAGTATTCCTGGGATGAGGCTTCAATCCTTCAACCCTGCACCATTTCTATGATTTAATTATGCCAATGACTCTTCCTTCAGCTGCTGCCCCTGATCAAATGGAGTTGCTTTGAGGTTTGGAAATCCAATCAAGGATGGTCAATGTTGCATGCCTTCAAGGGCAAAAACTGAAAAGAGGTAGATATTACTCAGTAATCAACTCACTCAGCTTTTAAGTGGCTATAGAGACTTGTCAGAAGACAGTAAGTTTTCAACAATTGCTTCAAATTATTGTCATTTTGTCATTAAGCAAAACTAACAAGTTTTCCGTCAGATAAGTTGAAAGATGATTTTTCTGGCTGACAACAATGAATGACTATTAGGACTACAAGGTTGACAACTGGGCAGTTTCAGAACAATGGAACTTACACAATTTCTGGTCAGTTTCACTCAAGCAGGGCAGGGAGAGAGAAAAGACATGGCAACCAACACATACTGTACTTTTCCGTCTATAAGACGAGGGTTTTTAATTAAAAAATGAGCTTTAAAATTAGCCCTCGTCTTATACATGGGCAGTGCAGGGGAGGGGGGTTGTGTGATTGGTCATAGCCGTGAGCAGGAGATTCACAGTGGTGATAGTGTGGGTGATTGGTAGCTGTGAGAAGGGCTGTTGGTGATTAGCTGCCGCTGTGGCAATAGGACGGCCATTTGGTGGCTGCGTGTCTTCAGCAAAGCATGCGATTGTCAGCGGCGGGTGAGCGATTTCCGGCAATTCCCCCCCCAAAAAAAGCTAAACAACTCTGAGCAATCCTCCCCATTTTCTTAATTTGGAGTCCCCCAAAATAGGGGCGCCTTATACATGGGGACATCTTATAGACGGAAAAATACAGTATAGGTGCTTCTCTTTATTATAAGCATGAATGGGTTGTTCCCAATCTCGCCACCTTCTTGTAGTCCAGTCTTCCCCAATTTGATGCCCTTCAGATGTTTCAGACTACAATTCGCATAAGTACCCCATTATTGATTAAATTTGTATACCACCCTTCATCCAAAGATCACAGGGTGGTTCACAACGTAAAAATATGAGAACAAAAAATATGTAATAGAACAAAAACAAATCAATAACCCTCTTCCCCCAAACCCATTTCAAAGGCCATAAAATATTCACAGCATGGTCATCAACGCTTTCACCTGGTGCCTAAAGATGTGCAGTGAAAGTGCCAGGTGAGCCACCCAGGGGAAAGCATTCCACAGATGGGGAGCGACCACAGAAATGGCCCATTCCTGTGTTGCTACCCTCCGGGCCTCTCGTGGAGGGGGCCCACAAAGGGCCTTGTATGATAATTGCAGAGCCAGGTATGTTTATATGGGGAGATGCAGTCTATATGGGGAGGTAGCACATCTAAGTTGGAGGGCACTGTACTGAGGAAGACTATTCTAGTCAGTGCAGTTCCAAAAAGTTAGCAGTATAATAGACTACACAGCAGCAATACTTGCAGACATGATCTTAAAACATTTTTCATAGAATGCCAGATTTATATGCAATTTCTATCAAACACAGATGACACCTTGGAATATAATTCGTCCATCAAAATTTCACAGCTCGCATATTGCGCTTGATGATAGGCAAAGCATTCAGACCAAGGACTAAAACAAGATGGTTTTATTAGCGGTGTTACTCATTGTCTTTTCTAAATGCCACTAGCTCCAAATCAAAGAGTACCCACCAATACAAATTGGTGAAGAACACAGGGGTTTTGCACTACATTCGCTTTGCTGACATATCAAAGTATAGCAGCATCACAATTGCTTTTGGTTATAGGTAACTTACCTAAGTTCCGGTAAAGGTGATGGATTTATGAAGAGGTTTCTGAACCTGTATTTTTTGAATCTGGAAAAATCAGTGGTTGTCGCTTCTTTGTGAGGAGTTTCTATTATAATACAAGGGGAGATGCCGCCTGATATTGTAGATGGCCAACAACTCTACAAATGAGATATTAAGAGCTAGCATGAGAAAAATAGATACAACACCAAGCAAGATAGTTTATGAGTAGCAGAATTTGTCCCAGCCTTTTGGAACCTTCTCACTGTCACATAGAATATATCATCAACCAGCTAATGTTTACTAGGCCTTGAAAATCAAATCCCAAAGCATTTTATCCAAACCCTTGCAGCAGTAAGACATTAGGTGGGATATTGGGAAGGGACATAATTAACACTATACATTCCTGGAAGTTGAAAGTAAGTTTTTCAGTGGTGAAATATTCATTGAACACAAATTGCAGCAGAATACAAAATGAATACAAATCACACACTATGGAGCTGGAGTCATTAATTCTCCCTTATGCTTTCCCTGACAAAAAGTGAAGAACCTCCTGCTCACAATGGACACCACGTTAACAGTCTAAACTCTCACGCATACTGAAGAACGCAGACCAACTTAGTTAAAAATCAATGGTTACGCAGGTCATTATTACCTTAATTTCATACTGATGTCTCATGTTGATATCTTCTGTTCTCGTGGGGTCCTTTGGAAAACAGACACAGATGCACCTTGATTAAGAGCAAAGCAGCAACCAAGTGAAGCCAAATTCTCCTGGTACATCAAGGGCTCCCTCAATTTCAAATCCCTCCCTCAAAAATAGGAGCATTAAAGCCATCAGAGCACAACTATTCATTTTTGAAAGTCATTTATTGGCAACATATGCACAACCACCGATCACAGCTATTAAACAGTGATAATTCAAACACTTGCCCTAACCAAAAAAAGGGATAATGGAGGAAACATCATGCAAGTAGCAGAATGCTCTTAATAGCATCCAACAGCATACAAAAAATAACAGGCATAGTGGTCTTACTGCTCAGTTCCTTCACAGATTATGCCAGAATTCTTAAAAAGTGATATGCAAAGTGAGCCAGGACGAGGTTTAAAATCTTCCCTGACAAAGTGCTGCTTAGTGTCAGCCACCAACTACCACCCCTTCCCTTGACTTGGCCATGTGGACAGGCAGCAACAGAGCTGTGATCTGTGGCAGATGCCTGCAAACCACAGAAACAATGAGCTGCTTTGGTTATTGTGGAAAATATAAAATGTTGGGGAAGCTCCACACAAACCAAAATTGGGATGGGGTGGGGGAAGAAGCAGATCAAGGGATTCAAGACTTCAATATCAGCAGGCTCTTGGAAACTGCCTGAGTGTGCCAGGTGCTGATGTCAGCCTTATTTACAAATATGGTGTGGGGTTCACCTAACAAATCCCATCTACAGAAGGCCTGCTCAAAGGCTTCCACAATCGGGCTTCCCTCTCCTCCCCTCATGTACTGTACATCCCTGAAATTGGCTCTGGAGTGGGTGGGAGAACCCCTAGAACAGTGTGCCACTGTCCTATCTGGCAAGTTGATATGCTTGCACAGACGGAACATTTGTAATAGTGTGATGCTGAATTCCACCCATTATCTCTACATTTCAGATGCGAAGATAAGGCCAAGAGAAAGGTGGTTTTACCAATATCAATGCCGTGAATTCTTGTCTCAGCTTGAACAAGGCAATCCTGCTCATATTCTTAACCCCATCTGGCTCCAGGAGACTGTTTCAATTCCTACTTACCTGCATTGCTTTCCTTTTTCTGTTCTGAAGAGACTCTGGCAGCTGCAGTTCTTGAGGAGACGTATCCTGGCAGGGCTGGTGCAGCTTGGCTTGTAAACGACTACTGTGGAAATGTAAATACATTTTCCCATCAAGACAGCAGCAGAGAGCATTGCTATACATACACTGTGGCCCCTTAAAGACTAACCATTTTTATGATGGCATATATTTATGGGCTGCAGTCAGACTGTATACAGCTAGCATATTATAAAAGTGATGTTACCTGCGCCTTGACATCTTATTAGGATTCCAGATAGTTGCCTGCAAATGAGAGAAGACTATAGGTTAACCCAAAGTACATACAAAGTGCTGTTTAGCTCATGACTTACATCAAGTCGGACCATTGGTCCATCTGGCTCACTACTGTCTACACTGACTGGCAGTGGCTCTCCAGGTGTTCAGGCAGGGCTATCTCCTAGCACTACCTGGAAACGCTGGGGATTGAATGTGTAAAGCAGATACTGTACCACTGAGCTACAGCCCTTCCCCTCAAATTAATTCCAGCTCCCAGTGTGTGCATGCCTGCTGCCTAAACCCCAAAGATATTTCCAGAAAGTAGCAGAGACCAAGAACATCCAAATGGCAACTCCCCAACATCGTGGGCAAGGCATTTTTATGTACAGCCAGGAGCCTACAAGTGTTCCACAGGGAGGCAGGCACCTGTTACCTCGTGACAATCCTGCGCTTGGAACAAGAAATCTGGGCAAACTGCCCACATTAGTCATGTTCCAGTCCCTGAAAAACCCTGCACACCTGAATTAAGGGAAGTGAACTGGCAGTACATTACCCCGCAATCCCTCTTAGTAAGGGTGGTCTGTGTTAATTCCCTCCATCTCAGCTCAAAGCAGCAGTTCTTTACACACACAAAACTGAAGGTCACCCTTTCTCATCATCCATGTGCTCACTGGTCAATTTCAGGTTCAACCAGCTTCCATCTGCTGCCTCCCAGCATCAATGCCAGTAGCCATTTTGTTCCACTTCATGCCTTGCTCCAGGCACCATTCCATTTGCTTCCTCAGAGAACTCTGCTATGAGCATGTAGTCCCAAGGTAAGATTTGCCAACTTGCAAGTTTTGTACCCTCATCAATCATAAGCAGTGCTGGTTTGCATATTTCGCAAATATGTATGTCCCATGCGCTCAGAATCAAACCCCATACATAGCATTGTCAGGAGCCGAGACTACTTGCATGTCTATAAACAGCTATTACTGTACATGAATATAGTTTACGCACCCAAATCCTATGTGCAAGGAGATTGCCAAGCTTTACAGTACTTTCACTAGGACCTTATCACTATGATGACTTGTTGCAAAGACACACGTTTTGTTTCGAGTGAACTAAGTAAACCACAAAGACTCGAGCTGCCCCCTCCTCTTTCTGCCATTTGTTCTCCCCGCTGCCTGCCAAGCGGGAAGGGCGGGGGGCAGCAGCTTCAGGAGCCCCCCCACCCCCAAGCTGCCGAGCCAGCTATACGCGGCTCTCTGGCCCGCGCCAATTTACAGAAAGCGGGTAAATGCAGGAGGCGGCAACAGCAGGCTGGACTCTGCCACCACCCTCCATCCAGCATGCGGGTGAAACTCCCGCTGGCCCTAAGAGGGTGAAACGTAAAAAATAATAATGAAGAGAAGAGCACAGTGTTTTAAAAAAAGTGGGGGAGGGATACCGGCGGGAGATTTTTTGGGGGGGGGGGCGGGCAAAAGCGCGCGCTCTCTCTTTTTAAGAAAAGCATTTCCCGCCTACATTTACACATGCCCCTATATATTGGGGTTGCAAAAGAGGAAATGTTACAGAGGGGGTGCACGGGATAGGAGTAGAAACCCCGATTGCTCCCCCCCTCCTTGCATCAAGACAGCAAGAGAGGGAAAGACCCACAAACACAGCCCCCTCCCCAGGCAAGAAGCGCCCCCCTCTCTTCCCGCCGTCCCCCAATAAATCGAGTCCAGAGCCAAAGCGGGGAGCTTCTGCAGGACGGACCCCGCACCCCAACCTGCCTCTCCCGCCTTCCAGCCCAACAGGGGAGGGGAAAGAGCCCTTCCGCCGCCCGAAACACACCTTTTCCTCTGTGGAGACCCCACCCCAGCAAAAAACCCAGAACGGTGAGGGGGCGAAAGACCGAGGCAACTGCTCTCGGGGCAGCCCGGGAAGCCACCAGGCGGGCTCCCCGCCCCCCGCCCCGGAGGAGGGAGTCGCTCTCCCTCCAAAAAAGCCTCACACGCCCAGCAAGGGCAGGCCGACCGAGCCAGTTCCCAGACCACACCGACGAGAGGAACAGGTTTGCCGGGGGTGGGGCGGGGGTGCAAAGGGTCCCCCATAGGGAGACCCCCATCGCCCCCACCCCAAAAAAGGCAGAGACGCCCCAGGAAAAACCCGGAGCAACTCCCCCCCACAATGCGCTGCAGGGGAGACACCTCACTTTCCCGCCTCGCCACCCCCCACCTCGGCCCCCGAGAGGCCCCCCCGGGCCGGATGGGTGGGGGATCCCCGCTCTTTCCTCGCCGCCGCCTCATTCTCCCTCCAAAAAAAGCCCGGCCGGCGAGCTGGGAGGGCGGGCATCCCGCCTTCTGGCTCCGCTTCCTTCTCCAGCCGGCGCTGGAGCCCTGCCGCCCGCTGCCTCCCCCCTCAGCGCTTTTCTGGGGCAGCCCCCTAAGCGGCGCCCCCGCACCCTCAGCCCCCCCCCTCGCCAGGACATTCACCACACGCAGGGAGGGGGGGATTTTTAAAAAGCCAGCCCCCCTCCCCATATAGGCCGAAAGCAGCAGGGCGCGAGCAGCCCTCGCCCGCCACCCAGCCCTTTCCCGAGCATTGCCGCCCTCCCGCCCCATAGAGAAGACCCCCCAAGACCGCACCTCAGCCGCCGCTGCCAAACCTGGGCTGTTCTCAGCTGGCGCCGGCGCCAAGGCGCTTATATAGGGCGCCGCCTGCGCATGCGCCGGCCTGGGTCCCAGCTCAGCCCTCTCGTCGCCGCCTGCAGTTCCCGGGCTGCGAGTTCTCCCGCCCGACCGCCCCGGAACCCCGAGGTGGAGCGCGCCCGGCGCCCCGCGCGCTGCAAAAAGGACGAACCTCGCGGATTCCCAGCCGCGGACAGACATTAGGAACCTCCGGCTCGTTCCTGCTGGGGTTTTTTTACCCTCGGAGAGGGAAACTCTACTAAATGTATATACACACACACACACCAAAAATATACTATATACACACACCAAAAATATACTATATGCAATGACAGCAGGGCAGCTTTTTAGGCACGCCCGGTGCACGTTCCGGGGGGGGGACATTGCGGAAGAGTGTCCCCTGAGGAGGACGTCCCACTTCCCCCGCCAATCCCGCCAAATGCTCGCTCGCCTCCGCGGCTGGCCTCCTAGTCGTAGATGGCAGCCGGCTGTGCCCGCGACTCGGAGACGCGACGGGGCTTTTGCAAGAGCTTGACCCCGTGATCGTGGGTTCTCCGGGGCCGTGGGTGCCATGCAGTGTGCATGGCCCCGAAATGTGTGGGTGCCCGGCCCCTTCATGGGGAATTGGGTGGGTGCTCGGGCACCCAGAGCCCCAAGGAGTTGGCACCTATGGGGCTTTGACCGCCAAGGCGGGAGGGGAGAAGCCCCCCGCCAAGGCAGGTGGGGGAAGGAACCATAGATGTCAACCTTCCCTTTTTTTTGCGGGAAATTCCCTTATTCCAGCGCCGTTTCCCGCTGCTATCCCGGATTGTTAGATATCCCGTAGACTGTCCCCAGGACAGGTGAGGCTGCTGATCCCTTATTTTCGAGGCTCCCCAGGACAGGTGAGGCTGCTGATCCCTTATTTTCAAATCTGAAAGTTGACAGCTATGGAAGCAACCAGCCCTCCTCCCTCCCCAAACGTCCTCTCAGCCCGTTGTTGCGCGTCTCTCACATACCGGCTGCACGGACAGCTCGTTAACCCTGCAAAGCCGTATCAGCTGCGTTCCCGGGAGCCCGCGCAACCAGAATGGCTCCTGCGCCGGCCGCGGCTCTCGGCCTGGCATTAGCAACACGCGCGCTTAGACAGCTCGCCACGTCGGGCTCCACCTCTGGGCGGAGCCGCGCCGCGCGCCGCGGCCAATCAGAAGGGCGAATGGCTCGGCAACGTGGACCTGTCGACAGAATGTAAACACGGCTCGCGGGAAGCCAGGAGGAAGGCCGCTGTCAAAGATGGAGGGAGCGGGGGAGACTGTGAAAGCACCGTTAAGGGGTGCTGGACCTTCTTGCAGCACGCAGGGCTGTGTCCAGTCTTTGGCATGTGGTCAGGAACACGAGAAATGTTCGATATAATAGTGGGGGTGGGAATTTCTCGCAGAGGGAGGAGAGAAAAAGAAAGGAAAAAGTGCTTGAGACTGTAATAGAATACGATCTATAGGCAAATAAGTACTGGCAGTATCCTGACGAGTACTGTATACAATTATTAGTAAGTCATTAAAAGGAAGACGAGAGCTTAAGGTGAGCCCACCTAGTCCGGTAGCTTGTTCTCACAATGGCCAGGCGGATGTCTGCCTGCGGGAAGGCTTCAAGCACGACCTGAGTGCAAGAATAACCCGAGATAACTCAGTCCGTAGAGCATGAGACTCTAATCTTGAGTTACAACGCCCCTAAAATGAAATTAAAGACAAAGTATTCCAAATGCACTATCAGATTCCTTTATTGCAGGGGGCTGGACTAGATGCCCCCGGGGTATCCCTTCTAACTTGACAGTTCTATGATTCTAAGAGCACTCTCTCCTCCTGCAGTTTCCTGCAACTGGCATTTGTTTACCAAATTTTATACACCGCTTGATTGTTTAAAAAAAACCAAAACCCTCAAAGTGGCTTGCAAAGGGAAAGGGGAAAACAAACAAAACCAGGCCTTGCTCCCTAGATGTTTAAAACCAGGGGAAGGCAACCTGCGGCCCAATCGCTTTCTCAGTCCGGCCCAGGAATCAGCATGTTTTTACATGAGTAGAATGTGTTTTATTTAAAATGCATCTCTGGGGCATAGGAATTTGTTCATTTTCCCCCAAAAAATTATAGTCGTCCCCCCCAAGGTCTGAGGGACAGTGGAGCAGCCCACAGCTGAAAAAGGTTGCTGACCCGTGTTTAAAACACTTCCCAACAGTGATCATTTAAGCAGATTGAGTACTCAGACCAATTCAAAGCTAGTCTTACTCAGAACAGACTGGTTGAAGTCAATATATATTGACTAACTTAAATTCATTAATTTCAGTATGTGTATTCCTTGAATACCACCCCAAGGCTTTTGAATGAACATTGTGCAAAATTACCATTTAGGAAATTATAATCATCTTTCCCTATATAATCCTTTCAAACTGCAGCAGCACAGTGACAAGATTGTTTTTGCATTTTCTGTTTTAACCAGCCCATGCTAGTGCTGATATCCTTTGCTTTTGATTAAATTCAGGGCTGGATGAAGACCATTAGAGGCCCTAAATGCTGAAAAGATTGTGGTGCCTCCCAATAGGTAATTCAAAATAAAAATAACATTATAACATAAAATAAAATATTACTTTCCAAAATGACATAAAATTTACATACCGTATATGTATGTAAATGCACATATGTCAGGTGCTAATGCGTGTCATCCTTGCATTATTTCAGTCTACATTAGGAGTCCGCCCCTTGGTTTTGGTGGGAATAAGTAATGAGAATACAAAAAAGGGGGAAGAATGTGTAAGGAAGTCCAACAAAGGTCAGATTTTCCCTTGAAGACCACTTTGATGCTTCAATTATTGTGCCCTAAGCACCGGCTGAGCCTCTTTTAGTGGTGGGACCCTTCACAGATATTAAAATCAGTTGCCAAAGATAAATGCTGGGACTGCTTCATTAATGTATTTATTCATATGAAAACTGATATCTTGCAATTCTGTTGGCTATGCACCACCCAGAAAAGCTGACAGCGATTTAAACCAATCATAAAATACAATAGCATTTAAAAGAGAAAGATAGAGAGAAATGGAGGTGGGAGGTGGGGTTTGCTTAAATACTGCATGTCTGTTTTGCAGCACAAGCAGGCATTGCCAAGAGCATATGTGGAAGTGAAATCCCAGAAAGGAGAAAGAAATGCCATTTATGAAGCTGTGTTGAGTCTACTGTAGCAAGACAAAAGGCATTATGGCATCTTAGGGGGTGCATAATTGGTTTAAGACAGGAGCCCTCCTGCAAATGCAATCAGTGAAAGTCTTGTCATAGTAGGATGGTGTGGATTACACCTACTGCCATCATTGTTAACTGCTTCACTGCCAATCTGTGTTAAAGAAACAGTTCCATTGTGTGCTTAAACAGCATTCAGGACTGGCAGGCGTTGCAAGCAGAGCGAATGAAGCAGGGCTAATAAGCTTGAGCTAGAAGTGCACAAAATGCATTGCCAAAGCCTAGCCCCAGCTGAGGCTGCAATCCTCAGCATACCTGTTTTCCAAAGAATAAAAGAAATAAAAGTTCCTTAAAGCTCTGTGGAACTTGCTGCCAAATAATGTGATCAGAATCAAGGCAAAACCCTTGTGTTTTGATGTGGAGACCCAGTCCCAAATCTCTGCTCAGCGTAGAAATGCTTAAGCCTATCCGCTCTCTCAGCCTAGCCTACCTCACAGGACCATTGTGAAGACAGAATTGAGTAACTTGGTATTTGCATTGTATATAAGATAGGAAAGACTAGAAAGCAGCTGGCAGATAATTTTTCTGTACAAAACTTGTAGGTGTTGCCTACCACCTTTGGATTGCATTTAAATGCAATGTGGGGTTTTTGTTTTGGTTTTGCCCCTCCTTTGAGATTGGTAGTGACCTGAATTACCAGGGTCCCTTCTGGGATTCACATTCATTTTTTAAAAACAACAGCTGAATCTCACTTGAAACTGCTGGTGAAGAGGTCATTCCCATCAGAGCAATTTGCATCAGTATACTAACAGAACTCAGCCTCCTGGGCGTGGTCAAAATACTGCAGCAAGGTGTGATCAAGGTCATCCATATTCCATTGCCTTAGCCATAAGAAGTACATTGATGTAGTTCAGTTTGCATATAAGGAGATTAGCCTGCCCAATCATAAGATAACGCTGTCAAAAATGAGCCTCTACAAGGAACTTGTGATGACTCATAGCTGGGAGAGAAACAGCAACTGAAAAAGTAATCAGTGTGGCTCTGGTTCTGTTTTAAACAGCCTGTTCCAAGCTTGCGCTCTTCATACTGCAGCTCCCATCAACCACAGCTGCATAGGACTGATGGGATTTGTAATCCAAAACATCCGGGGGTCACCTGGTTGCCAGAGGGCTGGTTAAAAGGAAGAGCGGAAGTTTTACAAAATCATAGAATTAGCCACAGACCAGCCTTGAAAGCTGGCAACAGGTGAAGAGAAAGAATAAACATACATGCCTGAAGTATTTTCCTCTCACCATCACATCAATTGGCTCTCCATCAACTTGCATTAAGAAGAGGTTTAAGGCTAACTTTCAGATGGCTTTAGGCCCTACTACAGTTCAACTTATAAATTAAGTTCTGAGTCCCACTAAGGTTGCAATTCTAACCCACTTACCTAAGAGTCAGATCCACTTCAGAGTAGACATGGTTAGGATTGTGCTGTACTAGTCTCTTGACCCTGAAAAGTGTTATCTGATACCTGAGGCGTGTTTTTTCCACCCTATCCTTGTGATTGTAATCTGTTTCACCTGGTTTTAGTTTTTAATTGTTGTACTCTGCCCAGGGACCTACAGGTGAAGGATGCATAGTAAATGCAATGATGATTATGGAAACCAGGCAGCAATTTAACACTTTTGCAAAGGCCAATGGATTCATACTGGTCTCTTTGGACAAGAGTATAAAGAAGGATAACAATGTTAGATCTGAAATGTAGAGATAAACACACATCTTTTTATGTTTCAGTTCTGCAACACAATCCCTTCCCCCTACGCTCATTTACAGGAACAGAGTATGCAAATATTCAAATGCAGCATGCCTCTAAATACAAGCTGCTGCAGAGCAAAATCAGAAGAGGTATCTTGCCTTTCATGTCCTGGTGGACTTACCAGGTGCATCTAGCTGGCTATTGTGGGAAAGCAGCAGCTGAACTAGATGGGCCTGTGGTCTGATTCAGCAGGGCTCATCTCCTATTCCTGTCTCAGAATGTCAGTTTGGCATGATATAAACTTCATTAATACATTTTTACTGCCATCAATTCAGTTGGCATTAAAAAAAATTCAGTGTATTCAGGGTTGTGGGCCCAAGCTTGTGGTACTCTCCGCCACCTGAAATTAGACAAGCACCCTCCTTGCTGAACATCACGTGCATGACTAAGGTTTCATTGTTCCAAGAGGCATGTTAAGGTAATGTCTGGTTTTTTATATCAGCACCAAACCACTCACAGCTGTCCATGGAGGCGCAAGTCAATTCTGTGTCCAGGGCAGCTGTCTACCAGCTCCATCTGGTACGCAGGCTGAGACCCTACCTGCCCGCAGACTGTCTCGTCAGAGTGGTGCCTGCTCCGGTTATCTCTTGCTTGGACTACTGCAATGCGCTGTACGTGGGGCTACCTTTGAAGGTGATCCGGAAACTACAGCTAATCCAGAATGTGGCAGCTAGACTGGTGACTGGGAGCAGCCGCCGAGACCACATAACACTGGTCTTGAAAGACCTACACTGGCTCCCAGTATGTTTCTGAGCACAATTCAAAATGTTGGTGCTGAACTTTAAAGCCCTAAACGGCCTCGGTCCAGTATACCTGAAGGAGCATCTCCACCCCCATCGTTCTGCCTGGACACTGAGCTGCGAGAAGCCCAAGTTACAGGGAACCAGGCAGAGGGCCTTCTCAGCAGTGGCACCCGCCCTGTGGAACACCCTCCCACCAGATGTCAAAGAGGAAAAACAACTACCAGACTTTTAGAAGACATCTGAAGGCAGCCCTTTTTAGGGAAGCTTTTAATGTTTAATAGATACTGTATTTTAATCTTTTGTTGGAAGCCACCCAGAGTGGCTGGGGAAACCCAGCCAGATGGGTGGGGTATTAATAATAATAATAATAATAATAATAATAATAATAATAATAATTACAGATGAAGCCCTTGCAAAATGACTGGGGAAATGCTTACATGTTTATGAGTTTTCAAAGGAAGCAAGTTCTCAATGTGAGGGGGCAGACCACCTGCAGGAGCGCTACGCCATGTCCTGTCATGGGCTGGCGTTATTAAGGGAATGTTCTTGCTTGCAAGCTTCAGTCAAAACAGACAGCAGGTAATGGGGTAGAAGCCCCTCTGCGCCGAGTACAAGAATATCCAGCCAAAGGCTGGCTCTGTTGGAAACCCTCATCCCATCAGGTTTATTAGGTTTAAGGATTTCTCTCCCCTCCCCATCCTGTGGGATTGTGCAGCCACTAACTTGCGGTGGCAGACTGTAGAGATGTGCATTGATTTTCACAGTGAAATAAATGAGCTCTTCATTTTTATAATGAAAATGAAAGGGGAAGAAAACAAATTGGAAAGGGGGGGAGAAATGAAATCCACTTAGGGCAGGCATCCCCAAACTTGGCCCTCCAGATGTTTTGGGACTACAATTCCCATCAACCCTGACCACTGGTACTGTTAGCTAGGGATGATGGGAGTAGTTGTCCCAAAAGATCTAGAGAACAGAGTTTGGGGATGCCTTAGGGCTTCCCCACCCCCCATTCATTTTCAAGTTGCAATGTATATGTGCATCTCTCTGGGGCATAGAGAGCGTGTGAAGTCAAGTAAGACAAACTGTAAAGCTCTACCTTGTATGTGGATAACCCTTATGCTATGTCTGTACTGGGTGCTTTTGAAAATCGGCTGGTTCCTCATCTAGCCTTGGCCACCCTGCTGTGCTTTAGATGTTTTGAATTACAACCCCATCAGCAGCCGCCAGCACAGTTTAAGCCATGGGTAGGCAAACTAAGGCCCAGGGGCCACATCCGGCCCAACTGCCTTCTAAATCCGGCCCGTGGACAGGTCCGGGAATCAGCGTGTTTTTACATGAGTAGAATGTGTCCTTTTATTTAAAATGCATCTGTAGTGGTTCTAGGGGTTGCTCGTGCGTAAGCCGGTGCAAACACCTGGCTGGGTTGCCTGAGTGAACCTTTTCTGTCCGGACAGCCACTCACCCGTGGCTGTCTCAATCGCTGGCAGAATCCGTCAGTGGGCGTTTCTTAAACTTCTTCCAGCAAAGAAGCTCTTTGACGCCTAGTCTCCGCCTACTCTCTCTGCGCGGAAGCCTTCTGCACAAGGAGGACGTAGGCAGCGGAGGACCTCTACTGTCCCCACTGGTCCCTGGCAAGGAGTCATGGGACCGCCTTGCCGCTTCCCCCATCTGCCCCCCTTCTCCACTGGTGCTACGCTGATTCTCTTCCCCAGAAGATGGGCTGCCTCTCCCAATCCCGGGACGCTCTCCGGAATCCCTCTGGATTTTGCTCTCTCCCTCCGGCACTGATGGCAGTTCCCTGACAGCTTCTCTGGGTTATTTGTGGGGCATAGGAATTCATTCTCTCCCCCCAAAAAAAATATAGTCTGGCCCCCCACAAGGTCTGAGGGACAGTGGACCGGCTCCCTGCTGAAAAAGTTTGCTGACCCCTGGTCTAAGCTATCTGAAATGTGGAAGGTCTGATATTGTTTGTATATATGAACAAAGGCAAATCCTATGCCATTTAGGTGGGGATCACCAAAAGGTTGCAGTCTGCTGAAGATTGGATGGATCTCCCATTGAAATCAATGCAGAAAAAGAAACAAGAATAACCATCAAGAAACAAAAGAAATGCAATTAATATAAATGGAAAATGTAACTTAATATGGAATTAAATAGGAAAACAATGCCCCTCGCCCCGTATAAGCCAGATCCTATAGACGTGATGGAACATGGGGGAAATATATAAACACATTGAAGTCTATAGACAACTTGTTGCCATTGAGCTGCTTGTTGGACATCAATCCCAGCAGATATGGGCAATGGTCAGGTATAATGGGAGTTACAGTTCAGCAACTTCAGAAGGGCGACAGGTTCCCATCAGAAAACTAAATGGTATACAGAACCAGCTGAAGTATGCACCTGCTATACTGCAATAACCATTTCCAAAGGGGTTATGTTTAATAAGTACCATAACAGCGTATCTGTCTCATTTTCTGCACAGGAAACAGATTTGCAGTAACTACTCAAGCACAAGCTACATTGAGATATTACTGTATATTGTAGAATCAGGGTGCTAGAACCTTGAATATCTAAAGAACTGCTACAAGGACAAAACAAAAATGTCTCTAGAAAGAAGCTGCCATTGGTAATGCATAGACTGGTGTACAGTATTTATCCCAACAGAAATATCCCTTTTTTTAGTCTTCAAGTTCAAGTCTGCTGTATACAAGTCACTTAAAAAGGCACAGTTTTGTTTACAATACATATGAAAAAACAGTTTAAGCAAAGTTATTGAATCACCATTCAGTACAGCACAAGGCCCCCACTTTAACAAGTTAATACCATTTTTTTAAAAAAACAAACCCACACACTATATAAAAAGTCATACCTACTCACAAAATACATAGCATTAGAAAAGCAAAAAAATTCTAACAGTCCAAGACTTCCAGGCACATTATAGAACTAGTAACATAAATATGCAAGACAATTAAGAGTCAAACATAATGATGTAATGCAATCATTCCTTTCCCAACGGTATTATTTCCAATATTAAGAACTGAAAAGCACATATATTTGTGCAACAAGCTTGTGTGTCTACCTCAAAAAAAGATAAGCTTCCATCACTAGAAAGTTATCCAGTAAAATAATGGTAAGGAATATTTGTATATCTCAACTAGAAAGCCTAACTTCAAACGTTTGCTAACATACACAAATAAGGTGGGCAAGGTAATCTTCATTTTAATATTCCTGTAAACAGGAAGGAGAATGGTTTCTGGAGACAAAAGATGAAGGCTAAGAACCTACACAGAGCTATTTGCTAATACTTTATTTCAGTTAGGCAAACCTCTAAACAAGTGTACCTAGGACCACAGTCAAACACTGAAGCGTTCCTGAGTTTATAAATATATCTGTGGTGTTTGTCCATGAAACCAAGAGAAGCTTAACAGTATTGGGTAACCACTGAAATAAGGAAATAAACGTTTGTGTAACTTTAAAAAATGAACAACTGGCTGAAATTCAGGATATCCTAGTATGGAAGTAAACAGAAAAATGGCTCTGAGGAACTCCAGATGTCAAGCATTAGACTCAAATATTAATTTGTAGACAGATGAAGACTGCCACCACATATTTCTTAAAACTTCTAAGTTATTTGGACTAAATGATCAAATTAGACCACTTTGTAGTAGAATGGTTGCTGTTTTTTAACTCGTTAAAAAAATTAGTTAAGCTGGTAGTATTTCAAGTGAAGGCGAGTATTGGTCAAGTGATCATCTGTCTCTATACTTATATTTTATAGCCTGAGACATTGGAAATGTTTGTCGCTGTCTTTTGGGTCTAGAAGGTCCAACATACCACAATGACCCTCACTTGCATGCCTGCTTCAGGCTCTGCTCTGTGGAGGAAGCTGGCTAAGCCACACTGAGCAATGGAGAAGTTGATGGGAGGAAGTCAAGTCACACAAGATTCTTCCCCTGCCCCATAGACAATTCGCTCGTCATTCAGAGTTCAATGCCATACAGTCTATCACATTTTAATAATTGTGTTCAAATGTTAACAGCAAGGGTGTGGAACCTGTGGCCCTCTAGAAGTTGCTAACCTGCAACTCCCATCAGTCCCAGCGAGGTTGGTCAACAGCCAAGAATGATGGGAGGTGTGGCCCAGCAACATCTGGCAGGTCAAAGGTTAGCCACGCCCATTAGGTTAAGAGGATATACAGTATACACAGATTGTTGCAAGTGTATGGCTGACCCTGAGTAGCTCTCTAACTGCATTTGGACTACAAAGTGATGTGTTGCCTGCTCTGCCTTTGTTAAAAAGGCCAATATAAAAACAAACCCACCCATCCATCCATCCGTCATAAAAAGTTTCTAGAAAGTCATGTACAAAAACGAAAAGAGCAAACCCCCAGTCACACAAACACTATTGTACTGATATGTTTCCGAGCCATGAATAAAATGTAGTAAAGTCATCCTGTGAGGCGCACACGGTTACAACAATGTGGTTTACAACCTAAATGTAACACTTAGTGATTGTGTAGAAATAACTGATGATCAGCCTAAGATTGATCTCGCCTTCATTGCCTACACATGAAAAATACAAACAGCAAGTCAGCCAATAATATTTTTTTGAAGAAGGAAAAAACCACGACGCAAGATGCCCTCAGTAATTATACTGACGCTGGCAAGGCTGGTGAACAAACAATCCGTTGTTCTTGAGTTGCCGAGAGTAGCAATCTCTGGTGAGGTTTTGGCGACGGAGGCAGTTTCTGTTCAGATATTGTCTTTCGTTGTGTTCTTTTATCCACTGGGAAGGACGAAAACTCTTGGTCTGTTCGAGAAAGGTTGAGTGAGCAGTGATTGCTGCAAAATAGCATCGGATGTGTTGACCCCTTTCACTTTGGGCTTCTGATCTAGAATTCAAAGGAGAGAGAGGTTATGGCACAACCATCGATGGTCTGCGTGTCAAGACGCTCTGGTGACAGCGACACAAGTCAGTGTGTGCTTGTGGTTGGCACAAAGGTAGCTCTTTGTCATGTGGTAAAGATCTGGTCCTGTGGGTTTAAGTATCCTGCTTAGGGGCAGAATCAAGGGTGGGCATGGCAGGGCAGCTGCCATGCCCCAGTGTGTATCTCTCGGAGGGTGGGTGGGTGTCTCTGCTGATCTCTGGCCCTGCTGCTGCTCCTGAGAGCAAGGAGAAGAGACCTCTGCATATGCCTTTGCCTTCTCTCCTTGGGAAGGTGCTATGGATTGGGTCCAGAGGGAGAGGCAAATGAAAAGGCCCAGAGGAGCTAACATGGAGCCCTTCAGAGGTTGCTGGATGACATCTCTCATCTATCGCAGCCTGAATAGCCAATGAGTAAGGGACGGCGGGGGATTTTTAAAAGAAAAGTTGTGATGGTGGATTGGCATTACAAAAAGTTTAAAACAAATACACCCTTCCAATATCCTATCCTATCCTAGTACTGTACATAAAAGAATACAGTTAAACGAATCTTGTTTATATTTTTGGCACTATTCAGCAAATGAAGTGGGAAATACTTAAGTGTGAGGTGGTCTGTTGCTGCTGGAATTACTGAAGCCTTTGTTGCTTCTATGATATACAGTGGTACCTCGGGTTACAGACACTTCAGGTTACATACACTTCCGGTTACAGACTCCGCTAACCCAGAAATAGTACCTCAGGTTTAGAACTTTGCTTCAGGATGAGAACAGAAATTGTGCTCCGGCGGCGCAGCAGCAGCAGGAGGCCCCATTAGCTAAAGTGGTGATTCAGGATAAGAACAGTTTCAAGTTAAGAACGGACCTCCGGAAGAATTAAGTATTTAACCTGAGGTACTACTGTATTTAATAAAATCACACCATGTTAAATATATCTTTTTTGTTATGCCTTTATGTAAACACATGAACTTTGGATTAACTATTCAGATAGGGTCCAGTTCACGGTTCTATCCCATCAATATTCTTAAGTGGAATCTTCCAAATATTTCCAGCATCTTGTAAAAATTAACGAGCTGCTAATAGAAGAAAGCTGATTAGATCCTTATTCTTGCAGTCCGTATTTTGCCCATCCAAAAGATTTACTAGTGCAAGCTCCCTAGGGTGGATGGGAGACAAAATCCTACAATATATGGAGGACCCTGTACCCTGTTTCTGCTTTAGGCAAAGGGCTCGCACAGATTAATGTTCGCTATTGAGTTCAATGTACGTGAACCCCCTTTGGGCTGGTGCTGGATGCATATGGCCTGAACGCATCTGGTGGTGGACTCCATTATGTGAAGATGTGCTCTTGAGATAGATGGGAAGAAGTATTTTTTGTGTATGCCTGCAAAAGGATGGATAGATTGATGGATGGAAGAATTTATGTATGCATATATGGTCTGGAAGGGAGGGGTGTGTGGTCTGAGTGTGCTTGTTAAAGAGACGGACATGCATTGTGTATATGTGTGTTTGTGAAAGGTAGACAAAGTTAGGGAGAGGAAGGCAGGAGAAGAAATGGGGTTCATTCAATTACATCAGAACATTGTAGTAGAAGCATTCATGACGGGGGTGGGTAGGAAGGAGGGTGTACCATAAGGAGAAGAGAGGAAAATCCTTGCATGTACCAAGGATAAAAAAAATCACAGGGGGGGAGGATGGGCATATACCAAATGGGAAATATGGTGGGGGAGGGAGTAGTGTCACAAATACAGAGAAATAGTAGAAATGTACCAGTGGGAAAAATTGGGGCGGGGTGAGGGGAAGAGAAATAGAGAAGGAAAATGGAGCATACTAAGGAGATTAGTCATGGGATGATGTGCGGGGTCTTCTGCACGTTTGAAAAGCTTCTTTTGCACATAGGGAGTTTTGCTAGGTGTCTTGGGCTCACCCCTCCACCAACGGAGGATAACATTTCATATGTCTGATGAAGTTGACTGTATTCCAAAATGTGCTAATTTTAAAGGAATATTTTCTCCCTAGTGAATATTATTTATGTTCTGTACAAATCAAAGAGCAAATATCTTACCTAGGATTGCTTACATCACGAGGCTCTGTCTCCTCCTCCTCCTCTTCTTCCTCCTCCTCCTCATTACCACCACAGCTTGTCTTGTTGAGGCTGTGGCGGGTATTATGGACTGCATATACAGACATGCTGGGATGCTCGATCAGAAGGTTCTCCAAGGGGCTGGTTTCCACTTTGAGAGCGGTCAGGCCACCCGCAGTGAAACACGGAGGTGGCGTAATAAACCAGCTCTCTTCCATGGGGCACGAGTCAAACTGGATAAAGCAAGATTCACTGGCATCAGCCAAACATTCCAAGGAAGGAGGCAGACAAGAGCAGACGGGTGAATTGTCCACAGGCGATGCTTTATGGATTTCTTCTTCTTCTTCTTCTTCTTCTTCTTCTTCTTCTTCTTCTTCTTCCTCCTCCTCCTCCACCTCCTCCTCCTCCTCTTCAATCATTGAGAAGTTAGTACAGGTGTCTATTGGGAGTTACAACAGCCATTGAGATAGATGGGCGAGGTTGATTGATGCAGCCAGAGTTCAGATGGTTTACAGTAGGTGCAAAGAATATGTTCCCCCCTCAAGATATTGTTGGACTACAACTCCGCAAACATTGGCCGTTCTGGCCGCATCTGAGAGTTGGAATTCAAGAACATCCAGAGAGCCATAGGTTCCCCAGTCTTAGTTTGCAAGGAACAAAATATCCACAATTTTATACCGCTAATGGATGCTTGGAAGACCTTTTAGGTAACAAGTGTCTAATAAATGAAATAATTGGTTGTATTCACCTATGATTGTTGCCAGTGCAATTTTTTTTAGTAGTACTATGGAATATTCTCCCTTTCCTCCCCCCCCCCACATGCCCCCTAAATGTGTCCTGGGGTTTTCCCCAACCTCTGGAGCAGATTTGGGGATGGCGTGAACATTCATGGGGGCAAAATCCCACTAATTCTTGCTAGCACAAGAATAGGGGCACTAGTGCAATAGGCAGTGTAAAAACACAGGAATGACAAAATCTGTTCAGATCTTTACATGGGATGATGATTCTCCTTCCATGGTAGAGCAGGGCATAAATGCCCACTCCTCCTCTATAGGGATAAGGATAAGGATTTTGCGTGGGGGTTCCAATCCCAGCCCCAATGCATAAGCATGCATTGTCCTGTTACACCCACCATGCTCTTCTTCTGGGTCCAAAAGGACCTGCATGTTGGTGATAGCATGTCAACTGGTCATCAGCCGTTTTACGCTAAGGTAAGCATCTGAACCAACCCACAAATCCTTCCAGAGGGTGGGGGGTGGCTTACAGTCTACAATAGTTGAACAAAGTTGGGGCAAGGGAAGGGGGAAGAGAGGAGAGATCAACCATTTACAATTACTGAGTTGTGGAAATTTGTTGGCAGTATGGAACTTGGCCCAGGAAAATGCCTTGTGATGAGGGCAAAATATTTTCCCAGCTTGAACAAGCTTTTTTTATGCCTTTTTTCCCCTTACACAATTTCATGTTTAACAAAAATAAAATAAAATACCTTTGTAAGCAGAAAATAAAGTTTGCTTCCTGATGCAGAAATTATATTGAAATGGAGTTCTTACCAATAAAATCCACCAGAATCCACTCCTCCTCTTCTTTCTCGCTGAACTCTGGCTCTTGCCTGGGCAAATTATTGATTTCTCCCACGAACATATTATTCAGCCTCTGGAACATTACTAAGGCAATAACAAGACTCTGGCTGGAACGTCTTCGTATGCAAGAGTTAAGGTACAGGTTCACAATGTACTAGCCAAGGGCGCAGGTAGAAGATTAAAGTGCACAAATACTTTTATCTGCTTAGGCACAGAACACGGGGAGGCATGGCTTTCTTTGTAAACGGTTGCTACAAAATCCTGCAAAAAAGAGAAGAAGAAAAAGTCTTAATGCTACATGCACACACAGAAAACATATACTGTTCAGGGGTTATTCCACACATCACATGGCAGCAACCCATATTTGTCACTGAGCCATGTGGAGTTGCAGGCACCATTATCAAGTAGATTCAATGGCACAATAAAAGGGCAGTTTCAAATTTCTATAGAGGGGAGCTGGTTCCAATGGTGTCTTCAAGTACAAAACAACCAGTGGCTTTTCAAAGGCATTACAGTGGTACCTCGGGTTACATACGCTTCAGGTTACATACGCTTCAGGTTACAGACTCCACTAACCCAGAAATAGTGCTTCAGGTTAAGAACTTTGCTTCAGGATGAGAACAGAATTCATGCTGCGGCAGCGGGAGCGGCAGCAGAAGGAGGCCCCATTAGCTAAAGTGGTGCTTCAGGTTAAGAACAGTTTCAGGTTAAGTACGGACCTCTGGAATGAATTAAATACTTAACCCGAGGTACCACTGTAGTTTCATTTTTTTTAAAAAGAGAAAACAATACCACTATAGAAAATCTGAGATAATTGCAGGGCAATTAAGATTCCTCATCTCTCTCATCTTTATACTTGCCCATATAGGTGAAACCAGGCTCACGGGGTAACCAGCTCTGCCCACTGAACCATCATATTGTGCTTGCCATCCCCACTGCTCCATAGGTTCCACCCCTTCCCAGTCCTGCCTGGAGGTGTCAGGATTTGAACCCGGGACATTCTGCATATAAAGCATGTGCTCTATCACCAAATTAGAATGCTTTCCTTCTCTCTAGTCTCCAACAGTAGTTAGTTTCCTGGAAGCGCTAGGGCTCAAGGTTGTATCTAAAGAACAGCCCGTGTTCTGGAACTCCTGGTTCTTTATCACTGTTTCCAGCAGGGGGCTCAGAAGCGCAGGTTTTAAGTTAAAAGTAGCATTTCTCTCCCCCCCCCCCTTCACTTATCAGGATAGCATTCTGCAGCAAGATTACAGTTGCACAGGTAGGGAGTCTCACTAGCTTATGGAAATTGTCTTAATGCTGATAATATTGAGACACAGAGAGTTCTTGTTTGAGGGCATGTGGCAGCCAGATACGTGAAAGTAATGGCACATTATACAGTTTACATAATCTCAGTAGGCCTGATCTATGTTTCCCAAACTCACTGTAAATGGGAAGTATTAAAATGTTGAGGGAAAACCAAGTAAGAAACACAAACAAAGACTGGTAGAAAGCAGAGCAATGGAACAAGGTCCAGGACAGGCTTCTCTAAGGAGGTCTGATCCCTACCCTCTTAAGCCACCCCAATATTTCCCAATCAGCACCGTCCTGTACACAGCATTATCTGATTCCCTATATTAATTTTCATAGCTCCAGTGCTGGGGGCTCTTTTTCTTCAGGGCTTTTGCTACTTAGGAATTCTTTCTCAGATACACCTTGATGCACCCGGTGCGGGGGGAGAGAAGAGAAGAGAATCACCCCCCATGTTCTAGGCATTTGGGTAAGCTGCCTGGAATTTCCCCCCAGATCTACCTTAAATGATACTTGCGCCTCTTCTCACTACCCCTTGCATAAATCTACTTCTCCCCAAAGTCACAGGCTGGAGCAGGGGCCGGTCCACTGTCCCTCAGACCTTGTGGGGGGCCGGACTAGATTTTGAAAAAAAGAATGAACGAATTCCTATGCCCCACAAATAACCCAGAGATGCATTTTAAATAAAAGGACACATTCTACTCATGTAAAAACTTGTGGATTCCTGGACCATCCGCGGGCCGGATTTAGAAGGTGATTGGGCCAGACTGGCCCCCCAGGCCTTAGTTTACCTACCCATGGGCTAGAGTGAGTGACTTTTTTTGGCAGGAGAACAATAGATTAAAAGGTACCAACAGAACACCCAGTTAACTCCTCCACCTTTTCCCCATAAGCCCTTCAGTTTTTAACTCTGCAGCCACCCCATTGTCCAAAAGCAAAAGCCTTGCAGAGAGATTCTCAGACATGATTAGAGAATGAAGTTAACAGAAGAGACTGTGATATATCAGGCTGCCATTAGAGGGTGCCATCTTTTTTTAAAAAAAAGTACTGTATTTGTATTTGCATTTGCATTGTTTTTTGTTACCACTGAGACAGAAACAGACACCAATTAAGGGGAGACACAGATATGTTGAAAGACAGGAAAAAGATGGCCATGAAGAATGGACTGCAAATCAAATGATATTTACAATAAACATAGTGAAGGATTAAAAAAAAATGATTCCTGCCCTGTGTGCAGTTTGAAGTGGTATTGTTAATTTTACCATGGAAGAATTCTGCTACCACATTCCACTATATGGGTGGGCAAAAGTCTTAAAGAGAACTTAGAAGTTTGAAACTGCCTACCGTAAGAGCTGAAAAGCAATCATGCAAGCATTCTCCACCCACCCACCCAAAACCATCTCCAAAAGCCCTCGAAAGCCTATCAGAATGCTCAGAGGTTGCATCAGACAAATGCTTGGAGGTTGCATCAAATGTGAAATGTTCTTGCAAAGCAAAACAAATGCAAGTCCAGAACAGTTTGCCAAAGACTAGAGCCTTCTGTGGAAAAATAAATACTTGTGAAACTTTAAAACACACAGGGGGGAAAAACAACTAACTTCCTTGCCCCACAAAGCATCAGGAACTCCTATTGGAAAGTTGCACAGCAGAATGCCCACTATACTCAATTGGGAGGAGCCATGAAGTCTGTGATCAGCAGCTGCATGCAAAAGCAGAAGGTCCCAGCTTTGTTCTGGTGGCATCTCCAGGTAAAGCTGGAAAAGAACTCCATCTAAAAACCCTGGGGAGCTGCTGCCAATCAGTGCAGACACTGGGTGGACCAATGGGCAGGGGTCTCAAACTGCGGTCAATGAACCAGAGCTTCATCCAGGTTGTCCACAGTGTGGATCTGTGGTTGTGCCCATACTGTATTGATTTTTATTGCTGCTTTTACATTTTATTGCATTGCAATCTGAATTCTGTAAATCGTAATACCATACAAAGCAATTAAACTGCAATTAAGAATAATAAGTCTAGCACGACACATCACAATTACTACAGGCAGAGAAATCTTGAGTGGTCTGACAGTTTTCAAGTTATCTATGGTAGTGTGTGTGCGTAAAATTTGGGAAGCACTGCCAAAGGCAACTTCCTAACTGTAGTTACATAAAGAGTGACTTACACAACTGCTTATCCATGTGTGTGTGTCATAGGAACCAACTCCTAGGAGCTGAGGTCCCTTTGGGGGCCCCATAAAATATTTGAGGGGGTCAGGGCCCCCCAGGTTGATAGGCACTGTCATTCAAATGATGTGTGCGAGCCACATCTTGTGATCATTTATATAGGGCAGGGCTTACCTGCCTCCCCAATATTTTATTTAAGTTGGCACCCCTGGGGGGGATTGTGCGTGTTTACCAGAGCACATAGCTTGCTCTTGTCTGTTCACGTATATTGGGCTTCAGGATGGGGCCTCGGCAGGAATCACGCCTCGGGGTGCCGACCCGGATTGCCCCCCTCTCCGCTCCCGTGGCGGCCGTGAGTCACCAGTTCCTGGTTTGTTTTGATCGCGCAAGTTGCCTCTTCCCCGGGCGGCGCCGCTTGGCTGCTCCGGCGAGGTTAGTCACACACCTGAACCCGACTCAACTTCGGAGTCCAAGATCCGCCCCGACGGGAAGAGACGGAAGCCTTACACCAAGGGAAGGGCGGTCTCTCGGCACTGTCAACAAAACAGGATATGCGGGAGGCGGGGGTAAAGCAACCCGATCCCTTTCCAGCCCCCTTGGGCGGATCAGGCAACTCCAGCTCCTCCTCGGCCTCAGTCCCCCCCACTCCCTCTCCAGGGGGCGGGCAAGGACAGAGACAAAAGGGAGGGGGAGTTGCTCCAACCGCAAGGCCGGGTAGAAAGCGGGGAGAGGAAGCGGAGGGCATCCACAAGGCGCGTGGATCGGCAGTTGGCTTGGAAAGGACATCTTCCAAGGCCGGAGAGCTCTCTGTCCACGCCCCTGGCCGCAGGACGACCTTCACCTCCGCCCTTTAGGGGGAAAAGGGAGGTCCCCTCCTCTCCGCCCGCCCAGATCGGCGCCGGACTCCACCCTGCGCCTCCCTCGCCAGCAGTTTGAAACTCCGCTCCGGAGACGGAGCGCGCAGGGCAGGCGGGCAAACGCTCGCGTCCTTCTCCGCGGGTACATAAAGTTTGTCCGCGCCGGATTATTATTCCGCAGGATCGCGCGCGGAACGGTGCCGGGATCCGCGCGCCCGCCCGCAATTGATATTGAAAAGGGGATCCCGAGCCCCGATCCTACACATCTGGCGATAGTAAGGTTGAAGGATGCGATCCTATGCGAGCTCGCATCGGGATAAAATCACTTGGCACTGAGCACTCACAGGAGCCGTTTATTTGAAAAATAAAGTCGCACCGAAATCAGTGGGGCTCTCCTTTCAAGTTAGTATGTTAGGGATAGTGTTGTATATTTTTTTTTAACTACTAATTTCTATTTAACGGGCTATGGGCTGCACTGCTAGATCTCACGAAAATAAGAGTTAATTCCGCGAATTTTAATAAAACAACCCCACCACCATCACCAAACGAAAACACCCCTTAAGGTACTCGAGAGGACAAGTTATAAGACGCTTTTTCTTTTCTTTTCTTTTTAACGATCTCAGCCTCAGATGAAACCCGCAGCAGTTTCATTAACCAGGAAGTAGGAACAACTGAATTTTGCGGGGCTCGCTTCCAGGGAAGAGGCTTCGCTGGCTGCGAGGCTGGCTGGCAAAACTACGCCACAAGTGGTTTGTGAGCAGCCCAGTCGGAAGGCGCTGCCGAGCGACGGACAAAGCTGGGAGGAGGATCGCGCAGTAATTTACCTTTAAGGAAGTAGAGCCGGGGGGGGGGAGGAAGAGAAGAGAAGACTTTGAGAGTTAGTTCTCCCTGCATGAACTCCGGTGTTATTCGCCCCCCTCCCCGCATCTCTGCATACAACTATGCAGAGGGACGAGACGGACCCTTCCCAGAAAGTGGAACGCAGGAAAGGGCCAGTGGGTAAGCGATTCTGCCCAGCAGCCAGATATATAAATATACTAAACTTTATAGGCGGAGGAGATGGTGGGAATCCCCCGTGCCCAGTTCTTAAAATAGACCAGATTTCCTTTTCTCTCCCTCCCCCCCCCCCGGCCGCATCCAAACGGAACGCGCACCCAACGCCAAGAATATCGCGCCTAAGGTCACTTGTGGCCAAAAAACACCCACACGCACCCGGTACAAAGGACGCCCGCAGCCCTTCACTCACCGTCCGCAAAGCAGCCGGGCAAATCCGGAGCCTGGACGGCGGCGGAGTGAGGTAGATGGCGGGGAGGCTGCTCCTGCGGGCGCCCCGAGCCCTGTTGCACCGGCCAGTCTGCGCTCCCCGCAGAGCCTTTTGTTGTTATAGAATCCGGCGAACAGCTGATCGGCAGCGCCCGCCCCCTCGCCCCGCCCCGCCCGCCTCTTTTGCCTCGACGTTCCCACCCCGCGGCGCGCTGCTAGCAGGGGGCGCGCGAAGGAAGGCAAAGGGGGCGGGCCGCCCAGCCGCGCCTGCACCAATTGGGAGCCCCGCGGTGCTCTGGGACGCGCCGGGACAGGCTGTCACTAACGCACGTGACGCGGCTCTGCGAGCTGCGGAGCCAGACGAGGCGGCCTGCAGCGTCCGGGGTAGCGAGACCGGGCAACAAAAGGAAGGCAGGGAGCAGGAGAAGCAGAGAATAGGAGAGCTGGGGAAGGAAGAGGAGGAGAAGGGGTGCGCGGAACGAAATGTGGAGAGAGGTGGGGGGAGGGAGAGGGATGGCCCAAGTGGAAAAATACAAGAGAAGTTGGGCAAGGTGCGGGGAAAGAGCCTGGAAATGCACAGCCCTCGTTTATTGCTACCCTCTCGTCTTCAGAAGAATACCCAGTTCCCACCCCGGTGACGGGGGAACATGAAGGGAGCCGAGGAGACGTCATTCTGACCAAAGTGCCAGACCACTTTGGAAAGTCCCCTGCACGCAAGTGTCTCCACACAGTTTTTCCACCCTGTTTTGACCAAGAGAGAGAGAAGGCATGCTCAATTGGGAAGTGAGCAAGGTCTTGAAGGATTCGGAACACACACTTGCACCCATGCACCCCAATTATTCAGGGCCTGATGTTAAGTATGTTTTTCTACAAGCCATTTGCAGCAGCACCACAGTATGTTTTGATGCCTGGGACTGAAAATCCAGTGGTTAAAAATAATGGAGTAGGAGTTATTTGGGTGCCCATTAATGAGACCCCCCAGAACTGTCAGCTAAGGCTGAATATCTTGGCAAACCCTTGCAAAAGGAGTTCTGTAGCACTAAATCAAAAGCCTGCATTTCCTTCATGCATGTGTCCTAGATGTGTACACTGGCTGGTGTGGCCCACCATCTCACTCCCGCAGGGATAACACTTAGTATTTGAAAGCCCTGTATAACCCAAGAGGGTTGTGGCCAAGGAATGAAACTTATTCATGTCTGTTTCATTCTGGTTTGGGTTCAGCTGTGACTTAAGGTCTTTCACTGGGTTCATGCCAACAAAGTTCCTCACATTGGGACTCTGCTGGTCTAAATGGCAAGCTTTTTGTAAAACAACTAACTCCCTCTCAAGTGTATGCTAGTATATAAAAGTGGGGACCTGCAGTAATAGGTTGCAGTGTATTTCCAACTCCTCTAACAGGAATACTCCTTTTCAGGGCTCTAACTGGTGTGGAACAGGAGCCTTGTAGTCCTGTTTGTGATTTGCAGAGAAGGTGAAGATTAAAGTGTTGGGGGGGGGGAGGGAGAGAAGGGAAAATTACATTGAAGTATATTCAGAATTAAAAGGAGGCGATTTGAAGATTGGGTAGGAGAGCTATATTTGTGATGCAACAACTTGCAGATGTGATGAGAAAATAAAATAATACTACTTGATACATGTTATTTTGATGCAGTAGTGTCAGAGCTGCTTCCAGATCCTAGCTCACAGAGGATCACGCTAGCCAGCGATCATTAAACAAAAGTCTTTATTGAGTTACAGTTTCCATTCTCAAGCTGCTGCGTGCAACTCTACGTCTCATGCTTAGACCGGCGAAGCTCCGTCTGAGTCTCCGCCCCTTGTACACCAACTTAAAATCCTAGCCCAGCTCCACCTGTTCCGCCTGCCTGTTCATCTCTGGGTCCCTCTGCCCCCGGGGTCTCTTCCTTCCGGGATTCCTCTGACGCTGACGCTGACTCCCTGACTCTTCTGCCTCCCTTCGGCGGGCTTTGGGACCTGGCTCCCTTTCCGGGCTGCCTACTGCGCCACCTTCCTGTGCATTTGAACTCAGCGCGCGCGCCCAACCTTCCACCTTCCGTCTGACCGTTTCTTCGCTCCCCGATGGAGGTGTGGCCACCCTGACTCGTGCCCTCCCCTGCTGTGAGTTGCCAGCGCTTGATCCCTGGTGCCCTTCCTCTTCCCTGCTCTCTGGCGGTGACGTTGGTCCCGATTTCCAACTGCTCCCTCTGAGTCCCCTCTGGCTCTATCTTCCTGGGGTGTCCCCTAGGCTCCCCTTGCCCTGGCCACTGGTGCTCCTTTCTGTGAATCTTCTGATTCACTGGAAAGACTCGGAGATCTCGGGTCGTCGTCATCACTCATCTTTTCTTCTGCCTCCTCCCCCTCGCTCTCTGTTTCCTCCCTTGCCCTTGCCTCTGCTCCTGAACCCCTGACAAGTAGGTTTTTTTGTTTTTTGTTTAAATGTAGAGAAATATTACTGTGTAAGTACAGTCCACCAAGGAACGTCTGCAGAAGTCCAGTTGACAAGAAAGCAAATGGCAACTCGGGCAGGAGAAAATTCTTGTGCTTTGCAGCCAAAGTCTGCAGGGAAGAAAGAGAAAGCAAGAAAGGGGTCATATAAGGACACTCAATATAGGTTTTTGCTTCCTCTTTTATAAAAAAGTGGAAAGTTAAGGGCAATTTTTCTAGAGTTAGTTTCCTGGTTTGCTTGCATGGTGTTTACATGTCCTTTTGTTCATCCCACAGTTTTCGATGCATTTTCCAATCACTTTTGAAACCACAGAAGACTGTGTTTTTTAAAAAAATTAAAAAGTGGATTCTCTCTGTAGCACTAAGTACCACATCCCATCAGCACAAGGATTTCTGCTTGTGCAGTGGAATGCCTCCCCTCCCTTCTCCCTGCACACCCTTAAATCTGTACTGGGTTTCTCCCCAACCTTTCAGAGCAGATGGGGGGGGGGAGAGAGTACGCGGGGAAAGGAGAAGGGAAGGTTCATTGTGCAAGCAGAGATCCTTGCACTGTCGGAACTCAGTAGTATATTGCCCAGTGGATTTGTTGCAGTTGGATGACAGAGTGCTTCAGTCCATTTTAATTTCATAAACCTAGTGCTCTGGTATGTGCTTAACTCTCTACTGCAGAATATTGATGGTCTGGTGACCTCCTTGGGTAGCTTCCCATGTACAGTAATAGCTTCTGAGTCTCCAGCTCTTGTGCTGGTAAGCCTCTTGTCCAGGAAGAGAGAACCATGAAGAGACATGTCTGAGATAAGGAGGCTATTCCTGCACAACAGAGGCAATGATGTGATTTATAGCTTTTCAGTTTGCATTATATGTGGCTGGTGCAGATGTGGAAACTCATCCTACATCTGCAAAACAACAACAACATCCAAAGCATGCAAAATCTAGAGCAGCTCCAAAAGGGAATCTTTAGGCCCAAACATAACTGCTGCCTTTTTTTTCTTCAGGAAACTTTGTGTGTTCTATCTGACTGGCCAGAGAAACAGGTTTGGTGGGTCCTGTGAGGTGATGTAGTGACTTAATTAGACCAAATTGCATCTAATCAATCTGTGAACTCCTCCCTGCTCCCTGTGAGCTGTTGTTATACAGTAGAGAGGATGCAGGGCTTAGGAGACATCACACCAAATCCTTGGTTAGCCAAAACCTTGGTTACCCTGAGTGGTAAGCCACCAGGTTTCAGCTCCTCCTACCTCACAGGGGTGCTGTGAGGATAAATATTATAGAACAACTTTTGCAAATAGGTCAGATAACCTGCCGCCCCTGGTCTCTGAGCTGCCTCCCCAACCCAAAGAAAGGTGCCTTCTCACACTGCCCCACAGGGGTCTGGGAAGAGGATTCCCCAGTCTTACTGGCCCAACAGAGACTGGCCAAAGGTGAATATGAGGCCAACACCTTACCTTGGGAGACAGCAGCAGGCGCTGCTGGGCCTGCAAGGTGGAAAGACTCTCAGTTTCCAGGCAGGCCTTGAACACAGCAAGCACAAGAAAGGCCAGCACAGTGCCTGCCTGGCCTCACACTTGTCTGTCTGTTCCCAACAGGCTCTGTCCGTTCCCAACTGGCTGGGCTCCCTTGATCGCTTTCTTGCTTACTCCAAGGCCATCTCAGCTCCTGGCAACCAGCACCCTCTGGCCAGCCCCAGAGGCAACATTCGCCTGCAGAGCTTGTAACCAGGGCTGCTGCAGCAAACAGCTGTGCAAGCCTTTGGGAGGCCGAGACGCATCAGAGGAGGGAGGGAAGGAAAGAGGGACAGAGGCCAGTGTTGCCTGTGGCACCCCAACCATAATTCAAGGCACCCCAGGGTGCCACGGCACACTGGTTGAAAACCACTGTCTTAGTAGATGGGCAGCCTGATTCTATGCATGCTTAAATGTAAAGGTAAAGAGACCCTGACTGTTAGGCCCAGTCGCGGACGACTCTGGGGTTGCAGCGCTCATCTTGCTTTACTGGCCAAGGGAGCCAGCGTACAGCTTCCGGATCATGTGGCCAGCATGACTAAGCCGCTTCTGGCGAACCAGAGCAGGGCACAGAAACGCTGTTTACCTTCCCGCTAGAGCGGTTCCTATTTATCTACTTGCACTTTGAGGTGCTTTTGAACTGCTAAGTTGGCAGGAGCTAGGACCGAACAACGGGAGCTCACCCCATTGTGGGGATTAGAGCCGCAGACCTTCTGATCGGCAAGCCCTACTCACAGCGCCACCCACATTCCCGCATGCTTACTCAGACACAAATCCAACTGAATTCAATGGGACTTACTCCCAAATAAGTATTATAGGAGAATGCAGCCTTTACTCAGCTGTAGCAGCAGTAGTAACTGCTACATCACTTAAGGCTGAATTTCAATTTCTATTCCAATGTAGTAACAGTGTTCTCTTCTTTACCTGGTGTCACAGTGACCTACTTGAATGCTAAAAATCTTTTTTGAGTGCTATTGAAGAAGACTGGAACAAATATAGGACAAAGCATTTAGGAGGTGGCTTTGCAGTTTTGCTGGTAGGAACAAACTAAGATTAAACACCACATTTTAAAAGACAGTTCAGTTTAAGAAATGACCTGACCTGGAAACTTGAGATTTTGCCTTCAGGTCTCTTTGCTCCAGAGCTGCAGTTCTTTCTCCGTATTTGCCTCTGCTATCAACAATCTATACATATATTTATTTCTTGTTTTATTGTACGTCAGGAAATTAGAACCATTTCCAGTCCCTTTATTAATAACAGGAGATCATTGACATTGGCTTCAACCATGTTGGCATCCACCTGTCTCAGGAGACAATGGAGTGCACATCCAGGGGTGAAGTCAAAGAGCTGTGTCATCAGCACTGAAGTGACCTCCCTGGGATGCAAGCCTGGGCAGTGTGTATGGAGGTCCTGGGCTGCCCAGACGACAAGACCCCCCTCCCGCCTCACTGATGTGGTCCAGAGGAAAGCTGAGCAATGCGTTTGACACTGGCTTGGCCACAGGAGTTGCTGGAAGGTGTACAAGGCGCCATTCAGCCGCCTTAGGGACTGCACTCCACTCTTACGGTGGCAATATTAGCAGCCTCTCGGCTCACAAGTCTTAGATTCCAAGATGGGTATGAGTCTCAAAATGCAATCCAGGAGACTTTTTAGCCAGTGTGCCTAGTGAGACACACTAGCAGGTACCCCCAGCAGGCCAGTATTATACATCTAAAGCACATTGCTTTCCCCAAGGACTAAACTGTTGGGGCCTAAATGGTTAAGGGTGCTGACATTTGTAGCTCTGTAAACTAGAGTTTCCAGGATTCTTTGGCGGAACCCATGTGGTTTCAATGTATGGGCTGTATACCGTCTTATACCCTGCGCATGTGCATCTCTACAATCTGCTCCAATATGTGCATTCTCCAGTCTCTTTCTTCCTGCCTATTTGGGGATGATTACCCTTGAAAAGCCAGGGCTGACACATTGATAGTGCGCAATCTCCAGACAACTCCACAACCACCACCATCCCCACTTAAAAACCCCCAACAACCTTGCAAGACATGCAAATAAGTGATGACATCCACACCACAAAAATAAAAAAAGCAACTCTGCTCTTGACCACACCTGTCCTTGTCAAAAGAATGCAAAGTAGTTTGCTGTTGATGCAGAAGTAGGCTAGAACACACAAAGGGAGTGGTTTGAAGTTCAATGAAACATAATAATAAAACAGCAGCTAGCAGAAGGGCAGCATTTTTGGAACGCAGTAAGTGGCCTTATACAAGAGCAGCGTATTTATCCATCCAGCCCAGTATTGTCTACTTCTGATGGGCAGCTGCTCTTGGGCTGTCTCGGGTTACAGGACTTTCCCATAACCTGCTACCTGATCCTTTGAACTGGAGACGCCAGGATAAGACCCAGGACCTTCCAAGCACGTGCTCTACAACAGAGCTAGGCTCCTCCTCCTTATTTAAAAATATACATACTACAGGAAATGGTGCAGGGAAAGGGAAAGGAGAGTTCCACAGCATCACATTACTCATTGTAAAGTTTTAATAGCTGCCTAAGAGCAAGAGGCCAAGGCGCTTACCTAAGTTCAGTCAGGAGCTCATTCCCTGACTGCATTGACTGCTCCAACAGGGCACACTGTTTAACATGCATTTGTGGTGTTCACTATGTGGTTCTGCTGCCTCTGTGACAGGGCTGGTGGTGGCACATGGCCTGCTTCTCTAAGGTGACAATGGCTTGTGCCGTCTGCTCAACATGGTGCTGTTGTGGCAGCTACCCATAGATATGGACATTGTTGGGACTGGCAGGGGGTGAGCCAGAGGATACAATGTGGAGACAGTGCCTCTCTGGCACTGCCCCATAAGTCCATACTGCTGTGGAGATCTTTGGCTGTGATGCTACTTGCCCCAGTTCTCCCCTGTGGACCATCATGCTGTTTGCGTACTCTGGCCTCAGGCCCATCCAGTACACATGCCACCAGCTGACCCCCCAGGCAACACAGAAATCTCTCCTACTACTTTCTGTCACCTTGGCCCTATGCCCCTGCTGTGCCCCCCTGCCTAGGCCTGCTCCAGGACCTACTGTTAAGACCACCCTGTGTCCCCCACCCCTTGGCCTCCCACCAGTATGGTGGTTGCAATATCCAGAGAGCATTGCTCCAGGCCTGCTCCAGGACCTACTGTTAAGACCACCCTATGTCCCCCACCCCTTGGCCTCCCACCAGTATGGTGGTTGCAATATCCAGAGAGCATTATTGTGGCTGGCAAGTAAAGCAGTTTCCCAGATAAAGCCCAGCCTTCTCCATGTTCCAGCCTTCTGGCTGGTGCAGGTGTAACAGGTAGGTTCGCATACAATTCCTCATATTTATGGACACAAACTGCTGGATAATATTTTCTGATGCTGCTGTGAGCTTTGTCCTTCTAAAGGCAACATGTTTATCCAAGTCATACAGAAGACACTCTATCTTGGCACATCCTCATCGTGGACATGAATCAGCAGTCCTGTCATCTATTTCTCTCTCATTTCATCATATACGTATTGGGAAATAAAGGAGATAATGATCTGAGCTTTCCACTGTGTACATTACATTAAGTTTTTGGCTACAGGGGTATTTGCATATTGCCCTTTAAGTGTAGTAGATTAGACAATTACCAAGGAGTCTACTTGGAAACCAGGATGTCTGGATTTAGTCCAGTTAAACATTTCCTGTGTAATTGTAGCAGGTTAATGCCCCAACTTGCTCAGGAGAAAGGGGATAGTCACCATTACCCAGCTTGATCTGGGCATAGAGGGGATCCAATTCCAATATTGTGGCTTCCCGTTAAAAGTGGCCATGTGAACAGAATGTGATGTCACTGACATGCAGAGTTTGCTGGAGCTCTTAATCCACAAATTGTAATGATCCGTCCCATTTTTAGCAGGATTACTTCAGCAGACCTCTGGTGCCAATGTTCAAATCATTAGAAATTACCTCAGCAGGCCCTCACTGGGAAAATGTCCAGTGAGACTTAATGGATGACTCAAGAGGGTAAACGGCGCTCTGAGGAACCAGTATGTCCATCAGAATGCAATTGCCTCAGAAAAGCGGTTGTCAGCCTGTGTGCCAATAAATAAATGGTATGTGTCTCCTCAAGGTTAACTAGAGCCAGTCCTACCATTAGGCAAAATGAGGCAGCCATCTTAGACAGCAGATGCTAGGCGCTGGCAGCAGTAATTCCTCATGGGTAAATGTGGCGCCCCCTCCCCAAAAAGAAGGGAGGGTGGAACAAAGCATGCTCAAACCCATAGAATATGCAGTACAGATATTGGCCTCTGTGACCACCTCAGTGATTTGGGTTTGGGGGACCATATAGGCAGAGAAAACAGGCAGCACGCTAGTGTGGATTATATATGCTCTACCTACTGATCTAGAATATAATATTATTTTAAGCCCAATTTTGTGCAACTTGACCTGGAAGGGAGGACACGCCATTTCCTACTTGACTTTAGGCAGCAAAATATATTGGACCCACGCTGAGATAAAAGTGTTTTAGGTCTCTCAGCATGTATCATTTCAAGGTTCTCATTTGAAAATGCCCCATACAGACTCCATGTGTAAATTTATAATCTCTGAGAGAAGGCGAGAGAAAAACCTGCAACATGTCTGGACATGACTTCCGATGGTGAGAAGGTGGGGCTTTAGAATTCTGCATCTCTTTTGACCCCTTTCTAGGATAAACAGAAGCAAACTGAATTATGATAAAGCAAGAAAAATGCAGATGTATTTAATTTGTATAATATACAGTGGTACCTCGGGTTACAAACACCTCGGGTTACAGACACTTCAGGTTCCAAACTCCGCTAACCTGGAAGTAGTACCTCGGGTTAAGAACTTTGCCCCAGGATGAGAACAGAAATCGTGCGGCGGCGGCCCGGCAGCAGTGGGAGGCCCCATTTAGCGAAAGCGCACCTCAGGTTAAGAACAGTTTCAGGTTAAGAACGGACCTCTGGAATGAATTACCGTAAGTTCATAACCAGAGGTACCACTGTATAGAGAATGCCCAGCTATGTGTCATTCCCTGATGCAAACTGAATTATGATAAAGCAAGAAAAATGCAGATGTATTTAATTTGTATAATATATAAAGAGTGCCCAGCTGTGTGTCGTTCCCTGATGCAAAATGGGCACCGATTTTGTTCTAAAGTACAGAGACTATTGAGGCTCACGTGAATCCTTATCAAGTCATATTCAAAGAGGCAAAGAGGGGAAGGCATGGCAGAAGCCATTCTGCCCAAGATGGCTGCCTGAAGGTGGATTTTATGACCATACACAATAAGTTGGACTGTTGGTCCAGCTAGCTCAGTGTCATCCACACAGAATGGCAGCAGATCAGCAGTGTTTCAGAGTTTTTCCTACGCTTAATGGAAAATGTCAGTGGTTGAACCTTGGACTTTTTGCATACAAAGGATATATTCTGCCACTGAACTACACCCCTTGTAGCCAATGCCTTTTCTGATCAACTTAAGTTAATATGTGATGACGGAAACCAACATTACTGAGACAGGGAATTTTGCCCTGGCAGACAGGAGTGGATTTATTTTATTTTATGTCTGGCTGGTGTTACTTGATTTCCAGCTGCTGTATAGTAGTTAAGGTCTGCACTATGTCTGGTATTTCAGGGAATACACCTGGGGAGGTCACAACTTGTACTTCTGGAATGACAAGATCAACTCTCTCTTGTCTGTCTGTCAAAATTTGCCAGTACAGAAGGTGGTTTTTTTGGTCAAACCGAAAAGAACTGTTCTGTCCAAACTGAAAATCTATGTAATGCAAAGTTGTGTAGTGGAAAATTTTGAGCTGCCTGCTGGAGCTCGTCATTTCAGCCTTCATAGCCACAATCCCAAGGAAAGTATAAAATGCAGGTCCAGCTGGGTCCATCAACCCTACCCAAAAAGAGCAGCAGTGCATAACATAATGCCAAATCTATGGCATGACTTCAATCCTGATGCGTAGTTTCATATGAACGTAAGACAAGCCAGCTAGATGAGGCCAATGGTCCATCTAGGCCAGCATCCTGTTCTCACAGTGGCTGATCAGATGCCCATAGGAAGCCCACAAGCAGGACTTAAGTGCAACAGCACTCTGCCCACCAGAGATACCCAGCAGTGGAGGTAGAACATAGCTATCATGACTAGTAGCCATTTCCTGGGAATACAGTCAATTGCATTCAGTGGAGCTTTCTTTTGGCTGCATATGTTTGTCTTGTAAACCACAGCTTTAAGAAGAGATCTTCAGGCAGATGAAATGCAACCCTTGGCTTTTCATTAGATGTACAAATAAGTGCCATCATTTAAACTGTGAACATTAAGGAGGATCTACCCCCCCCTTCATTAGTTTTCTTAGGATGCTTGATTGTCACTTTTTTTCAGACAGAATGCAATTTCATACCAGCAGATTCAGCTCACACAGTTAAAGTGGGCTTGATGCTTTTTGTGCAACAAACTTGCTTCCAACCCTCCCCCCCCCCATATTTTTATTTTTTGCAATATGGAAAGTGATGGGAAAATGCACTGGAAATGGTGGGTAACAATTGCTTGTGATGTAAATTCCCCACAAATGAATCAGAACAATTGTTCAATAAACAGTTGGACTTCGCATAACCTCCCCACAAACTTTGTGCAAACAAATCAGGATGAACGCTCAATAAACAGGTTATCTGGAAGTGACCTTATTCTCAGACTTTCTCCATGCAATTAAAGCAAAACCTGAATGCCTCATTCACTTGTCAGAGCAAGAAGAGTCTATAGATTAACCTGGCACTCCAGCCGATGACATCACCACTTCTTGCTCTGAAAACATCTGAGAGCCGCACTCCTCTGCAATCCCTCCCAGTATAACCACTAATGCAGTGAAACTACGTACAGTACTGTATATGCTTGTGCATCTTGAACATGAATTTGTTCAAGGAATCCGTACTTCTGTACAAGTTCTAGAAGAGCCACATTCCGAGAGCTGGAGCCAGCCATAAGATTTTCCTTTTCTGCCTTGAAACCTCTCCAGCATATATTGAGGTAGCCTTTGGAATTCTGAACAGCCCCACGATTCAGTCAAGAAAGAAATGCATTTACAGAAGGGCACTCTTGACTGTATGGAGTATTTGACAATATCTGAGTGCAATCAAATAATAGCAGGTCAATTGAGCTGGCATGCTGACCCTAGACGGCTTCCAATCCATTCATTGTCTACGATTGATCTGGGAATGACTTATGGCCCACCACAGTGGAGCTGTCAAGTCTAATAAGCGAGCAAAGCCATCTGACTGCACTGCTGAAGACAAATGGTTTGCACCTATAAATCTCTAGTAGGCAGGCTGTCATTCAAGTTTTTACTGGAGATAATAATGGAACTAAGGCTTGAACCCATAATGCAGCAGGGTTATTTTCCATGCCTTTAGTAGGAATCAATACATTGTGACAGAAGCATTTTGCAATTGAAGTCTTGCAGGGTGCTCTGCCACAAATCCTTCCTGGACAGCAGAGGCAGCTTTTGGAGCTGTGCTTAATGCTAGTTTAGCCTGAGAATTCACACAAGCTAAAATAATGCCAAAAGCATTGTGATTTTTCCTGGACAACAGAATTTCAGCACTCAGGAAATTTTCATACACAAAGTTTGGATTCTATTCCCCTAATAGGTCTTAATGTTGACAAAAATGTATCACCTATTGGACCAGCTCCAGCATTGCGCAGGCCCCATGTAAAGTGCTCTCTGGTGGGCCCCATATTACACTGGGCTTATCTGACAGTGGCAACAACAGCAGTACTCCAAACTGGGGCAGAGGGCTATGAGTTGCTGTTTGAATTTCCCACAATGCCCAGAACCTCAGTAATGCTATTGCAGGGAACTTAAAATAGAGTCTAGCCAACTCAGCAATGTGAAATGGGGAGCCCTAGGAAGGCAGGCGTCAGCTCTGGTGGGGCCTGCTACTTTAGGATGGCAGGTGCCCACATCAGGCCTGCATCTATTTTTCTTCTTCATTAACAGAAGTCACATGTGGAGCAAACAAAGCTTCTTAGTGTCTCAAGTGAAACATACGTGAATGAAAACAACCACCACATTAGAGTCAGTATGTTATGGTTGGCTCCCTACTTTCTAGTTTCTTCACCCCCCCTTTAGTCTCTACTGTTCATTGGGTAAGTTGTCAAGTTTATTAAACAGATCACTCCACTTTCAGAGAAAGAAGATAAATTCCAGGGCTCCTTAATAGTTCAGGGAATTTCCATGCAAGCACATTCCACAGCTGGGAGGAGAGAGAGCTGGGCTAGAGAGAGAGAGAGCTATCACTGCAACAAAGGAAGGGTACCTTACATGACCACTTTGTGAGTAATTGTCCTATCATACTGCTCTTTGCATGCTGCTTTTCAAAACCAAAAAAAAGCCAAAGAGCTCACAGTCAAGAGGTTACATATGAAAAATATCAGAAAACACCATCAAAATCCTGCTATTAAAATTGCACATTAAAGAAATTAAAAATCTGAAACTATCACAGCAGCATTTTAAGGAGCACATAAAAATCCAGTATGGGGTTGTGGTTAGAGTGCTGGACTAGGATGAGGGAGATCTGGGTTCAAATCTCCCATTCAGCCACGTACCTTGAGCCAGGCACACTCTCTCATCTTAAGCTCCCCCACACGGTTGTTGGGAGGTTAACATGTGAACAATGTACACCACCTTGAGATCCCTGGAGGAAAGGTAGGATATATAAATGTAATAAATAACACAATCAAGTCTTGAAAGTGACCCCATTCCTCACTTTCTCCATCACATCAGATCCTTCACACAAATCGGCCTCCAAATCTCCAGCTGTTCTCTGGCCTCAGCTTATAGCAGCAGTGTGTGTGTGTGTGTGTGTGTGTGAGAGAGAGAGAGAGAGAGAGAGAGAGACAGACAGACAGACAGACAGACAGACAATTCCCCTTCAGCCCTGTTCTGTTCAGATACTCACCCCTGTAAGGCTTGGAGTAAAATAGCTGTTCCCAGAGTCACTGCTCAGATGAGAGGGCCAACTCCTCCCAGTTTCTTGCAATGGTCTCCACTAACACAGGCTAGCAGCCACTGTCGCCAATCCACTTAGGCACAAACAGGAGGTGCAAAACACTCAAAAAGTGGTCAGTTGCAATAGAGTCCCTCAGTCAACCCTGCTCCCCACTGCCTAAAATGAGCCAAGAAACTCATATGTCTACTGGTTCGATCAGTTTGGTCTAACACAGTCTAAATAATAACTAAGCATACAGACTCCGGTTACCGAATGTACCTTAATATGAATGCATTTGTGATATTGCTCATGTGGATACCAAACACTATTTCTGTGAAATGTGTTTGATATATTTACAGCTGTTTTTCTTGTACCTATATATTATTGATTGGTTTACAGTTCTTGTGAGCTGCCTTGAGCATCGGTTGGAAAAGTGGCTTATAAATAAACTTGATGATGCTTGGCGACTGCTTAATTCATGTTACTTATTTTCTATACAGATGGCTTCCATGCAAGAGCAAAGTAATGTCTGAACAAATCCAAAATCCTCCTGTGGATTCATTCTCTGCATTTATATGCATTCTAAAAACGGGTGGGGGGGGGGGAAGAAGAAAAATAGATATGGTCCAAGAGGATTCGAAGACTTTTTAGCTTGGGTGCCCAGAATAAACACTGACAAATTGAAATGGTGGCTTGGCCAGAAAACTCTTATTGTGGATACTAAAAGTTCTGTATGCACAGGTGGGAGTTTCTATTTAGATCCAGCTGTTTCCCCCCACACCCAGCCAAGCAGACAAACCACATTTTCGACTTGCATGTTTAAAACAGTTTGCAGTGTTCCAAATCTAAACCAAGATAACCAGCTGCTTAAAGGATTATTTTTTTCCCTGCTGCTGCATCTCTTTTGTGCACAACTGATGTGTTTACAAGTTGACTACAATAGACTTTTAACATTCTGATGAAACAGTTGTTGTTGTTTTTTTTAAAAAAAACAGCAGCAACAACAACCCACAAAATTCTAATCACAGGCTTATGTGCAGTGGGCATGGATCAGTTTCATCCAGAATGGTACGGTAGTTCATAGTAAACACATTGTAGGCTATTCTTAACACATGCACATTGTGGCCTTGTTACAAAGAAAGGTAAAAAGTTTGGGATCATAATTTACCATGGTGAAAACACAGACTATTCACCGTACATGCTAGGACTGTTGCAAGCCCCAGAGATTTCAGTCTTGCACTGCCAACTTGTTTGGCACTTTCTCTAGATGTGAGGCTACAAAATATCACGCTTTTCCCACACAAAAGAGGTTGCAGAAGAATTCTGTATTTTTTGAGGTAGGCCAGAATACATTTTGGGAATGGTGATGCTTTCCTGTCTTTTCTGGTTCCATAGATGTCCTAGATGTTCTTTCTGTAAACTGCTTTGAGGTGGGTTTTTTAAAAAAAACGATCATGCAGTAAATTTTATAAAATAATTTTTTTAAAAAAACACTGAATACCTAATAGTTTTGGCAGATTCCCAGTCAGATTGGGAAACAGACGTTGTATACACACACTCATATAAACATAGCATAGGGAGGCTGATGGGATTTTCTTTTCCTGTGTAGCCCAAGTCAGTGAACTGGAATAAACAATCATTGACAGCCTAGAGTCTCTCTCTTGAACACATGCATTGTGATGGAAGATTTTTAGAAAACCCTTTCTTGGAAAGAAGTTTCTCTCTACGTGCATATTTTAGGCTTGCGGTCCGTTGTGCTCAATGGTGCTTACTTTTGAGTAGATATATATATAGTTGCATTGTTAACACATTTTGAAGAAATGTTGTGAAGGTTTTTTTTGTTTTGTTTTTGGAAGATCATTTTGGAATGATCTTTGGGAAGATCATTCAGGTTAAACCTACAGAAAAGTAAATAAACACTATTCTTCCTGAATATACTCACAACCTATACTTTGTCTGTTCCAGATGCCAGGATGAAAAGACCCAGCTGCCAATGGTAAGATTCACATTACTCCAGGTGCCTCCAGACCACCGAGGTTTCATTGGTGCTTTAATACTGTATTTATGGTCCTATTTAGCAGTATTTTTTATGATTTTGCTGTTATCATCATGTGAACCACCCTGATAATTTCTAAACTGAACTGTGGTGCAGTATGTATATTTATAAATCATATTAAAACGTATTTTTAATAGGTTGGGGGCAATCCAGATGATACCCGTGGGTTCTTTTCAACCCTATGATTCTGTGACTGTTAGAATCTACAAGAAGAAACCTGGTGAACCAGTCTGACTAGATCCTTTGTTAAGCTAACCAGTTAAGTCCTTCCATTTGCATGTCCAAAGAGGTTGCCCTGTTGCCATAGAGACAAATGAATAAGTCTTTTCCCACTTCACCTGGCTGGTCATCGTAGGCAAGAGAACAATAAGCCAAGGGACTGCATTGCTGCTTCACTGTGATGCCATCTCTCCTCCCTGGGAGAGTTCATTCATTTATTCATGATTTGGCTGTTGGGGCAAAGAAGGAATAGGAAACTTCATTTCCATAAACTTCCTTAAGTACACTTATTATAGACCTGAAGCCAGTGTACTTCAGGAAAATGACCTTTATCTTATTGTGCAGGTAAGTTGACTGTGTAGCGCCCTTAAATGCTCAAAATGTCCTATAGGGCTCTCTGAATGGATTTGTATACTTCAGTGTTTCCCAAACTTGAATTGCTAGCTGTTTTTGGACTACAACTCCCATGATCCCTCACTACTGGTCCTGCTAGCTAGGGATGATGGGAGTTGTAGTTCAAAAACTGATGGGAGACCCAAGTTTGGGAAACACTGGTATACATGAAAGCACTATTATCTGATTTGGCAGCAAACATATTTATAGTCAGTGAATCTTTTCAGAATGCTTGGTCTCCCTCTGTCCACTTTAATATGAACTATAATATGGACTCATAAATGTATGTCATTTTAAAAGGTAAAGGTAAAGGTACCTCTGCCCGTACGGGCCAGTCGTGTCCGACTCTAGGGTTGTGCGCCCATCTCACTTAAGAGGCCGGGGGCCAGCGCTGTCCGGAGACACTTCAGGGTCACGTGGCCAGCGTGACGAAGCTGCTCTGGCGAGCCAGCACCAGCGCAGCACACGGAAATGCCGTTTACCTTCCCACTATAAAGCGGTACCTATTTATCTACTTGCACTTGGGGTGCTTTCGAACTGCTAGATGGGCAGCAGCTGGGACCGAAAGACGGGAGCTCACCCCGCCGCGGGGATTCGAACCGCTGACCATGTGATCAGCAAGCCCTAGGCGCTGAGGTTTTACCCACAGCGCCACCCGCGTCCGGTATGTCATTTTACCTTACATTAAAGCAGGGAAGGGAGAGGGGAGCTGTGGCTCTTTAGATGTTGTTGGAACTCCACTTTCCACCAGTCTCAGCCAGTAGTCAGGGATGACCAGAATTGTAGCTCAGCATCTTCATGGCCACAGGTTCCCCACCTCAGATATATATATAAATATGTGCCTTTTTGCATTGACAAAAACACACCTGTTTAATTTCTTTGTGTCAAGCTACTGCTAAAGGCACAGGGCTTTAACAGTTGGCAACCTTATACAAGTTATGTGGAATCACTGCACTGCCTGTTTGCATAAGAGCTCAAATAATGCCTTTAGGGCCTGATGCAGTGGCCATAAAAATCAATGGCAGGAACATCTCAGAATGTCTTTTTCTGAAAATAGCCTTACCTTAACATGAAATCTGGCCTACAGTTAAGGAGCGTTGAGAGTGGAGAAACAAGTAGGTGGAGCCTTTCTGGACAATGGATATAAATCTTTCCCCATCATTTCCTGTTGAATTTCTGCCAATATATTTGTGCTCTCATCAACATTGCTTTGTGTTTCATCACACTGTTTGTTACGTACATTTAAGGTTTAATGGTCACAATCCCTCCTCTTTGAATTTCATTTCCTACGGACCTCACTGCTTCTCTATTTCCCTCTCCCCCCCAAATATGTGTGTGTGTGTGTGCGCGTGCGCGCGCACGCACACACACTCACACCTGTCAACTTAGAATAACACCATGCATTTGATGAAGTGGACTCTAGTCTACAAAAGCTTATGCCGTAACACATTTGTCACTCTTTAAGGTGACATTGGATTTTTTGCTGGTATTTGCTTTTTACACAGTTAAAGACTCTTTTCTTCTTCTTTTTTTAATGGAAACATTAACCATGATCCATTTTCAATTGTCCATTAAGCTGTTCCTCCTGACTGTGAAACAATTAACCTTTATTCAAGGCGGACACAGCTGTGTGTGGAATCTGCTTCTCCGTTCCATTGGACACCTGTTTCCATTACATTTATTACCATCCCTGCCGAGTTGCAACAACTAGATTGCTGTGGACAGAACTTCTCTGATTCCCATAAAGGCAACATTAACAGAGGCAAGCTGGCCAGGAAGACAAGCAGCTTATTCTGCTAAAGATTGTACATACATTCCTGTTGGCTGAGGAGCAGACAGCTGTTTTATGGTTTTAAAGGGCTGGTATTACCCCGCCTGATCTGCTTTGCTTCACCCTCACACACCCCAGCATCCACACCTGTATGAGTTTATTTTGTATTTCCAATATTTTCTAGAATCTTCTCTCCAGCTCATATAAAGGACTTGCCCTTGGCCAGAGTTGCAAACTGAAAGGGGAATCACTGTGTGTTGTCTAATCCATGGGTAGGCAAATTAAGGCCCGGGGGCCAGATCCGGCCCAATCGCCTTATAAATCCGGCCCGCGGACGGTCCAGGAATCAGCGTGTTTTTACATGAGTAGAATATGTCATTTTATTTAAAATGCATCTCTGGGTTATTTGTGGGGCCTGCCTGGTGTTTTTACATGAGTAGAATGTGTGCTTTTATTTAAAATGCATCTCTGGGTTATTTGTGGGGCATAGGAATTCATTTCATTTCTCCCCAAAAAAATATAGTCCGGCCCCCCAAAAGCTCTGAGGGACAATGGAGCGGCCCCCTGCTGAAAAAGTTTGCTGACCCCTGGTCTAATCCAAGTAGAAGAGGCAATGAGAAACACTTGACTTCTGGACAGAGGTGCCAACTTGCGCCAAAGATTGAGGGTCCGGTTGACATCACACATGCGTCATGTGATGTCACATGGCATTTTGGGAGGAGCCAGGGGATGAAGCCAAAAACAGTGGTCATTGGCTCCTTTTCTCTCATGCTCAGCAGTCTTCCATGGCAGAAGGAGCAGCAGCTGGCCACTGAATCAGTGCTTGGCCTCCTCCACCCCCTGACAGTAGGGGATATGGGGAGGCAGCCCAATGAGCCTGCCTGGAGCAAGTCTATGGGAGGGACATTTATTCTTCCAGATCTGGACTAAAGAAGTGCCACTGATGGGATGTGCCCACAGCGTGGAAGAGACCTGTGTGTTCCTTCCCTGTTCCACTGACATCCCATCCTTTACTCTGTCCTGCTTTAGGCATTCAGCCACTATGACAGTGTAGAATTTTGCATTCTGATGGTGCATTTGCTAATTCAGTTAAAAAAAATTCTTTCATAAAATTTATACACCTGAAAGCGGTTTACAAAAGATAAAATCAGTAAGGTCAATTAAAAAATACAACCCTACTTTAAAACATACAATCATTAAAATACCAAAACATTGGCAGCAGTGCACCCACCAAATCCTATTGTCCCTTAGCCAGCACATCACCAGTACACAATTGTTGTTACGCTGCGATCCTGTGCACTTACCTGAGAGTAAGCTTGTTCATCAAACATTAGTAGTACAACTGCTGGGTTGCAGTGTTGTTTTATGCTTAAGGCGCTCTGGTAGCTTCAGCAGAAGAGAGGCCAATAAACACTTAAAGAAATAAAACAAAGACATTTAATAAGCAAATGCTCCCTGCAAAAGAAGGAAAGGCCATTTTTAATATTTTCTTTTTCATTCATTAGTATAGCGACACACCAGGTCTATACACACACAGAGAGACTTTACCTTTAACCCCTCTGGTTAAAACTGGTCCTCAGCCAAAGTTTTAGTGGGCTGATCTAACAATTAAAACTTGCAGTTTTACTTCCAGGGATTTTAGCAAACACCAGTACTGTAGCTGTGGCAAAATCAGGAATGCATTGTTAAGGCAGAAGTGACAGCTTGGGAAAGGTGTTAGGCAAAACGCTCTTCAGCGTCAAGCCTTCCCTTGTGGCTTAATTTAAAGCATTAGCAGTGAAACCTGAAAAAGTGAAAGCAGCAAATATTAAATTGTAAATACCAGGCAGACTGTGGTGTAAGCAAATGTAATTGCCAGACTCGCAAGGACAGCAAACATCGTCCCGCTATCAGAACAAACTCAGCTGTTAATGGGGCTGCCAGGTCAAAATACACCACAGTATCTGAAATGGAGGGCCTGTGTATAGACTTAGCATGAACATATTGTACTTGAGCTGGAACAAAGATACCGTTTTCTAGATCTCTGAGTAATAAACAGAAGGTGATGTACACATGCAGCTTCTATGCGTAAAGTAGAACACAAGTTCTATGTAAAGAATCAGAGTTAATGCAAAGCTATAAAGTCCACAGAAGACATTATTAAAAAAAACACAGATTGTCATCATCTGAAATTTTTTAAAATATTTTTTTTAAAAAAAAATACAGTATTACTTTTCCCTTTCCCTTTTTGTTTTTAGTCTGAGAATTCACCAGTTAGTTATAGGAAGAAGAGAGAGTACAGAAAGAAAAATAAAATGAAACATAAAAGTAACCTGACTTGCTGCTAACATCCATAGCCCCAACTTCACTCTAAAAATACTGAAAGGTGGGGAAAGCCAGGAAGGCTCATCTCACAGAAATGGCTGTGAATAGTACATGTATAGTTTGTTCCATCACTTTATTTCCAAGAGGACTAGACCTACTTTAAAAGGGGGGGGGGGAGCTCAGAGTCTGGGGGTCCAGCTGACTGAAGGCTTGCAGTACATCCGTACAGTCTGTGTACCCACTTCTCAGTGGTCCTACTTCATAGACCCAGGTTCAAATCATGTGCATGGCCAGGGAGGCAGCTGCCCCCCTAAATCAATAAAAATAAAAACCAATACAAATATGAGGTTCCGCCCCCGCAACAAAAGCCTACCCCACCAACAAAAATCCTAGCTACGTCCATGGTTCAAATCCCTACTTCATTCCTTTATTTAAATATTTATAGGCCACTATTTCAGGGCAAACCAAAGCAGCTGACATCATAATACAATAATAAAATACAACCACACATTTCAATAAAAATAAGCAGTTAAAGCAGAACGCACGGGCATTACAAATTCTGAAACGGTTTCAAAACCGCTGCACAACAAATCCATCAAGCAAAAAAAATGCAACCTGAAATGATGAGACTTCTAAAACTCATTTAAAAGCCTGGACGGATGGGGCCTGCTTCAACCTGTATTTTCCTCCAACTGCTTACCCATTTGTAGCATGGAAGAAAAGTTAAGGCAAGAGTGACATGTTCTGGTTGGCTGGGCAGCCTGATTTGGAGCCGTTTCATTAAAGGTTTTGCACAAGTAAATAGCGACATGGTAGGCTGCATTGCAAATAAAAGATAAGCAATATTGTCTGACTGGCACTTGCACTTGATATCGATCCTGAAATGCGTTTCAGTATCTTATGTATGAAAACAAAGCATCTTTCCTCATGCTGAAGGTACTGGGTTTCATTCTGGAAGGGCACCAGTAGAGTTTCCCCAGGACAATAAAGATGAAAGCAAAAATATATTCACAGCTATCCATTTTTTAATGCTGTATTCCAGGGGCAATAGCAGACAGGTTGGCGGCAGTGTTGGTGGAAGAAAGTTACCAAATGTCTAGGGTCCTGGGCTCCCTCAGGTTTCACATGTACACAGGACATGTACACAGGACGGCCATACTTAACACAATGTTTCACTCACATTTGTGACTTTAAGGATGCTGAGAGTTGTTTGGAGACCCCTATTCCTCTCACAGAGCTACAGTTCCCAGAATTCCTTGGGAAGAGGGACTGATTGTTGAACCACTTTGTGAGGGGAAAAGGAGAGGCTAAAAACCCTCACATAAAATAATACCACGTTTTCTCTTTCTGGAGCTTTTGATACTAATTTCAATTCCATGGGAACAATACTGATTTCCTAAAAGCCCCATTAAAAAAAAAAGTTGAGATCACTAGAAAAGCATATACTGTATCCTGGAACATTATGATTTACACTTGCATTCATTCTCCCTCTCCATCATTTTGGCAGGTGTTAAAAATTATTATGAACTCCTTAATGAGGGTTCATCCTTGTTACAACATGTACAAAGTGCCTAGCTTCTGAAGAGGAGCTTTACAAAAAAAAAAAAAAAAAGACACAATGCCTTTACATATGATAATGTCTATTATTTTGAGAAGGGTGAAGAGCATTCTGCCTTTCTCCCCCATTACTATAGCAACAGACATCTGTGAGTAATAGCTCTTTTAACTGTGTCAATTAGGCTTACATAAGAGTATTTTAATGACAAAAAGCCTGTGCAAAGTGCAGTCTAAGGTCTGGCAGAAGGAAAACTTCACACTCCAAGTGTTAAAAAAAACCCTTTAAAAAAACACCCTTGCCCCAACTTCCATGTGCAATAATTGCCATGTTCTGCATTCGTTAGCTACGGTTCACTGACGTGTTGTAGCTTTCCATTAAAATCTGGAAGTCCGTTTGCTTCTCAGGCTCCGGGAGATAGAGCGAGCACTTGTTACGTGTCTTCTATAAAAAGACAACAGTATTAGGGGGTGGAGAGGAGAGATGGTAGGCATGCCATGCCAGGTGGCTGTGCTATGCCAGGGCTATTACCACCATAACATAAACTCTCTTCAGGAGTTAGGACTCCCCACAGAAGTAGCATCATGAGGAGGAGAGCTGGGGTGAGCTGTGCCAAGAAGCTCTGCCTCCCAATGCCACCCCACCCTGAGCTGGAGGGCAAAGGTGTGAGCAAAGGAGCCTCCTCTACTTGTATAGAGGCCTATAACACAATTTAAAGTCCTGGAAGGCCATAGCTCTCTTAGTAGGCCATGTTGTAAACAAAAATCTGCCCTTTTCCCCCCTTATGGGGTATCCAAGAGCCCATATAGTGTCTTTACGTAGGTTCCCTATTGGCAGTGGCGTAGCGTGGGGGGTGCAGGGGGGGCCGGCCGCACCGGGCGCAACATCTGGGAGGGGCGCTCGCACTCGCAGCTCTCTGCCCCTACCTAAAATCCACGGGTTAGGGGGCGCAAATTACTTGCCTTGCCCCGGGTGCTGACAACCCACGCTACGCCACTGCCTATTGGTAGGAGAAAATAAACAGAGGCCAACCAGAGAATATTGAGAAGCAAAACAGCTAGTAAGCCTGATCTTTATTGATTTATTGCAACAGGGTGCTCCCCTCACACACAGGAAAGGAGGAGGAACCCAGAACAATGGCGCGCAAGGCCTTATATAGACATTTTAAATTCCCTGCCCTGGAGCTCAAGACCAGCCCTTGATACATCATACATACATCACAGAAGGGGTGTAACCTAAGACCACCCCCCAGATACATCATTCCTACATCACAGAAAAGGCGGTCTACAGCAGAAATTTGATTGACTTGTTTATCTCACAGGTTACGTTTAATGGTCACTTGATTGGATTGCTTGGGGAGCCTGGCCAGCCTTTTGTAATGATAAATACTTAGTTCTTGGGCCAGGTCACAGGCTCACACCCTATTCATACCTTAAATGTGCCCTTAAGATAGGATTTGTGAAGGAAAAAGACAACGGGGAGGTTTCCCACTTTGACCTTGCAGAGAAATAATTGAGGTCAGTTTGTTTTTTTCTGTGGGGTTTTTAGACATGTGGTTTATTTATTTATGTACGTCTTTGCTTGGTACATTTATGAACATTTATTACATATCTAAGACCTTAAAATTCTTATCACAGCCACAAAGATGAATGTGCTAGCTCTATTCCCCACAACCTTCAACTTGTCATTTTCATCACCTTCATGAGAATATGAGGGTCAGTGGTCCATTTAGTCCAGCATCCTGTTCTGACAGTGGCTAGTTGCCAATGGGAAGCCCAAAAGCAGCTAGCTCCTGAGAACAACACTTGCGATTCCCAGCAACTGCCGTTCATACACATACTGCCTCCGATAGTGGAGGCAGAACCTAACCACTGTGGCTAGCAGCCATTGATAGACAAATCCTCCAAGAATCTGTCGAATCCTCTTTTATTTTTTAAAATTAAATTTGTATACCGCCCTCCCTCTGCAGATCTCAGGGCAGTTAGCAACGTAAATTTGCAATATAAAAACCACAAAATACATAGAACAACAACAAACCCCAATAACCCCGCCCCCTTCCATAATACATTTTTCATTTTATTTAATAAATGAAGCCATCCAAGTAGGGGGCCATCATTGCCTCCTGTGGAAATGAGTTCCATACTATACACTCCATAAGTTGGAGGGCACCTATCTGAAATGGGCAGCTGCCCCTGTACCAGTGGAGACTCCCCATGTGTTTCAGCATCTTGATTTTCCAGGACATGCAAAAAAACAAAACAAAGGTCTATAAGAAAGCAAAGCTGGTCCAAAAGAAAGAAAGAAAGAAAGAAAGAAAGAAGACAATGAGTGCTTGCTCATTACTTCATGGCATTTCAGTTGGTCATAATAAATGTATTGCTCAACTGTGGAGAATGTCAACTGGTGTGGCGATGACATGCTCATCCCTGCACACACATGCCACACGTTTACTTAACATGATGGGAGAATGCCTGGGATTTTACTGCTACTGATTACCCAGAACTGAACAGGAAAGCTGGTTTGAAATGAAAAACAGGCTTGCTCATTCTGCCCATTTATCAATAAAGCCTTTCACACACTTTGTGTGCGCTTCTCCCTTGCTCATGCTATGCCCATGTATGATCATGGCTGCATATATAACATTGGTGCTTTTTCTCTGGGGGTACGCATACCCCCTAAACATTTTGTGAATCTAAGTTTGGCCTCATTGAGGGGCAGTATTTCAATATGAGTAGGAAAATGAGAGTACCCCTAAACATTTTTTTAGAAATAAAGCACTGCATAGCATATATTTAAAGGACATACCCACCCACGCCCCAAATTCCTGGGGACTGTAGTTTACCCCTCACAGAGCTACAATTCCTAGCACCTTTAACTAAAGTTCCCAGGATCCTTTGAGAGGAAGGAAATGTGCCTCAAATGTACAGTTGTGTACGCAGCCCGCAGCCACGATCATTTTACAGCTCTGCTTGCATGGTTGAAACTAGTCTTCATTTACAAGCTTCTCATAAACAGGCAGGCCTCCAAAACAATACAAGCTTCAACCACGCATATCTTGTGTGAGACGCTGCATTGTTTTTACCAAAATATAATTTACCTTTGAAGAATGTCAGACATCAAATTATTGTTTTATGATTGATATATTATATCGTGCTTGAATACCAAAGGATTTTGTTTTAGTTGTTTCAGTTGTCTGGATTACAGTACTTTTTTTTTTTCCTAGATAGAACATCCTGGAACGAAAAGGTCTGTTAACCTTTTAAAGGACTACTGACTCATACTTTTACAGTACATAACAGCTATATAACCATAATGCTTTGTAACAACACTCTTCGTCCCTGAGGAAATTAAAGTACATCATGGACTAACATATTAATCTGAGAAGTCATATTTAACTGGAATGCTACTGTCTCATCTTGTTTTAACAAAACTAATAGCTTTATTAGGGAGCTGAAGACAATTTAAACCAGAAAGAGGAATGTAGCTGAGGTAAAATATAACTTCCAGGTGCAAGTTTGTTTTGCATTCAGATTCACTGAGATGTCTTCAGAACAATATTATTATTATTATAACATTTATTATCTTCATCATAATTACTGCCCTATCACTGTGTGTTGCCTCCTACAGAGCATGAGATAATTTGATACAGTGGTGGTGTAAACAAGGAAATAATGTGTTATTTTGATTGACATACTGAACGTAGTGCAATAAAAAGAGCCTTGAAAAACCCATCTAGGATATCTAGGGAACTTTCTCCACCCCAATGATTATGCTGGTTGCTCTTTTTTGAACCTTTTCCAGCTCTACAATATCCTTTTAGAGGTGAGACAGAACTTTATTTATTTGAAGTATTTACGTATCAGTTATTAACAATACTAGGGACGCGGGTGGTGCTGTGAGTTAAACCACTGTGCCGCTTGGGCTTGCTGATCGAAAGGTCGGCGGTTCGAATCCCCGCGATGGGGTGAGCTCCCATTGTTTGGTCCCAGCTCCTGCCAACCTAGCAATTCGAAAGCACACAGTGCAAGTAGATAAATAGGTCCCGCTCCAGCGGGAAGGTAAACAGTGTTTCCGTGCACTGCTCTGCTTTTGCCAGAAGCGGCTTAGTCATGCTGGCCACATGACCTGGAAAAACTGTCTGCAGAAGTGGACAAACACCGGCTCCCTCGGCCTTTAAAGCGAGATGAACGCCACAATTGCAGAGTCGTTCACGACTGGACTTAATTGTCAGGGGTCCCTTTATCTTTACCTATTAACAATACTAAGCAGTGTACATAAAATTACAAAACAAAATGCGAACAATTCAAACAATAAAGGCCAGGAAAAATGCACCATAAAGCCGGACGCTACCTTAAAACGCCTGCTGAAATAAGAAAATATTGGTCACACATCCAAAGTTTAGCAAGGAGGGTGTCTGTCTAATCTCAACTGGGAGGATGTTCTAGTAGTTACAAGCGGTGCTCCTGACCCATGAGGTATCACCAAGAGAGACGGTACACAGTATTCCAAGTGCAGTTGCACCATGGATTTTTATGCTGGCATTATGATTTTGACTGCTTCGTTTGCAATATTTTTCCTAATGATCCCCAGCATGCCAATCTGTCTCTTTCACAGCTGCCAACTACAACCCCAAGCTCTTGTTCCAGGCCCCATTAGTGTGTATGTCAAGTTATCAGATTTTTTTTTTGTCCCAATATGCATCAGTTTGCACTTTCTTACACAGTCTGGAAAGATCCTTTTGGGGTTATCTGCAATCCTCTTCTGCTTTGGCCACCCTAAACAATCTGGTATCATAAGCAGAGTTGGCTTCCTCATGGCTCACACCAAATCCCAGTACATTAATGGACTTCTTAGCAGAATGCTAGTATTACTGACAGAGGAGTCAGCCTCATGCACAGTGCAAATACTGCTTAGGTTACTGCAACAGCACACTGCAAGCAACATTATACAGCCTGACTTTAGCCGAGAGGAAGAAAGAAATGGGAAGACTGAGAAGAAGTTGCTTAGTTTGGACAGAGAAACAAGCAAGCTTTAAATAACTGGCAAGATGCCTTATAGCACCTCCTCTGTTGGAGCAGACTAATCACACTTTCAGTAGTTAATGCATGGATCCAGTTCCCATGTTCTCATTAGTCTGACATATTTTCTTACTAGCCTGCTGAGTAGCAAGTAGCCAGCATTTTAATGCTCCTCTGCAACCAAGATGGAAACACAAATAGCCAAAAATGGCCTTCTTCCAAGTAGCAGAGAGGAAGGATGAAGAGATCCATGCTCCACTGGACTGTATACTTGGCCCATGGTTACCAGGCAAGTTTTTTAATTCAAGGCTGCAAATCCTATAGACATTTCCTAAGGCTACATCTCCCCAGGTTCAAATGGGACTTACTTCTGTGTAGATATGCGCAGGAGAGCAGTGTCAAGACAGCTAGTCCAGTTTTCTGGCCTTCTCATCAAGGTACCCTGAAAAGCATCTGAAGAACCCATTGTTCCTAGGAAAAACAATTTGAAAAACAATGCCATAGAAATTAAAAGCTAGGTTTCATTGAGTAAGGGTTAATAGTTTTATCTTTATCTCTGTCTATACGTTTGTGTTTGGCTCAGAAATCATCCTGTTAAAAATGAAGTGTCCGGTAACACCTTAAAAAAGAATGCGTTTATTAGATAATACCAATTCAAGGTGATTGTGTTGACATACAAAATCCTAAACAACTTGGGCCTCAAATAACTGAAGGAGTGCCTTTTCCAATCTTCTTCTATGGCGACCAATCATAGTAAAGTAAGATTGTCTTCCATGAACATGGTCTTAACAGTGAGTCCGTAAGTGAATGTAGGGGCCAATTCTGGAACCACATGTCCTTCCACAGTGGGGACATAGGTTTCCAGGCAGGAGTTGAGGGTTTGTCAAACATGACTTTCTCTTAGCTCTTTTCTCCTTTTCACCCTGAGTTTATGCTTTTTCCAAGTCCATGACACCTTTGGTAAAGGCTGTTCTCTGACTGGAACGCTCACAGGCCAGTGTTTCCTAGTTATCAGTGCTTCTGTTACATTTTTAAAGATTTGCTTTGAGAGCATTTTTAAACCTCTTTTGTTGTCCACTGGTATTTCGCTTTCCACTCCTGAGTTGGGAATAGAGTAGTTGTTTTGGAAGCTCTTCCAATATAGACCTGCAAGGATGACCCTGCTAGCAGTTCTGACGCTATGCGAAGTTTTGTGAGAGGGCCTTTTCTGTGGTGGCCCCCAAATTGCGGAATGCCCTCCCATCTGAGGCATATTTGGCTTCATCATTGTATATAATCAGTATCAGGTCATAGAACTGTAGAGTTGGAAGGGAACACAAGGCTCATCTAGTCCTACTCCCTGCAATGTTGGAATCCTTTGGCCAGTGTGGAGTTCAAACCCATGACCCTGAGATTAAGAGTGCTCTACTGACTGAGGTATCCAGGTCAAGATGCACCTTTCCACACAGGATTTTGGGTGTTGACAAAATTTTGTACTGAGCTGTACGTAACCCGCTTGGGGCCTCACAATAGAAGTGCAAGCTATAAATAAGTAAATAAAATTGTGGCACAAGCTTTTGTGGGGTCTTACTGTGGTAACTGTCCAAACTTAATAACCTCTGTTGGGGGCTCTGTAATACCAAAATAATATCAAACTGGTTTCAGTTGGTTGCCAATGGTGGAGGATCAAGCGAGGGGGTGGGGGGACAACGAAACAAAAGGGGCAGAGGAGTTGCTTGGCTTAATGTTTCCAATTCAAGCATTGACCTATATTGACCTGCTTCCTGGGCCTAAAAGCACACTTTCCCATTCTGGTGAAAAAAGATTTACTTCCCCGTGGCTTTTAATCGTCAATCTCCCAGCAGACCTCTATTTTTTCCTTTAAGGCGTTCAATAATTTGTCTGTTTCAGCAGCACCCACAGAGTCGCCATAAATCACTGTTTACTTAAATGCTTTCTTCCCCCCACTGGGATGTCTAAGGGTGTTTTGTCATCAGTGCATTTAGGTTATCGAGCCTTCCCTCCCCACCCTTGCGCACAGTTTGGAGGGCCATTCACAATGCTCACTCAGCAGAGCATAATGCTTGGGATCTCATACTAGTATTTTTTAACAATGCTGAGAAAGGCTTTAAAAACACCAGTTAGTAGAAATCTGTTAGGTGGAGAAGGGAGGGGGGAGAGTGGGTGGGTGGATTAAGTTTCGGATATGAAAAAGAAGGTTCAGTAAGTACCAGGACTGCAGTGCTGAATCAAGAATTGGCTAGAATATTCTCAATAGCTCTGTACATTTCCTGCTACAACATTTTCACACACCCGTCTACTCGAAAGTAAATTCCACTGAGTTCCCAGTAATTGGCTTTAAGATTGCAGTGCTAGGCTGTGCATATATCACAATTTATTCCAGTTCTAGTGTACTCTTACTACTGGTGTTTACATGACATTAGCCACAATCCATATGTATCCTGTAGTTTCTTGAAAAACACCACTATTCGGTGCATTTTCCTTCAAACCAGCTTCCATCTGATTTAAAAACATAAGCTGTGGTTAAGCTGATGTGTGTACATTTGAGACACCTGTAGCGTGTGTGCAGATGACAACAATATGCAGAAACGACTGCTTCACTGAATAGTTTTGGGCGCTTGCATGGGGAAATCAAATGACATAATGTGCATTGGGTGAAGACATCCCTGCCCCCTCTCCTGTGTGACTTCAAAGGCAATGTGGGCGAAACGCCCTTGCTACATTTTAATCAGCTAATGCGCACTTAGCCTTAGTTGACTTAAAAAGTGCCCTAAAGGAATCACATTAATAAAAGCTAAAATTTGTAGCCTGTATCATTTATCTGAATAAAACAAATATGCATGTATGCGCTTAATTAATCTCTTTCAGTGAGTGGTGCACATGGCTTTGGAAATCGTGATTGAGCCCCCTCGCCCCAGCTTGCAGCGAACTCCCTCACCTATCTTTTGAAAGGATACTTATGAACATAAGTAAAGTCCTGCATGATCAGATGAAAGACCTGTCTCATCCAGATGCCTCTTACAGTGAGCAGCCAGATGGCTCTGGAAAGCCCACAAAGCAGGACCTGAGACCAATAGCTCTCATCCACTGTTGCTCTCCAGCAACTGGTATGCAAAGACAGAATCACAGGATTGTAGACTTGAAAGGGACCAAGAGGGTCAAGCTAGTCCACTCCCTGCAATGCAGGAATCTTTTGCCCAACAGGGGGCTCAAACCCACGACTGAGTTTAAGAGTCTCATGCTCTACCGACTAAGCGATCGCCATATAGTCACCATGGACAGTGAGTAGCCTTTGATAGTCTGATCTGCCCTGAATATTGTCCAATCCTCTTTTAAAGCCATCTGAATTGGTAGCAAATTCCGTAGTTTAACCATGTAGTGTGTGAAGATGCTTTTCCTTTGGTCAATCCTGAATCTCACAATTCGGCTTCATCAGATGACATCATCTGGGAGAAAGACACCTCTCTACCCGCTTTGGGGAAAGGTCGTAGTTCACTGGTTGTTGTTGCTGTTTAGTCGTTTAGTCGCGTCCGACACTTCGTGAACCCATGGACCAGAGCACGCCAGGCACTCCTGTCTTCCACTGCTTCCTGCAGCCTGGTCAAACTCATGCTGGTAGCTTCGAGAACACTGTCCAATCATCTCGTCCTCTGTCGTCCCCTTCTCCTTGTGCCCTCCATCTTTCCCAACATCAGGGTCTTTTCCAGGGAGTCTTCTCTTCTCATGAGATGGCCAAAGTATTGGAGCCTCAGCTTCAGGATCTGTCCTTCCAGTGAGCACTCAGGGCTGATTTCCTTAAGAATGGAGAGGTTTGATCTTCTTGCAGTCAATGGGACTCTCAAGAGTCTCCTTCAGCACCATAATTCAAAAGCATCAATTCTTTGGCGATCAACCTTCTTTATGGTCCAGCTCTCACTGGTATGCTCTCTCTTTATGGTCCAGTTCACTGGAAGAGCATCTTTTTTGCATACAAAAGGTGCCAGACTCAATTCCTTGGCATCCCCAGATAGGGCTGGAAGATAACCCTGTCTGAAATCCTGTGGAGCTGCTGCCAGTCAGGGCTGACAATACTAAAAAAGGTAAAGGTAAAGGACCCCTGGACAGCTGAGTCCAGTCAAAAGTGACTATGGGGTGCAGTGCTCATCTCGCTTCAGGCCAAAGTAGCCGGCGTTTGTCCACAGACAGCTTTTCGGCTCATGTGGCCAACATGACTAAACCTCCACTGGCGCATGGAGGACCGTGACGAGTGCCAGAGTGCACGGAAACGCCGTTTACCTTCCTACCACAGCGGTACCTATTTATCTACTTGCACTGGTATGCTTTTGAACTGCTAGGTTGGCAGAAGCTGGGTGGGAGCTTACCACCGGCGAGCAGATTTGAACTACCAACCTTCCGATCAGCAAGCCCAAGAGGCTCAGCGGTTTAGACCACAGAGCCACCTGCGTCCCTTTGACAATACTGAGCTAGATGGACCAATAGTCTGGCTCAGCATAAGGCAGCTTCCAATGTTCACTTCCCCTTACTATGCATACTTTTATACACCTCTACCATGTCACCCCTTACTCACCCTTTTCCTAATCTAAAACACCGCATACCCTTTCCTGGTAAGGGAAATGTTTCAGCCCCATGATCACTATGGCATGCCTTTTCTGCTCCATCTCCATCTCCAAAATATTGCTATAGGCTGGGTGGTTAGCCTGGATGTCATATTTGGGGTTGCATATACTGTATTGTGGTTTTATATTTATAAGATGGGTTTCTGCAGAAACAGACTACAGTACTACACTGGTAAATCCAGTCTCCCTGGCTCTAGCCAAGATTGTTAAGCATCTCTTTACAAGACTAAACAGTTCGGGGCTAAATGGGGCAGGATTTCAGCCCTCCCTTGGCTGGAGGTCATGTCACTGGCAAGTGAAAGAGGACATCTGGGGTCAGTCCTATCTTGGACTGCCCTGGGAAGAGTCCCTGCCTGGACTTTCTCTGTGTTTCATCGAAAGATATGACTTTGGGACCCGCTTGGAAACCTAATAGAAGAGCAAGATCTGTGCTAATGCTGGGGACCATTGCTTCTTATGCTCAGTCTGAATATGTATCTAAGTAAAACTAGTATCACAAAGACACCACCCTCTCCAGTGACCTTCATTCTAAGGAAGCTGAACCTTTAATATGAGCTGGCGTCCTTGAAATCTCTCACTGCTTCGAGATTAGGAGGAACCTAACAAAATTGCTTCTGAGATGCAACAACCAGAACTGTACACAGTATTCCATGTGTGATCATGGCAGAAATTTATATACAGTTATTAAGATTGTGGTAAGTTTTATATTTTGATCTCCTTACTAATGATTCTTGGCATGGCATTTCCTTTTTCACATTGCCTGTGTGATAGGAATTTTGAGGTCTTAGATATATGTTGAATGTTCATAAGTGTACCAACCAAGCACGTACATAGATCAGCGCAGGAAGACCAACCTGAAACCATTTTGATTCCCAAACTGAGCAAATGTTTTCTCTGCAAGGTCAAAGTGGGAAACCTCCCCATTGTCTCTTTCCTCACAAATCCTGTCTTAAGGGCACATTTAAGATATGAATAGGGTGTGAGCCTGTGACCTGGCTCAGGAACTAAGTATTTATCATTACAAAAGACTGTCCAGGCTCCCCAGGTAATCCAATCAAGTGACCATTAAACAGGTAACCTGGCAGAAGGAGGTAAACAAAGCACACAGATTTCCTGTAGACCGCCCTTTCTGTGATGTAGGTATGATGTATGGAGGGCTGGTCTTGAGCTCCAGGGCAGGGAATTTAAAATGTCTATATAAGGCCTTGCGCGCCATTGTTCTGGGTTCCTTCTCCATTCCTGTGTGTGAGGGGAGCACCCTGTTGCAACAGATCAATAAAGATCAGGCTTACTAGCTGCTTTGCTTCTCAATATTCTCTGGTTGGCCTCTGTTATTTTCTCCTACCAATAGGGAACCTACATAAGGACTCTATATGGGCTCTTGGATACCCCACAAGGGAAAAAGGGCAGATTTTGTTTACAACACCTGGAATAACTTTTTTCAAGCTATCCACCATTACCCCAAGATCACTTTCCTGATCAGTCACTGCTGACACACTCCACCAGTGATTATGTGTATTTACGGATTTCTGCCGCACTCTCCATTACTTTACACTTGCATAAATCCTTTGGAGTTCTTTACAATCCCCATTTTTTTACCAGATTGCTTGGTGTCACCAGCAGCAAACCTGACCTCACTTCTCAACCCTAAGCCTCAGTCATTCATGAACTAGTTAAAAACCTCTGTGCTGCTTCCAGACTGTCACTATTTTGTAGGTGGAGTTCAATCATTTACCTGCAAATTTACACTGTGCAGTTCAGGTAAATTTGACTCTCTTGTGCAAGAACCACTGCATTCAGCTAACAAATGACACTTTCTGAAATAACACAATACAGTACACTGTTTCACTGTGCTTTGCAAAACTGCACTGATATATCTTTGTCTAAACAGGACTTTTAAGCTGGAATCCTACAGACACCTAGGGGAAAAGTTCCACTGAACCTAACAATGCTGACTTCTCAACAGACATGCAAAGGATTGTTCTGTTTTGGTATACACAGTCCTTCCTGTAGAAGCACATAGCCTTGCTTACTTTTCCCTGTTGGAAGAGTTCGTGTTGTTTGGCTAGATCACCTGCAAATATTTATGCAAAACTTTTATAATACATGATACCAGGTGCAAGATAAGCAAGCATTAACAGTATTAACAATGAATACATTTGCATCAAACACAGGCAGGATGACTCTTATCTCATTAGAACCTGTGTAAATGCCACTCATGTGCTCTCTTTAATTCCATCTGCTGTTTATGCCATGTCACCCCAGGCAACAAGAGGGAACAAAACAGCATATCCTTCACTTGCTGCACTCCTGTCGAGAGTGACAGGAAGAAAAATAATGTTAAAAGTCAGATTTATTTATTTATTTTTTAAAAAACCTCCCCCAAAATGTTTTCATGTGATTCCCATTAGTTGAGGCTGTCACAACAATTAACATTATAGCCATGATTCCCAACCTTTCTCAGTTTGCAGAGCACCTGGATAGCATAGTGCTCTCTGCAAAACACCAAGAATATTCTTTAATGTCATCTTTCATACTAGGAACAATGTTAATAGTAGATAATATGATGTCATATTATATTATGGTCATATTATTATATATTAAGATATCATATGAAAAAAATGAGATTTGACGGGGAAATAAATCTAGCCATTAGCTATTTTTTCTGCTGATTGGGAAAAGCCAATCTCTGCCTGATTTTGCTGGTGAAACACCTCAGTGGGAGCAGAATTTGGGAACCAGCGTGGGATAAAAGAACTTCTCATATCACAATATGGCAGTAAAACATCTCTTCCCTGCCCTCCTGCAGGGTTGTGTCATCCACACGATGTTTCCCTCAAACAATACCTGTCTCAATGTTTCCCCCCTGTAAATTCAGGTTTACTCCTCTTCCCACAGCCCCTACTTTCTCTATGCTTATACAGTGGTACCTCGGGTTACATACGCTTCAGGTTACAGACTCTGCTAATATTACCTCGGGTTAAGAACTTTGCTTCAGGATGAGAACAGAAATCGTGCAGCGGCAGCGCAGCAGCAGCAGGAGGCTAAAGTGGTGCTTCAGGTTAAGAACAGTTTCAGGTTAAGAACGGACCTCCAGAACGAATTAAGTACTTAACCCGAGGTACCACTGTAATTATTTTCCAGCACTGTCCTGAATGAAGTCTTATTTTATATTCCTCAGATTTGCACAAAACCAGAAAATTGTACAAACAAAGTGCATTAAAAATTTCTGCACCAGTTATTGCAGCAATTTTAAAAAATCATGTGTGCTAAAAATTCACAATCGCTAGGAACATAATCTTGTATTCTTTTGATCCCTTAAATTTTCACAAAACCAGAAAAATGCACAATTTATTTTACAGTTGCCTGACTGTGCTTTTGCACGCTTCCTGGGTGGGTTTAAAAAACAAAAAACTCGAAGTATGCAAGCAGCTATCCACACACATACGCTGCAAGTAGTCATACAACATAACAAAATCAACAAATTAGAAGGCAGAGACAAACACAAAAGAGAAGTATGAGTTGCTCCTCATATACAGGTTCAAATAGGTGCAGGTGAGGACTACTCTGGTCTAATTCTGTGGAGGGTAAATGAATTAACAGCTCAACAATGCTTTAATGTGGACAAGCCCACACACAATCTCAGGTGGTATGGAGTTCATTTTAGGCGCTAGGAAAATATGTATTTATAGTTCTCCCAGGCCTTAATATCTTTTAAATATGTCATCCATGTCACCTGAGGCAGTAGGCAGAATAATTCATTTTATTCTAGTCTCTGCAGAAGAAGGGCAATTTGGGCGATTCTTAGCTTTTGCAGCTGGACTGAGTTTTTCAGGACTGGTTGCTAAGGTTTGCATTTGTGTCTGGCTACGTGGGATTTTATGGCCTGATTTTATTGTTATATTATTGCCAGGTTGGCTTTTATTGATTTATGGTTTTATGGAGATGTTGCATGGTTTGTTTTAATTTTGTCTGTTTTACTGTGTAGATCAGGTAGAGAATATTTTCCATGAGGCAACTTATAAGTTGAGTACAGCTCCACGAGGCCCAGCCAGCATGCTCAAAACATCTGGAGGGCACCAAGTTGGGGAAGGCTGTGCTAAGATATCTGAAAGGGGATGTTTGATTTGAGGTGTCTCAAGGCTTAAACTGAGGTGCACTTTATTTTTATGCATTGGCTTGGGGCCAACATACATTAAATCTAACATGAATTTTTCGACTGTGTTCTGATGACAGGAATGAATGATTTGGTTGGGTTTGGTCCAAAATTTACTTTGGGCAGTAGTAGGTAAATGTCAGTCCCTTATCCATGCTGCTCATACACCTTTGCCTTGGCAAAACATGCAATACAGCATACATGCTATCCATTGGAATAATTGTTTTCTGGAGCACTGCTGGGAAGTCTTATATCACCCCCTGTGATGTGTGTGGGCAGTTAATATGCTTAGAATAAACTGAGAGGAACATTCTGTGACATGCAGGAAGCAGCAACTGATGACAAAAGGAATGTTATACCAGTATCATCATTTTACAGCCCTTCTCAATTTATTGAAATAAGGTGAATTTAGGAATAGTTTTACTTTAATATAAAGAAAAATATTTCAGTGTCCATCCTTTGTTTAATAGTGCAGCCCCTATGCATGTCTACACAGGAGTGGAGTAAGTCCCATTGAATTCAATGGAGCTAACTTCCAAAAGACATGCAAAGGATCGCAATGTCTGATGTGTGCGTGTTAAATGTAACGTGGAAAATTTAGTGTGGAACATGGAAAATGAGATCAGGAGTTCTTAGCAAGCACATTGGGAACTGGATACATTCGGAGATTACCTAAATTCAGTAGGGAGTTGGGAGAATGCTAACATCTGATTCCACTGCGGGTGAGTAGCTCCTGTGTCTGAGAAACGGGTCAGCTGCCAACCCTGGAAGGAGCAGGTGTGTAGTTTGGGGGTGCTTCTGTCACTGGAGGCTCAAATAGTGCCTTTGACCAACTGTGGCTGGTTCGACAGCTTACAGCCATTCCTGGACCAGGAAAACCTTGCCATACTAGTTCATGCGTTGGTTACTGGATTACTGCAATGAGCTCTATGTGGGGCTTCCCTTGTACTTGATACGGAAGCTGCAATTGGTACCGACTGCCACAGCACAACCGCTGACAGGAGTGAGGCCTTGTCAGTGTATAACACCCATGCTCAGAGATCTGCTCTGTTTGCCAATTTGCTACTGGGTCAGGTTCAAGGTGTAACTACAGTGGTACCTCGGGTTAAGTACTTAATTCATTCCGGAGGTCCGTTCTTAACCTGAAACTGTTCTTAACCTGAAGCACCACTTTAGCTAATGGGGCCTCCTGCTGCTGCCACACCGCCGGAGCACGATTTCTGTTCTCATCCTGAAGCAAAGTTCTTAACCCGAGGTACTATTTCTGGGTTAGAGGAGTCTGTAACCTGAAGTGTATGTAACCTGAAGCGTATGTAACGTGAGGTACCACTGTATTAGTATATAAAGCTCTTAACAACTTGGGGCCAGTTTACCCATGCGATAACAATCCTATATGCCCCCACACAACTGCAGCGACTGGCAGAACTGGCACTCCTACAGGTGCCACATAATACCCGTTCCACATTTGTAAGAACTTGATCATTTAATGCAGCTGTGACGCGGGATGCGGGACACCAGCTGGGACACAGGTGGCACTGTGGCCTAAACCACTGAGCCTCTTGGGCTTGCCGATCAGAAGGTCAGCGGTTCGAATCCCTGTGACAGGGTGAGCTCCTGTTGCTCTGTCCCAGCTCCTGCCAACCTATCAGTTTGAAAGCAAGCAAGTAGATAAATAGGTACTGCTACGGCGGGAAGGTAAATGGCGTTTCCATGCGCTCTGGCTTCCATCACGGTGTCCCATTGCGCCAGAAGTGGTTTAGTCATGCTGGCCGCATGACCCGGAAAGCTGTCTGTGGACAAACACCGGCTCCCTCGGCCTGAAAGCAAGATGAGTGTCGCACCCCATAGTCGCCTTTGACTGGACTTAACCATCCAGGGGTCCTTTACCTTTACCCTAATGCAGCTGTGCCTACACTTTGGAACTCCCTGCCTATTGAGATCAAACAGGCGCCTCTTCATTGTACTTTTTTGGGCACCTGCTAAAACATTCCTGTTTAGACAAGCCTACCCAAATCCTACATCAAAGTTGAGGTGATTTTAACCTGCTTTTGCATTTTAACTTCTGCATATTTTAATGTATAGCTGTAAATTTATCTTGATGGTATTGTTTTATCTTTTTGTAGACCACTTTGAGGCGGGTTTCTTTTTTTAACAGTCAAACGGCGCATAAATTTTATGAAATCAATAGAAATGTAACGCCAATCATTTAGCAGCGCAATCCTATGTTTTGCATGTCTACCCAGAGGTAAGCCCACTGAGTTCAGCGCTCGCAGGTGGGTCGCCTACGGCTGCCATTCTAGATGCATTTACCTGGAATAAGCCCCGTGGGACACAGCACGACAGGAATTAACCTTTGAGGAGTCATGCACATGATCGCACGGCAGCGTTTCACGAGGTGGAGGCGGCGGTAGGACTCTAGCCCTTTAAGTATGTAAAGCAGCGAAGGGCGGGACTTAGTCTGGCGCTGATTAACAGGAGGGGGGCGGAGCTGCCCAGCGGAGCATCGGATTGGTCGGCGAGAGAAGAAGGCCCTGGAGAATCCCGTTCTGATTGACAGGCGGGGCGGGGCTTCAGCAGAATGGCGGCGGCCGTGGCTGCAGTGGCAGCGGCGGCTCTGGGCCGAGGGCTGCGCCCGTCTCCCTCAGCCTGGCAGCTCCGAGGTCCGCTCGCAGGCCGCAGCCGGCTGCTCTGCCCCGCCGCCTGCGGAGGGGGCACGCCGGCTGTGGCTGCTGCCTCTCACCAGTCGGGGGCAGGGGAAGGCGAGCGCTACTGCATGGAGCTGCTGCGGTGAGTCGCTGCAAAGAGCTTTTCCCCGCCCGGATTCCTCCTACTCGCGGCTCGGATTTTTCGTTTCGGTTTATTTTTGAAACGCTGCGATGATATGTTGGTGCATGTGTGCTGTTGGTGCATATGATATGTGCCGCGCATTCGGCGCTGCTCGGTGGCCCCTTGAAGGTTTTTGATCGTGTGAAAAGAGGGAGACCCGTGTACATTCCCTCCTTGGGGGTCACCTCTAGTGGAGCACATGGTGTCTCCGCCTCCAACCCACCCCAATTTTATCCAGCCTGGTGCCTTCCAGGTGTGCTGCCTGGGCCTGGTGGGAGTTAATATTTATTTTTCATTTTTTCTCTCCCAGGAGCAAAAGGTGGGTGAACATGGTTCTGTCGGCTTCTCCTTTAATCTTCACAACGAGTCTGAGAGCCAGTGATAGGCTCAAGGTCATCCAGCCAGCTTCATGGCAGAGGGGGGATTTGAACCCTGGGCTTCCCCGGGTCGTAGTCTGACACTCTAACCATTAGGCCACACTGGCTGGCTGCCCAAGCTGTGGATTACTGCAATGAATACACTTTATGCAGGCCTCCTTTTTAAAAGCAGTCCAGAAGCTGTAGCTGGTACAGAATGCTGTCTCTGCCCATGCAATGTGTTGGACAGCAAGATGGGGGATCATGTTATGCTCACCTTTGAAAGCAATGTGCTGGCTGCTAGTGAGCTGCTGGGCCTAGTTCAGGGTCAACATCTGGAGGGCACCAGGTTGGCAATGGCTGCCTTGCAACAACTTTGTGAGTTGGGTTAGCGTGGCAGCTGACTGGCCTTAGCTCCATGGCTAAGTGGAGATCTGAAACTGGGTTTCCCTCGTACTTATATGACACCATAATCCTTACTCCAGAAGTCATTTAATAAAGTTTGTTGCTCTGTGAAAAGCCTTGTCCGAAGTTCTTTGCTCTCTGGTGGATCCTGCATCTGAACTAACCTACCAGACAGTGAGGTTGATAGAGAAGGGGAGTATCTCAGTGGTAGAGTCATCTGCCTTGCATGCAGAAGGTCCCGAATTCAATCTTCAGCGTCTCCAGGTAGGGCTGCAAGACCCTGGCATGAAATCCTAACTCAGAAAGAAACAGCTTCCTATGTTCTTATGAACAAAGGCAGGCACAGCTTTTCTCTAGAATCAAAGTTTTCAAAACACGTACAGCAGAATGAGATTGCAAAATGCTGGCTTGAGGCTGGCTGATTTAGGGTGAAGCAAGTTGCTACTTACGTAATTGATTGTTATAGTAGTTTTACTCCCTGGGGGAGGTGTTTGTGGAATTTTCCAGCTTGGCTGCCAAAATTACTTGGGCAGCCTTGGATTATTCACCTTGACTTTGGGGTCTAGTGGCCGTGAGCCATTTTGCTGTTTGGTCTCATGTTGCAAAAGGCAGGAGGCTTCAGTGCTGAAGTGGCAGAATGAACTGCCATCACTCCATACTGCAGGTAGAGGAATTGTATATGACAGGCATGTCCAACTCCCAAGAGACTGTGATCTACTCCCAGTATAAAAAACTGGCAGTGATCTACCCATTGTCATTGGAGGGAGGAGGAGCGTGCGTGGGGTGGGTGGATTAACCAGAATTGCTTTTTTTAGGAGGGGAAGTGTCCAGAGTTATTGAGCTTTGGGGGGGGGGGATTGCACAGAGTTTTTTTAGCTCCCCCCCCATAACTTTTTGTGCACGATAAAGATCCTGTGATCTACCGATAGATCACATTCTGCCGGTTGGACATCCCTGGTATATGATCGCTGCTGCTGCTTTTTAGTGATGCTCTATAACAGGGACGCGGGTGGCGCTGTGGGTAAAACCTCAGTGCCTAGGACTTGCCAATCGTATGGTCGGCGGTTCGAATCCCCGCGGCGGGGTGAGCTCCCGTCTTTCGGTCCCAGCTCCTGCCCACCTAGCAGTTCGAAAGCACCCTTAAGTGCAAGTAGATAAATAGGTACCGCTTTATAGCGGGAAGGTAAACGGCGTTTCCGTGTGCTGCGCTGGTGCTGGCTCGCCAGAGCAGCTTCGTCACGCTGGCCACGTGACCCGGAAGTGTCTCCAGACAGCGCTGGCTCCCGGCCTCTTAAGTGAGATGGGCGCACAACCCTAGAGTCGGACACGACTGGCCCGTACGGGCAGGGGTACCTTTACCTTTACCTATACCGGTAACTAGAAAACCAGTATTGCTAGTTCAGTGGTGCATGATACGCTTTCAAGTGATTCCCCAAACCATGATGGAAATAATTATGGAGTGAGAGGAAAATGCCCAATCCTGTCACACCACTGATTTTTTATAGTATTGGGAACCCCTGACGTTGCATAGCACTGCAGCCCAGAGTTAAGCATTGGTAGTGTAAAAGTCTACTATGAGTGTGCACTGCTCCTTTTATAGAGCACAAGAGGTTCCTGCCCTATGGAACTTCTTTCAGTCTGAAAACTGATACAGGGGAGACAGAAAAGGGAGAAGAAAGCAGAGGTAACTGGGAGATGAATATGTTTTTTCAATGCTGAAAGAGCAGGAGCAAAGGTTTTCGGCAGCATTATATTGGGATAGGACAGTATAGAGATACTGTAAGATACTGGCCCCTGGACTGAACAGGAAGCCAGTCTAGGGATTGAAAGAGGAGCATATGCTTTTCGTGCAGAAGCTCCCAGGTCCAATTCCCAGCTTCTCCAGGTAGGGTTGAAAGAGACTCCTTGAAACTGTGGAATGCTGCTGCCGGTCAGTGTAGACAATAATAAGTTAAATGGACCAGTAGTCTCCTTTGGTATAAGACCACTTCCTGTATTCCCAAGGGTTGACCGAATGGTAGTGTTCTAGGCAGGAGCAGTCGGATGGGGAATATAACTGCAAACATCTCCATGGGTTCTAAGTTTAAACCACAAATTCTCCCACAGGGGGTTTGTTTGCTAATGTATGTGTGGGTGGTCTTGACAGGAAGAGTGCTTGAAATTGCATCATGCATTCCCTGAACTGGGGACAGTTTGTATTTCCTTCACTTTTGTTTAAATGAGCTTGTGACAGAACATAACGCTTGTATCTATTTTTGTTTTCCTCTCTAGGAAACGTGACTATGAAGGGTTCCTCTGTTCGTTACTGTTGCCTGCGGAGTGCCGTCGCTCCGCTTTTGCTCTGAGGGCCTTCAATGTAGAACTAGCCCAGGCAGGTATTAAATGATACATTAGTAAAATGTTCAATCCTTTTTTTAAAAAAGTGACATTTAAATTTGCCTTTTTTCCAGTTCCACGTTACACTGATCTGTTCAGTGAACTTTCCATAATGTACCCCACATCTCTTTGAGTGGCTGCAGCAAGGGTGGCCTACATGATGTTGTGGACCACAATTCCCATTGGCCATTCTGGCTGCGAGTCGGAGTTCACAACATCTGGACGGCACCATGTTGACTGTCCCTTTGTAATGTCTAAAATCTTTGTTTTGTGCAGTACTGATAGCCAGCTTGATTGTGCGGTGAATAAATGTAGCAGGTGGCACTCAAGGAATTGGGTATATGCAAAGAAAGAAATGTTGGCTTGATTATTTTAAGATCAATAAATTGCAGCATTATTCACTACCAACATAACGTTGCTGCTGTTCCAGATTAAAGAATCCGTAACTCAGAAGACAATTGGCTTGATGAGAATACAGTTTTGGAGGCAGGCTGTGGAAGACATGTATCATGACAACCCACCACAACAACCAGTTGCCGTAGAGCTGTGGAAGGTAAGAAGTATATATTTGTACTACAATTCACGTGTGTTCGCCATTCTTTTCATCTCTCGGGACATGCTGTTGGCAAACCAGCCATTTTTGATGCACTTGGTCTAAGCTTGAATTCAAGGTGATTCAGATGTTTAAAAGAGGAAATACAAGCACAGCAGCTGTTTGCCTCTGAGTGGGAATTTTGGTATTTCCTTGCATTAGAAAGTCATGGGAAGATTAGGCCAGGCATTATAACTGACCTGTCAAGCTCAGCATTCTTCAGTCAGATACCTGCTTTATTTCAAGCATCTAAATCAAGGGCAGTGAACCACTGGCCCACAAGCTATATCCAGGCCCACCAAGCCAATGGTGCCATTGGGAGCACTGAATGAACCTCACCCATACCTTCCGTCATGGACAGCCCTGAGAAACAGCAAGGAATCATTTGCCGCAGGTTGGGGTGCAAGTTCTTCTTTCTGGGGCCCTTCAATCTGCTCTCGATGGCAGCAGGTAGAGGAGAGGTGCTTTGTTCAGGGCCGGAAATGGTAAATCGGGTCAGAGGCTGGTGGGTAATTCCATGGGGCTTAGCAGGATGGTTTAAAACCTTTCCACCCAGCCCAGGGCTGTGATGTGAAGTAAAATGCTACTACCACCACCACCGCCCCACCATTCCTCTGCTGATCAGTGAATGCTCTATTTGGTGTGTGTCTGCTTTGATGTGTGCTTGCATGTGTGAGAGTGTGGTGTGGCCACACTCGCTGCTAGCATCTGCCCCAGAGGGGTTGCAATGATGTTATCAGGCCGAAAAAAGTTAGATACCCCAATTTAGGAAATCTGCAGAGTGCTTCATCTGGTTTAAGCAAAGTAGATTAAAAGTTAAGCAGCTCTCCACAAAATCACCTGCTGATCTGGAGGGGAAATAGCCAAGGAGACAATGGGAATGCATTGCTGTGCTCCGTTCTGTTATGAATCAACTCAGGTAGGCACACTTCTGCTGATCTCTAGGTGCTCGCAAATCCACTCATCAGTGGTGACTGTCACTGGTGAGCAGAATGCGCCTCCCGAAGGCTGGCTTAGTTTTACCCCCAACGTGATTCCCAGAAATTTCAGAGGAACAGTAAAAAAACTGCCTTCTGCCAAGCCAGACCATTGTAACACCATAGCGGCAGCAATTCATGAAGGTCTTCAAACAGAAATCTTTCCCAGTCCTACCTGGGGATACCAGGAATTGAACTTGGGCCCTGATCCCTGTGGTTTGCCTTAGAGCTATGGCTTTTGCAACCAAATTACAAAACACAGATGTGAATGTATTCCATTGAAATCAATGTGACCTCCACCTGGTGCATTTCAGGAGTAGATTAAGGCTGTATTTCTAAGCATTCCTTATTGACAGTCACCCAGTTGTTGTTGTTGTTTTAAAAAAAAGATGAAATTTGCTTCCTAGTAAATTATTTTAGATGTCAATATACAGTGTTTTAAATCCAATGTTGTGCTAGAAAGCGATTAATATAAAAGCTGGCCACATTGCTTTTTAAATGTATGTAATGGAATAATAGAAGAATAATCAAATCTGTAAGAGTGATCAAATCTTCAGTGCAGAATGCTTTTATTGGCTAGATATTCAAGTTTCCATACTATTTTGCGGGTAAAGGCAGATGTGGTGTGAAAAAAGAGGTTGTATTGTGACCCTCAACTACAAGGTGAGCTTGGCTCCACAACTGAAATGGCATATATATACCAGCAAATCAGGCATTAGTCTTGGGTTTCACACAATGCTCTCCCCACTAGTCTTCTGGCAGACTTCCTGTCTTTTAGTGTGAATGCTTATCTGTCTGTCCATTAAACTTGATTTTATTTTTAAGTACACCATTATGTTTAAAGGCTTAACAGATATAGGGGTGCAAAGGGCCAGTTGTTCATATGAGGAGGGTTTGGCCAATCAGCAGAATACTCTTGAAAAGTATAAAAGGGTTTCTTCCCTGCTTCCCAGCAGAGGTTGACCCTGGAGAGGAATGTGGATTAATTTTCAGGGAAGGCATTTCCAGTGCAACCACTCCCCCCAACCTCTTATTTATCTATTTATTAAATTTATATACTGCCTGTCATCAAAAGATCTCAGGGCGGTTTGCAAGATAAAAACAAGGTAAAAGCACAAATAAATAGTCAAAACAGAAGCAACAAAGGCCTTGTTGAAGAGGGACACCCCCTCCCCAATTAAACCCCTTCCCTTTCTCCAAAGATCTCCAGTACATAAGTATCCCTCCCCTTTTATGCACACAAGAACCATATGAGGTAGTAGATTGGGCTGAGATGCACAAACTTATGGAATACGCAGAAATGGCGAAACTTACTGGAAGAATAAGAAATCAAGAAAACAAACTTTTTATAAAAGACTGGAAATGGTTTATTGAATATTTACAGATAATTTTTCAAACAGAAAAAACACTGGCAGGATTACTGTTATAACCTGCAGTTACATAAGAGTATATATTTAAAGAAGATAAAATGAGTAAGAAAAGTTAATTTGGATATGCAGAAGATATTAAAAAATAAATTTAAGGAACTGCAGAAATAGGGGGAAGGAAGGCAAGTTTTAAAATGTCAAAATGATTGTAAAATCAGTGAAATGTATATATCTGAAAAATATAAATAATGTTTTGGGTTTTTTTTGAAAAAAATAGATTAGGCTGAGAGACGGTGAGTGGCCCAAGGTCATGGCTGAGTAGGGACTCAAACCTGGATCTTTCTTGTTCTAATCCAACACTCTAACCACTATACCAGGCTGCTGCATGTGCCACCCCGCCGTGTATTAGTGTACCCGTTTCAACAGATGGCAGAATGCTTATTGTTCTCTCCAGTCCTTGGTGTCTCCCTCCAGGAAAGGACGTGAATAATTGTGCCAAGTTCCTTTTCAATGGCTTCCTCGTGAGCTTGGCTCTTGTTCCCTGTTTCCCTTTCCAAGTCCAGTACAGTTTGTTTACTATCCTTTTTTTTTTTTTTTTTTGCTATGGACTTGTCCAGACTTGTTTTTCTGAGTGCCCCTTATAGATGAGTCATAACTTTATTCTTTTGTGAGTCAGAGAGGGAAGGGAGTCTCTCAGAAGAGTGGTGTTATTTAAGCAATTAACATTTCTTCTGCTGCTGCACAGATTGCACACCATATTTTTGCTACTCTGCACGTGTTATTGATAAGAATTTTATTGTTTAGTCAAAGTATTTACTGTGCAGTGGGGCCAATTCTTCCTCCAAGCTGGTTGGCGTACCAGACTTCATACACTTCTAAATTGGGTGTAATTTGTGTTTTTTCTGGCACATACATGATTTTTTAAAAATAAAAAATAAAAATAATCTATCTGCTTGCCAGTCTTTATGTGTCATTCCCAGCATTTATTTTCAAGATTTATACTTAGCCTTTTGATCAAATCATCTCCAAGGCATCTTAAAGCAGATTATAATAATACAACACACAGCAAATTAACTTGCCTTCTGGTGATGGGGTTGTCAAGAGAAAAGTGGAAGGGACAGGATACCCTTTCTGCAACTCCCTGGGGTTCCTGATTTTCATATGCAGCTTGCAGTGAGCCCGAGATAAATGGTTTCTCTCCCTACCCCCAAGTCTGTTTTTTATTTATAAAAGTATCTACCTCCCTCCTTTGCTGGGCATCGCTCATCCAAGGTCGCTTACAATATTAACTACAGAATAAAATAACATCCGTGGGTGATACCCAGCTAAGCAGTTCTGCTAGTGCAAGCAGTTTTCACTACACAGCAGAACTTCCTTTCCCAGCACACCCCCTGAATATGTTCTGGGAGTTCGTCCAACCCTCCGGAGCAGATTTAGGGGATGCCACCCCATAAAACTACATGGGACGCGGGTGGCGCTGTGGTCTAAACCACTGAGCCTAGGGCTTGCCGATCAGAAGGTCGGTGGTTCGAATCCCCTCGGTGGGGCGAGCTCCTGTTGCTCTGTCCTAGCTCCTGCCAACCTAGCAGTTCAAAAGCACGTCAAAGTGCAAGTAGATAAATAGGTACTGCTCCAGCGGGAAGGTAAACGGCGTTTCCGTGTGCCGCTCTGGTTTTGCCAGAAGCGGCTTAGTCATGCTGGCCACATGAGCTGGAAAAACTATCTGCGGACAAACGTCAGCTCCCTCGGCCAGTAAAGTGAGATGAGTATCGCAACCCCAGAGTCGTCCGCGACTGGACTTAACTGTCAAGGGTCCTTTACCTTTAACCCCATAAAATTAAGCTCCAATGGCAGCAGCGTAAACAATGATTTTAAAACATCTTATAATATATGCCAGTTAAAAGAAATAGAAACAACATAACATGACAGCAGTATCATGTTAGAGTCTATCTTCCTTCACAGAGGTGAACATGGATGCTCATAGCATGTGTCTCTTTAATGTCTTAGTTGGCATTCACCAGCAGTTTGTGGTGCAATAATCAATACTTCTGATATTTATCTCTTATTGCCATAATTGATAGTTCACTCAGCTGCTATCACTGATGAGCAAGAGAGTTGTCTCAGCCCATGCTTTCACTCTCCATTCTTTCTCTAAATTAGCTTGGATGTTAATGTTAAAATCCCAACTTAAACTACGCATCTGGCAGAAAACCTGATGAGTTCAAGATGCCTCTCTGGAGTAAATAGGATTATGGGGGAAGGTTTGGCTTTTTCCTCTTTTTTTAAAGAAACAGTCTTTTATTTAGTGGCTGATTTATATGATATGATGACGGAAAGGGAACTTTATATAAATCAGTAGTAGCTTTAAGACACATGAGAACAAAACAACATGGAAATAAAATATGACCTTCTAATAAAAGCTGGTATTGTCAATATTGCTCTTCCCCCATGTGCTCTCTGTTCTGACCTAACTATATTCTGGTTTGGCTTTTCCTTGTTCTCAAATGATTACATTGTGTTCCATCATTTCCAGGCAATCAAGAGGCAAAAGTTAACCAAAAGGTGGCTTATGAAGATTATTGATGAAAGGGTAAGGTTTGTCCCCGTTTAAAATATTCATCCATGTGAGCTTTTCTTCTACTTGATTCTCTGCCCAGAAAGCCTGTGGGAAACAAAATACCCACCTCCATATAGGAATAAAGTTTTAATACAGGATCTTTCATTATATTATGAGCATATTTACACTTGGGTTACAGTCATTGCGTTGTATCCAGCTCTGCTTTTCCACTTGTGCAATGGAACATCCCTTCCCCACACCTCACACCCTCCAAATTTGCTCTGGAACTGTGGTTCCCAATGTGGGGCACACGCCCCCAGGGGGGCAATTTGATTTTTAAGGGGGGCCATTTGGAAGCTTGTTTAGACCAAGTTAATGGCCTTTTAGGCTTCCTCCATGTGAATAGGAGTTCACTTTTTGAATAGTAAGAATTATATGTCACAGGGGGGAGGGGGACACCAGGATTTTAGAGATGCTTTGTTTAGTCGTGTCCGGCTCTTCGTGACGCCATGGACCAGAGCACGCCAGGCACTTCTGTCTTCCACTGCCTCCCGCAGTTTGGTCAAACTCATGCTGGTAGCTTCAAGAACACTGTCCAACCATCTCATCCTCTGTCGTCCCCTTCTCCTTGTGCCCTCTATCTTTCCCAGCATCAGGTTCTTTTCCAGGGAGTCTTCTCTTCTCATGAGGTGGCCAAAGTATTGGAGCCTCAGCTTCACGATCTGTCCTTCCAATGAGCACTCAGGGCTGATTTCCTTAAGAATGGATAGGTTTGATCTTCTTGCAGTCCATGGGACACTCAAGAGTCTCCTCCAGCACCAGAATTCAAAAGCATCAATTCTCCGGCGATCAGCCTTCTTTATGGTCCAGCTCTCACTTCCATACATCACTACTGGGAAAACCATAGCTTTCACTATACGGACCTTTGTTGGCAAGGTGATGTCTCTGCTTTTTAAGATGCTTAGGTGGCCAAAAAAAGGTTGGGAACCACTGCTCTAGAGGGTTGGGAGACCCACTGGAGCAGGTTTTGGTGGTGCATTGGGACAGGAAGGAGAAGTCCTGTCGTGCAATTGGAACTCTCTTAGGCAACATTGGATACAACCCATTATTCCCTCCCCCCCCAGGGGATCCCTAAACTGCAGTGAGTGCTATGGTTAGTTTCAAATTAAGCCAGCCTCAAACCATGGCTGTGTTCATACATAACGACAAGCCAGACGCCTTGGCATATTGTGATGTTTATTGGGAATGAGCAGTATGCTGGTGCACACTGCCTGTTTGCTCCTGTTCTGCTTCTCTCCTGTAACAAACAGGATAAAACGAACCAGGAAGCCTTGATTTCCCATTTTGTCTGAAGCAGGGATTGTGCTTTGTTGCTCTCTAATCGCTATTTTTCCGTAATGAGAGTTTGCTTTGATACCAGCAAGTCATTCAACCAACTTAGCCCCATGTTAGGAAACAGGTTTTGCTTTCTGTGTTCAAACTCCTAGGAAAAGAATATGGATGATAGAGCCTATCGGGATATCAGTGAGCTTGAAGCATATGCTGAAAACACCCAAAGCGCTATCCTTTATCTGACGTTGGAAATGCTTGGTAAGCGCCTCTTTAGTTATCATGTCTGTCTGCCTTTTATCAATGGGTGCAGAATCCTGGGGACTGTAGCTTACAAGTCCCAGCACCCTAACAAACTACAGTTCCCAGCATTCTCTGGGGCAAGCCATGTGCTTTAGATATATGGTGTGGATATAAGGCTTGTGAGGCATTTCAGCATTGTTTGAAAAAATGGCTTATATATAGATTTGGGGTTGACGCTTGCAATTTCACACAGCACTATAATCACAACAGTTGCAATTAGCACGAGAGAAATATGGTACAGCGAATTCAGCCTCTGCTTTTGGAGCCACCTCGCTCATAATTTTTCAGTTGTCTCGTAGGCACTCATATTTCTCATTGCTTACACAGAGAACCTAATTCCTGCTGTTTTGCATAGAATAAATGCAGCAAAGGAAGGGGTTGAGCTCTTGGTTTCTGAGTCTACCATTGTCCTAGGCATTGCCCAGTACAGTGGTAAATCAAGCATTGGGATAAAACGTTTTGTCTTTACTGTCAGGTCTTAAGGGCAGTCTTTGGAGACTAGACTTAGTATTTACTATCAATACAAAATGAGATTCTTTGTGTTGAAAATATTCTAATAATAATGCTGAAATGAGACTTGCCCATCCGGCTCAGTATTGTCTATTCCAGGGTTTCCCAAATTTGAGTCTCCAGCTGTTGTTGAACTACAACTCCCATCATCCCTAGCCAGCTGGACCAGTGGTCAAGGATGATGGGAGGTGCTCCAACAACAGCTGGAGACCCAAGTTTCTATTCTGATGGGCAGCAGCTGTCCAGGGCCTTGGACAAAGGCCTCTCCCATCATCTGCCATCTGATCTTTTTAGTCTGAGCTACCAGAAATTAATCCTGGGACCACCTGCATACAAAGCATGCGATCTGTCCCCAAGCCATGCTACTTTGCCAGCAGTGGGATTGCATGCCACCTTGGTAAACACAATTTTCCAAACCTGTGTTTGCTTAGATCTTGCAAACACGGGACAGGGTGCATCCTTTGTATAGCAGAATTGCTGGGTGAGGGAACAGCTGAACATTGCTCCCTGCTGAACTTCCTTACAAGTGATCCTCACTTCCCTCTAAGCAAACGTAGAGTAGGGAAACTTTGTGTTTGCCCTATAACGTGCAGTTCTGTCCTCGGACAGCTACTGTTTTAACGTTGCTTGTGGCTTGAGTTGTGCTTTGCAGCTAATCATATGTACTTGGAAGTACCATATTTTTCGCCCTATAGGACGCACCGTCCCATAAGGCACACCTAGTTTTTTGGGGGGAAAATAAAGGGGAAAAAATTATTTCCCCCCAGGCGCGGGGCTGGGGCGGGGGAAGCCCAAGCTTCCCCCGACCCCAGCCCCCAAACAGGCAGCTCTCTGCAAGCCATGGGAGCCCAGCGCTGGCTTCCGCTGCTTGCGGAGAGGTGCACGAAGCCTGGAGAGCGAGAGGGGTCGGTGCGCCCCGACCCCTCTCGCTCTCCAGGCTTCAGCGAAAGCCTGCATTCGCCCCATAGGACGCACACACATTTCCCTTTCATTTTTGGAGGGGAAAAAGTGCGTCCTATAGGGCGAAAAATACGGTAAGTCCCAACTGGGTGAGGTGGAACATAGAATCACAGAATGGTAGAGTTTTAAGGGATCCCGGGGGTCATCTGGTCCAACCGCCTGCAATGCAGCAATCTCAACCTGTGGTCTCCCATCCTGGTTGAAACCATATTGGACCCTGCTTAGCTTTGCAGATGGGCTGAACGTGCATGCCTTCCAGTAACTCTGCTCAGGATTTCATTCACGGGGTGGTTTTTATCTTCTGTTTCTGCAAGGACAGGTGTGAAGGACCTGCATGCAGACCACGCTGCCAGTCACATCGGCAAAGCGCAAGGCATTGTAACCTGCTTAAGAGCCACTCCCTTCCATGCTAGCAGGGGGAAGGTGTTTCTGCCCATGGACATATGTATGCTGGTAAGGTGATACAGCTGGGATCCAAACTCATAGCAGTAATCACAACTGCATTTTTTTCCTCCAGACTCTTAACAGCAGGGCTTGTTGAATTTTTCAACTTTCACATTCCAGCAATGAGAGGTGCTAAAAAGTTTGTAACATCACTTGGAAATCCAAAATATATTTTGGTTGCATTAATATAATTTAGTTTTGCTTGGTAAATAAAATGCACATAAAATTGCATTAAAATCATTAAAAATGATTGCCAAGTACTTGCAGTTACCGTATTTTTCGCTCCATAGGACGCACTTTTTCCCCTCCAAAAATGAAGGGGAAATGTGTGTGCGTCCTATGGAGCAAATGCAGGCTTTCGCTGAAGCCTGGAGAGCGAGAGGCATCGGTGCGCACCGACCCCTCTCGCTCTCCAGGCTTCAGGAAGCTATCCGCAAGCCTTGCAAGCCCGGTGGGAGTTCCCGCGGGCTCACAAGGCTTGCAGGCAGCAGCCTGCAGCCCCAGCAAGTGTCCGCAAGCCTTGCACGCCCGGCAGGAGGTCCCACCGAGCGCGCGAGGCTTGGGGCAGCAGCCTGTCGCCCGAAGCACGGGAGCCCTCCGGAGGGCTCCCTTGCTTCGGGGAGTGTCTGCAAGCCTTGCGCGCCCGGCAGGAGGTCCCGCCAAGCGCGCGAGGCTTCGGGCGGCAGCCTGTCGCCCGAAGCACGGGGAGCCCTCCGGAGGGCTCCCCATGCTTCGGGGGAGTGTCTGCAAGCCTTGCGCGCCCGGTGGGAGGTCCCGCCGAGCGTGCGAGGCTTGGGGCGGTAGCCTGCAGCCCGAAGCAAGCGAGGCTTGGGGCGGCAGCCGCGGCGGGGGGGGGGAATAAATTTTTTTATTCATTTCCCCCCCAAAAAAACGAGGTGCGTCCTATGGGCCGGTGCGCCCTATAGAACGAAAAATACGGTATAATAATAATAATAATAAATTTTATTTATACCCCACCCTCCCCGGTCAAGACCGGGCTCAGGGAGGCTAACATCAGGTATAAAAACAATTGATTAAAAACAGGATTAAAATAATAATAATAATAATAATAATAATAATAATAATAATAATTAATAAATTTTATTTATACCCCACCCTCCCCAGCCGAAGCTGGGCTCAGGGCGGCTAACAACAATCAAAATAATCCAACATTCTAAAAACCTTTCATTATAAAAATTAATTAAAATCAAATTGATGGCAACCATTAAGCAAAATTCTGTGCAGATTGCCAGAGGAGGGGGTCAGGCTGCGCCCTGACCAAAGGCCTGGTGGAACAGCTCTGTCTTACAGGCCCTGCGGAAAGATGTCAGGTCCCGCAGGGCCCTAGTCTCTTGTGACAGAGCGTTCCACCAGATTGGAGCCGCAGCCGAGAAAGCCCTGGCTCTAGTTGAGGCCAGCCTAACCTCTCTGTGGCCTGGGATCTTCAGGATGTTTTTATTTGCAGACCATAAGTTCTTCTGTGGGACATACCAGGAGAGGCGGTCCCGTAGGTACGAGGGTCCTAGGCCGTATAGGGCTTTAAAGGTTAAAACCAGCACCTTAAACCTGATCCTGTACTCCACCGGGAGCCAGTGCAGCTGGTATAGTACCGGATGAATGTGATCTCGCAGCGAAGACCCCATAAGGAGTCTCGCCGCGGCATTCTGCACCCGCTGGAGTTTCTGGGTCAGTCTCAAGGGCAGCCCCACATAGAGCGAGTTACAATAATCCAGTCTGGAGGTGACTGTCGCGTGGATCACAGTGGCTAGGTCAGGGCGAGAGAGATAAGGAGCCAACTGCTTAGCTTGGCGGAGATGAAAAGTGCCGCCTTTGTTATAGCTGTAATCTGCGCCTCCGTAGAGAGGGAGGTATTGAAGATTACACCCAAACTCTTAACGGACGATGCTGGCACTAATTGCACCCCCGCCAGAGATGGGAGTTGCCCCCTCAATCCCATATCGCCCCGTCCAACTTAAAATACAACTTAAAATGCAGCCTTATTTCAGTGGAAGTATAGATTAATATTATTTTTTGTTTCTATATTATACATATTTTATATTACCTGACACTTTCAGAAGATAAAATTAAAATTCTTTGGCTTTCCGAGAGCAGTTTATTTGCTTATTAATCAAACATAGACTTAGCACACTAAAAGTTGTCCAGTCACAAAGATAATAGAAGATTTGAATTCCCTACACCCAAAAGCATATTTTTAAGACCCCTCACTGAAGAAATTTGCAAAAATTAAGTTTCACCCTTAAGATGACATGTGCTACTGTAACAGCATCTGTATTTGATCAGGGCATTGATGTAAAATTTGATGGCTTATTAGCATGCATTTCCATTATCATACATTCCAGTATTGCTCCTTTCTTGAAAGGGCTTCACTCAGTCACGTGGCTCATTCTGATAATGAGCAGGAAATAACTGAAAGGCTTTTTACCTAATCTTTGGAACAAAGTGCTTCTTGATGTTACGTTGCTGATTCCTGTGGAGTGCAATGTTTACCTGTTGAGGGGGAAGAAAATCTGTGTGGAATAGGTAGTACTCCCTCCAGAAATAGGAAGCTGCTTTATACTGAGTCAGGCCAATGGTCCATCTAGTTTGATATTGCCTATACTGACTGGCAGCGACTCTCCAGAGTTATGGACAGGGGTCTCCCCAAGCCCTACCTAGGCCAGAGGCTGAAAATGGATCCTTCCACATGGGAATCAAATACTCTACTCCTAAGCTATAACCTGTTCCCATAATTGAACCTCTCTACCAACATAGGGACGCGGGTGGCGCTGTGGGTAAAACCTCAGTGCCTAGGAATTGCCGATCGTATGGTCGGCGGTTCGAATCCCCGCGGTGGGGTGAGCTCCCATCTTTCAGTCCCAGCTCCTGCCCACCTAGCAGTTCAAAAGCACCCCTAAGTGCAAGTAGATAAATAGGTACCGCTTTATAGCGGGAAGGTAAACGGTGTTTCCGTGCGCTGCGCTGGTGCTGGCTCGCCAGAGCAGCTTCGTCACGCTGGCCACGTGACCCGGAAGTGTCTTCGGACAGCGCTGGCTCCCGGCCTCTTAAACGAGATGAGCGCGTAACTCTAGAGTCGGACACGACTGGCCCGTACGGGCAGGGGTTCTTTTACCTTTACTTTACCAACATACCTGCGACATGGGTGGCACTGTGGGTTAAACCAGAGAGCCTAGGACTTGCCAATCAGAAGGTCGGCAGTTTGAATCCCCGCGATGGGGTGAGCTCCCGTTGCTTGATCCCTGCTCCTGCCAACATAGCAGTTTGAAAGCACGTCAGAGTGCAAGTAGATAAATAGGTACCGCTCTGGCGGGAAGGTAAACGGCGTTTCTGTGCGCTGCTCTGGTTCGCCAGAAGCAGCTTAGACATGCTGGCCACATGACCCAGAAGCTGTACGCCAGCTCCCTCGGCCAATAAAGCGAGATGAGCACCGCAACCCCAGAGTCAGCCATGACTGGACCTAATGGTCAGGGGTCCCTTTACCTTTACCTTTACCAACGTACCTACTCTTGAGGAGCTTACAACCTAAAATTTGAGACAGGAAAACTACAGAGGAAGGGAAAGCAGGAGGAAACAGGGTGGCAAGATGTGACGGTTTCACTTAAACATGTGGTTTGGCTTTGTCACAGCCTAGTAAAATGGTATGTACTGTGGCACCATTCACAAAAACTACCTTGGAGATATTGACATTTTCAAAAGTGGGGAGTCTGTGGCTTGGCCTTTGGAAAACAGGGAGTCCACAGCAATGGGGAACCACTGACTTAGTACAATAAAGAGCCCACAGTTGCCTGCAGTTTCCACCCCCTAGTTTGCTAAAAGGCCATGGAGGAAGGGGAGCTGCTGTCTCTGCAGTCCAGCCAGGAATGTGGCCTCTTAGTAGGCTAGTTTTCAAAGCTACTTGTACCCAAAGGGCTGGTGGAAGAGAGATGGATCACGCACCCTACCATGCCAGTTTCCATGCTGGCTATGCAGGAGGGATAGAATGGTCTGTCCCTTCTCTGTCAAACCACTCACTTGCCTGAATGGAATTCCTTAGTTTCCTGCAGCAGCCAGGTGCGCTTTGTTAAATACACAACTGGCCTCCGTCACAGTGTGACCTTGGGTAACAGGAAGCCTCTGTTGTAACTTACACTCGAGGGTGGGGAAGTTTGGCTTGTTTGTTTTTTTTTTTATAAGATATTTATTGAGATTTTCAAAATGTTACAAAATAAAAATAAAGAAAGAAGAAAATACAAAATAAAAATGGTTAACAAAGTAAACAAAGAGAGAAACAAACCACTTCCAACAATACGAATACAAATTCAAAATAAGAAAAAAAAACCCCGAAAAAAACAAAAATACACGACAAACATTTAAAAACATTTAAAAACAAATTCATTTTTCTCAGATCCTCAACTGTCATTACCTTCTTTCTTTGACCTCCTCCTCCTCCCTTTCTTTGTATCCTAGTTATTAATTATCCCAGCAAATCCTTTCCATATTTCATAATATTCTGTCGTTACATTACCTTAAACTGTTTTAATCTTATCTTTTTATAAAAAAACCTTGAAACTTAAAGCTTAAGTCTTATCCTTACCAACTTCATAACCATAATATTCTTTCATAATTCTTTAAGCATCTTTACTAAAGCCGAGTAGTTTCATTCCAACATTTTTTTAACATTCATCAATTTTATAAAACAGTCCTAATAGTAAAAAAAAAGAAAGAAAAGAAATACAAACAGATCCAATCTTCATCCAGCGTCCCTTCCTCCTGGTCCCGGGTTTTGTCAGTCCTTATTATCCCATCGATCTAGCGCATTAACCTGGCAACCTTATATCCGAGGCCCTCAAGTCTCTTCCATGTCCCTTCCGCAGCTCTTCTTCATATTTGTAACTGTATTTTCCCTTGTCTCCTGCTCGTGGTAACTCCAGCTTGGCAATATTTTTGACCCTTCTCGACAGATCAGCCCCTTTTCCATATTCAACACTAAATTCCATGTGATGTTTAAAAACATGTTTCAAAAACCCTCCAAAATTAAGAGCCCCCACAATCCCAAACATCTCATGGCCCATTGCCAGATTTGAAAAGTCCAAACATCCCAGCATAGGGGGGTCAATCCAGCCCCCCATTTCCAAGCCAAACCAAACTTTTTCTTTCCAAATCTGGCTTTTTCCAAGTTCATTTGTCAAATCCGAAAACTCATATCCCTGTTGGGCCTGTTCTGTCAGGACACACTCCTGATTTAATTCCTGGATGGGCTCCACATATTTTCCCACTGTCTGTTCAAAATTTCCCACTGCCTGTTCAAGATTTCTAGTCGAAGTCGCCATCAAATTCATCTTCTCATGTAACTGTTCCAGTAGGGCATTTGTTTTATATAAAGCATACAACAGAGCTTCTGAATACATTGTCCTGCAAGGTCAAATGTCTATTCCCACGATTGTAATCTGTAACAGCTGCCGGCTCCCTGGAATTAGTTACAGTTTCACAGTCTCCCTCTAGGGGGAAAACTTCTATTTGTTCTTGCAACAAAGTTTTCCTTTTTGAGATATTTTGTCAATATTTGTTCCTTTAAAATGCGAAAGGAAACAGTGGAATCACTATGTTTCTCTTCTTTAGCTATCTGTCAAAAACGTTTGTCTCTGGTCAATGAGCTTCAAACGTCAGTCCTGACACCCCGCTCCAGGATCAGGACGGTGGAAAGTTACTTTACTTTAAACTCACTTTAAACAGTCCAAAAAAGATCCCCCTTCTTCTCCTGCTGTCGAAGGGGGGTTCCACAATTTTAAATGATGAAATCCAATCCTTTAAAGGCGATTTTCTAGGCTCTAGTTTACGTTGTCTTTGCTTTATTCTGTCTACAAAAGAACGGAAGGCTGACTTCCTGTTTAGACCTTCCCGTTCAGTACCAAATTGAAAATAAATTTTTAAATCCAATTCCTTTCTGCTCGCAAGTCCTTATTTAAGGTCCAGTTGTTCAAAGTTTAAGTACTCACGGGTGCTTATTTTAGAGTCCAATTTGTCCCAGGAAAAAGGCAGCGCTCTCCGGCAACGGCTATGCGGCTTCGCTCCATGGAAATAGCAGTTGACTCACAGCACCGCGCCAATTTCCCCTCTTCACTTCGGAGCCCGTTAATGGGTTCCTTTGCGAGTTGGGGGGGCGCTAATGGTGCCCGCCGAGTCCCATGGTCACAGGCTTCATCCGCCTGTGATTTTTAAAAGGGTCCCCGCTTCGCCGTAGTGGAGAAGACCCGTTTCACGCGGAGCTAGTCCCTCCAGTTCAGAGGGAGTCCGCCATTGCTGATGGCGCCACCCCGGAAGTCTTGTGCATCGGGAAGTTTGGCTTGTTTCTTGGAGTGACTGGCACACGTTTATTATTAATAATAATTCAATTTATATCCCACCCTTCTTCCCAAACAGCCCAAACACACCACTGAAACAGTACCATTAAAAACGTTCCAAGAACAGTTTTAAAACAATCACATTCTCTCAGCCAGCGGCTGTCGGGAACCGTGCCTTTCAGCCATCAGATACCTGAGTAAATGAATATGTTTTTAAATTCCCCCTGAAAGTCAATAATGGGTAAGACAGATGGGCCCCACCAGGGTAAGGCAATGCCGCAAGTGAGGAACCACTGCAGTGGTACCTTGGGTTACAGATGCTTAAGGTTACAGATGCTTCAGGTTACAGACTCTGCTAACCCAGAAATAGTACCTCGGGTTAAGAACTTTGCTTCAGGATGAGAACAGAAATCGCACAGCAGCGGTGCAGTGGCAGCAGGAGGCCCCCATTAGCTAAAGTGGTACCTTGGGTTAAGAACAGTTTCAGGTTAAGAACGGACCTCCAGAATGAATTAAGTTCTTAACCTGAGGTACCACTGTACTGAGGAATTCCTGTCATGGGACAACACCAGCAGGGCAACCCCAGAAGGCCTCACCTGTTGATCCAAGATGGTTAATACTGGGGAAGGCACTCTCTTAGATACCCTGTTCCCAAGCTGTTTAGGGCGTTATATGTTAGTGCTAATGCTTTGAATTGGGCCCACTAGGCCAGGGATGTCCAACCAGTCAACCACAATTGACTGGTTGATCCCCGGGAGGTTTGAGTCGATTGTGGTCGATCACGGGCTCTTTTTCCTTTGCGGGGGGAAAAGAGGATCCGGCCCTGCCCTCTCACCCCGTCTTTGATTCACACATGATCCCTAGAACGGAAGACAGAGTTTTTGCTGGGAGGCTGTTTGTTTCTTGATCGATATTTTGGTGAGCGACTTTTCCCTTCCCCCCCTAAAAAAAGGTCAACAACTTTGACCTGAACCCCCCCAAAAAGGGGCAGATCACTGTCAGGTTTTTTTCTTTTCTTTTTTTAAATGATATTTATTAAGAATTTTAGAATTACAGAAAAAACAAAAAAGAAAAGGAAAAAGAAAAAACAGAAAAAAACAAACCAGTCAAACAATACAAACTGATAAAAATCAAAATCAAAAAATAAGAACAAAGCACGTAACACAAGACAATCAAAAAGCAAAAATAAGCCACAAACATTTAAAAACAAATCCAATATTCTCAAATCCTTAACTGTCATTACCTTCTTTCTTTGACCTCCTCACTCCTCCCTTTTTTTGTATCCGAGTTGTTAATTGTCACAGCAAATCCTTTCCATTTTTCATAATATTCTGTCATTACATTGCCTTAATCTATTTTAACCTTATCTTACTATAAAAGACCCTAAAACTTGAAACTTAGATCTTATTTATACCAATTTCTCATAACCATAACATATTCTTACACACTGTCAGGTTTTTTTCTGTAAGTAGATCGCAGTCTCTTGGGACCTGGACGTCCCTGCACTAGGCCACACAGCCATCAGGCTGCCCCACTTCCTCTGTCAAATGCCCCCTCTCTTTAAAAAATGGTACCTTCTTGAAGAAACCAGAGGCCTTTCTTCTGGGCATTGTCGGCCAATTGGTGCCAAAGAAGGACAGAACTTTTTTTATGTATGCTACAACAGCAGCAAGAATACTTATTGCAAAGTATTGGAAGACACAAGATTTACCCACTTTGGAAGAATGGCAGATGAAGGTGATGGACTATATGGAATTGGCAGAAATGACTGGCAGAATCCGAGACCAGGGAGAAGAGTCGGTGGAAGAAGATTGGAAGAAATTTAAAAATTATTTACAGAAATATTGTAAAATTAATGAATGATAGAATGATGTTGGATAGTAATTAAGCGGTTTCTAGCTGTAATGCTTTAAGAGAATATGAAAAAAGGGTTATAAATGGGTTAAAATCTAATGGTAAGGATTTGCTGAACCAATAAATTGAAGTGGAATACAAAAAAGGGAGGTATGAGGAGGTCCGGGAAACAAGCTAAAGGAAAATAAGTAACTGAAAATATGTGTGTTTTTAACTGTTTTTATTTTGTATTTTTCTTTTTTCTTTTTCATTTTTACTGTAATGTTTCAAAAAACCTTAATAAATATCTTATAAAAAATGGTGGCTGACTAGTGCCTTGAAGCATTAATTTTTCCTTTGCTGTTTTTGCCTGACCAGAAGCAGGTAGAATGATATTTCTGTACAGGGTATGTAAAGCCTGAGGATGTTTCATGAGGGAGGAAGAGTATGGGAACATGTGCTGACATGATACGATTTAAAGTGCCAAATTAAAAATGATAATTGTGCTGCAATTGTGTAGGCAGGCCATTCCTAATTTATTTACCAGAAATGTTTTTAGCTTGTGATGTTTTCTCCTCCTCACCCCCTTCCTGGTGTATTAGCATGGTGTTTCGCAAGAGGATTTCATCAGGCGTAATCAGGAGAAGAAAATGAGGGATGTAATATATGACATTGCCAGTCAAGCACACGTACATCTGGAGCACGTGAGTTTCTGCCCTTTTTCCTGATATCTCTGTAAGAATATTATTGTAAACAATGACTGTGCAAAACAATTACTCCCTTTAGACTTTCGTAGCATCCAGCATTTTGATGGTCGACGGTATAGCCTTTGGTTGTTGGTGGCTCCCACCCTGTTTGCCTAGGATGGGACTGAAAAATGAGCTTTGAATGTGATCAGAAGTCTTATATGAATATTTTATGATATTCTATATTTTATGATAGGAAGTATTTTCATAAATAAATGTTCATGCTTTAAAAAAAAATCCACACACATATAAAAACGCTGTGAAAAACTGCTTTTCTCAGTGAATTTGGCGTAGCTCACTGTCGCCATCTAGGGTCACATTTGTATATTGCACTTTACGGCGCATTTAAAACGTTTTATTTGCATCCGTATAGCTGAGTCCCAGTGTTTAAGTGAGCCACTTCCATCTGAAGAAAAAGCAGCCTTTGAGCCCCAGTTCAGAGTATTCAAGTAACCTGGGGAAAATAGTCCCCTCTCTGACTGCTATTTGTTCCCAGAGGTGCTGTTTTGCTGGAAACAACCCCTTTAGGGGCAAATAGCAGTTGGGTTGGGGGGGGGGTGTCAAGAGATTTTTGATGCATGGCTTTGTTCCAGATCAGGGCCCCTGTGGATGCTTTCCCTTCAAAATTATAAATGCCCAGTATGTTTTTAAAAGCACAGACGACACGGCCTGTAACTTGGCCCCTGCAAAAGTGACATCTGCTCAGATACTTTTCCTAGGGATGCCTCCGAAAACCTGCTTCTGCTAGCAGCTGGTGCTGTCTTGCAGTTCAGCCCAGGTGGTATCCCTGATTAGTGCTGTCACTTTCAGGTTTTGCGAAGCCAATGGAAAGAGGCATGGGCTTTCTCGTGCCCCTCTTGGTGCCTGCGCTGTCATTCACACCTGATATAACGAGTGGCAAACTGAGCGAGACAAAACACAGCAAAAGGGAAGGAGCTGTAACTGGCGTGGGCAGCATAGCCCAAACCACAAGGCCCATTTCTTTTTGTTCTGCAGTCTCTGCTTGTCCTGTTTGACAGTAATGCGATGCGCTGTGGACAGGGCCTTTTGTTGAAGAATCAGCTGGCACTTTTGTTGGATGCCCCCATCTCCACTTGCAAGCTGCTCTGCTGCCGATTCCGTGCTTGGACGAAGGCTCCTTTCTCAGCAAACCATTAAATAAATTGGCATCCTCTCTCGTCCCAGCCCTGTTCCCCACCCACCAACACAGACAAAGGCAATAGCTAGGTATAATCCATAATACATAAAGGATATGTATTGATTCTATTGAGAATGGATGGGGAAAAAAATGATTTACAGTGAGTGAGCTTTGAAGGGTCAGCTCATGTTTCTGGTAACACAGGCAAGATTGGACTGTATTTTCAGGCAATGTACTGAGCTGTAACCAGAATGAAATTATTGACTGTTGTAAATGCAAATTAAACTAAATTGATGGGTGCCATCAAAGCTCGATGAAAGTTGCTGTTCTAGTGAATCTTCATTTATGGCCAGCAGAGGGCAAAATAAACCTTCTGTCTAAGATGATTCAGATTTTCTTTCAGTTTGATGTCCTCAGAATTGCAGACTTAACCCTGGGAAATGTTGTAACTCCTGCTAGCATCCTGATTTAGTTCTGTGTGTCTCTTGATTGATTAACATCCATCTATGTTTGCAAAGTGAAATAATGTGCTCTCTGCCAGACCTTCAAATTCAGTTAACTACCGTACTTTTCTGTGTATAACATGCCCCCGTGTATAAAACACCCCCTATTTCTGGGGACTCAAAATTAAGAAAATTATTGTTGCGCTTTTTTGGGGAGGATTGCCCACAGTTGTTGAGCTTTTCTCAGGGGGAAATGCCAAAAATTGCTCAGCCGCCAGACCGACAGTGCTGCTCGCACACATCGACAAAGCAACCTATCCTCTGTCCCAACGCTGAAAAAAGCAGCAAAAGGCCCACTCATTTGACACAGCAACAGCCAATCAACATCTGCCCTTGCAGCAGCCACCAATAACAATCTCCAACTCACAGCAGCAGCCAATCCCACGGCCCCACAATGCACTTGTATAAGACAACCCCTAATTTTGAACATGATTTTTGATTAAAAAAACATAGTCTTATACATGGAAAAGTATGGTATTAATTTCATTTGATCTCTTTACACTAGTTTTTCCTCCAAAAAAAAGAAGGGGGGGGGGGAGGCCAAAGCAGTTAACAATACTTTACCCCAAACAAATATAACAATATTGGAAATGGCAAATTGACTAGGGATGCTTGAGCAGTTTGGTTTCTGTGAATTCCTTGGGGCTCGGACGTAGTCTTTTTGATAGTGCTTTATCACGGACAGTAATGACTGACCATCTTTTAGCTTTGACATGCTAAATATTCCTGTTGTTGGAGAACTTGGCCTACAAAGGGATTCTTAGAAACCAAGCAAGTCATTGTTATTTGATATTAAGATTTTGTTTAAGGGATTGGTGGAAACACATATACCGTATTTTTCGCTCTATAAGATGCACCAGACCACAAGACGCACCTAGTTTTTGGAGGACGAAAACAAGAAAAAAAAATATTCTGAATCCCAGAAGCCAGAACAGCAAAAGGGGTGCTGTGCAGCGAAAGCAGCAATCCCTCTTACTGTTCTGGCTTCTGGGATAGCTGCGCAGCCTGCATTCATTCTATAAGACGCACACACATTTCCCCTTACTTTTTAGGAGGGAAAAAGTGAGTCTTATAGAGCAAAATATACGGTATATTTAACTGCATTTGCAATCCAAATGACGCTGAAATATTTACTTCAGCCATGCAAATAATCTGTGGAGTCCATTGCTCTGCCAGTTGCTTCCCACTCTTTCTTGTTGTTTGTTGCATATCTTGTTGCCTGTTGCATATCCTTCCTGCCCACACACCACAACCTAGTCATTCATGCTTCTTCAGCTGCCTGGACAGCTGAAATAGTCTTCTTCTGTGTTCCAGCACAGAAATAGCAATGCAGTGCTGTGAAGCCTCTGTATGCTGTCCCGTCCAGCATCCATTGGCGCATGGGAGAGAGCATGCAGTCTTATGGCTATGCTCTTTTGCCCTGACATTTGGCTGCTTCTGTCAGTCTTGCAAGATGGGCATTTAAGGAGAAAATACCATGCTCTTTTCAGCTTGGCCTAGTGGGTGTGTTGGAGTTTGGTTACTTACCTGAGCCACTGAGTCAGGGGCAAATGGCACCTCTGTCTTACTGCATTACTTAATGTGCTCGTCTTACACCTGGGTTGCAGCTGATGTGTGAAACATATTCTTGTTTTGGTTGTAAACCTTCAAGGCAACTCCAAATCAAGCAAAAGTGTTTGTTGGTTGGTCCTCAGTTAGAGCTTGAGAGTAGTGCAATTCTTGGTCATGTTTTTTTTGTGATGACCAATGCATTAATACAATATAAAACTTCCTTTTACATCCAGCAACACAGTTAAGACTGTGAATCAACAACTTTGATCATGCATGGATCAGACATTGGTCTACAGTGGTGCCCCGCAAGACGAATGCCTCGCAAGACGGAAAACCCGCTAGACGAAAGGGTTTTCCGTTTTTGAGTTGCTTCGCAGGACGAATTTCCCTATGGGCTTGCTTCGCAAGACGAAAATGTCTTGCGAGTCTTGAGATTTTATTTCGCTTCCCCCCCCCTTTTTCTAAGCCGCTAAGCCGCTAATAGCCTTTTAGCAGCTAAGCCGCTAATAGCCTTTTAGCAGCTAAGCCGCTAAGCCGCTAAGCCTTTAATAGCCGCTAAACTGCTAATAGCGCTAATCCGCAAAGCCGCTAATAGGGTTGCTTCGCAAGACGAAAAAACCGCTAGACGAAGACACTCGCGGAACGTATTAATTTCGTCTTGCGAGGCACCACTGTATTTCATTGTTCAAAGCTTGGATTGTCACCACAGCACTAATAGAAATAAACTGATGTTGTTGTTGTTAGATGAGCTGGATGTAGCTCAGAGCATCTGCTTTGCATACAGAAGGTCCCAGGTTCAGTTCCTGGTATTCCCATCTACTGCTGGGAAGGACTCCTGCCTGAAATTAAAAAAAAATATTATTTATATGCTGCCCATCTGACTGGGTTGCCTCAGCCATTCTGGGCAGCTTTCCACAAAAATTAAAAATACATTAAAAACTTCCCTTTACAGGGCTGCCTTCTGATGTCTTCTAAAAGTCGTATTGTTGTTTATCTGACATATGATGGGAGTGTGTTCCACAGGGCGGGCGCCACTACTGAGAAGGCCCTCTGCCTGGTTCCCTGTAACCTCACCTCTAGCAGTGAGGAAGCCGTCAGAAGGCCCTCGGAGCTGGACCTCAGTGTCTGGGCTGAAAGCCTGGAGAACTGCTGTCAGTCAGTGTAAACAATACTGAGCCCGATGTTCTAATGGTGTGCAATGACTTCCTGTGTTTCTATAGTGATGGCATAGTCCAGAGAAGAGGGAAAATCTACAGGATCATGTTTCTGGCAGTCAAAAGGTTACAGAGAGTGTAAAGAAGCACAGTTAGATTTTGCAGGGACTGTGGCATGGTTTCCCAGATCTGCTGTTACATTTTGATGTACATGATAAACATTATGCATGGCATGACAGTGCCGAGTTCATGAAAAATTTTGCTGTATGCACAGTATTTTAAATTGCCTCTTGAAATCAACGTGCTTTTTCTGTCTGTATGCAGGCTAGGTCCTTCAGGAAGAATGTTCCTGTTAAAGCATTTCCTGCCTTTCTCTATACCGTAAGTGGGGCTACTGCTTTTTTACCCCCTTGAAAATAACTTGGATAAGCAATATGGATCTCTCCCTGAATACTTCAAGAAAGATTGGGGTGCTGCTTGTAATCTGGGTGGCTCTGCTCCCTCCCAAGTGTGCCCCAGGGCCTTCTTTGAAATTCAGAGCTCCTGTTTCTTAGATGCACATAGGAGTTTGATGTGTTCTGCAGTGCTGCTTCTGATAGCGTCATTCTCTCCATAGCCAGTGTTCGGGCTGTGGGTGCTGTTGGTTTTGTAACAAGAATGGCACCACTTTTGCACAAGAGGGAGGAAACCACAGGCTTTGAGTATCCCAGGGTTTGCAAAAGTACAAAATCTCTTGGGGGTGTGGGGAAGCTAAAGAGGGTGGAACGGAGACAAAAAAAAATCCCAATGAAGACTGAGCATACTCAGTGGATGCCCAGCACAACATGGGGGGGTAGGACAGAAAACCAGGAGGGGGTGGGGTGGAAGAAAAGTATTGAATATCTTGATCAGGCACACTCTACATTGCCAAAATTTTGTTGCAGGCTTGGCTTTTGACATCTTAACTTTCACCAGTGTGGTATTTTTATTTGGTACTGATCACTATAAATGGATGTTTCATCCGTTGCGGCTGTTAATCTCTTGTCCTTTCACTTTAGTAATAGTAATAATAATAATATCCCTTTCTTTTCCAGGCTGCTCTTGAGGATTATTTGAATAAAATACAGAAAGTTGACTTTGATATATTTCATCCAAGTTTGCACAGGAAGAGCACTTTACTACCTTTGCATTTGTATATTAGATCCTGGAAAAAAACATATTAAAGTGTATTCGACATGAGATCCGAGTCTTTCTGGTTATTTTTGGCTGAGTTTTAGCCTCACTCACCTTGCAGGTTGCTCTAAGTGACATACATAATGGTTTTTCACCCTCTTCTCCTTCCCTGCCCACTGTTAACGCTCACAACAACCATGTTAGGAGAGTTAGACTGATCTAGTATCACAGAGTAAACTTATCGGCTAAACCAGGATTTGAACCCAGGTCTCCCCATTGATGTCCACCACTCTTCACTACACCACACTGGCTGGGCTTCTAGGTTAGACTGATCACTGGCAGGGGAGCCAATTCCTAGGGCTCTTTTTCCTGGCATATGTGCTGCTTATGTTGAACACCCTGGCTAGCTATTTGTTTATTTAAACCGTGTCTTGCCTTTCCTTTTGTGGCTAGCAACAGATAAAAACAAAATCACAAAAAAGACTAAAAACAAGATTTTTTAAAAGAGACAACTTCTGGAGAAGCTGCCAAAACGTTGGGATGTATCACTTATGTGCATTGGACCTGTCCAGAGGTAGCTGCTTTCACAGACAGGGCATTTGGAAGTAATGCAAAACGTTCCAATCAGACAGTGGATAAAAGTCCCCCAAATGGGATTGCTAAATTTATTTAACAGTGAAAACAAATATCTTAAAAGTAAACCCTTAATTGAGCAGTTGCTGATGGCTGTGCAACCATCTGTCAGAAGGTTGTTAAAGAGGAGGACAAGAGGGGAGCCTTCTCAAACATTTAACTTGAACGATATGTCGGTCACAATCTTCAATCAACTCTTAACAGCCACATTATGCCTTTTAACTGTTTTCCTCAGTGTAAACAATGCAAGAGTTCATGAGCACTGACAGTCATATGACTCCTCTTTAAAGACGTTACTCTTGACATCTATGGGGTTTGTAAATATATAATCTCTTATTTTTCTCTTCCCAGGTTGTGTCTGCTGGGTATGGCTTACATGTAATGTAGAAACCAGAGCTAAATGAGTGCTTGGATATTCATATATGACTAACCTAATACAATCCTCCTAATGGTGAAACAATGTTTTGCATCATTCTTTACAATGTAACAGTACAGAAGTAAGGAAAGTACTTTTGGATGTAAATGTATTTGTTGGCGTAAGGGTGGAAGAATGAAGCACTGCAACATTGCATTTTCTAACTGTGTTGTCCTTTGCATAGGCAGTGTGAGTCACAATGCTGAAGTTCTAGTCCTGCAATTTGATTCACTAGTCTTAATTAGAAGTTGGGGTGATATTTTTTAGAAACCAAAATAATCTCAATAAAACACCATTGGCAGCCACTGGTCAAGATAATTGTGTCATAGTAACCTGGTTTGCTTGACAAAGTAAGCCAAACAAATGGAAATAAATATTCATTTTTTTGAAAGCCCTCTGGCTTATTGGGACTGCATGAATCTTTGGGCTCCTGGAGAGGGGCTCACAGATGCATGTCTCTTTTATTCTAATGCCATGCTGAGCTAAGCCAGGGTTTGACTTAGCTTGCTGTCCAAATCTAGGCTTGTGGTTAAGCTCTGTCCTCACTAACCATGAGCTGAAGCCAAGGGAAGGGGGAAAACTTGCTCTCCTGGTTCAGGAGTAAAAAAAGACTGGGAAAAGGAGCAAAGCAGCTGTGAGCTCCTCTCTAGCAGCTTGCACGTGGCCTACTATGTTGAGCGAACCAGGCCAATATGCCTCTAACCTGTATTGCAGTGTTTGGGAATCTCCACTGCCTTGTGCATCAGCTTGAACATATCCATTCATTTAAAAAAAGTTACCCTGCTGTTTGCAATTCCCAGGTGGTCTTAATATAGGAAGCTGCCTGATACTGAATCAAACCATTGGTCCTTCTAGCGAAGAGCTTGAGGCAGGAGTCTCTCCCGAGTCTACATGGAGATGCCAGGGACCTTTCGCATGCCAAGCATGTGTTCTGCCAATGAAGCACATCCCTCTCCAATCCAGGCATTCACCAGAGCCAGGCCTGCAGAGCTTTGCCACCTGTTCCATCATGTGTGTTTAGGCCAAACTTCTTCAGAAGTTGTGGGATTCCAAGTCCCACCAGCTCTGGCCAGAATAGCAAATGGTTCAAGCAAGGTATTGGGAATTGTAGTTCAACAGCTTCTGGCACACCACAGGCTCGCCAGCACTTGACTACACCATAACCTGGCCATGGTCCATATGTTATTTACAAAAATATATAAGGAAAGTAATTTCTTTCTTTCTCCTAAATGGGCTGGAAGCTTCCTGGGACCAAGCGCACTTGCTCCTGCAGCAAGGCTGCCCCTTCTTCATATGTAAGCTACCCATAGTGATTTGAAGGTAGTGTCACAATAGGAGGGGTGGAGGGAAGAATTGGTGCCCTTGCATCTTGCAAATGAGCAGTAGTACACAGTTTGTAGCAAAGCCCCAGATGCACAAAATATCTCAATTCTGTATAACAATTCACCCAGTCATCTATCTGTTTCTCCACGTTACTTCTTTGTAGCTATCGTTGAGTTGTTGAATGAAATTCTGCATGTAATCCCCCTCTCGCCTCCCCCCCACTTTAATCAGGATTAATCCCCACAGCTGCTTTGTTGTGTAACAGCATCCAGTGCTTTTAGTGAACAACGTGCCACATAATGAATTTGTCTAAGCGGAAGATCCTACTGCAGTTTCAATCAGAGGGCCTATTGCACCGAAGGAAACTTGGAAAATCCCAAAATAACAACTTAATGTGAAGGCCATTACAAGCTGCGCTTTGGGGACCAGTGCTTTAATGCATTGTTGCATAATGATTTGTATCTCATTGAAATGGCTAATTGCAGGAGATATTTGACTGCTTATTCTACGTTGTTTGGAATGTGCTAATCCTGGTCGATTTGTGAGGAAGAGCTTTCCTGACATTCTGGAATAGCGAGGGCCTCAGCTGGATTGGTTTCCCACTCTTCAAGTGTCTATAGTGAAAAGAAAAAAAATGTACACTTGCAGTGCGATCCTGTGCATATTTATTGTACTCATTTATTTGGGAGCAAGTTTCTTTGAACTCAGTGGGATGTACAGCAGTATCCCCTGTGCATCCTCTAGGCAAGTCTCACTGGGGCTCATAGGTGCATAGGGATGTGTTTCTTTCATGTGGCACACCGCTAGTTTGAAAGAGGATGTATTCTGAAGGATGCCATTGGCACCCTGCCCTCAAGCCATGTGTGCATTTGGTCTCCCTGAAGGACTGTTTTTTAATGTTGTTGATCTCTTCAATATCATTAACAATATTGCCAGCAGAAGCAAGTACTTCCTTAGCTGTTATTTTAACTTCAGAACTGTTTAAAAAATTTTTGGCTGGTCCACGTTGTTGAACTTTTTATTATTATTTAAGTATAGTAGTTGTTTTTGGCCAAAATCACTTTCAAAATGATTTTAGATAAGAAAGCACATTGGGCTAGAAATTAACCCTGTATCATTTTCTTTCCCCCCAATGCAGGCTCACAAATAGGTGGGTCATATTATAATCCTTGCAGCTTGGTTGGGTAAAGGTAAAGGACCCCTGACAGTTAAGTCCAGTCGCGAACGACTCTGGGGTTGTGACGCTCATCTCGCTTTACTGGCCGAGGGAGCTGGCATTTGTCTGCAGACAGCTTCCGGGTCATTTGGCCAGCATGACTAAACCACTTCTGGTGAAACCAGAGCAGCGCACGGAAACACCGCTTTCCTTCCCGCCGGAGTGGTACCTATTTATCTACTTGCACTTTGATATGCTTTCGAACTGCTAGGTTGGCAGGAGCTGGGACCCAGCAACGGGAGCTCACCCTGTTACGGGGATTTGAACCTCCAACCTTCCGAATGGCAAGCCCCAGGCTCAGTGGTTTAGACCACAGAGCCACCTGTGTCCCTTAGATTGGTTGGGATTGTAGCCTAAAAAGATTGTGTCCCTTAGATTGTGAGAAAGATTGTGTCCCTTAGATTGGTTGGGATTGTAGCCATGTTACTGATGTAACACGACATCAGTGCATGTTACAGGTCTACTGGTAGCTAAATCTGGAAAGGTGTTCCATAGAGGTTTTTTTAAAATACTCCAAACAGGAAACTACAGGTGTCCAAATGTTTTGACTGCACCAGGTATGATTTAGGCCCCTTCACTTTGCTTTCAGTATGCTCTTCCTGCTGGCTTGGGAAGTGGTGTACACATGACTATTAGCCACAATCCATGCCTATCTTGTTTCTTATGAAATACTCTTTCCCTCAAAACCAACATTGTTCCAAATTGAGAAAAGGAATGACCTAGCTGCATTCTAAACTTGTAATGTGTACACAGCTTGCAAAACACAAGCTGGCATGCATTTTATTGGTGTAGAGTGAGAATTTTACAGAACAGCAAATGAAGCATTTAGATTACACTCCTACTCAGTGTAACAATAACCTTCAACCTTTCTCTTACAATGTGGAGATCTAGCTTTTAACCCAGAAGTGGAACATGGGCTCCATCTTATTCCCCCCCCCCCCATATATGCTCACCCTTCCTTGTGGTTCGCTACCACTGTTTTCATGGTAGCGGCCAAAACACAGTAGCAATAGTAAAGCATCTTGTATGCATGCAGGAAAAGTTTGTTCACCGGCATCTCTAGTTAACAGAAAAATCTGAAAGACCTGTACCACAAACTGTGGTACACTAAGTACATATTAGAGATAGCAAAGTGTCTGAGATGTGTAAGGTAGCTTTTTAGACTTTTGCTTGTCTTTCTGTTAAACTTTAACAACTTCAGCAAGGAACTGATGCGATGGGTGTGGTGCTACTGGTGTAACACGGCTGAGATCAAGGTGAGACCCAGCAGCTGTTCAAAACCCACCAGTGACCAATGCTGGGAGAGATAAGTCTGATGAATTACTAGCATGCTGTGCTGGTCATCAGGGAGGCAGCTTTGACTGTCTTTGATAAAGCATGGGGTAGTTATTTTATTGGAGAGACAAATGTCCAAGATGCTAGGTGCAAGTTTTTCAGTGATGAAGGCCCCTTCCTCTTCCTCTTCCATTTGTGCTCCAAGCAAAAATAAAAAGTATGATATGGCCAGCCTGCTTTTTAAAATCACGGGGGGGGGGGGAGGGTAGGAAATTTAACCAGGGGCAATGATAAGTGGATGCTGTCCTTCCAGTTACATGATCACTCATAAATGAAGCACAACAAATTGCAAGAGGGCAAGGTGGTGAGAAAATTAAGCCAGGAAGTATGCACTTACTTTTAGAAAAGGCTCAGCCTTACTGGGTTAGCGTTGGGCTGTGCATGTAAAATCAAATATGTTGCTTTGACAGCTGATGCCTGACAGCTAATTTTGTATAACTCAAAAGCCCACTTCCAACATTGTGAAAACACTAGCTGATGCAAGAGAATAATCATATCACTTGTTCTGTGAAACTACAACACACCGACTACCTCACTCG